AGCTATTTATTAATTCTTTAATGCATTTTATTTCTTTACTAGTTTTATACTAGTTCTTCCTAATAAATTTCATTGCACTTTTAAAGTAAATATTATTTATCAGCCTTAGTTTAAATCTATCTTTAACGTATCTTATCAGCGAGCTGCGTATCACCGAGCTACGTACGCTCCACCACTCTGCAAACACTATCCTCTATTGTAGTACAATAATACTAGTAACCAACCATAATTATATCAGAGACAGCTGAATCAGAGGCTTCTATAGCCTCCTGACAAGTGCGGGTATTATAGCCAGGCTTGCCGTATATACCACAGCACCGAGCCTTTATACAAGCCCCCCCTGTACTACTACTATCTAGCTCCTTTTCTTATACCACCTCCCTAACCACGGCCTTCTAGTCTAGTAGATCCTGTATATCCTGTACTATAAGCGATCCTCCAAGCTCTATATATATTCTTTTGGCTCTCTGGCGCTTACTTAGTACCTCGTTGGCCTTATAGAGTGAAGAGACCTTAGAGTATAGTAGAGCTACCTTATATATTATAACTATTATACCTTTAGTAAGCTGGTCTATAGTAGCTAATATTGAGGTTAGGGAGTTATTCTAATAGTTGGTAATATAAGTCTTGATTAATATTGACTGTAAATTGGCTTCTTAAGGGTTATAGGGTGTCTGGAAGACCTAAGGTTATATAGTACCAGGCTATAAGGTTGGTGGTATTAGTATAGAAAGCTTGATATCTAGCTTAGAAAGTACTCTCCCTAGATTATATAGAATAAGGCCTATACCTGCGAAGCCACCCTGGATATTGCTCTTGATAATAGAGGTAAAGAAGGCTACGTAAAAGGTATAGAGGAACTTAAGCTTGCTTATATGGTTAATATATATATATATCAAGTCCTCAATCTAGTAGCTATATACCTGCTTTAACAGCCTAAAGCAGCTAATATCAAGTCGCTAGAAGAGGTATAAGTAATATAGAGATACATAGAGCGTGATAATATTGTTCTACTGGCAATAGATCTTAAATTCAGTCGAGTAGTAGCTCTTATACCTGTCGAGGATCAATAACCGGTATTTGCCTTTTCTATAAGGTGCTATATAGAAGTCGAAGTGCTTGATAAAATCTAGGCCGACTATATTAGTAGTCCAGCCGTTGTCGGTAGTCGTGATACGCCAGTTAGCTAGGAGGTTACACTCGGTATACCAGTTGGCAAGGTGGTACTATATGGCCATAATAATAAAGGGGGGGATCTATATCTTCTATACCAGCAAGTCTTAGTAGGAATGCTCGCTCAAACAGCTTAATCATATACTGAACAATAGCCTTCTCCTCGGAATTAGTGAGCCGGCGTAAGTTGGGTATAGTATCGCGTCGTACAGGTATACCAGCGCGTCGGGAACAGAGGGTTGATTCTGGTACGTTGTAGAGCTTAGCTACAGTTCAAAGGCTTAAGTTTCCGTGATTTCGAATAGCTTCAAGGGCCAAGATTATCCTCGCTTCCTTTGAAGTAGGAGGCATATTAGGTTGTGGAAAAAATTGATGTAAGGTGTAGGGAGGGCGCGTTGTGGTGGGGCGTGCGCAGCTCGGTGATAAGCGCAGCTCGCTGATAAGATACGTTATAGGTTAATAACTTTATTTTGAAAAGCGGTCGGGCTCGTGAGTGTTCCAAGGGTACACTTCTCGGCGCACGAAGTCACGGTCTGGTATGTGGGTGACCTCGATGGGATCGTCGGGTCCCTTTCGCAACCTGCGTCGAGCCACCTGCTCAATGTAGCCCTGAATTTCGCCCAGTTCCCTGTTGTGGGGGACCAGATCGAGGCCCCTCTTGCAAAAATCAAGGGCACTCTTCAGGCAGCCACAGAGCAATTAATAGTTAAAGACTATTAATCTTATTACAGGATTTAAATACCTTTTTATAACGTATTAAAGGTTAAATCTTAATTTCTTATCTTTTTATATAGTACTCTACTAACCTTAAAAATCCTAGATAAATATCTGTCTTTTATATATAGAGATATTAGTCCCTTTAAAATAAAGTACTATTTATCTAAGCTTATTAATATATAGGTATTCACTATTATTATTAATAAACTTTATCGACTTTTCTTTATATTTTTCTAAGATGTTTAAAAACTCCTTTTTTTCCTTTTTAAATTTAAACCTCTTTTAATTATTATAGTCCTTAATAAATACCTCCTTATTATATAAATATTTAAAGCTATTTTGACTATAACTATTAATAATAACCTTTTAGAATTTAACCCTCTTTTTAATAATAATAGTCTTTTATCTTAATATTAAAGACTATTATTTTAATATCTTATTCTACCTTTATAAGCTTCTATATTTATATTTATATAACCTTTTTTTCTATAATTGTAATAGGTAATATTAGACTTATTATAGTTTTATTTATTAATCTACCTAGTTTAAACTAGATTAACTTTTATAAGTTTAGATTGGATATTATAGGATATATTCTTATATCGTTTCTTTCCTTTATTAATATAGTTCCTTCTAATAATTAACTTCTATTATCCTTTCTTTTATTACTTTCTAATATACAGGTAGTTATTAATGTAAATAACTTTAATAATATATTTATCTAAGATATTTAAATAGTCCTCCTTATAAAGTTTATCCTTTATTTCCCTTTTTAAGCTATTGTAAAATAAGGATATTAATCTATTTTTATTAATTCTAGCCTAAATAATGTCTCATTAGAACAAGGTAATATAAGTTAATATAGATTTAGTTTAATAAAGTTTAGCTCGTTAATTTTAGATATAAACCTTTTTATCCTTATTTTTAAATACTTTAGTAAACTCTTCTTTAAAGTAGATATAATCTTAGAAAACTTTCTAGGTAAATTTATATTATTCCTTTAATATCTTCTCGATATAATCCTATAGGATAGGTTTAAACTATTAGATAGATTAACCTATAAGTTAAAAGGCTATATATATAATAGCTTTTAATATATTCTAAGCTAAAACAGTCTTAATAGTATTTAATATAAAACGCTATTTCTATAAGACACTTTAAAAGGTACTCCTTCTTACTTTTATATTTAATAAAGGCTTTAAGTTTAATTTTAAACTTTTTAAAAGCTTTAACTTAAATAGTAATTTCGTTAATAATTTACTATTAGATCTTATTTTTATCTTTAAAGGCCTTAATCTATATATATAGATCTATAAGCATATTATTAATTTCCTCTATATTAATAGAAGTATAATAAGATAAATAGGTATTTCCTAAAGCTGTATTAATATTAGACTTGAAGCTTATAATATTAAATATCTTTATTTAAACTATAATAGAAATAAAGGGAGTAAGTAATATATAATAAATCAGTTTTAACTATACTTTAAAGGGGTTTATTAAAGGTAGATATTAAAGCTTATAATTCAGTAAAGCTAAAGGGTTTATAACGAGATAATAATCTAGTTTTAATATTTATAGTATTATATAATGTATTTGATAAGCAAGCTGCATATACAAGCGAGCTACGTACTCCCCTGTCACGAACCAACCATATAGGGCGAGCCTAGTGCGGCTCAGCCTGGACAGCACGACCAATAGGAAGGGACAGGATCGGGACAGCCGCATGAGGTACGGCCCGAGATGGTCCAGTAACGTTGGGTAGCCGGCAAGCACAAGCGATCACGGTAGACCTGGGTAGCTGGGCTACCGCAGGCTACCACGGGATCAGGTAGACTATGGTAGCCAGGCGAGCAGCCGCGCACCAATCATTCCAGATAGTACATAGTCACTCGTCCTAGAGGACTCTGGGAGTTCTCCAGTAAGCAATACAACTTGTTCATCGCCACTTGCACTACGCTGTGAACATTGAGATCAGATCACTATCTAGTTGTGAACCTTTTGGCTTTACCGGATCACAACCCTTACGACATACCTTCAGTGAACCTTTTCAGAGTGTGGTTGAGAGACAATCCGTCACAGTTTTAAAGGTTATTATACTCTATTATAAATATAAAAAGAAAACAAAGATAGTAAAATATTTAATAATATAGTACTTTAATCTATTAAGGTAATGACTATAGAATTATTAAAAGCTCTAGTTGTAGTAAAACCTATAGACTATTCTATAAAAGATAAATAGCTAAGCTAATAGATTGATAAAGATAGTCCTGGATTAGTTCATAGACTTTAATTAACTCTAGAAATATAGGTTAGTTAAAAAGCTAAAGATAAAGTCCATAGGTAAGGGCTAGTTTATCTAAAGCTAAGTAAAAGGCTTCCATTTCTTTTATAATAAATAGATATAGAATTTAATAGCTTTAGAGGGAAGGTAGAGGCTTTTGCCTAGCTGGACTAGCAAGTGGCTAGGATTATATGGTTTCCTTTATATTTAGCAGTAGAGGGACTGGTATACCCAAATAGGCATAGTAGTATAGGAAATAATAATAATAATATACTTTAGGTATATTCCATAACTAATTTTAATTGATTATATCAACTCTCTTACAATCTATAAATCTAAGACCTCTCTTCTCGCAATACTGCCTCGGTGCCTTTGCTCTAACCTCCTCTATACACTTGCCGAGGCCTAGGCCTCCTATTTGTACTACCCTGCGTCCTGTTCCTTGGGCTGGGGCTTGTCTGCACCCTGACAGTCTCACTGACCTCTATTCTCAATCCTACAGTCCATCATTAAGAAGTTGATTTCATAGATCGCATCCCAAGGAACACAATCCGTTTCTGATTGGTTGGTACTCTACTTTTGACAATTGGGCAAGGGCGCTCTTAGCAACGGCCTCGAGTGGTCACATTCGCGACATAGAAGCATGGGAATTGGCAGGAGATAGGACCACAAGGGTACATTGATTCCTACAAGCCTGTTCCTGGCCCCACAGGCCTACATATAGCGCCAACAAACATTATGCTACATTGAGAAAAGTAAAAAAAAGTCGTGACCCGTCCGAAATAAGATCCCAGGACAGCGAGGAAATGACTGCCAACTAGCCACCTCACCAGAAACTACACCAACCGATATAGTGCTGGCAAAGGTTCTCTAGCTTCGTCGCCTCAATGATGAGCTTGTTGACTTGTTCGTTCACCGTTAGTTCCTCCGCCGGGCGGAAATCGCGACCGGTGAGCTTCTGCGCAACGCGATCCAGCACCTCGACGGCTCGCGCATTTTGCACTTCGGCAATCTCCGTTGCGCCATTGCCACCCGCTACGCTACCTGGCACGGCGGCTGACGAGTTGGTTCGGGCGCGGCCGCGGGCACCTGGCGGCGCGCCCATCATGCCTTCGGGCCCGATGCCTTGGGCGGCGAGGAATTCAGTCGGAGCCACAGGACCATCCAGAACCGACGGCCGGCGTGCGCGTGCTCCTTGTGGTCCGGCAATGGCTTGTTCACGTTCAGAGTTAAAGTTTGGCCCGGGGGGGCTGGCAGGATTCGTAAGCCGCCAGGTGAGAAGCGGGTCGTGGATGAACTAGCGTAGAAAGTTGGCTGGTCAGCTCACTGTACTTCATCGGCTTACCATGTATAATATGCAAACACCTAGGATATAGATAGCACTTACAGCCTCCAACACAGCCATGACACTCTCCTTGTTGTCCCGCAGGACCCTCATCACATGTTCGCACGTCGTGCGGAAACTGCCTTCAATGTTGCTAACCTCCATGGCGTAGGTAAGCATGCGGGTGAGCCGGAACGGCACCCGCTCGGGGTACTTCTCGCGTTTCATCGCGACCTCGAAGCAGTCGCCAAAGTCAATGTGAATGATCTTGCCGGTGATCCGGTCAAGCATCAAGTTACTTGGGTGCCTGTCTCCTAGGCCTAGAATATACCCGACCATGGACATGACACCGAGCGACCGAGTGTAGTTGGTCCGTCGGTCCAGCCATGCTTCAGAACTCTTGCTCTTCAACCAAAGAACGCGATATAAGTCCTGGCCGGTCGTGTTGTCAAGCGCATAGCCAAACACCTCGACCTTTTGCATGAGCGTGAGGTTGTCATAGTCGGGGGCCATCTGCAGCATGATGCGGTGCTCAATGTTGAGAAGTATCTTTCGGGACTCGCGGTACTCCCGGATGAGATGGTGGACCGTGTCGCTGTTGGGTACCCATCCGAGAAGGCCCGAGTTCTGGGAAAGAGGAATTGCCGGGTAGCGTTGGATATTGAGATGACGCTTGTAGGACTCAGAGTCGTTGGCGAGAAGTGTGTTGCATAGGCCGAAAAGCTGCATGACCCGCTCGTCTTGTCGGATGTCTTCGTGACCCTTGAGCAGGAACATGTAGGTTTTGCCATCGCTTCCAAACATTTCGAGCTTTCTTGGACGTTGCTTGGAGCTGATGACGCTGGAGGTGCCTTCGAAACCGGCAATCCTCACAATTGGCTGACCACTACGGTAGGTACCAGGCACCGCGAGCTCGAGGTCCCGGGCTTGAAGGAGATCCGGCGAGCAGTACGTTAGCTCGAGGCTGGTCATCTGAGGTAGCTGCCGACTGATGCGTCGGAAGACTTGATAATATAGATCCCAGGCTTGGCTGATGTCGTTCACATCTTGGGAGTGCCGGTACTGGCGGCACCATTCGCGCGCCTCACTAAGGTCTCTACCGAAAGTCTGGGTGAAGGAAATCTCCCGCAGCGTCACCGGGCCCTTCTCGAGCAGATCATGAAGGGGCTCCAAGACATCGAACATGCCTTGGATGTTGTGGTCACCGAAGTACAAGCGAGAAGCTTCCTCTAGGCCCTCATGCCAAAGCTCATGCCACAGGACTGCGACCCTAATGAGCTCACGGCTCACGATGTCCGCTTGCTCCACGAGTTTGGGGCTGTGCTGACGCATGCTCTCCATGATGAGACTGGCCGTCTTAGAACGCCGCGTGCTCTGGCGCGACTTCATAGCGACGGTAAGCGGGTACACCAGCGCCTGCGGATGCGCGCGTCCAATGTCCGACAGGAGGGCGTGAATCGAGTTCTGAACTCGCCTGTTTGGCTGGTTAATCCGGGCGATGAGCTGCGGAATGACTTCAAGCCAGGTGTCGACGCTGACGTGCGCGAAGCCGTCCGTAACTGCGGCGATGACTTCTTGGTAACCGCCGTAGGTTAGCCACAGAGTCAGCAAGCGTAGGGTATCCTGCAAGGAACTGCCAGACGACAGGGCGATGGACTCGAAGAAACCCTGTACTGCGGGGACGACGTGATGGACAACAATGCTATGGTCCACCCGCCCCTCCAGCTCCTTGTTAGAAGCCAAAGCTTGGACAACCTCAAAGTTGGCGAGAGCCCAGGCGTGCCACGCCTTGTACCATCGGGGGTGGTAGTGGGTCGCCTTGGAGTAGCACGTCAGGATATCCTGCCGGTGAGCTTGCTGCCAGTCATTCTTGTCAAGCGTGATCATCCAGTCACCTTGGCGAAGATAGCACTTTGCGAGAAGCACGGTCTGCTCTAGCCAGTGGCGCTGCGCGTCTGGGCCGACCATGTTCTCATCCGGATCGTTGTACCTTGGGTGATTCGAGCCGTCAGGTATGGCGTTTGCAGCCTGTGCGGAGGCATTCAACTGGAGTCTCGCGTTCTCCACCTGATGAGCGGTGTCCTCCGTGAACTTGTGAAGGCAGTAGAGGGTCCGCTCGGCGATGCCACGGTCAGAGCTTCTAGCACCCGGCTGTTGGCCGAGCTCCCACTGGAACTTCAGGACCGCATAAACAACCGGGGATGCGATGCGTTCAATCCCTGGCGCCGGGGGCTCCTCAGACCAGTAAGGGATGACCGACTCTAACGGCGCATCGGTGTCAATGAGCTGTTTTAGTGACCACTCTGCTAGGCCCATGCGGCCGGACTTGCGGCATAAGTTGGCGAATTTCGTCCACATGTGCATGTTCTCTTGCGGAGTGAGCACAAGAGATCTTAGTCGAAGCATCCGTTGCCACACTTCGACGTTGCGCTGGCAACCCTTGAGACGGGTCTCCCAGGTCGCCCGCAAGGTGGCGCGCTTCTCGGGCCCGCATTGTTTGTAAACGATGAGTTCTTCCAGCTCGGCAAGCATCTGAACCCTCACAACAACCTGGTACGCACGATTGTAAGATTCGCTGACGAGTGCGCTGAGCTCTGTATCGAGACCCTCACGGGCCTGCTCGATGCAACCCAAAGCTTCCCGAAATTGGTTCCTGTGGAGGGCGAGGATGGCACCGAAGAAGGCGCGGTCGGGTGAGAATCGTTTCATCGACTGTAAGTAGGTGTCCATCGAGTCCCACTTCCCAAGGCCCCACGCCGCCGTGGTTGCTAATGGGGCGATTCTTCGTTGGATTTCCGGCCCCGAGTTGGTCCAAGTCTTGCCGGCTAGAGACGCTAGCGATTCCCATTCACCCAATGCGTGATAACAACGCATCTTCCCCATGACTATGTCAACGGGTGTCGGCTGGTCCTCCGGAAGCTCACGCTCTCTCTGGCAGTAAAAGTTGAGTGCCTCGTCCCAGCGCTCGAGCTTCTCAAACCAGCTCTCTCGTAGTTGAATGCCATCCTTATAGGCCTTCACCTTGCGAAGTATACCAATGGCGGCATCCGATTGCTGCAGCTGATTGTTGATCATGATGAGAGCTTCTACGGCATGACTATTGTGGTCCTGGAGAAACTCAAGTTCCTTATAATGGAGGGCCTTAGCATAGGCATGGCATCTTGCCGCTTCACGCCCTAAAATGCGGATATCAATCGGGAGTGCCTTGTCGTCGTGTTCCATGAATTCTGCGAGGTTCAAGAGCTGGCCGAGAAGATCCGGAGGCACGTTCTCGGATTTAATCGTGTTCTCAATGTTTGTAATCAGCTCCTCCTACGTAATAGCGTAATAGTTAGTTAGTCAATTGTCGTGTTAGGGTGTACGATGGCCGGCAAACCATACCTGATACGAATCATAGAGTTCACTCCAGCAAGAGACGAAGGCGGAATTGAAAAGCTCCCGGGCTAGAGGCTGGTAGTTGCTTGCCAAGCTAGCACAGGCTCGAAGAGAGTGATTGGGCGACTCAGAGAGAAGAGTCGTGCTGAACTTGCGGAACCACTCATGCCAATCATCCTTGGTGGCTTTGCCTTTTGTCTCCCAGGCCTGTTTCAAGTGGACGGGATTCAAGTCCAGCTTCTTGGGCGGGTTGTTCTCAGACGAGTAGGCCTCTACGGAGTTGTCCTCAAATCGAGGTGCTAGGTTTTGGGGGAGCGCCTCGCCTTTCTTGAGCTTCTCTACAGCCTTGTCGTAATTGGAGTGCTGAATACCGTACATGGTGATGGTCTTCTCAACTGTGTGCTCAAAATGCAGATAGTCACGGCCTAGCTGCAGCATGAGGGCACACAGGGTGTCGAGGGCGGCTACCCGGAGACTCGGCTCCTGGCCGGCGAGTACCCTAGTCAAGGGGTGAATGACTTTGGAAGCGTAGTCGTTGAGGTTAACCATGCTGGAGAGCTTTCCGATTGTCTCGATTGACGACTTGCGTAGAAACATGGGTTGTGCCGGGTTATCGAACAGGCGAACAAGAATGGGGATGATGAGGTGCATGTATTCTTCTGCGCTGGATCCGAAAACTAGGAAGGCGTGAAAGATCTTTTCGGTTGGCTGGCGCTTTGTGCTCGTGTCCCGTTCCAAGACGCCAAGCATCAAAGGGAGCAAGCTCGCGAGGTAAATCTTGAACTCGCCCTCGAGAGATCGAGCAATTGATTCAATGAGCGCCATGATGGTCGTCTGCAGCGAGGCGGTCGAGTTCCAGAATTCCTGCAGCACTTCAATGATGTCCGGAAGGTAGACGCGGATATGTTGCCGCACAATACCGACAAGCCTGCTCAAATGGTTAAAGTAGTAATCAAGCCTCGTGGGGCTCGATGCCTTGATGACGGCAATGAAGGCGGGCACCACTCTGTCGAGGAATTGGACACACTTGAGCCCGAGGGTAATGAAGATGCTCATGATGGCATCCACGACATTACCATGCCACTGCAGTAGAGACTGGTCTTTTAAGATCTGCAGCAGGGCGTTGATGACGACCGTGGGGTAGTAGTCCTCCTGCGACGGAGTGAGACCGCCCATCATGAGGGACACATCCGTCAATTGTGTCGCTTCCGGCCGCCGTTGGGTCTGTGGCGCTCGCTCTTCGACCTGCTGTTTGGTAATTTTAGTCCTAGTTCGAAACGGGCGCTTGGCCTCTGGAAACTTCTTGGGAGGGGGAGGGGGTAGGCAGCCGCCGTCCTTGTCGTCGTCGCCTCCCTCATCATCTGAGTCTGCCAAGGTGGGATCGACGAGACATAAGAAAGAAAAGTGGTGAAGGGGTAGAGAAGAAGTATCCTGCTGTACCTGGTGCTTATACGGATCCAGCGCCCCCAGTATGCCCATGAGCTTGATTGTTTCCTGCCGTAGTGGGCCATGCTGTGGTTCGCCTCGGATAATGGATTGTAAGATCTCGAGAAGCTGCGGGTATTCGAGGTAGGGCTTGATGACATACCCAGCATTGCTGGCGAGTTGGCCGAGGGTATGAAGGGCCGCTTCTCGTTTAATGGGTGCGCTCTGGTCCTGCAATGCGTCAATAACGATGGGCATCAGTGTGTCCTTGTAGGCAAGCATCTCTGCGCCGCCAACGGTGCAAAGCTCGCCGATGGCCCGCAGGATTGTAGCCGCCACGGACGGGGTCGGATCGGAAGCCTTTGGCAAGAGGACTTCGGTGATCGCGCTGACATAGGGCTTGACCAGATCCTGGGCGTGTTGCGTTAGGAGGCTGAGCAGCTTCGAACTCTCCTCCTTGCTTCTGGCAACATCCGTGTATTCCAACTCGGTTAACATTTGGATGATCGTCTTGCGTAGCTGGGGGATGACATATGCTGGATTATGGCGCGCCAAGCGACCGATGATCGAGACTGCGACTTCTCTCACAGCAAATTGCTCATCATGGAGGGCGAAGAACATGGTACGGATGTTCTCTGCTTTAGCGAGATGCTGGTCGAATCGCTCGTCTAGAGCAGCAAGAACTGTCTGTCGGATTTTGGGCTCGGGGTCCGAAACACCCACGGTCAAGAGTTTCTCCACGACATCAGCGACAACCTGCAAGGCATGATAGCTGGTCTGATTGACGATAGGGTCGCGGACGTAAAGCTGGCAGCAGGTGAGGGCAGCAGCCTCTCGGATCTCGGGATCATCGTCCTCGACATATTTGATCGCAACGTCGCGGACGAACTCGTTCAAGATGTGGCCTACTAATGTCAACCCCGGTGCCTTCTGTAGTTGGTACAAAGTTCGGGATGTCAGCTTACCTGAAAAGTCAAAACTCCCGAGTGTGTTCAGCGCAAGCTTCACCTCGGCCTTCCCACGTTCATGGACTGACGGATCCTTGGGGTCTTTGGGGATCGGTGGCAGAGAAGAGAGCGGGTTTGGATGAGGAGCCCCAAGTGGCCGGAAGGGCTCGCCACATAGTACCCTGCTGAGCATGTTGAGCAGGCGCTCCTGAATGGTGCCTTTGACGGGTGGGATGTAGAAGGCCATGTCGACCAAGGCCTGGGTCAGCTTTGGCGTCAGTTCGCAGGCGAAGATGGGATCCAGCAGCGCCTCCATATACTTGCTAAGCGTCTGGCCAACCGCCACTGCTAGCCTGCTGATGCAGTCAAACACGGGATCTACCGAACCCCTTTTCCGAGACTGCACACTCAACCCTTCGCGCACATAAATCAGGACACCATCCAGGTATGGCGCAATGGAGCTTTTAACGGAATTGGCGATGTTGCCGATAGCAAGAAACGCGTCGTTTCGTTCCTTTTCCTTCTTCAGCATGCCGGATAGGTAAACCATGAACTTGTGCAGGTAAGTCGCGCCGAACTCGGTGGGTGCATAGTTGGCCAGGTCGGGGATCAGGAAAACGACCGTCTTGCGGATAGCGGGGTCGCGCGCATCTTTGTGGCGGAAGACAATCTCGCAGGCATCTTGGTAGTGATTTTGCATATACATGCCTCCTTGCTCGAGCAGCTCCTTGAGGACGAGTAGCGATGCGTGGATGTACTCAACTGTGTTCGTCTTCAAGCCTTTGACCGTCTCTGTAAACATCTTGTCCATCCACTCCTGCTTCATTTCCTGGTCACGCTCTCGAATGATCTTGAAGCAGGCGCTAACAGTTTCGCTTGATGTTGCTCGGATGAGGTGCCGGGGATCTCGCAGACCGATCCAGATTTGGTCGAAGACGAAGCTGACATACGGATACATCAGGGTGGGCGCGTTCCTCGCCAATTCGCGGAGGACTAAGACGGCGCTGTAGCGTCGTTCCTCGACGCGGTCCGATTGCAGCCATTCCAGAGCGGTGTGCATCTCAGCGTCAACTAACTCCGAAATGAGCGAACCGCCGGGTTTGCACATCTTTCCGAGTACCACTGCCGCGGGTTGCATGGGATTGAGGTCCTTTCCGCGTAGAATTGTCCCGATATACTGTTGGAAACGACTGTACTTCAAGGCGGGTTCAATTCCTTCGAAATCGACGAGGGCATCGAGGATGTAAACTCCACCCATTCGATCGTAAGTGTCCGTGCCTTGAATCAAAGACATGGTCCTTTGGTTCACCGTGTCAAAGAATCGTTGGAATTGTTCGGTGCCAATTTCTGCCGGGAAGTTAGAACCTAATTTGTCCGCTAGGAAGTGGAGGATTGAGGGCCGGGGCGGTTGACTTGGGCGAGGGTGCTTACCTTGCTTCGCGATGTTGACCAGGTCCCTGATCTGGCGCGCAGCGCGCTTTCGTTGGTCTTCGCCATAGTTGCTACAAGGCAAAAATTAGTTATTCATCTTCACAGCGTCTTTGGGATGTCGGATTCGTATAATGGAATGCTCTGGGGGGAGAACACACCGATTCCTGACTTCTTTGATGTACTGGTCCAGTGCGCTGGCCGCTTGATCTCGAATAATCGACATCTTGTAACAACCTTCACGTTCCTTTCTACTCTCAGTTCCCCGTCAAGACACCACCAGATGTTCTCGTCGAGCGTTCAAGCGCTAGGCCGCTTGTCGCCGACCCATAGTCGATTGTTGTGCTCCAGGCTGTAAACCGATTCAAGCCTTAGGTTGCTTCCACAAGCGTCCTTCAGGTTTGAACAAGTACGTTTAACGCGAACCGAGAATAATTGTTGATCAACCCTGCGCCCTGGGTTACCGTGAGTGGCCGCCGGTGCCGAATGCCCACAACCCTCGAGGGTTCAATAGGCCGTCGCTTTCGGAGATGTCGCGAACTTGGAGGCCGCTGAACAAGCAGCCCGGCGGGAGAAGAAGGTCACTTTGAGATCTAAAAATGAAAGTACGTGATGGAGATATGGACGTGAGCGGCTTCAGATTGGTGCCGACTTCTTTAGGGTTGATCTCCCAGTCTGTTTGGCCTTCGAGGGGAAATGAAGAGGTCAAGAATGGAGCTGGAGCACCGCCGGCCGAGATGTGATCCACTGGGAACCGGCCATCAACGGCAACCAGAGCTCCCGCCTTTTGGGCGGCAGGCACGGCGTGGGGCAACGCGAGCGGCGCACGTGCCACTCCAACTCTTGGCATTTACCCTGGCCGCCACTCGCTCGGGTACCGAGCTTGCCTATGTGTTATCGCAGCAGCCCACACTCAGTTGTGTTTCTTCCACTGTGTTTAGTCAAACTGGAGGCAAAACCCCTCTTCCTTTTCAAGCAGGACGTCTAACTCAACGAAAGCGGCATTTCGTCAACCACCGACCTAGGATTCACTCCACGACTAACGATTGTATATTTCCTACAACTCCAACCGTCCAACTTCCTCCGCCATGGGCAACGACGGAGGCTCGATCCCCACGCGTCGCGAACTCGTGAAAACGGCCGCGCGAACGCCAACAATTAGCGAACTCAAGGCGACGGTGTTAGAAAACCTCACCCATGCATGGGCCCATGACCCTGTGACCTCAGAGCTCCTCGATATGGAGAACGTGGTATCGGACTGGCGAGGGAGACTCTACAGTTATGAGTCGGTACTCAAGGGGCTGATGCCCAATGGGGATGATGATGACAGCAGCGAAGCGCCCGTTCTCACAAACGGTGAGTCGACTGCAGTGGATTTTGCCTCCACGGATATCAAGTCGCTACGGGATGTGGTGAAGCTCAAATTTACCCGCTATACGCCACCCGGGACTAAGGGGCAAGAGATATGGGCCTGTCCCGTGTCGATGAAGGAGCTGGGGCCTGCAACAAAGGCTGTGTATATTGTCCCATGCGGGCATGTATTTGCCGATGCCGCAATCAAGCAGATTCAAGAAGACATCTGCCCAGAGTGCAGCAGCGAGTTTAAGGCAGGTGATGTGGTTCCAATACTACCTACGGAAAGGGCGGATCTCGACTTTGTCACGACGAGGATCAGCTCCCTGAGGCGCGATGGCCTTACACATAGCTTGAAGAAGGATAAAAGCAATGTGAAGAAGAAAAGGAAGGCGGGTGCAGGGGATTGGGAGGCGAAGAATGCAGATGGTGCACCCCAACCTGAGAAAGCTAAGGGTTCCCGACAAGAGAATGGGAAGGCGGCCAAGGCGAGCGGTATCAACAATCCCATGACGGCGTCACTCACAGCAAAGGTTCTAGCAGAACAGGAGGAGCGCAATAAACGGCGGAAGCTGGCCAACCAAGCCTCGTGAAAGGTTGTACCCGGCTTTTGATGTTATAATTCCATATTTGTACGCTACAACATCACACTGACTGCGCCCTACATCGAACCCCATTTAACCCCAGTGCCTTGTCATTTGTAGATTGGGGTATGACTGTGGAACCCAAGTAAACCGCTCCTGAAAAAACACAGCTGACAACGGCACGATACACGACCCGGAACACAACGGGTACTCACAACCGCGCTACTCCCTAGAGTTCGTCCTTGATATCCACGCCTGGCTCATGTACATCCTCACAGGCGGCCGGGGTACCAACCTCCATCTTGTAAACGCACTTTTCTGACTCGGACACGCGCCACAGCTCGTCGGCCTCGGCGCAGGTTAACCATACGTCTGTCCGCCGGTTGGGGCCGTTCCAGCAGCCCTGACCGTTCTCGTAACGTAGAACCATGCGTTCACCCTTGCCTAGGCTTTTGCCATCAGCGCGTACCTCTTCATCAGCCAGCTCCCGGTCGATCCGGACAAAGTTGCCCATGTTGGTGTTGCCGTGCCCTTTTTTACTCTTTTGCGTCGTGCGATCCATCCAGCACAGCTCATATTCGTACTCGCCCACGTCGTTGCTGACGCACTTGCCCTTGAGGGCGCGGAAAATGTCGTCGGCGCCGTAGTCCTTGTTCAGGTCACGGTTTTGCTCGTCTACACTTGATGTCTTAGACGAGATGTCTCTTTTGACAGCGTCCAGTGCATCTCGGGCGGCCGTGACTAGCCGCGACTCGCCACTCCCGCCGCGGTTGTCCGCTATAATGCCGTTTTCAATGGCCCAGAGACGCAAAACGTTGATCTTTTCGCGGATGAAATCATTGACGGAAGCAGGGAGGTAGGCTTCCCAGTTGTATACTGCGTGTGTTAGCGGTGTGAAATGCAAGCGCAATGTTCCCTGGGAGTGCTTCGATACATACCGATATCAACATCGCTAACATCGGACTCGAATTCAGCCCAATTAATGCCAGATGATTCTCCGTCCTCCTTCAGCAGCTCTATGATGTATGAATCGGAGATGTCGTCAGGGTTCTGCTGACTGGTCTGGGATGCAGCGTAATCTTCCCAGCCCTTGACCGCCGCCTTGACACCCTCGTCGTTGAAATTGGGGTTGTACTCCTCCTTGAACTTGCCGAGGATATCTTCAAGGCGCTCGACTCTGTCTTGCAGATCGTCACGCTGGTCCATCAGCTTGTCCAACGCATTGCGCAGCTCCCCAACACGGGCTTTAGCAAGGCCGGCGAGAATGCCGAGCTTCCCTGCTTGCCCCTCGGTCTTGACAACTTTGTTTTTCTCCGAACGTTCAACATCCTCAAACCTCTTCTGGAGCTCTATTTTCCTAGCCTCCAAACCCTCAAGCTCCGATTCTAGAGCAGCGATCTTAGCTTCTACCCTGCGGCGCAACTCTCGAGCTTCCTTGGCGAGGGTCCGCCTCCTTTTCGCCGACCTCTCTTTGCTCTGCCTACGCTCCTCCTCAAGACGACGGTATTCTTTTCCAATGGCAGCGCAGCGGTTCTCACATTGGATCCCACCGACGTGAGAGAACTCGTCGGTACCATCGCAGCAGAGCCCATAGTCACACACACCATCGTTGATGTACATGAACGGTACGTAGGCACCGATGTGACCGGCATTGACGCACCAGAAGCCCGGTAGGGCGCTGGTGGTGTTGGTAGTTCCGGTTACCGATCCAGGGAGGGGCTGCTCGGGAGAGAGGGCATCAAGGTGCGAGCAGGCGGCTGTGCCAGGCTCATCTGAGCCATCGGGGCAGTCGCACGAGTTGTCGTTGATTTGGGATGGATCGAGGGTGATGAATGGGTTACTAATGCAAGGAAAGACTGACTTGCTCGAATAAAACTTGGCAACTGAATCAATGTGAGCAAATTAACCTTGTAGTATCAACCGTAACTGGGAATCGGGGAAGCAGAACATCGACTTACACTCGGGACCAACACCTCGAGGCAAGCTCTCCGCGACAGCAAGCGTGTTGCAGGTGAGAACACCCAGGAGGGCCAATGCACCTGTCCTTCGCATAGTTATCCAAATCGATGCCCTTCCGTGCAATGAAAGGGGAACATGGGAGAATACCGATGTCTCCCAGAAGCGTTGAATTGGTTGATCTACCCTGAAGCAAGGACAGCTTGCCAACTCTGAGACGAACTTGGCAGCTGGGAGCTGGTGTCAGGATCACGTGTGGCTTGGCATCGGTGTTCGGGAGGGTCCCCGACCGGCTGCAGGGATTTAACGGGCAAGACGGAATCGCTCGGTGGGGCCAACCATAACCCCACCATCGGCGCGTGAGAGAAACACCAAACTTCATACCCCGCCATCACCTCTATATCATTTGTTCAAGCAAAAATCAAACAACGGCCGAGGATATAAACCAACCAGCTAGGCACTCACAGACCTAATTTGAATCGGTAACCACCATTTTCCGGATATCTCGGCAACAATGCCGTCCTCGACCTTTGAAGATGCCTTGACGGCACTCACTTCGGTCATTGACAGCTCAATTGCTTTAGCTACCCAGCTCGACATTGTCATCTCCAACCTCGCGACTTCAAAGGATGCTAGGAGTGATAGTAATGGTCAAGCACAGCAGCCATTTTCTGAACAGCTCGTGTCTGCCAGTGGCCCGATTGACGCCCTTTCGCTCGCCCACGACTCCGCCGCTTTAATCAAGGCGCACGCCACCAAAATATCCCTTCTCATTATCAACGAGCCATTTACGCCCACGGCCATTACCAAAGTGCTGCGGGAGCTTGTTGCCGGCCCCTTACCGAGTTTAACCGCTGCGGTCGAACTTTGCGTCCCGGAGCGGTATACAGGCAGCATCCAGAGAGACCTGGCCTGGAGAGCGGTTCGGGTGCTCAGAGAGGTGAGGGAACTCATATCTCGGGTTCCTAGGGACGGCAAGGTCCTCGTTGATGACAAAAAGAACGCCCCGGCTGGGGCGGCTGGTGGCCGGGGGAGCATTGCTACAACTGGGATGCTATGGTCAACTTGTGACGATGTCATGGCATTTTGCAAGCGCGGCTTCGCTGGCACCCTGACGCATAAGGTCAACCAGCTGAAGGACACGCTTAAGGATGTTATGGAAGAGCTAAAAGAATGGGGAGAAGAGGCGGACGATAGCGAGGAAGATGGGGACGAAGATGATGGTGACGGTGATATTGCTCAGATTACCTCGGGTCTCGGGTCGAGTTCGATATCTAGGGCGGCAGATGCCCAATCCGTGTTGGACGACCTGATGAACTCTCAGAGACATATACCGCGTGACGATCCTGAAAGGATACGAGAGAGGCTTGACTTGAGCCTCAAGAGGCTGCGCCTTATCATACTGCTTTACCAAGCTACAGTAAAGCGTAGGCTGAGGCCTTTACCTAGTGTACCTCCAGCTCAATACCCGGTTGTCCCAACCCGCCTAGATGAGGCTGTCGCTGCTCTCAAGCGTATACCAGAGAAGTTTGGCAGCCTAGCCATGGCTTTTTATGAACTGGACCGCTCTGAGATCGATCGTCTCCTAGAGGATTGTTCCTTGGATGCGCTTGCCGCTTGTGAGATCTTGGTCAAGCCGTGGGAGGGCGAAAAGGATGAATTTACAGACTGGGGGTTGCGATTCCAGGTAGAGTTGAAGAAAGATTGAACCATGTTGCCAACGCAGGGTTTTGTCTCCGCAGATGGATGGCTGGGTGACGTGGTATGGTGATAATTAGACTGTACTCTGTGACTGGAGATGAGGGGATGGATGGAGCCAAACTGGCAGTATGGATCACTTAGATATGCACGTGCTCAGGCATTACTTGCAATGTTTAAGTCCCGCTTGTGTTGGCAGCTGTAGTGTGACTATGGCAGTGATTGCTGGTGCTAGGCCACTTGAACTGCTGATGCTTGGCGCACCCAACGACGAACAAAGCTCCTTTTTCATGATATTCCACGTATAGATAGGAACCCAAAGACCGACAAGCATTGTACTCAAAACCAGGATGCTCGTTGTCGTCAGAGTAATGAGTTTGCCAGTAGCTGCCGTCCGCCTGCGGCCGTGCAAGCTGGTGATGTGGCTGATGTTTGTTTACTTCAGGGGCCGGACCAGTTCGGCACTATACTACCACACGCGGGACCGCCGAGTCGGTGGATGATTGTATGAGCACTCCACCCTGTTTCTTGATTTGTACTTTTCAAATCATCTCTTTTTACCCTCGCAAATTCGGCGACTCGGCCAGCTTTGTGTGGTGCGACGCTCTCGTGGACCTTGGTCGTCTCGAAGCCTCATCGTCGTCGCTCTGGGGCTCAACCGAATTAGCTCCAAGAGCAAGGAAATCGAATTATCCTTTCATTTCCACCAATTAACTTCGATATGGAGCAGCCCGGCCCGATCCCTAGAACACCGACTCGAATTCCACGGCCAAGCTTCGCGGCCTCCTCGCCTCGAGCGCCTTCTATTCGAGCGGTCCCCTACAGTCATCTGGACCGAGTTGGCGCGACTTCCAAAATGGCGGGCAACTACTCTCCCTCGAATTGGCCGTTTAAAAACCCCACCGAAAACCGTTCAATGTAAAAACCAGTTGCGCCAGATCCCCAGGCGTTTTACGCCTTGCTTTAAACGATGACTACTGACTCTATTTGCACTAGGGAATTGCCGACCTCAACCACCCAACGCTGCAATCAGGGTCCCTTTGAGAGTAACAATAACGAAAAAGTCGAGCGCAAAAATAGCAAAAAGGTCCATTTTAGAGAAATGGCCGAGAATGCGAGCGAGGCTAATCCCACCGAGGACGTTTCCAGGAACGGCCTGTCGGTAGCCCATACTCGCGGCGTTTCTTTCGACTCGGTCCAGACCCAGATTTATGCGCCCACGCAAAATGGGAATCGTGCATCTAGTAAGAGAGACACGAAGTCAACACGGTCGAGAATGTAGGCTAACGAGCCGTATAGGTGAACAATCACGGCCTGCTTCAACCCGCGGGACGTTTCTCCAGTCGACCCCGGAGATACCAGCCCGACCAATCACCCCCACCCCATATTCCGTTCTGCGAAAGGTCTCAGAAGTTTCCGAGCCCGACAACTCTGTCCTGGAGGATAGTTCTGGTTTCAGCCGTTCTGGGAATAAGAGACCGTTGAGTTCAACATCCGAGTCACAGCAATTTCAGAGGCGCACTTCTCAAGAGTCCGCCGGCCATTCCGCACAAAACGCGGGGACACCGAGATCATCATTAGGTGATGGCGGTATTCATATCGTACAGGACTCCATCAAATCCCACAGCATTCCGACTCAGCAGGATATCGAGGGCCGGATCCTCTCGAGACTGCACCCGCTGCACCCGCGATCGAGGGCCAGCGTCCGCAGCACCGAGATTCATCAGCAAGCCCCTCAACCCCTTGCGGGGCCGAGTAGCAGTATTCAGGCGGAGCACGGGGGTTCTGATGATGGTAAATCTACAGAAAATGTACCCGGTGGCATCGTCATCCTCAGGCCGGCCGGAGCCGAAGACGCTGAGGACGTGCCCGTGGCTCCCGGAAACACCAGTTTGCACTCACAGAGGCCGACAACCCTCCAGAGCGAAGCCCCCGACATCGAGTCCCTTCGTCTAGGCCCGAGGCTCCGCCACAACCGTCTTCCACCGAGCCCCAGCACGGCCATCAACGCCGGGCGGTGCGTACCAAGCGATACCAGGAGGTTGTGGACGACCCTCGGCCGATCTCGCAAGGTCATTTTTGTCTCGGCTATTTTTCTGGAGTTGTCCATTCTCAATGAAGTCGCTAGCGTCACGGCCGTGACGGCCAACCAGATTGAGCACGGCCACGCTGCTGTCGGACTCGTGGTTTGGGCCATCGTGAGCGCTGTCCTCGTGTTGACCTGTGCCATGCTGACAACATTTCTCCTTATTCGGCACCGCAAACTCAATAAGGATCTCGTCTCCGGCGAAAGCTGGATCGAGATGCAGCTTCGATCGCGGCCGCTCCCACCCCGGCCGCAGACTGACCAGGCCGAGCAGACCGTCGAGCAGCACAAGCAGGACAGCGGTGTCACTGAGGCCTGGCAGAAATTTACCCAGGACCATGAACAGCTGCGTCGTTATGTTGAGTTTCTCGAGAGTCGGATTGGTGTGCTCGAAGAGGGCGGGCCGAACCAACGGCAACAGCAGCAGGGCGAAGGCGTGTCTGGCATAGGTGTGTCGATAGGCTTGAGCCGCCACGCCACCGCCCCATCCTTCGTCCATCTGACGAGCGCGGGTAAGACCCCTCGCAATACCACCCCCAAAGGATTCACCACTCCCAAGTTCAACACTACCGGCGGCTCTCTCTCTCGACACCTGCTCCTCCAACCAGATGACTCGGTCGCTGATCGCGAGTCTTGGCGAGGCAGCGGTAGTGATGGCGATGGTAGCAAAAATAACAACGGAAACAACCGTAGCAGCACCCGTCACGGGAACGACCACTCCGGCCGCAGTACCATGCCCAGTGCCGCTATCCCCAAGTCAGACACCAAAACTAGCATTCTCACAGATCTTTGCGAGGCCATCACCGTGACCGAGGGTTACAGTCCGCTGTCGGCGCAGACACCCTACTCGAGTTCCCCGCTTGCGCCACAGACTTCCACTCCTGCTGCCAATGGCAATGGGAATGGCAATGGTGCCAGCAACGGCAATGACAGTGGAGACAAGAACCATGCCTGCTCGAACCTGAACCACGATAGCATTCGCAACTACTTACACCACCAGCAAACTTCACATCATGGCGTACCGGGGTCTGCATCGACAAGGACGATGGGTCAGAGGGGTGGTAGGGCAGTGGAGAGAATTGGACTCGAGCTTGGGTTTGGGGTTGGCGGTGTTGGTGTCATCGGTAATGGTGGTCCCAAGGAAGGCGCTTGATGTTTTCCCCCAGCCGCATCGAAGTTGGGAAAGATGCCCGACGCTGCACTGCAACGACGGGGGAGCAGGGCAATCGGATTGACTGTGAGGCTCCGAGGCTCCGAGGCATGGGGTATTCGGTTCTTCGGAGTCCTCTTATCAGCCACTGTGACAGCATGTATTGAACTTAAAAAACCGACCCAGAAACTGTTTAGTTGTCCCGCGGAGGTTATGTAGGTTTGACAAACAAATAACACTTAAAAGGCACTTACTGGCTGCGGGGGAGGAATATCGTGGGTATGGGCTGTGAATAATGGGATATTCCTCGTCGATATGAGCCCACAAACCAATACTCTATCAAATAGCCCGAGCCATACGGGCCTTGTTCTCTCTGTATCTCTTCTCCTTCCCGGCTACCTTTCTCCTCTTCTTCCATGCCCGATTTAGGTCCCCGCGATTTTCCCAAAACCACTTCTGGAAATCGCTGGCTGGTTTCACTTTGCCCTCATCAACTCCAAGGGCTGTGTCATCCAAGTCACCATGCTCATCCAAATCCTCTCCAGGCTCCTCCCCATTCACCTGACCCTCCCCACCTGTCTGAGCCCCGATTCCGTTTTCCCCATCCCAAGGCCAATACATGCGGCTAGGATGCGCTGTGTCTGGGGTTGGCGCGGTACTCCTGACGCCGCGTAACTCAAGATCATGGCGCGTAAAGGGGGTGAGGGGCGCCTGAGGACCCAAAGTCTCGCCACCGCCTCGGTCGCCAGTTTCTTCCTCACTCTCATCGGCGGTGCCGCCGAAAAAATTGAACCCCTGACTCGTCTGTGCTATTTGGGACGTTTCGCTAGCTGCTTGCCCGGTACGTTTGTACAGCGCTTCGAGGGGATGTACTTTGGACTCGTTGGGGGTTGCTGGCGGGATTTTGATCGATAGGCTTTTGGCCGAGGCGGATGATTGTGGCCGTGGAGCATCGGATTTGACTGGCGAGAAAGGCGACGAGTCGACGTCCGAAATTGAACCGTTGGATGTTGATCCGCTACCCGCAGTCGAGACATCATTCCCCACCTCGTCCGCGTCATTGTTGGAAGCCTCATAGCTCGAGCTAGCCTTGTCCTCCTCGTCCGTTGACTCCGTGTCCTGAATCCGTGCCTTCATTTTGCCCCGGAGAAGGACTTTTCCGCTTCGAGGTGGCCTGACCTTCACTGTTTCTACTACATCACCATCTTCTTTCACCCAACCCTTGCCCTCGACAAATTCGACGGGGGCATGTGCCTCCCGTGCAGGGTCCGCGGTTTTTATAAATGTCGGGAATTTGATGGTCCGTTCGAACTCATGAACAACCACCTCTCGCGACTTGCCCTTCTTTTTCTTCTTTGACGAGGTATCCTCAAGGTCGGTGAGGGGTGTGGCGTTAGTGGGCAGGACGGTTTTGATCAGACACTCCTCATGGTCAGTGTATTTGGATTTCGACTGGCCTTTGTGGGCCTTCTTCTTCGAATCTTTATCTTTCTTGGATCTCTTCTTTTCCTTGGGTTCGTCGACTTGTGTCCATCCTCGTTTGATCTTCCGGTCATCTCCCAGGACAACCCCGGTAAGTTCCTCGGCCTTACGCTTCTTTTTTCTCGTCTTATCTTTGATATTGAGTGATGGTGATATCGCATCATGGGCAAGGCTGTGGTGCTGTTTGTCCTTGGCCATCGCAGCTTCGGCGACTGGACTCGGGAAGCGAGGTGGTCGGGCTTGCTCGATGCGGAACTTGGCGCCTCGTAAAACTGATCCGTTGAGCTTCTTCTTCAATTTTTCGGCGTCTTCTGGGGGTAGCTCGACAAAGCCGTATCGTTTCTCCGGGAAAGTCTCAAGTGCGTGGTAGGAGATGTTGCGAGCCTTGCTAAGCTGGGCAGATGATAACGCGACTTTGAGCAGGTCTGCGTCAAACGGGGAAACATGCAACCGGACGTAGGATTCACCGTCAGAAGTCGCCGCGGATGCGGTGCGGGGGATATCGACCTGTTTATGGTCGGTCATGGCCGTCACGCCGCTCAATTGGCGTTTGTTGAAGTGGGAAGCTTACCGGCGAAGGCGGCACAGGAGTGAAAGCGCGGGAAAACGGACATGGAAAAAGCTGACCGCCTTCCGGTTTTGCAGGGGCAGTATATGAATGATGAAGTGGGTCATTTATTTAAGTGAACCCCCGAGTACCGGCGGCAGTCGGTGACTAATAAATGTCCAACACTCCCCCACCGACCTCAGCAAGTCAAAACTCAAAGTCGGCGAACTTGTCCGTTTCCCGCCTCCTCATCCCACTTTTGGAACTCGAATATGACCCACGGATGGCACAAAAATGCAATCATTCGAGGCTGAAAATTAACTAAAAGGGACCATTCCTGGGTTTCAAGAAAGTTGAGACGTGGTGAGCAGTGCATACCTCGTTACTGCAGTCTCCTATTTGCCTAGCAGGCTCTTCCAGACACAAGCCCTCTAACCCCTTCATCCTAATGCGGCTTTTGGCCCCAGGCGACGACCCTAATAAATAGCATCGTCAGTGGGCTAAAAAGGGGGGAGTTTTGGCGGTACTCACACTGAGCAATAGGCGTGGATAGTCCTGTCCTGTAGGTCCCGCTTCAGATCAGCAAGCAAGTTATCCACCTCTTCCGTCGCCCAACCAAAGGCGCGAGTGAAGACGGCCATGGTGATACCATCAACCGCCTCAAGGTTGTTGACCATTTGCATGGCCCCAAGAGCCTTTTGCTCCTTCCCCTTCGCCCAGGTATTGAGGGGCACGGCGAACTTCTTCTCGCCAAGGTTGACAAACCCGGCGTCGGCTAGGTAGCTCTTACAGCGTAGCGCCTCGGTCGCAACACGGCCGTTTAACTTCTGCATGCCTTGGAGCAGGAGGGTGTTCCAGCGCTGCAGGGCGGTGCCTTCGATCGAGTTGTCTATAGACCGGGCGTAGGGGACGGTCTCCTGGAACTCGGCCCAGCCGCCAGGCTCAAGGTTGTCGTGGACAGTGCGGAAGAGTTTGTCCCAGCTTGTCTTGATGAAAGGGAGCAGACCGCGACCGTGAATGTAGTCAAACTTATGGCTGTAAACCCAATCATCGTCCAGGTCATCGATTTCGAAGCGGCAGTTTGGTGGTATGTACTCGGGCTGGATCGGGCTGAGATCGGTGCCCAGGATCTGAGAGGCCGGATTTTCTTCCGCTTGACGGCGCCGCGTGTGTTAGATGGTCAGCAGAAACTTAGATGTCAGCCCAACGAAAGGAAGAGGGAACACACCAAACTCAATCGCCCAGATGCCCGTGCCTGTTCCGAGATCAAGGACCTGCTTCGGAGTCCCAACTGGGGCTAGCCCAAGCTTCCCACCGAGTAACACTTTGGATATCGCATGCTGGTAGTCTATCTGGTGTTAGTGACAAGTGGGAAACGGAGGTTGCACGGATGGGGGTGGTAGAGGTATAGTAATATTGTGTCCACCGTGTGTAGTTGTCTATACGTACCCATACGTTGCTGTTCCCTCTTTAGACGCAATGATGTGAGTCTCGATCATCCAGTTCAGTAATGGGTCGCGTGCGCTTACACACCTCATCATTAGGGATGAAGTACTCTTTTGCAAAATGGTTAGCCACCTAAACCTAGTTTTAAAGACACGTAGCGATTGAGTTCGCTAAGTTGTCAACGCGACTGTTGAGCAGGTATGTTATCAGGCTTACTCCCTTCCTTATATCTGTGGAACGTCCTGCCGTGTTCCTGGACGAACTTATACACGCTGGCGCTCACAGAAACGCTGGACGAAGAGCTAGGATTAAGTGTTAGTAGAGAATCTGAGATCATTGGCGAGCGTGTCTGAGCCTGTTGGGGGGGGGGGGGGGTTCTCACTCTCCCGAGTCAAATAAATCATCGTCTTTTCCCCGATTCTCATGATCGACCTGAATGGTTTATGATGGTGATTAGCGTTTAGCCATGCACTCCCACTGGGACAACGTTCTGTAGCGTGGCCTCTTTCCGTACACTTAAATCCACTGAAAATTGACTGAGTGCGGTAACGGATGCCGATCGGTCATCTTGGTCTTGGTCGTGTGACGTTGGGGGTGTTCCAGTCGCAGGTCCCATTGCACTTCCCTTGGTTGTTGCGCTGGCCGCTGATGGGATATGAGGGGTCTCTATCCCACTTTCACCAGTGGCTCCGGTTGTGGTGCTGGATGGCGGAGATGTGATTGTAGCGCTGTCTCGCGGTGTCTCGGCAACTCGGAGTGGTTTGTGCCCCTGTCGCTCCAGTCCACCCATTTGTGTGTGTCGAGCGGGCCGGCAAGCGTTATACCGGGCTAGCTTTCGGGCGGCTTGAAGGCCGGTTGGTTACAGAGTGGTGTTTTGATGATCTAAGACACGGTTGGCCGAAAGGTGGAGATGATCGATGCATCAGTGGTCTTCGTGGACGAGGAGGTCCTGCAGCCCTGCATCGAATTTTTGTACATACACTACGTTCTGATCCAAGCGAGGAGTACTATGTGTACATACGGTACCAGATGCGCCAAGGCCAGCCACCGGCCCGGCCGAGCACACGGCAGATAATGCGGGTTTGAGGGCCGAAGGCTTCTCTCTGCATTGGGCATACGGACACAGCGAATTGAACTGGACCCTTCCGTCGACTGGGCTGTTATTATACAAGTGAGAAGAGAGCAAATTACCGGCCACCACATACAATCAAGCCAACCAGGACGCCTTTTGTAAGCACCCGAATAACCCTTTCCCAATGACGCCACCCCATCGGACTGACCAACCTTCCTTTATACTGCCCGTGGCGTGTGATGTGCAAAATCTCCCCGGTTATCTAGTGGTTTATTTCTTTTCCTGGCGCTTCTGCTCGCGGACGTCGCCTCCGGAGGCTCTCCACCAGACATCACCACTCCAGCGAAGCAGGCGCTCCGCCGCTCCTGTTGGTGTCATCGCGGGTCGGACATCGAGGAAGAACACGGGTTCGCCCGTGGGTTCGGGCGGGGCCGAGTAGAAATCGATCACATATCTAATCTCCTTTTTGTCACCGTTGACGTTGCGCGAGACGAACCAGTCGTGGCGATCAAAGGGCGCTTCGGTCCTGAGTAGCAGGACTGTTAGCTACTTCAATATGGAACTGTCAGCCGGGGCCCTCAACATACCCGAATTTAGATGGATATATCCATCCCAGAGCTTGCAGAATCGCCGCCTTGGGCGTCATATCCTGCGGCCGGCCCTGGAACCTGACGAGGGTCGGCTCCGACTGCCCTCCTTCCTGGGCCTCCAACCGCCGGAGTGTTACAGGTGCGTGTTCCTCCCCGCGCCTGCTAACTTCCCAGCCACGGGCCAGCCCCCGGCTAAACCGACGCTCCCACTCCACAATCTCACCCCATGCGCCTTCATTCAAGAAGTTGTGTACGGCCACCATGCTCTCAACCGCCGTGACATCCGTGTCCGTGTAGCCCTTGCGCAGGAGCGCATTGTACATTTGCTGTGGGGACGGGTACTCCCAGTTGCCGCCGCCCGTGCCTCGCGGGATGGACGACTCGTCTCGGCTTGTTGGTAGGGCGTGGGTTTGGTTGGGCGCCCGTTCCTGAGAGATGGACTGGAACATGTAGTTTAGCGGATTAAGCTTGGAGAGCACCGACGGCTCTTTTTTAGGTTCCTCCAAGGTGTTGCCATGCGGGGCGGAGAAGGATGAGAGCGCGGCGTTGGCGGCGGGATTGCCGTGAGGAACGGGACACGAGGAAGGCGTTGGAGCCGGAGCGACGGGGCCCTTGAGGGCGTCAGCACCGGCCTGGTGCATCGGGCAACCGGCCTGGACTAGGTGTTAGCTGAAGGGGAAAAATATGCGGTAGTTGCAAGGGGCTTACGGGAGGTGCGCCAGCTCGATGAAGGGCCTTGTGGTTCAAGTCCGGCGGCGGGGCAGGCTTAGCATCGGCCCAAAACCAACCCATTGTGATTATGGCCTTCCAGGCCCTTTTGGTCTTTCGAGTCTGGGGGGGAGAAAGGTTGAGAATAGTTGCGAAAGGTGCTAGCACTGAATAAATGTGCCGTGAAAGGGGGGCGGCGGTACCAAGAGGTTTGAGGTCGGGATGTTGGAGAGCGCAGTGGGGGGTGAGAAGATCGCAAACGATAAGGCGGGAAAAAAAGATGGAGATTTTTGAAAATTCGCCAAGAATGACGCGCATCTTTCCCAGCGCACGCGCCAAGCCGGAGACCCCGCCGATGATGGACCTTGCGAGCATGCGAACACAAACCCCCGCAAGCAAGGGTGCCTGTCACAACCGCCAACCGCGCTCTGATCGACCGTTGTTCTACACTATATAGTATGTCCGAGTTGAGAGGATGCGAATAATATATTGCAAAAGGTCCGCGGGGATTACCATCTGCCTTCAAAGTACCTTGCCCAGTCAAGAGGCTGAAAATCCCTCCTTAAACCAAGTCTACTAGATGAGGTTCACAAGGGAGTTGGGTGGCTTATTACACGTTGGGAGACAGGAGATCGTATCGGACGCATCGTTCCACCTATTAGCGAGGATTGTTAGATGACACCCACTAGAGAGAAAAGCACGGGATTGGGGTCGATGTGGCTTACATCCTCAGCGCTGGCCTGCATAAAACGCCGTGTCTCTAGGCCAACCCAGACCTTCAAAATGTGGAAGTTACCCTCCTTAACCATGTCCTTCCCGCCTTGGGTACCAAGTTGTCTTAGAATTGGGAGCGAACTGCTGAGCAGGTCCACGTCTGGATTGAGGCTGCGGCCAATCCCCTCAAGAAGGAGCATGCTGATGACAACGTTGACAAAGTCCCCTTCGAGGCGAACGTGATGCTGCCTTACCATGCTTAGTACTTGCTGCAAAATGTCCCCAATCTTGACGTTTCCGAGGGCGAGGGTCCGGCTTTTCACACCAAGAACCAGGTGTTGCATCTTCAAGGCAAACACCTCCTTATCTAGTACGGCATCGGGCTGGCGGCATCGTTCACACATAAGGTGACCGGCCTTGTAACCATCAAACTCGGCCACGGCACGAAAGAGGTCAAGGAAATTGCGCCGATTGGTGTCGTTGAGCTCCGTCACTAGGCCTGTGTCGATGAAGATAAGCTGCGGCCGAAAGCCTTGGCGCTCGATTTCACTTAACTCGGCATTCCACCGCTCCTTGTCGTGACGATGCGGGCGCAGCCGTGACAAGACTTGCTCTGTGACGTCTGCGGGGTCTCCAATCGCGGGATTCGCCTCGGGGACACGGCGCAGCATTAAACTGGGCCGCTCAGACTCATAGAAGCGCACCATGATGTTCCCGGGATGCAGGTCGGCGTGGACAAAATTGTCGAGTAAAAGCATGCGCAGGAAAGCGTCGAGGCCTTCCGACGCAATATCATGCTGGAAAACCCCGCCCCCATTATTTAAAAAGTCGGCGAGAGGGATGCCGTTGGCAAACTCCTCAATAAGCACGTTCCGCGTGCAAAATTCGGTGTACGGGAATGGGAACCAGGCGGTGGTCCTGTCCTTGAAGTTCTTGCGAAATCTGGATAAATTCGCTGCTTCAATGCGCAAGTCTAGCTGAAGCTTCATCATCTCCCCAAATTGCTCGACCTCGTCGGGCAAAGAAAGCCACTCTATTGTGGGTATAACGTTCAATACGGAAGCAAAGAAACGCATGATCCGAAGGTCGCGGCGCACAGTGCGCTCGACGCGGGGGTGTTGGACCTTGATGGCCACATAGGAAGAAGGAACTCGTTTTGGTGTACTTTTCAGAACGGTGTCGACATTTTTGCGAACATTGTGCCGGATGTCTGAGTGTTCTTCAACGACGTCGGGGTCTCCGGAGAGTGCTAGGCCAGGCTTGAGCTTGGCTTTGTAGACTTGGGCGATCGCCCCGACGCCGAGTGGAATCTCGTCAAACTCGTCAAATATATCTTCAAATTCACGTCCACCAAAAGCCTCTCGGACTATCCGCTTTGTCGCACGCAATGAGTGAGCAGGGGCGTTGGCGTGGAGTTTCGACATGATCTCGCAAAGTTCGTTGGGGAAGATATCGGATCTCGAGGCGGCCCATTGACCCAACTGTTCGACATCTTGTCAACGCTCAGCCTCGAAGTCAAACGGGGGTCGTGTTTGTTACCTTGATGAAAGCTGGGCCCGCCCACTCCATAGATTGAACAAGAAAGCCGTACCACCATAGCGACCCAGTTCGTTCGTTATCGCGCTCGGGGTAGCGCTTCCCAAACCATATGACCGGGACAGTCACTATCACCGGTATAAAAATGACAGCAAGCTGTAAGAAACGTACGCAGGTGCAGACTGGTTCCCAAATGAACAAATCCAATAACACGATGACCCGACGACGTAACCAGCGCAGAGTCCCGTCGCTGTCACCGGCCGTCTTGCGGATCTCGGCTCGCGAAACTTGAAGCATGCGCTTCTCTCCTGTATCTCCATGGCTAGCGCTGCCGTCCTCCGAGAGCTCAATAAATGCGGAAGCGGCCATGCCGGCACCGCCGGCGGCCAACAAGGCCCCGGACCTTGGGCGGTGGGATCTCCATGATGGCGGTCGACATCGCGGGTTTGTGTGAAATGGAAACGTGTGCGTGCCCACGCGGGAATATGAGGACGTGTTCCTCAAGAGTTTACATGTTGAGCTTGAGCGTAATGGCGCTTCTACAAAGGAGAAGTATCGGCCTAGTGTGAAGACCAGCCTCATATCGTCGCGGCGTGTGAGACTAGATTCGAATTCGGGAGGTTGAATCAGCTGAGGCAAGCATTCTTGTTATCAAATGACCCAGTATACGTAAAATTGCATCATATTAATCACATGCGATATGGCGAGGCATCGCTGAAAGGACGGTTTCGTGTGTTGCTTTGGGGGAGTTGGCCGCGCGCAAAGGACCACCTGTGACGTCGTCGAATCGCGGGCAAAGCCGAGCTCGAATTGGGCGTTGTGGGTCAAACTTGAGAGCACGTGGGGCTAAAAACGGCAGCTTTCGGGAACAGATCGCCGGTATTTACCGGCAGGGGAGCCAGGAGGCAGCATGCCACGCGATAGCTTACTGTACTGTGTGCGAAGTACTCATGGTCGGAGCGTATTGGGTTCAGGGTTATTAATGAGACATTTGAATGAAGTATTTTAAAAGGGAAGGTTTTTGGAAGTCACTTATCGAGGCAGCGCCTTCTTTTTATCAAAAGCCGTGTCCTAACAATTGGTTTCCATCCAACACTGGGGTGCCGGCTTGATGCCCAGCGAGTCACTCGAACTCCCGAATAGTTTAGACTTGTATGCTTACTGCATTCATCGAAGCCTAAGAGGGGTGTCGTTCACGTTAGTTGTGCCAATGTCTCTTCACCCCAATGACATTATGAGTACTTACTTTCTCATCAGCATCTGTCCTAGTTTCAATCTCTGGCCCGACCGTCGTCTTGTTACCGAGAGAAAGTGATACAACACCAGTTGTGTATTCGTCGAATGGCACTTCAAAATAGGAGACCGGGTTTCGACTTCTTGTCTCGAACACCATCCGGCACGTGTGGCCTATCTCAAGAGTGATGCGGGCGGGGTTTTTTGTCACCGCCAGCACAGAGACGACATCTCTAGCTCCACGTGTGGCTGGGGCAGAACCCCCCTGGCCCCAAACGGTCCCTAATTGACATCGTTAAGAACGGTCTTAGCAGGGCAATATAGTAGAAGGGGCTGACCGTTATGGCCGTGACGACGGTTTAGGGCGGTTCGGTACCAAGCGATCGCGGTGTCCTCGCCACCCCAGTCAAGCGTAACGGATCCTGATTTGTAGGCAGCGATGAAGTATGGTAGGGTAGCCCTGAATGCAGCGTGTGAGTGCCCAAGGGCGTACTTCTCCGCCCCATTCACTATCTGCGCCGAAATTTGGTCGCAGATGTAGCTTGACTCGCCGAAGTCGTTCCCTCTTCCTTGTCAGCTTATCGCGGTGTAGATGGTCAAAGCAGGCTAATGCGACGTACAAGTTATAATCTGCACAAAATCTGGCATGACTTCTAAGACTTGTTGCCAGCGGTCGTACCAAAGTGACTCGCTTGACGAGTACCAGCTCTTACCCCACTGAGGAAGATCTAAGATGAATGAGACGAGAAAGCAACAATGTCGGCGCGGGGACAGGGATTCACCAGTGTAAAACCAGGGGCTTACGCCCATCATGTAGGCCTTTCCACGGAGACATTCTTGGTACAGGAAGTCCTCAGAGGCGGTCATCATGAACTGACCGGGCTTTGGCCAGGCATGCCATGAAACTATGTGGCACTTTAGATCGAAAATCACGGCTCAACGGGAGGAAAAACAGCTTACAAGCGCCATCAATCATGTCAAGCTTTCCCTCGACCCCAGCCGGCCCGAGACTAGACCAGTTTGGGATAAGATATATGCCGCCCGTTGCATCCCTAACCGTTGCCCATTTAGGGGCCCAGTCGGGGCCTTCGAAGGTTGAGACCAAAGGCCGGCCATCTATTAACATCTGTGCCGAAGAGCCCCGATAACGGTTGATTATGTTGACCACCTGGGATACGGGCCAGGATCCAGCCGCCATACTGGCATGATGATTGTTAGTTTTTTACTGACGTGCATTGCACGTCCCAAGTGGTGGCGCCCGTAACGCTTACTCAAACGAAATAAAAATGTAGAATCCCCTGCTACACTCGGCAGCGTTGTACGCGTAGTCAAGTTGTGTCTCAGTCCAGTAATCCGAAGGCCCGATGTTGAGTGCGAACCCGTCGATGCCTGCAGATTTGGCGGTCCTAACATCGTGCTCCCAGTGCCTCCGAGGTTGGTTGCATGTGAGCCCAACCTGACCATTGATATCAATTGGCCGTTCACAAACCGCGGTGGACAATTCGGCAAGGACCGTACCATGTAATGGGCAAATACTTTTCTGCCATTACCCGACATTTTGATTGCCCCTCCAAACTTTGTCTAAGGTGATAGAGGACAAGGATAGGGATGGAGCCTCCCGGTTGAACCCTGGCGGCTGCTTCGTGAAGACCTTGGCGGTATCAAAGATTATGTGATTATGTGGAAAATGAAGAAATGTACGGCATTGCTGAAATATCCTTTGGGCCACTTTCAATGAATCCTTCGACTACGCCTCGGAGAATAGGGGACAAGATGAAATATTTGGTTTTTGTTTCTCGGTTCAAGGAACAGGTGAGTCCCCGCATTGCTGGAGGCGCTCGGACCTTTTGGAGGTTAGGTCTTGGAGAACTGCAGTGGTCGACGCGACCGACCCGGGAGAGGGTTGGCCCCATAAATTCCCGTCCTTCAGAGTACCGCCGGATCGGAAATTAAAATTTCCTTCGGCCCTGCGATTTTGGCTCCGCACAATTGAATCTGGTCGAAATTTCGCAACTCGTCCCGCACCCTACGCATTACGACCACCCGACGACCGATTCTCTCACTCACAAAGAAATCGACCAGTCGCCAAAATGGATAGCTCAAAGGCCCCCGTCAAGCTCGTCAAGGTCATTCGCGTCCTCGGCAGAACCGGTACGAAATGCGCCCATGCCCCGAAAAACTGGCCGGCGATCCGCCCACTCAGTGACCGCTAATTTTGAAAGCCGGGGCAATGCTGATATAATGTTTCGATTTCCAGGCTCGCGTGGTGGTGTCACCCAAGTCCGGGTCGAGTTCATGGACGACACAACTCGTACCATCATTCGTAACGTCAAAGGCCCAGGTATGTGCCTTTTCCCTTACACCAAGCAAGCAGACCAAGGCTAATATGTATGTTTTCTTTGCGTATCTAGTCCGCGAGAACGATATCCTCTGCCTACTCGAGTCTGAGCGTGAGGCCCGCCGTCTCAGGTAAAGAAAAGGGAACCGGGGTGTTGGAGAGGAGATGGTTGAAGGGAATATGAGAACTTGGCGGCAACTTTCAGCTTTTTTGCCCGTCTCACGTGGCCCGACCGTCGCTAAAAGCTGCGACGAACGAAGGATGGAAATATCAAGGATGGGCGTTCGGTAGAACGGTATCACGATTATTGCTCTCCACAAATTCTACATGGTGCTAGGGCAGCGCCGATTTTTACGGATATCACGGTGCTTACGGCTGGCTGGTTTTGGGTGATCATGGACGAAAGGAAATAATTTCAACATCTTGCATCTAGGTGGTCTTCCGCCTAGAAGCTGGGAGCTCTGGTGTCTCGCAGTTTTAATGTTCACCCCCTTTTAGTAATTCTTCGAACGGCAAATCGCGACATCTCAACACCGAGAGTATGGCGGGGTGGAAGGAATTCGGGAATTGATGACCGAGTTTATTTTCGGAGTGCTCTGGACAGGCCTGGGTCAATGCAGGCCACAGCAAGTCGCTCCACCAATCCTGTGATATTTTACGGGCGAATGTCGCCGATTTAAACGGGCATCACCGTGACCAGTTGGGGTCCGCTGTTACCTATCTCGAGTAAGGGGGGAAGAGCGTCGGTTAAAGTAGTGCGGGCGTGAAAACGTCGAAGAAACGTAAGTTCAGTGCCAGTTTTTGTCGTTCTTGTTGTTTCTTCGACGTGCACCCTTGATGAATGGCAACGAAGGGACCTAGGTTCCCCGTAAATGATAATTATGCAATATGTATAGATGCACCGACAAGTACGATCGTTCTTGCGTTTTGCGACTGGAAGCAATGTTGCCCCGGTCGAGGCAGAGGGCGGGACGACAGCCGCCGGCTTGGCAGACCCGGAACACACGATGAGTGACCGATGTGACCGATGAGTCGCTGGATGCTACCTCAATGCCCTCGCTCCAGATTGAGTGTCCCCGGGCCTTGGACCTGATTCCGCCAATGACACAACACCTCGTCATTGAAACGGCACGACTGCCCCCTTCTTTCGGGCGACAATACCCCAACATGCGGAACGTGCAGCTCGGTATAAATGCTTAGCCAGGGCGTGCACCCATCTCGGGGTTGTTAATATGTGTTATTCTAGCCGCTGATCTACAGCTCCCGGGTGCGATCCGTCGATCATCTATCTTTCTTGAGTTGGGTGCTCACAACATGGAGCTCCGAGCCCTTGTCCGTTTTCTCGGCTTGTCCGCCTGGGTTTTCTCGCCAGGCGCGTTTGCTGCTTTCGGCTACACCTCCTCGGGCGGCAACTATGTCATCGACGCCGGCTCTGCGAACCCGCTGGTGTTCTCGGTGAGCCAGTCAAGCTGCGACATCAACTCGATCAAGTTCCGCGGCACCGAGCTCCAGTACGGCAGCAAAGGCACGCACATCTCCTCCGGCTTGGGCTCGGCCACGGTCTCGATCAGCCAGATCAGCGGGTCGTCCCAGTACATCAAGGTGACTTGCGTGACCTCCACCCTGACGCACTACATGGTGGTCCGCCAAGGCGACAGCACCATCTACCTGGCGACCTACATCACAGCCCAGCCGTCGATTGGTGAGCTGCGCTTCATCGCCCGGCTGCTCCCGAACCAGCTGCCCAGCGAGTACCCTTACGGCGAGGTGTCGAATACGAACGGGGCCAGCTCGGCGGTCGAAGGCTCCGACGTTTTCGTCGTCAACGGCCAGACGCGGTCCAAGTTTTACTCGTCTACGAGATTCATCGATGAGGACTCGCATTGCGTGTACGGCGGGAGCGATGTGATCCATGTCTGTATTCTAACCCCCCAGCAAGAATCTTCGTCAGGGGGCCCCTTCTTCCGGGACATTGACTCCAACAACGCCGGCGACTCGACCAACCTGTACAACTACATGAACAGCGGCCATGTACAGACCGAGGCGTACCGTATGGGGCTCCATGGGCCGTACGCCATGCAATTCTCTCGCTCCGGTGTGCCGAAGCTCCAGGACATCGACGTCTCTTGGTTTGGCGAGGTGTCGGTCACGGGCTACGTCGCCGCGTCTGGCCGCGGCACCGTGAAGGGGACAGCTAGCGGCGTGGCGAGCGGGCAGCAGGGTGTGGTGCACTTCTACAACAATGCAGCACAGTACTGGGCCAAGACCTCGTCCGGCGGCTCTTTCACCTCACCGGCGATGAAGCCGGGCACGTACAACATGGTGCTGTACCAGACCGAGTTCAAGATTGGTACGGGCACCGTGACCGTCTCGGCCGGGCAGACGGCGACTCAGAACATCGCGGGCAACTTCAACACGTCGCGCAACACGCTTTTCCAGATCGGTGACTATGACGGCCAGCCCACCGGCTTTCGCAACGCCGACAAGTTCCTGCGCATGCACCCGAGCGACAGCCGCATGGCGAGCTGGGGCCCGTTGACTTACACCGTGGGCAGCTCGGCGCTGTCTGACTTCCCCATGGCGCTCTTCCAGTCGGTCAACAACCCGGTGACTATCAAGTTCAACCTGAACGCCGTGCCGAGCGGCACGGCTACACTGCGTATTGCTACGACGCTGAGCTTTGCTGGCAGCCGACCGCAGGCCAGCGTCAACGGTTGGTCCGGCCCCGCTCCGTCGGCGCCGACTAAGATTGACAGCCGCGGCGTCACGCGGGGTGCGTACCGCGGGTATGGCGATGTTTACACCGTCAGTATCCCTGCTGGGAAGTTGGTCTCCGGGAGCAACACCATCACGATCAGCTCCATCTCGGGAAGCAGCGGTGACACTTTCTTGAGTCCCAACTTTGTGAGTTCCTCCTCTATCCAAACCTTTCTCGAACTTGGTCCTGACTGGCGAATGCTATAAGATTTTCGATGCGGTCGAGCTCTACACGTAGTACACGGGTTATTTAGGGACTTTCAATTCTCGAGTGTACTTGTCGCTGAGTCCAGAGCTACTCGTCATTCCGTCAATACCAGTGCTTGGTCTAGTTGGGCGTTGCGAGGTTGGTACTTGGCACACTGCAATATCACATATTTGAGTTTAGCCCCAATGATATACCAATTCATACTTCCGGACCAGCTCCCTGTTTCTTTTGATTCCGTCCTGGAACCCTAATCAGGCTCTGCTTGGCTACCATCTGTGTTGCGTTTGATTTCCGAGAACGTATCGCTGGGGCCGGTGGGGCAGGGGGGGTTCGCGAGCACTTCATGTCGGTTGCTGGCTGAAAGCGAGGGGAAAGCCGAGTTGACCACCAAGACAAGACCACCACGGAATGTAGAGACGGCTCTTTTATAAATACCACCTGACTATCCAGGCCACCTTGACGGAGCACAGCGCCCAATAATGCTACCGAGGTACGACCCTTAGCCTGCAACTTGAAGTTGTGGCGAGCGGAAGAGACAAGCCACGGACGTTCTCCCCCACGAGATTAACATCGCAAGATACCACGCTGGGATCTCGAAAGCGGCATTTGGCGCCTCCTCGGACTATGGACCTGCCAAATTGAGGTAGTGCTTGGGGACCCCTCAAGCCAAGCTGCTTGATTGGGCAGTTGACCCCGATGCGACAATGCTTGGCTTATAATGCGGGAGCCAGCTTGGCGGTTTTCACAGTCCCTGACCTTATCCCCTTTGTCCTGTTAATGGCTTTGAGGTCCATGTTAGTAGAGAAACTGTGGGTGGGGAGAAGACTATAAAACTCTAGAGAGGTAACGAGTCTACCGTTACTCTCTCAAGTTTCACAGTGACAACGTTGAAGTCCCATAAACACAATCAACACTTGGTGGTTATTCTTTCAGGCACCGAGAACACAAAGGCTCCTTCAAGATGCGATTTTCGGTACACCTCGCCCTGCTGGCCAGTTCGGCGTCATCCGCTTTCGCTGCGCCGGCTGTTGAGTCCCAAGGCGTACATGCTGGCCTACGTTTGATTAAGACCTCGCCCGAGGACCCTGGGCGTTGGGTCACAGAGGAGCAAAAAATCACCGACTACAAATCCAAGGGGATCGGGTTCGTTGATATCACCGGCATTACCGACGCCAGTGTGCTTGCGGCCCTATCGGCTCCCGACGTGCCAGAGGAGAAGGCCGTTTCTGCGCAGGCTGCGGCGGCCTACCCGTCCACTGTCAGCCACAAGTCGGAAGCCGACCCTTTGCTGGCCAATGTCTCGACGACGAGCCCCAAGACCTGGCTGAAGACGCTCACCGAGTATGTCGATTTTGCACCACACCTCAATCATGTAAATTTTCTCACGCTAAATGACGGACACGCTAACGTTTTGAACGGGAAGTTTCTACAACCGGTACTACAGAAGTTCGTACGGCACCGAGGCGGGATCGTGGTTGTTTGACACCATCAAGAGTGTTGCCTCGGCCAACTCTGCTATCACTGTGTCCAAATTCACCCACTCCTTCAATCAGCCGTCCATCATCGCCACGATTCCGGGTAGCAAGCCTGATCTCGGTACGTACCTACCTTATTCTCTCTTTGCATTCCCGGGCTTTATTTTCAACACCAAGCAACACACCCAGACTTACCAAGGCCACTTCAGTAATTGTCTCGGCGCACTATGACTCCACCGGCGGCTCATCCTCCGCCCGCGGCCCCGGCGCCGACGACAACGGCTCGGGTGTGGTCGTCATCCTGGAAGCCCTCCGGGTCCTGGCCCAGGCCAAGTTTAAGCCCGGCGCCACGCTCGAGTTCCACTTCTACGCCGGCGAGGAGGGCGGCCTGCTCGGCTCGCAGGGTGTGTTTGCGAGCTACAAGTCGTCCGGGAAGAAGGTGCTTGCTGTCGTCAACCAGGACATGGCGGGTTATTCGCCCAGCGGCAAGATCTCGATTTACACCGACTACGTGGACTCGGCGCTGACGACGTATGTGCGGACCGTCGCGACAGCGTACGTGGGTGCAACGACGAGCGATGCGTGCGGGTATGGGTGCTCGGATCATGCATCGGCGAGGTCTAACGGCTTCCGTACGTTTCCTTTTCCTTACTTTTTTGTGCCTTTGTTGTTTTCCCGTCCTCCTTTCTTCTTTTGTTTTTTCAAAAATGAGTGACTGACGATCCGACTCCGTTTAGCTGCGGCATATGTGTGTGATGAGACGATGGCTGATTCCACCCCATACATCCACTCTCCCAATGATGTGAGTTCCTCGCTTTGGTTGATGTTGAATGCCGAAGTATAAGTTGCTGACTCTCACATTAGTCGTACGCCACAATCATGTGGGATGCCGTGTTGAGGCACTCCAAATTTACGCTCGCTTTTCTGGTCGAGGCTTCGTACCTCTAGAAAACTAAGCAGCGAAGGAAGTTGCCGGTCGCTGTGACTCCAGCGAAAATGGATAGGGATGTGGACTGTAAATACTGTGCCAAGGGCACACCACATATTGTATATAGACACCAATGTACATACCGTCTTGCCAGCCCTTGTTGCGCTGTGTGTATTGGCTTAAATCTGAACGTGTATTCTTTCTCCAAATACGGGGGGACTAGTCTTGCTCCCGGTCAGATTCCTCCACTCTCCTATCCGGGATCAAGCTTTCTGTCGAGTCCTCGAGACTCCCATCAATGCTCCTCTCGAAGGGTGGAGCAGGGTGCCCCCTAAACAAGGCATCCATATCTTCCAGAGCCCGGCCCTTGGTTTCAGGGTAAAAGAAATATACAAGCGGTACACTAAGCAGGTTGATACCCATAAAATTGAAGTACACGACAGAGCCGAGAGAACGGATACCGATTGGCCATATTTGGGCCACGATGATGGCCGCTACGGCACCGCACGAGGCAGCTAGACTCAAACCGACAGCCCTGACAGCAGTGGGGAAGATCTAATAGTTCATAGTTCGCAGTTGGTCAGCGATAGCTCTCGTGAGTAAGGAGGTTGCAGAGAAGGATGGACGGGTCACAGTAATTACCTCAGAGCCGTAGACCCAGGCGGCCGGGCCAAACCCCATGCTGTAACCCAGTGCATAGACGAATATAAAGACGACGCAGGTGAAGTCAGCCGCTCTGTTCACGTTGCCGGGGTACACCAGAGGCAACACCCCGTTGATCTAGAAAAGAGAGAACCTCAGCAACATGATCATCCACGCCCAAATGTAATCAACAGGCACTACGTACCAACAGCGCAAGTGACATGACCAGCGCTCCGGCAATCAACGTAAACCGCCGTCCAACCCGGTCAATCACCAGCATTTCGATGACTGTACACCCTGTCTTGAGGGTGCTTTCGATGCCGCCCGCTAGCAACGACACGCGATGCGTAAACCCCAGCGCCCGGAACAAAGCAGGGAGGTAGTACTTCATCGCCGTCGCGCCGCACATGTGTGCCATGAACTGCAGAAGGGAAGCCCGCCACATGCGCGCAAAGAGGGCACGATCCGAGAAGAGCGAGACCCAGGTCAGCCCGGAGATGCGGAACTCGGCGACGGCGGTCTCGATGTCGGATAGCTCGGCTTGGATCTCATGGGTGATGTAGTAGCCTTCGCGGTAGAAGTGAAGCGTGGAAAGGGCGTAGCTGGTTTTGCCGTGTTCGACGAGCCAACGAGGTCTGTGGGGGGGTCAGGGGCGAGTCAGTGCCGCATTTACCTCTTGAGCTACTGTAAAGAGAGAAAGAAGATGGGGGAGGGGTCGGAAGCTGTTCTGTGCTGTTTATACACGTACGATTCATGCATAAACGGGATCGCGATCATGAAGATCAGAGCCGGGATGAAGGATGCCCCCAGAGAATACCGCCAACCTATGGCCAGTCCCCGCTCATCGTCCCAAAAGGTGATGCCATAACCTACCCTGCTCCTGTCAGTATCGACTTTGATCGAAGAGTCTCGGCAATGATTGATATTGATTAGGCACTCACCAGAAACCCGAGGCCAGCCCGGCTACAAACCCGACATGGTTCATGACCACATACCTGCCACGCTGTTTCGGCGGTGCTATCTCACTGCACCCCCATAATCATCCCATTAGCCTCGACATTACCACAACCCTTACTCAAGAGTTGAAACTCACCTCTGATAAAGCGGCACCCCCGCCGAAACCACCGCCGTCCCAGCCCCCGAGACAATCCTGCCCAGCAACACCATCGCCAGCGCATTCTTCCCACTCGCGCCTGTCTGGAGCGCCTGGCCGACAGAAATCACCGCCATGCCGGCCAGAGCCGCCCACCGACGGCCGAGGACATCGGCGGCGCGGTGAGCGAAGAAGACGTACCCGAGCCAGGAGCCGGCATAGTAGATGCCTGTGATGAGGCCGTTGTACTGGTACGGCTGGTATCCCTGTTCGTGCAGTGGGTGTTGGTGAGAGGGTTTTTGGTAGAGGAATTGGGGGGTAGTAGTGTGGCCATTGATTGTGGATTGGAAACCGGGGTGGACGAGGACGGAGGCGAGCACGCCGATGTTGTAGCTGGGTGAGTGTTAGTTTCTTTGGGAATGAGTTGGGGATGCGGCGAATGTGACACACCCCCAGACAAATGAGCCGAGAGCGAGGATCAAACAAAAGTAGTGGAGGCGCCAGTAAGCCTTGGAGAAGGCCGGCTGTGCCATGGTATGTACGAGGGTGCTTCGTGTTGCGAAGTCCTCTGCTATTATTGTCACATGAGTGAGTCTTTAGGGTTGGGGAGTTATTGACAGCTTGATAATTGAGCCGAGTCTTGCTGGTAAAGATAAAAAACAAAAATTGATTGGTTCGGGCGTTTTTCCCTTTCGTTACAACCCCCCGCGTTTATGACGAGCTGGGATCTTGGACGGTGGCACTTGAATTGCCGATGATTGGGGTGCATGCAGGGGCAGCCTGAAGGGAGGGTGGGATTTTGGGTCATTCTCAAGGATTCTCCAATTTCAATCTCGAAGTCGAGCGGCACTGAACTGGATTATATTCAAAATTGCCGGTAGGTTGAAAATTTGCTTAGACCTCGGTGTACCAAGCTGGGAGATAATTGTTGCGACTAGGCTTTGGGTGGCGATTATGGAGAATGTATCCAAGCTACGCTTCATATGCATGATTCAAATCGGGCTCTGATCATAACCGCCGCACTCATCAAGTGGAAGTAGGCCGCCGCAATGCTAGATGATGTATTAGACATTTGAGAGTTCAACTTTGGATACTTGCTTCGTATTGAAAACTTGAGAGCATCTATAAGGCGGAGAGCCGGCGTATCCTCATTCCCCGTAGGGTATTCACTCCCCCCTTGAAAGGAGTCTTGACACATTCGACCAACTAGCGAATGGTGTAATTCAAAGCCCCTCCACAATCGTGGCAAAATCCGCGTTCTTCCCAACAGACAAGTCGTAGACTGGGTGGCCGAGACTGTCGTGGATGGCAAAAGTCGACTCGGGGTCGCTGGGGGTGTCCACCGGGGTGTCAGAGTAGGCGAACGCGAAGGTGGTCTGGGCCGACGGGTCGAGCTCGGTGTAGCCGGAGCTTTCGTCACCCCAGCGTGAGCAGCCGGTGCACTTGGCCGTCACCTGCCAGTGTGTCTCGTTGGCGTGCGTTCCAGTTGTGACCACCGTGTGCACGGCATCCGGGTTGTCGGCCGGGCTGAAGTAGCCGCTGGAGGAAGGTGTTAGTGAAAAGGATACCATGAAATGCAGAGGATCTCGGCTTGAGAAAAACATACAAGGCAATCCGCGAGGAGAGGACGACGTTGGCACTGTCCGCCCAGGCCACAGCCAAGGGGTCGTAGGTCATCTGGCCACCCCAGGCCCAGCCGACCCAGCCAATATCGGTGGGGGCCACAATCTGGAGGACGGTGTCGAACACTTTGTCGTCAGGAATCGTGTCGGGAATGGCGACACGGAAAGTGACCCCGCGGTCGCTAGTGTAGGAGGCAAAGGTCAGGCCAGTCTCGGCATCTTGATACACCGAGGAGTCGGGGTCGAGCTGCCGGGAAGCTGGTGGTCTTGTTAACTTCTCGAGGTGATCCGCAGTCTGGGGCTTGGAGGTATGTATAACGTACCGAGGCCCAGCAGGGCGGCAGCGCGCGCTACGATTTGAGGGAGTTGCATCTTGGATTTGATGGATTACGAGAACCGCAGACAACTTTGAGATCAAGGTATATGCGGTAGAGTGACAGAACCGCGGGCTCGCCACGGGAGGGACGACATGGGAATGTGTTCTTTTATAGGGCTGCTGGTCGGGGAATTCTTTGATTAATTAACCAAGGTCCGGCCCACTGTAGTGTACACTCATACACACACCCATGGACACGCACATCGACACATTACTCCGGAAATGGCGAATAGGACGCATCCAATATGGAGAAGCATTGGGGCCACGACCCAAGACGGAGCCAGTCCGTCCCCTCAGGGGTTGGAATTCCGGGGCGAAGGAGTTGCCAGGGAATCGGTGATATGAAGGAAGCGGCTCTACATAGTAGGGCCGGGAAGGAGGCCGGGTTTTGCGGCGATCTCGAGACTGGAAGCCGAGACGCAGGGCATCCGCCGTGACGCCAAGGTCCGCGACGATGTGGTCATCGGGATTTGCCCGTTCGTGGTTGGCCGTTCGGATTGTTGACATGGCCGCCTTGATGCGCTACCAACATCGCCCCAGCTTTGTTCGACAGCCGGATGGCAGGCTCGTCGCTCCCGAAGGGACCATCATTCCTAGAGAGAAGCACGGAGACGCATGGAATGGGCTGGAGAAGCTCTGTTCTAGGGCTATGATTGGAAGGGATAAAGCAAGGTGGTTTGGAAAATTAGATGAACGGTGTTAGATAGATGCGGGGCGGCCATCCGATATCAAGCGGGTCGGAGCGAACGGAAATGGATTAATGGACGGATTCTGGTTGGCGATCAGCGCAGCGACGCAAAGCTCCTGCAGTGCTGTCAGCGTTGCGAGACTCGGCCAGAGCAGGAGAGCAGCTCTGAGCCTTCCTCACCTTCCTGCACAGAGCTGTCCGTTTAGCTTTAGCCTAAAAACTTGGAACGGGCGACCAGCGAAGACCAGTTGACCAGATCACCAGCGGAAGCTTGGCAGGGGACGGAGTCCAAGTTCTTGGCGCCCGCAGGGCGGCTTGGGGGGGCATCTGCGCGATCTGAAAACGCAGTTCGCCTTGCCTCGCTGAGCTGTGGGCGGATGACGCATGCCCTGGGTCGGCATTCATTGAGGGTCGGATTCGTATGCCTAGAGGATCAGGGTTCATACTGCGGACTAGTAATATGAGGCCCGTCCCAGGGTATTACGGTGTCTTCGACAAACGGGGGAACCGACTGTAGAGTGTTTGCTTTACACGCACAGGGGAATCCTACGCTGAAGATACCCAGAGACCCTAAGGTTGACCACAGGAAATGGCGTGGCATGATCTGGGACCGTTGACGCCGTTCTGGAGACGCTGGCTTTCAGGTCAGCCGTTGGAGAATCCATTGATTCCACTCGACACAGCGTCGCGCTTGACGTGCTTATCTCCTTTGAGCTGATCATTAACAGGGCTCTGGGGAGTTCGGACCGGTATTTTGAGAGATTCCCGCATGGTGGAGTCCTGGTCCCTCCCCCTCGGTCGAAGTCGGTCCGTCAGCAAAACCTGGTAGGATCTTCAAGAGGCATCGAAGCGAGCGATGGGAAACTGAAACGATCGGTTACGAGGAAACGAGATCCGTCTTGAAGACGAAGGATATGCGCGCAGTTCGGGCCGTCTTGACTTCGGTTGATGGTTCACGATGCCTTTCAATGTGGAGGCTCGTAGTTTCCTCTGAAGCTGTGATGAACTTTGGTTCCAGCTGCGGTTGCCAGAGGTGCCGGCACGGAATGAACGCCAAAACAACACCAATTGGGACGAGCCCCACATTACCCCCAAAACCCCCCACGCGGATGCAAGGGCACAGACCTGGAGACGAGCCAAGCCTTCTGGAACTCGCCGATCTTCCAGCGCCTTTTCGGCTTTTCGTTTGGTCGAGCTTACCGTACCTATCCACATGCATTGGGAATCGCACACTCAATTTGTGGTTCAGACAACAAAAAGGTATACCCACCCAACAGAAGGCAATGGTTTTAAGCCATAGTCTTGGTTCTTTGCCCTCTACCTCTAGGAGTATTCTTGGTAAACTATGCAAGGTAAGTTATCGTTCCTTTTCTACCATGCCGCAAGGCCGTACGATATGGCAGATTGCGTGCTTGTGCTCCGGGACGCCAAAGGTACCCCGCTTCGATTTGTTACCCCGCCAAAAAAGATCTAATTCCGCCGACGCCGGCGAGACTGCTTGTGATACTGCACGTCGTGAATCCCAAGTCTTTCTTTTCGTTCACCTCTTTGTTTTCTGCCAACCTCGCTCCATTTCGCCAATAGAAACAATCGCCTCTACCTCATCGTCCGTAACGAGCCCCGAAGTGTCCAAACCCACAACTTTGGACATCACCGCACCATGGCCGACCCAACAACCGACGCCGGAACGGCCGGCTCGCTCCCACGCCCCCCGCTACACACCGTCTTGCCTCCACTTGTCTTTGGCACAGCAACCTTCAACACTCAATACGTAGCCGACCCGCATTCTATGCCCTATCGTGACATCGTCGCCCGTGCCCTCGCCCTCGGTGTCAACGCGTTCGACACCAGCCCCTACTACGGCCCATCCGAAATCCTCCTGGGTACCGCCCTTGACGCCCTCGTCCGCCCACCCCCCCCCGCCGTGCCTATCCCACGTTCGAGCTTTTTCCTCGTTACCAAGGCCGGCCGTATTGGTATCACGGAGTTTGACTATTCGCCCGCGTGGGTGCGGTATTCCGTCCTGCGCAGCCTGCGCCGTCTGCACACATCATACTTAGACTTGGTCTATCTGCACGATGTCGAGTTTGTGACGCCCACTGAGGTGGTCGCCGCAGTGCGCGAGCTGCGCCGGCTCAGAGACGAGGAGGATGGGATTGTGCGCTATGTTGGAATCAGCGGGTTCCCCGTGGACGTGCTTTGTCAGTTGGCCGAGTTGGTGCTGGCCGAGACGGGGGAACCGGTGGATGCGGTGATGAGTTATGGTCATTTCACTGTGCAGAACCGGGTTCTCGGGCTACCGTGGGCCGAGGCCGCTCCCGGGAGTGACGAGACACTCCAGAGGGCGGATTCCGCCGGTACCGACACCACAGCTGCGCCCTTAGCGCGCTTCAAAGCGGCTGGCGTAGACGTTGTGCTCAACGCCAGCATGCTCGGCATGGGTCTGCTCACCAGCGAGGGCATCCCCACCGACGATGAACCCACACCTTCCAACTCCGGGCCCGACAGCCGACCCAGTTCACCGCTCTCGTCCTGGCACCCGTCACCGCCCGAGCTGCGCGTGACCTGCCGCCGTCTCGCCGACATCGCCGCGACCGCCGGCGAGCGTCTCGAGTCCGTTTCCATGCGTTGGTCCATGGCCGAGTGGGCGCGAATTGCGGCCGCTGCGGGCTTGGGCGTAGACTACGTGACGCCCGGTGCGGGGCCCGGGAGGCTGGGCGTGACGGTGTGCGGGGTGAAAACGATTGGCGAGCTGGAGGATACTGTGGCCGAGTGGCGTGGGGTACTGGCTACATTAGGTCAGCAGTTGGCTGGCGGCCAAGTTAGTGTGGCGGAAGAGAAGGAGGAGCCGTATGGCGCGGCGCGTCAGGAAAAGATATTGAATCTGGTGCGCAATGAGTTGTGGCCTGAGCTGCGATCCTGGCTGGATTATGCCTGGGACAGCCCAGGGCCTGGGTTTGTGAATACTAAGGCAGAGGAGGATCGTGGGGTTGTCCCCGACGATGGAATCATCGCCGAGTATGAGTTGGCGAAGAACAGCATACGAGCAGATCGGCCTGCTAGGTAACAAGCGTTGCAAGTTGTAAGTGACTGGGTGAGTTTTGAGGGTGGGCCACATGGCGAGTCTAAATATGCGTCATACACACAGCCCAACGTTGGATACACTGGTGGCGTAGCGAATAACGCTACGTAGAATCCTAGATATGATAAAAACAAATAAAAATGAACTAGACCCCCTGCGCCGAATGCGCCGGACTCCGATTCCTTCTCCTAATGCCGTTCTTGCAGTCGTGGCTTTCTTTCCCCGCCCCCCCTCCATTCTCGTTTTCGCGGTTGTCTCGCGATACCCATCTCCATACCGACTGACCAACCCGTACGTAAAAGTAAACAAGGAAAATGAAGTGAACTAGACATTTAAAAGGGGGGAGGATACGAGGGGGGAAGTCAAGAGTAATAATGGAAGGCTGTGAGGTTGGGAAGAGGTGGAGTAAAACTGTATAAAGATGGATAAGTAGAGCGAACTCCTCTACGCCTATGCCCCCGCAGCAGCTGCAGTAGTGACACCCTCTCGTAGGTTGCTAACATCACCACGTACGCCCATCTTCGTCGCCACGGTAATAGACCGGCCCCCACGGCCGTGGATGGTCCATCGTCTGAAAATTATCAAAAGCGAAACCACGGATCGTGGAGCGATTGCCTGGTTCGCCGACAACCGGGGCCTCTAGTGTGCAAAGACACTTTAGTCCGCGGTGCTGCCCAGCCGCTTCGACTCGTCGTCTCCATCAGCTGTAGTAGGTGTATCGGGGGTAACGGTAACGGTAGGTGGTGACAACGAGTCCGACGCAGCTGTGGTGGCTTGTTTGGGTTCGGCATCCTCAGTGATAGATTCTTCGGCACCCACTTCTGTGGCACTGTTCGGCGCTGTTTCCACAGGGACAGGTGGAGGGTCTGAAGCTGCTTCTGTCTTCCCTTCTTCATCGGTGGACGTTGTGGGCTTAGCTAACTCTCCCTCGCCGGTCACGATGTTTTCCTGGGATTCCGTCTTGGTAAGCTCGCGGGCTCTCTTCTCGGCTTCAATAAGGCTAAGGCGTCTGCCGGCGTTTTCCCCTTCCAGGCTGACACCAACGACCTCCGCTAGGCTCCGAAAGTTGAACATTGGCTCCGTGCTGGAGCTGGGATCCCGATCCCGATCTTGGTCATCCTCGCTGGCCCCGGACCGGCTACCTAAGCTGAGGCCGCTGCTGCGGGGGTCTTGTAAATGTGAGGGCGAGCTGTAACTCCCAGGCTGGCTATCGAGAATTGACGAAGAGACCGAGGAGGCGTTGCTCATCTGTCGAAGGTGCGACGGGCCGGCGGGTAGTTGTGGGATGGGTCGCGGGGCGGGGATAGCCTGGCTGGAAGAGCTGGAGGGTGTACCCTCCGGTTGTGTGGAACCAGCGCGGTCGACGCCCTTCCCTTTGTCCTTGGTCGCGTCGGAAGAGGCCTCGCCCGTAGCAATAGCACTAGCAACGCTGGCTTCGATTCGGAGGTTACTGGCCGCACTATTGCCGCGTTTCCTCCCAAACCCCAAACCAGGCAAGCTAAGCGTGCTCCCGCTCACCGAGCTCTGGCCGCTGCGACTGGCGGCACCCTCGTAAGGCCCGCCGTGCTTTGCAGCCACCTTCGCCGCTTTGCGATCCTCCTTCTCCTTCTTCTTCGCCTCCTTGCGTTCTTCTTTCTCAGCCTTCCGCTTACGCTCCTCTTCGGCGGCCAAGGATAGGCGGACCGCTTCGGCAAGCATCATCTCCTCGAGGTCCTCAAGGCGGTCACGGCGATTTCCACCACCCCCGCCAAACCGGGCCCAGCCCGCCCCACCCCGAGAGCTTTGTTCGGGGCCACTCTGCGATGGGGTTCCGGATCCGCTATCTCCGTTCTCACCATCACCGGGGTTCGCCCCACTAGGCGGCGCACCTGCAGAACTTGAACTGTTCCCGTTCCTACGACTGAACCGGCTGCGAAACGCCCGGTTTTCGGAACCTCCCATGAGGAAAGCGGCGGTGTGGAGTGCCGTGGCCGCGGCAGCCCGCCTTGCCAGGTGAGCACGCGCTGACTGCAGCTTAGTGGCCCATTCCGGCCGGATCCGGTCTGTCAGAACGACACTAGGGCTGTTGGCTGAGACGGATTGGTTCCGTCGGCGACCCGTCGTGATACCGGGAGACCCACTTCCTGGAGATAGGGTGGATGAATTCAAAGAGCTACTTGAGGACATAGCGGCGCTCGGGGCCCCCAAGGCCGCTGGAGAAATGCCGTAAATCAAGCCTCGTCGGAAACACGGCGGTTCGTAGGTGACACCGAAATCGGGCTGGGTGCAATATGGGCAGCAAGCGGGCTCGGAAACGAGAAGGCCCGCGGCCTCCTCAGGGTTCTGATTGGGGTCATTCTCGTTGTGTCCTTCAGGGAAATGAGGATCCGGCCGTTTGATCTGGACAAAGCATTCGCTACAGATCGGTTGGTCGCAGCATCGAGTATGATTCAGGAATGGTGGGTACGTCAAGAAACAGATCGGACATTCGGTGGCGTCTTTGTACAAGAAGACTTCAAGGGGCTGTCCGTTTACGAAGGGGTCGTGGGGTAGGTTAATCTCGCGGGGTATGATCTCAGTAGTAGACCCATTCCGGGAGCTTCCACTGCCTAGCACTGCGGCAAGAGCCTTCCCGCGAGGCTTAAGAGGAGAGTTTGCTCGTGGAGCTTGACTGGTAACCGGCGAAGACAGGGCTGAGGCGGGATTGGAAGCCCCGGCATCGGAGGCGGTAGAGAGTGTCCGATCACCGATTGGTATTGTGAGGTTGTCGATATTGGGGGTGGACTCCGGGGTTGACTTCACTGGGAGGGGTTGCGGGACGAGGCCCTCGGGGGGAGTTTCACCTGCTAAGGGAACGGACAGCCCCCTTACAGCAGCGATAATTTGTGGCTCGGTCCATTGATCGTCGAAGTCATTGAGGCCCCGCCAGAAAGGGGCAATTTTGCGCTCGAGCTGAAGTGAAATACATCATCAGCACAGTCCTAGTCAGGTTGGGGAAACTCGTGCTCGCTTACCTGGAGCTGCCGGACGATCAACTTGTTAAAGTCCTCTGGGCTCGTATAGGTTCCCATTGTGACCAAATACCCACCATCGACGTGCTCTTCCTTCATGCTCCGCTCCCTTTCGGCGATACGAGCGACACGTTCCCTCTCTAACCGACGTGCCTCCCGCTCCTGTTTCGTCTCGCGACGTTCGTATGGCGGCTCTGCATGAGAGTTCGAACCCCCACTCGAACCAAGACCTATGATGCCCCCAATATCGCCTCGACTAACTCGATTCCTCCGACTTGATCTGCTCTCAGATTGCAGAGTGTTTGACTCGTGCGCGGCGCCGCTAGCATGTGGAGTGCGATTGACGCTGTCGCCGCCCCGCGATTCCTTTGTGTTTGAATTTCCCATCGCTACGGTATCGATCGTCTGGCTCCAATAATTCGGGTCGTCACTGTAATCGGGGTGAATCCTGAGCTCCCGTGGCCACTGTTATCGCCGTCGTTACCGTCGCTGTCGTCGTTGTCGCCGTGGTCGCCGCGGCCGTTGATCGATGGTGGTTGGCAAGATGAGGCCGGTGAATTTCCGGGGTCCTGTATATGGGAACGGTGGAGACGCGACCGATCGGCCGCCTACCCGAAACCTCGGGGGAGTTTTTTTTGGTGACGTCGATAGGTCAGGTTGGGTTGTCGGGTATATCAGCGTCGGACCTGAACAGGCTTTACAAGCAATTGGAACGAGGTGGGCAATCGGTCAGCTACGCAGGCGATAATAGGTCGGAAACTGGAGCTCGGCGATCCCCTCATCTGCTTGTGATCCTTAGAGAACCCTGTCACGCCTTACGATGGTGCCAGTAGCTATCTCCTTTGAGGCAGGTTGTCGGAGAATCGCGTTATAGGTTGTTGTGGTATGTGGAGCGTAGCGGTTGTGCTGCCCGGGCGTGGTCGGATGTGACGGGAGTTGGCAACTGGCGCAGCGGGATTCAGCGGGGTTTGGCAATCTAGCACATGGATGGTTACGCCACGCACGAGCAGCAGCAAATCCAACAAGTCTAGCCGAAACCTGCTCCTGGTGGCCACTTGCAGGGTAGAAGGAGGCAATGAAGGAAGGTTCTCCTGTTGGATGAAAACTTCGTCGGGGGGCCTCAAAGCTAGTGTAAAAAAGGAACCGATCAGAATGAAGCTCTCATGTCCGGACAACCCTCCGTTACTTGGTGTTGGTTCGAAGTCTGTCGCTCGAATGCCCGCTCGAGGCTTGCAGCTCGTCACCGAGCGGAGTGGCCGCCAACCAGGTTCAGCCGGGCCCTGTCAAATCGCTAAGGCGGGGCTGCATCGGCCCAGCCCGACTCGATAAAGAGATAAACTAGCGCAGACCCACCTTTGCGAGTGCCGGTCCAATGAACACCTGAGGCTCCCGGAGCGTTGTTTCCTGCAAACAACATCACCCAAACTGCAAACAATAGCATCATACAAATAGCCAACATCTCTGCAGCTTTCCTCATTCGGTCATTTCGATATTTTTGAGTGTCATCGGTTACAACTGAAGAGGGCAGCTCCAGTACCCACCGACCCTCCCACAGGAGATTCTTCCGACCTCCCCGTTTCTCGGGAAGGCGTGGTGAAGTTTCCCCATTTTTCTTGTTTTCTTATTCCCGTCATTCTACCCAGCCCCCACGCCCCCCTTCCCTGAACCTCCCTCGCCCCCTCACTTTCTCGTTTGTTTAGAACGTCCTGTGATAAAAAGGAAGCCACGCAGCAAGGTGAGGAATTTGGCATCAAAGCGGCTGCCATGCTCATTCTAAACCCGGGATACCATGGGGGTTTCCGGATTCACCTCGGTGGTCTGGATAAAATCAGGTGGGTTGAAACCTAGAAAACTCGAGTCAGGAACCGGCCCGTCTGGAAATAGCAGGGGAGCGCGATCCATAGTGGATAACAACACTACTATGTAAGCATCCCACAGGGAGAAGCTCCGTCCGATGTAATTCTTAGTCGTAACATGCATTTTGTGTCAATGCACAGAGTTCGCCGAAACTCTTGCAGGCTCGCCCGCGGAAGAACGCTCGCACAAGCCCGAGCCTTGATGCTGTTATGTTACTGCAAAAGGAGGTTGATGGAGGCTCGAAGATCGCCAGGAAAATTCTCTGAGGCCCGGTCATCGCCACTTCCGATCGCAAATCCTGAAAAGAACCCACGAGGCCCCTGTTATGTTGCCTCCCTGGCCCTGGAAAAGAAAAAAAAAAGTGAAGCGCAGGTTGGGATACATAACAACGACGTCGTAAGCTCCACTTCTTCCCGCAGAAGTGATGCCGCATCCAAGGAACATCTGAGCGTCTGCATGACCATGCTCTGAAAGGGATAACGAAGCGTTCAAAGGACTTTTTGAATGGGGTTCGATCTTCTTGATTTCGGTCGAGTGTTGATCTGACTTCGGCCCGTAAGCGGATGAGGGTATGTTTCTCAATCCTTGTCTTTTCTTCAATCTCTCTCTGTACCGCGGGGAGTGCCTCCCAACTTGTAACGAACCTGGATAGCATGGACGAAACCCCTGGCCTAAGGTGGGTAACTGTTCCCCGGCCGTCCACAGCAAGCTTTAGAAAAGTTCCGGATCGAGATTTGAGGCATATATAACACTCCACCCCCGACTGTCTCCAGGGGGGTGGTCTGTTCCCCAGTCCCCCCATACTTTAATATCTTCCCCAGATCCGGGCAGCCCCCCAACCCCTCCCTTCTCCAGACCTCATAGTTGAGTGTGTCTGTTGTCGCCTTCCCACCCTCCCGTCTCCCCCCTCACGCCTTCATCTTCATCGGACTATCAACATGGGGGTTTCACATGACGTGCAGCCGACTGCTGCGGACGCTACTGCGAGACAAACAGACGACATCTCTCCCACCGACCCCTCCAGCAGCACTCTCGAGGATGGCACGGCAGCCCCGGCTCCTGGCCGCCGCATGCGGTTTCCCGCTGATGGCCTTGAAGACATGCGGGTCATCGAGAAGACGGGGACCTACGACAACGTCGAGCTCACGGAAGAGGACTGCTTCGAGGAGCTTGGATACCAGTTCCCTAGTTGGAAGAAGTGGTGGATTCTTTCTGTCATCTTCATTGTCCAGGTGTCCATGAACTTCAACACCAGTCTGTACTCCAACGCTCTCACTGGTATATCGGAGGAGTTTGGTGTCAGCATGCAGGCCGCTCGCGTTGGCGCGGCCATCTTCCTGATCACCTATGCCTTTGGTTGCGAACTCTGGGCGCCATGGAGCGAGGAAGTGGGCCGCAAGCCCATCCTGCAGGCCAGTTTGTTCCTGGTCAACATCTGGCAGATTCCCGTGGCGCTTGCGCCTAACTATGCTACCGTTTTAGTTGGCCGTGCACTGGGTGGTCTTTCGTCTGCTGGTGGCTCGGTTACCCTGGGCATGATTGCCGACATCTTCGAAACCGACAAACAGCAGTACGCCGTGGCTTATATCGTCTTCTCGTCCGTGGGAGGCTCTGTTCTCGGCCCCGTGGTTGGCGGGTTTGTTGAGCAATACTGCGCCTGGCGATGGAACATCTGGATTCAGCTCATTTTCGGCGTTGTCGTCCAGGCCCTTCACCTGTTCACTGTCCCGGAGACTAGGACTACGGTCATGATGGACAAGATCGCCAAGAGGCGCCGTAAGAGTGGAGAGCAGCCGAACGTTTACGGCCCCAACGAGCTCGTTCCGTACGCCGAGCGGTTCTCCGCCCGGGAGATCCTCCTCACCTGGGTTCGGCCGTTCAAGATGTACCTGACGGAACCCATCGTTCTCACCCTATCACTCCTGAGTGGATTTAGCGATGCCCTCATCTTCATGTTTATCCAATCTTTCGCCCTGGTCTACAAGCAATGGGGGTTCAACACATACGAGCTCGGTTTGTCTTTCATTCCGATCCTGGTGGGATACGTCATCGCTTGGCTCTCGTTTATCCCCGTCATCAAGCGCAATATCCGCGAGCGCAAGGAGAAGCCGGACGACGAAACGGCTCAGTACGAGTCTCGTTTATGGTGGCTGTTGTACACTGCCCCTTGCCTGCCTATCGGTCTCATCATCTTTGCTTGGACCTCGACTGGACCTCCGATTCACTGGATCGGCTCGGCCGTCGCGGCTGCCATTGTCGGAATCGCCAACTACAGCATCTACATGGCCACAATTGACTACATGATTTGCGCCTACGGCCCTTACTCTGCTTCCGCCACGGGTGGTAATGGGTGGTCTCGAGATTTCCTCGCTGGTGTCCTCACCCTCCCTGCTACCCCCTTTTTCAAAAGTAAGTTTACGAGTTGCACTTGCATCACCGGGCATAATTTGGGGGCTAACCAAAAAAACAATGTAGATATCGGCGGCAAGAATCACCTCGCCTATGCGTCTACCATTCTCTTCTGCATCTCGTTCGTCTTGGTCATCGCCGTCTACATCATCTACTTTTGGGGCCCGGCACTACGCAAGCGGTCTCCCTTCGCCCAACAGCTGTCTGACGCCCGTGCCGAGGGTGTACCGGAGTCCCGCGTCAAAAACGACGTGGAAACTGGCGGTGCTACCGGAGGCGCTCTCCGGCGCATGCCAACTAGTGCGCGCGCCAACTCGTTTGTGCGTTCGCAGCAAAACATCAGGGTCCGCCAGGCGCTCGGCAGTCGGCAGAACAGTTACGTGGGGGCTAGGACACCGACCCATTCTCGATCAGGCAGCTACTCGGGCGCCAGGACTCCGGTTTCTCGCCCGGGTAGCCCTGCTGGCACTAGGACCCCTATTTCACGGCCTGGCAGCTCGTCAGGGGCGAAGACGCCACAGGGCGAGAGCGTTTCTGTGTAATGAGCCTTATCGACATGTCTTAAAATCTGGATACCTTTAGATGGGATAAAAATGGGTGACTTCATAGACTGGGTAGACCCTCGATAGATGTTAATAGCGAATTTTGTGACGTATTTGTGCCGAAAGGTCGGCGCTTTTTCAACATGATACCTCGACCTGGTGATAATTGGCCGCCACGACGGTACAGCTTCACTGTCTTTCGTTCTGCAGGGAATAACTATACAGGGGGTTGAGAGTAGTAAGTTAGTGTGACGAGCGGATAAGATGTCGTTGATCGGGAGGGCGTGGCTCGGGCCAATCTTGGCGAACCGGTCGGTTGGCAGGCCGGACACATTCGGGGAGTGGTGGTGGTGGGGATCGGCATCCGAACTGCAAGCCGGGGCTTCCGGCTTGGCAAACGGCGGAGGACGGAGAACATTGGCCAGAGGGTGAACGGGAGACCGATTGCGGTGTTTCCCGTTCGGTCGATCGTCCGCTTGCCTTTCAAAGAACCCCGACCAAAAATTTCGCCCGTGGGAGGGCTCGGGAGTTGCGGGCTGTTTGAGGAGGCAAAGGGCATTGTCGCCCAACATGTCAGACTTTCAAGATCTTTGTGCGACGCCTTGGAGATCAACGCATCATCTCGTGGTGGTTTCGCGAGCTTGACCCTGACGCGAGCGGCTCGAGCCTTAATGACTATTAAAACAAATTGACGACCATGTCTACAATCATTGAACAATCGTGTCTAATTTGGTCGATTTGAGCATTTGTGAGGACACCATTCATAACATTAATGTCATGTATGAGCGGCAAAAACAAGCTGATCGAGACCAAGTAGCCGTGGGCAGGCGTATTTCAATTCATCATTCTGGACAAGTTGAACCCCCGTCTCACTTCGCGCTTCTACTGTCCAAGCCGTCAAGAAGAATGAGGGAATTGCTCCCGCGGGGCCTGCGACTTCGTGGGATCGGGGTGAGATTTCCGTATTCGTATCCGGATCACCCAGGAAAAACTTTAAAAGTTCGAAAAGCCCACCTACCCCAATTCTTTCTTGCCGTCGAGGTTCACAAGGAGAGGGGACGGTGGTGAGATTGTTGAGGGGACGGATGGATTAATGGGTAGGACGCTACCCAAGCGGCAACGATTTTCGTTCTGTCAACATTAGCCGGCTTAGTGTAACACAGCGACGGACGCCGTTTGCTCGGTTCCTCGGGGTGGGTGAGGTTGTCGATGGCGGAAGATGAATTTTCGGGTCGGTGGGCCTCCGGAAAGTTTGCGGGCTGGCGGGTTATCGGAGAGTCCGCAGAGCCCGACAGAGTGTGGTATCTAACCCACTTCGTCCGGGATTGACGGGCGGTTGTTGGGCAGTTGGCGAGGAGGCTTGGCGGACTCGACAGTGCGAGTTCCACCTTGGTTGGCTCTTGGCACTCCGTTCGTCTTTGAGAAATAAGTCTAGGTGCGGCGTTGGTTTGCGGCTTGTTTCGAATTTGTTGTCCACAGAGATATTCTGATAGGGATCCCTTTCCGACTGGAGCGAATGCCGGCACAAATTTCCGGACGGGGGCCGCGGCGCAGGGCTTTCAGCGCGGTTGTCGCTTCTTTTTATTCGAGGCTGTTCTGGAGATACTTCGTACCAGAGGACCTCACGTTAGGGAGGGATAGAAATCGTGGGGGGAAATGGAAACATGTTGGCGCTGATCTTGGCCTGTTGGAGTTGGTCAGGAAGGCAACGAGGCAGCCCAAAAGCTGCGTTCTTGCATGCTTGCATCATTGAAATCTGGCGCATGTGTGCCAACGGTCGGTTTCGCTTCCGTGAAAGTCCCGGGTTCGAGGGGTAAGATCCCGCTGATTGGAAAATTCTTGGCCCCACTGACCAATTTCGGGACGCAACGCTTTCGGCTTCACCCCTCCACACTGATCTAGGATCACAGCCCATCTTCCACCACTCACGAGTCGGAACGCGCCCTAAATCGATCCTCGAAGAAGCCGAAATGGGAAGTCAATGTGAACAATGAACACCGAACCGGCTCTTCGCCCACCGCGCAGTGGGAAGATAAATATTGCGACATCGTTATCAACATGAGACGGACCCGGCCCTCGATCTCCATGATCATGGATCGCGTCCACGCAGCGGGAAGTGGATGAGAAGATCCCGAACAACGGGAAGGCGTTCATGGCAAGAGCACACAGTTCCAAGCTAACTCTCTCCTGAGTGTCACGCTGGTCATCTCACATGGAAGCGCTGCGACTGGAACCATGGAATCGCGAGCACACTCCCCGTCAACGGATGGAACAGTCCATGGACCCCACACACCTGCAGCCCCTCCCACTCTTCCTCGGCCAGCCAGGAACTTTGCCATCGCCCGCCCAGCCCTCAAGTGGGACTTGGAAATGCACTTGGGGGCTGAGGGGGCCTGGAATCGATTCGCAACTGCGTGCCTTCAGCGGCGTCCGAAGACAGTGCGCTTCCCGCCTGCAGGGTCCACCTCCACTTCTCGGGCCCTGCGAAGACCCCGTCGACCCCGTTGAACCCCGTGTCCCCGGCTTGTAGATTTGATAGTTAACGCGCCCACCCCCGTTTGCTCTCTTTTTGTTGTTGTGGTTGTTATTGTCTTCGCGGCCCTCTATCCAACTAGGTACGATTGCGGTGTATCGCCTCTCGAGTTGTGTTTTGGTATGATTCCCCATTTTTGGTATCCGTATAAGTCCTCTCACCATATTCTTCTGCCCACGGGCTAATTATATCCTCAGATTATCCTCCACAAGTGTTTCACATTGACAAAGCGCACATCGCCTATACGGAGTACCTCCATTGGCTGGACTTACTCTAGTTGCGTACCCGGGACTCACAAGAAACATTCATCTCCTCGCGCCCGCAGCAGTTAACACTTCCTCCTTTCGAAAGCACGTGGTGGCGTGTTCCTGGGCTGGCAGTTAAGAAACGGACAACCCATGTCCTTAACGGGGACTGGTTCCTTCGGGAACTACGACTTGACGGCCCAGACGACCGGCTCGCCGCTGGCCCGCCAGAAAACTCACGAGCAAGAGGAAGAGAAGACGGCATTGGAAGCTATGTCTTCACCTGTGGGCGATGAGAAAGGAATCAGGAGTCGTCCCACTTCGATGGCTGGGTTGAACAAGAGCCAAGGCCCACAGTCGGACAAGGGAGTCCCATCCTCAGGGGATGCGACCGACACTGCTTTTGAGGACGACGAGGATGCCGTCGAGGAGGAACGCCGTCACAGCATTGTTCAGGCCCTGGCCAGAAAGTACACTTCCCAATCCCATGCAGCTGCCGAGGGGGTGAACCCGTTCACGATCGCCTCGGACGATAAGGAGTCGCCATTGAACCCCAATGGCCCGAACTTCAGCTCCCGGGCTTGGGCTAAGGCCGTCGTTAACTTGGTGACCGGCGAGGGGCACAAGTTCCGGACGACGGGTGTGGCATTTCAAAACTTGAATGTCCACGGCTTCGGGTCTACGACAGATTACCAGAAGGATGTTGGGAACATCTGGCTGGAGGCTGTTGGCTTGGTGCGCAAGCTTACGGGCCACGGACAGCGCCGTATTGATATTCTGCGGGACTTTGACGGCTTGGTTCGCAATGGCGAAATGCTGGTTGTGCTGGGTCCTCCGGGTTCGGGCTGCACAACTTTCCTCAAGACGATTGCGGGCGATTACAACGGGATTTTCATGGATGGTGACTCGTATTTCAACTATCAGGGTAAGGATGGAGATTACCATAACCTGCGCTTCACTTGCCTAGACGTTCCTTGCTGATCCTTGAGTTTAGGTGTGACTGCTAAGGAAATGCACACTCAACATCGCGGAGAGGCCATTTACACGGCCGAAGTCGACACCCACTTCCCGCAGCTAAGCGTCGGCGATACCCTCACCTTCGCCGCTCGTGCCCGTGCCCCGCGCCAACTGCCCCCCGGTATATCACGGGATGGCTTCGCGACACACTTAAGGGACGTTGTCATGGCCATGTTCGGCATCAGCCATACTGTCAACACTCAGGTCGGAAACGAGTATATCCGTGGTGTCTCGGGTGGTGAGAGAAAGCGTGTCACCATCTCGGAGGCCGCTTTGTCGAATGCGCCGTTGCAATGCTGGGACAATAGTACGCGTGGTTTGGACAGCGCTAACGCCGTCGAGTTTTGCAAGACTCTGAAGCTGCAGTCCGATCTGTTCGGCAGCACCGCGTGTGTTTCGATCTACCAGGCACCCCAGAGTGCGTACGACTACTTTGACAAGGCGCTCGTTTTGTACGAAGGCCGTCAGATCTTCTTTGGCCGCGCCGATGCGGCGAGGCAGTACTTTATCGACTTGGGCTTTGAATGCCCCTCGCGTCAGACGACTCCCGATTTCCTGACTTCGATGACCAGTCCCCAGGAGCGCATCATCCGGCCCGGGTTTGAGGCCAAAGCCCCGCGCACCCCCGACGAGTTTGCGGCGGCATGGAAGAACAGCCCTGAATACGGCAGCCTGAAGGCGGAGATCGAGGAGTATAAGGAAAGCCACCCCATCAATGGCCCGGACGCTGTGGCCTTCCGCGCCTCCAAGAAGGCTCAGCAGGCCAGGGGCCAGCGCCTGAAGTCCCCGTTCACCCTTTCCTATATCCAACAAGTTCAGCTCTGCCTCTGGCGTGGGTGGAGGCGCCTGATGGGCGACCCAAGTTTGAGCATCGGCGCCTTGATTGGCAACTTCATCATGGCCTTGATCATCTCCTCTGTATTCTTCAACCTCCAGCCTAATACCGACAGCTTTTACCGCCGGGGTGCGCTTCTCTTCTTCGCCTGCCTCATGAACGCCTTCGCCAGTGCCCTCGAGATTCTCACCCTCTACGCGCAACGTCCCATTGTCGAAAAACACGCCCGCTATGCGCTCTATCACCCATCCGCCGAAGCGGTGGCATCCATGTTGTGTGACATGCCATACAAGATCGCCAACACGCTCGTGTTCAACATAACACTGTACTTCATGTCGAACCTACGCCGCGAACCCGGAGCCTTTTTCTTCTTCCTGCTCATCTCCTTCGTCACGGTTCTGTCAATGTCCATGATTTTCCGGACGATTGCTAGCACATCGAGGACCCTGTCCCAGGCCATGGTCCCAGCCGCTATCATTATTCTCGCCCTTGTTATATTTACCGGCTTCGTCATTCCCATCGACTACATGCTCGGCTGGTGCCGTTGGATCAACTACATCGATCCTGTCGCCTACTCTTTCGAGGCTCTCATGGTCAACGAGTTCCACGGGCGCACTTTCGAGTGCTCTACGTACGTGCCTAGTATGCGCTTACCCGCGTATGCCAATGTCGGGGATAAGAACCACGTTTGTTCTTCGATTGGGGCTGTGATGGGCTCAGGTTTCGTTAACGGTGACGACTACATCAACTCGGGGTTTCGCTACTACCACCAGAACAAGTGGAGGAATTTCGGTATCATCCTCGTCTTCATCGTTGGATTCCTCTCTTTCTACCTGTACGCCGCCGAGAACGTTGCCGCCAAGAAGAGCAAGGGTGAAGTCCTGGTCTTCCGCCGTGGTCACAAGCCCGCCTCCTTCAAGGAGAACAAGGGCGACGCCGAGTCTGGCGGTACCCCTGTCGCTGGACCTGTCGTGAAGGCCGACAACGGACACGTCTCGGATGGCCACTCGACCGACGGAGCCGGTATGCTGCAGGAACAGAAGAGTGTCTTCCACTGGAACAATGTTTGCTACGAGGTCAAGGTCAAGGGCGAAACACGCCAGATCCTGAACAACGTCGATGGCTGGGTGAAGCCGGGTACTTTGACAGCTCTGATGGGCGTTTCCGGTGCCGGCAAGACGACTCTTCTCGACTGTTTGGCCGACAGAACCGCGATGGGTGTTATCACCGGTGAGATGCTTGTTGACGGCCGCCCGCGCGATACCTCCTTCCAGCGCAAGACTGGTTATGTGCAGCAGCAGGATCTTCATCTCCAGACCACCACCGTTCGTGAGGCTCTCAACTTTAGCGCTTTGCTCCGCCAGCCAGCCCATGTTCCGCGTTCCGAGAAGCTCGCATATGTCGACGAAGTTATCAGGCTGTTGGACATGGAGGAGTACGCGGACGCGGTCATTGGTGTGCCTGGTGAAGGTCTCAATGTCGAGCAGCGAAAGCGTCTCACTATTGGTGTTGAGCTGGCTGCCAAACCCCCTCTTCTGCTTTTCGTTGATGAGCCCACCTCCGGTCTCGACAGTCAAACCTCGTGGGCTATCTTGGATCTACTCGAGAAGTTGACTAAGAGCGGCCAAGCTATCCTGTGCACCATCCACCAGCCCTCCGCCATGCTCTTCCAGCGTTTTGATAGACTCCTGTTCTTAGCCAAGGGCGGCAAGACGGTCTACTTTGGCGATATCGGTGAAAACTCCAGGGAGATGACCGCCTACTTTGAGCGCCAAGGAGGCTTCCCGTGCCCTGCCGAGGCCAACCCGGCCGAATGGATGCTGGAGGTCATTGGTGCTGCTCCCGGCAGCACCAGTGACATCGACTGGCATCAAGCCTGGCGTAATAGCCCTGAATTTTCCGCCGTACAGGAGGAGCTTCAGCGTCTCAAGGTTAACGAGAAGGAGTCAAACCCCATCAGCGAGGACCCTGGCAGCTATCGCGAGTTTGCGGCCTCGTTCTGGCAGCAACTGGTGTTCGTCACCCACCGTGTCTTCCAGCAGTACTGGCGTACGCCTTCGTACATTTACTCCAAGATGGCGTTGTGTGTGCTTGTTGCGTTGTTCATCGGTTTCGTGTTCTACAAGGCGCCCAACACCATTCAGGGCATGCAGAACCGTAAGTAGAGCCTTCCTTGCACCCCCCCCTTTTCCAACGCCACTTACTAACATTTGGAGCAGAAATGTTTGCCATCTTCAACATCCTCACCGTCTTCGGCCAGCTCGTCCAACAAACTATGCCCCACTTTGTCATCCAGCGGTCGCTGTACGAAGTCCGCGAGCGCCCGTCCAAGGTTTACGGCTGGAAGGTCTTCATGTTGTCACAGATCATCGTTGAGCTTCCCTGGAACACCTTAATGGCTGGCCTTATGTTCGTCTGCTGGTACTTCCCTGTCGGCCTGCAGGCCAATGCCATGGACGCTGGTCAGACAGCTGAGCGGGGTGGCCTCATGTTCCTGCTTCTCGTCGCCTTCCTACTCTTTACGTCTACCTTCACCGACTTCATTATCGCAGGGTTTGAGACAGCCGAGGCCGGTGGCAACATTGCCAACCTGCTCTTCTCGCTGTGCCTCATCTTCTGCGGTGTCCTCGCGGGCCCAGACGTCATGCCGCGTTTCTGGATCTTCATGTACCGCCTCAGTCCTTTCAGCTACCTGGTCAGCGCGATGCTTTCGACGGCCGTCGCCAACACTAGCATTGAGTGTGCCAACAACGAGCTCCTGCAGTTTAAGCCGGCCGACGGGATGACCTGCAAGGAGTACATGGAGCCGTACATCAGCCAGTTTGGCGGATACCTTCAGGACGAGGCCAACAACACCATGTGCTCGTTCTGCACCATCAGTGACACCAACGTGTACCTGGCTAGTGTGAACACGAGTTATGATGACCGGTGGCGCAACTTCGGGTAAGCCCCCCCTTTTTTTTCCAACTTCGGGCGATTGAACCTGTACTAAAATATCTCTGTAGTATCCTTTGGGCGTACATCATCTTCAACATCTTCGCCGCGCTTGGCCTTTACTGGCTTGTCCGGGTGCCCAAGAAGAAGCTCGGCAAGAAGAAGCAGGAGTAAACGGGCACAGCCGATGCCATACCTATTTTTCATTCATCTGACGACGTCTATGAGACTGTCTATGACATGATGGTGTCCCGCTTTTATGTCACCTCACCTTGCATAACCTATTCTCTTCCGTCACACACCATGTTCTCGATCACCGCTTGTTTAGCGTGTCGAGCGATTTGTATTTTTTTCATCTTTTTGAGCGTGGTGACATCTTGATCTCAACGCTCTGTACATTTTATTTCTTTACTTTGTTTTCATAATGTTTGAAAAGTAGACATCAATGGGGTCGGCGCCTTTGTACTGTATGAATTTTATTCTATTAATTACACTACGCCTTAGACACAGTAATCTGCAGGGCCCGGTTGTTCAATTCAACAGAATGGAAGGGCATTTGCTACTTTCCAACCTATGCCTCAGAAGTTCCTTATGCTATTGAGACATCGTGAGATCCCTCCCCTATTTTCGCCTCGTTTGAAACTAGTGTAGTTAGGGTTGTCTATGACAAAGACTTTGGGACGAGTCGCGGTCTGAACCCATTGCGCGTGGTCCCCATTTGCCCTGAGTGGGGGAAATCCCTGAAGCGCTTGGTCATCTGGACCCCTTTTCCCCTTTGCGAGTCCATCACATGGGTGGATCGCCGTCTTTGTTTTGCTTCTGTTCGGCGGGTTCGGCGGAGGCCTGCCACTTACACGTGTATTTTCCAGCCGCCGATAACGTTCTTGCCGTTACCGCAGGTCGGCTGTTGAAGTTGCGAAGGTTCAGGCCGTGTCGGCTGAGACCATTGGAAAGGGGGGGTATCTTCACATCCGTTCCGGTTCCACACAACACCCCAACTATGTGGAAGACGGTTCCCGTCAACAAAAAATGAGGAGATACTGCGGTATCTTGGCGGTAGGAACCTACCAGCTCGAGCTGAGTTACCCCTCGCCCGATGGGCCGGTGTTGACGTGGAGTGTTATTACTATGGTTACGGAACACACGGTCATGGCGTACCCCGTCATGCTGTTAAAATATACTTAATTCTGACTACCATGGTTATGATTTCGCAATATGCCCTCGCAATGAAGTATCACTGGATTTGAAAGCGCATGAGCGATCGCTGCCGACTTTGGAAAGCGCCTCAAATGGCTCACAGACTAGTAGTGTAAATGACTTAGCGACGAAGGCGGGTCTCAAGCGGGCACGTGGGTGTCGCGTGCTCATTAACTATGGCCAAAGGGATACGGACGGGTGCTTAGAAATACCTGGCAAAAGTTGGTATTATAGTTATTTAGAAGTTTCTGAGCGCTCCCTGCTGCTCATATCTTGGGATCCGTTAGTTTGCAAATGTGGCATTCTCAGCCTTGCAGGGAAGGCGATTAGAGTGTAAAAGTCTCTCTCTCTGTGTCCTCGTTCTCGCACTTCGGCCAACGGTTTCTGGCATCGTCCATCATACATAAACAAGAAAACCAAACCCATCCAACGACACACAGCTGCTGTTGCCCTGAGAACGTGAAACCCGCTAACGCCCAAAGTTGCACCATCCCTCACGTCTAGTGCAATAGTGCTAGAACCAGTACTCTCGTTGTTCGGTAGGTAGCCCGGCGGAGCCGGGCGCATATTATTGTTTAACCCTTTTTGCTTCCGGCTTTTTGCTCACGTGCTTCCTTCTCCAAGCATTCGGGCGATTAGTACGTAAAGAAAGATGATACCGCCGATCAGCAACAGCTTATTCCGGAAGAGCCAGCCCTGCCCGGCATCACGTTGTTGGATGACGGCATCGACAACGGCGTGGGCTTGGTGGCCGCTCTTGGCAGGAATCCCAAGTTGCGGCCCACACGATTGCCCCCCGTTTTCGACAATTTTATTGCCCGTGACGGTGTCAATCTTGGACTCCTGCATCCACTTCCAGTTTTCTTGATCCACCTCAGGCCACTCCGCCTTGAACTTGGCACCGCCATCGCCCGCCTTGATGTTTCCCTTCCCAGCACCACTCTCAGCCTTGACGTGTGATCCACCACCCGTAGAATTCCACCACTTCGAGCGTGCTGCGTGAAACTTGCGCTCTGCCTCACTAGCTGATACCGAGCCTGTGGTCATCTCCTCTGAGGTCATGAATGAGAGCAGGCCAATCAGGATGGTGGATACCTCCCAGGCAGGGTTGAAGGATCGGGGGTGGAAGTCGGATATCGAAAGACAGAGGCGGCTCGATGGTTGGAACCGGCCGGAGGGTGTGTGCATTCGGATCGCGGGTGGTGCAAACGGGTAGTTGGGCGGGAACATTAGTGTGCCCCAGTACTGGCCGCCGTGGTAGGGTGTGTTCTCGGGCCCTGTAATGATATAGTGCCATCTATGTGCCTTGCCATTAGCACACACATAATAGACGTAGGTTAGGGGGAGAAGAAGGGCTACCCGTCTTACTCTAGAATGTTGGTTTCTGAGGGGTGTGCGGTGATGTAGGGCGGTGGGTTCTCGGTGATGCTTTTGTATTCGCGTGTCAACTGTAGACAAGAACAACGTTATTAGCGGTTCGTCCCATCGTGCTGTGAACTATCCAGGGCCCTTCGTCATCACGTACACGCTTCTGCGCCGCCCGACTAGCCATGGTTTTCCGGATCTGGCGGCGCTCGAGGGGACACGCGGCGAACTGCGGACAAGGGGCAAACGAGGGGAGTGGTGGGGAGAGGAGTTGGTCGTCGAGGGGGTCGGGGAAATAATTTAAAGCAAAGCAGGGAAATGAGTGAGAAGGTAAAGGAGGAAAAGTGGCGCGAGGGCGCAATGTCAGCGGTTTGCCGTTGATGTGCAGGTTCGGGATAGATGATCAAAAAGGGAGGAACCAAGAAAGGGTTGTGGAACGAGAAGAGCGAGTGGACACCGGGATGACGATTGCGGGTCACTTGTTTGGAAGAGCATAGCGGCACTGGCTCAGGCTCGGCCGGCCTGTCAGCGGAAGGCTTGCAGGGCTCCGAGAAGTCCGTTTGTTGGTCAACAGCCTGCCAAGCCACTCAGCCCACTGCGGATGGAGTGCCCGGGCCATGCCAGGAGCGAGTGGGGCGTTTTCCGGTAACACCCGCAGGGGAACCTCCTTGCTCAGTGAAACTTGGGGGCTGCCATTGGAGGGGAAGAAGTTCTTGGGAGTACCTAAGAAACATTTGTTCTCGCATCCTGCGATCTGAAGTTTCGATCGCGACCGTTGTCGGCGCCGAGGGAAGCTCTCATGGCGAGCTCCTTTGGGTTTGGAGGCAGTAATGTGAGTTATTCCCCTAAAAGAATACAGCATGATTTGTGTTCTCGAACAGAATGCGACCGACTGGGTTGGCTATCTGATTCCTTCATGCCCAAGCCCCTCCATGGTATAAGTTTGAAATGCGCTACCGTGAATCATGGGTCGAGGCCAGCTTCGGAATACCTTGACTAATTGTGATTCCTTTTATAGGCCGTCACCAAAGCCGGAACTACCTCTGTCAACACAGCGCAGACCCATATGGTACCTAGTAACCTCCTTATCGCTCTCTCGCGCGGCCGATCGCACGATCAACCCTCACGTCCGCTGTTGCTGACCTCGAGTCGCCTTCGCAGCTCGACGAACATGTTTTGACTCCAGCGTCGATCAATTCCATAGAATTACATGGCGCCGTCAACACTAGGAGGAGTTTGCTGGATCACGTCCTCAACCCCGTGGTAGAAGAGGCCGCAGCTCAGGGAACGACGCTGGGGCAGGTCTTGGATCACATTGGAGCCGCGACCAAGAAGCTTGCTCGTTTTGGTGCGCCACTCTTTATTTTTGCATCTCTACAGTGTACCGAAGGCCGCGGTGTTGTATGTTGACATATCGATCGGCAAAAAAAGATATCTTCAAGGAGGACGGATTCAGCGTCTTCCTCTCCGAAGCCCCACGCCCCGACTCGGGCGTCCCAGCGGACAGGACCGAACTCGACATCTCGATCCGCGTGAAGGAGAAATCGCGCTTGGTGTTTAGCGCGGGAACGGACTTTGGGAACACGGAGGGCTCGGCCTATACCAATGCTGTAGCACGCAACGTTTTTGGAGGTGCCGAGACCCTGTCTGTGAACGCCAGTGCTGGGACACGCACAAGATCGGCCTACAACGCTACGCTCTCAGCGCCCGTCAATGGCAATCCCGATCTTCGGCTTTCGGCTGAAGCCTTGCGCTCCGTAACGCAGAAACCCTGGGCGTCACACGAAGAACAACTCACCGGGGGGAACCTTCGGCTGGCTTGGTTGAACGAGAATAGTGACACCCACGCTGTCGTCTATTCGGCCGCCTGGAGGCAACTGACCGGGCTGGCCGCGACCGCCTCGCCTACCGTTCGGGCGGATGCCGGTGATTCGTTCAAGAGCTCGCTAACCCACACATTCACCCGCGACCGCCGCGATAATCCGATGCTCCCCCAAAGCGGCTATCTCCTGCGTTCCATCTCCGAGTTGGCCGGTTGGGGTCCTCTGACCGGTGATGTTTCTTTCGCCAAGACAGAAGTAGAAGCGACGGGCGCGCTACCCGTGTCGGTCCCTGGCGTTCAAGGAAACTCTGGTGTCTTCGTTAGCGGTGGCTTCCGCATGGGTGTGTTGTACCCGCTGCCTTTAGGTTACTCCCTCACCGGCTTAACTCAGCCGAGCCGTATCAACGACCGTTTCCAGCTCGGTGGTCCGACCGATGTTCGTGGATTCAAACTTGGTGGACTTGGCCCGCACGACGGTGTTGATGCAGTGGGAGGAGATGTTTATACCGCTGGCAGCGTTAATGCCTACCTTCCGCTCCCTCGCACGGGGCCCGACTCACCCCTACGGTTGCAGCTCTTCGCCAACGCGGGACGGTTGGTGGCGATCAATAGCAGCACAGGGAAGAAGTCAAAAGAGGGCAACAGGAAAACCCTAAGCATGAGCTCAGCTGCTGTGCTCAAGGGTGTCGGGTCAGCTCTCAGTGAGCTCACCAACGGCGTACCGAGCCTGGCCGCGGGCATTGGGCTAGTGTATGCGCATCCAGTGGCGAGATTTGAGCTGAACTTTAGCTTGCCCCTGGTGCAAAGGAAAGGGGAGGAGGGCCGAAAGGGGTTCCAGGTTGGCGTGGGCATCAACTTTCTGTAGGATGGTTTGGTGTATGCCGCGAGGGACGTTGTATAGAAACGTACATAAAGCTTGTTTGACTACCTAAACATTTGCCTTGGCGCTCTGATTGGGTCGCTCGCCTGGCCTAGGGGAGATTCCTGCTGTGAAAACTGGGGACATCCGAGGCAGACGGGACGGCAGAGGGCTTACTTCCCGTGTTTCTCAGACGACACTCTCCCTCTTTGCTGACCTCTAGAACGCCATGGCAGGACATCATCGGCTGCGGAGAGCTGCCACCGAGCTCGCTGGGAAAGTGGGGATGAGGATGAAGGGCTGAGGACGTGATTGGCAATTCGGATAACATCGTCCCGAGCATCCACTTGGAGATGGTTTAGGCTGAGAAGCCGACTCGACTTACAAACAACAACGTGAATGACACTTCCTGTGTCTTGTCACAGTTCAACGTGCCATTCTTGGGTTCTCTTACCTTTTGATACCGAAGAATATCCAGACTCCTCACAATGCCACAGCAGACGATCCAACTTTCCTCCAACTGGGAGTTCAAATCCGACAAAGACTCGACATGGCGTCCGGTCTCGCAGGTCCCCAGCAACATCCACACCGAGCTTCAGCACCACGGGTTGATTCCGGACCCTTTCCTCGACCTCAACGCACTCGAAGTTGACTGGGTTGCTGAACGAAAATGGATTTACAGGACTCACTTCGCCACGCCAACTCTTAGCAACGACGAGGGCCCGATCAACACTCACTTCATCAAGATCGACTTGGTCCTCGAGGGCCTCGACACCTTCGCAGACGTGGTCCTCAACGGGGAACACGTCCTCCAGTCAGACAACATGTTCATCGAGCACCGTCTCCGCGACATCGGAAGCCGTCTACATCCCCATGACACGAATAATAGCGGGGGCAGCAACAACAACACTCTCGAAATCACCTTCCACCCGGCTACCCAACGCGGCCGGGAATTGGTTGCTGCTCACCCTGAGCACGAGTTCATTGTGCACCAGACCGAAGTTGCCAGGGGACCCGTGCGCAAGGCACAGTACCATTGGGGCTGGGACTGGGGGCCGATTCTGGTGACGTGTGGGCCGTGGAAGCCAGTGAGGTTGGAGGTGTATGCTGGGGTGAAAGTGGAGAACGTGAGGGTTGACTACGAAGTGAGCCTGCAGGATCGGGATAGCGTGGTGGAAGCGGTTGTGCACGCGGATGTTTGGGGGGCGCGTGGAGAAGTGGAAGCTCAAGTCGAGGTGTTGTTGCGGGGGAAGAGAGTGGTGCTGATGAGGGAGCAGTTCGATGGGGGTTCTGTGGATGGGTCATCATCATCGTGCCGGGAGTATTCATTCCAAAGCTTCGCGATCCGGAACCCCAAGCTGTGGTGGCCGCGTGGTCATGGCCCGCAGAACTTGTATGAGGTACGAGTACGCATCGTGGCCAGTGACGGGTCGACTGTCCTCGGCGAGGCGCCGCACCAACTGGTCGGTTTCCGCAAGGCCGAATTGATCCAGGAGAAAGACGGGTTCGGCCAGTCGTTCTACTTCCGCGTCAACGGCGTCGACATCTTCTCGGGCGGCTCCTGCTGGGTTCCCGCCGACAGCTTCCTCCCGCAGATTCCAGCTCAGCGCTACCGCGACTGGATCCAACTGCTGGCTGAAGGAAACCAGAACATGATCCGGGTCTGGGGCGGCGGGGTCTATGAACCCGACGTCTTCTACGAGGCGTGTGACGAACTGGGGATTCTTGTCTGGCAGGACTTTATGTTTGCCTGCGCATCGTACCCGACGTACCCGGAGTTCCTCGCCTCTGTCACTGCCGAAGTGCGAAGCAACGTCCGTCGTCTGCGACATCACCCCAGCATTATTCTCTGGTGCGGGAACAACGAAGACTACCAGCTCGTCGAACGGTACAACCTCGAGTACAACTTTGAAAGCGACAAGGACCCGGATTCATGGCTCAAATCCACCTTTCCGGCACGGTATATCTACGAGCACCTCCTCCCATCCCTTCTCGCCGAGGAATGCCCTCCATTTCCCTTCTCATCTCAACCATCCCCTCCTTCCCTTTGGCCCCGCTCCTCAGCACTCTACCACCCCAGCAGCCCCTGGGGCAACGGCACCAGCACCACGCTCGCCGTCGACCCAACGGTAGGCGATATCCACCAGTGGAATCTATGGAACGGCCCTGCTCAGCCCTGGCAAAAGCTCGCAGACATGGGCGGACGGTTCATCAGCGAGTTCGGTTTTGTCGGATACCCACACACGTCTACGATCCGGCAATTTGTGACTGACCCTGCGGAGCGGTATGCCGGGAGCCGGACCATGGATTTTCACAACAAGGCTGTGGTGCAGGAGCGGAGGCTGTGGACGTATATCGGGGAGAACTTCCGGGCTGAATGGGCGGGTAAGCGTGAGGGGGATGGAACAGTAGGGTTCGCGCATCTGACCCAGGTGATTCAGGCGGATGCGCTGGGGGCTGGGTATAAGTTGTGGCGGAAGGGCTGGGGAATTGGGTCCAGCTCTGATGGCTCTGATGGTACCGGTACGGACACGGATACAACAACCACACGCGAGCCAAAGGGTAGGCAGTGCGGCGGTGTGCTAGTCTGGCAGCTGAACGACTGTTGGCCGGTGGTGTCATGGGCCATCGCAGACTACTACCTCGTCAAAAAGCCCGCATTCTACGCCATAAAGCGGGCACTGGCGCCGTTGGCCGTGGGCGTGAGCCGCAAGTTCCACAACTGGACCACGCGCCCGGCTGATGCGCTGTGGAGGCGGGACACAGGACATGTGGACTTGCGCAAGATGCTGACGGACATCGAGTTTGATGTGTGGGTGTCCAGCTCACGGCTGGATACCGTTGACGGGAAGGTGGTTGTCAGGTTTGTGTCGGTCAAGACGGGGAAGGATATCAGGGAGAAAATGGAAAAGCAGGTACATGTGCGTGCGAACGGCTGCACCGAGGTACTGGAGAAGTTTGCGTTTGACTGGAAGGACGCGTCGGTCGCTGAGCCAGAGCACTTTGTCATTCAGGCAGCTCTGTGGGTGGACGGCGTGCGAGTGAGCAGTGATGTCTCGTGGCCGGATCCGCTCAAGTATCTGGACTTTGCGGATAGAGGGGTCAAGGTGAAGCATTCTGAGGGTCAGGGGGCGGTGGAAGTTTCGGCGATGAAGCCGGTCAAAGGGTTTGTGTTTTCTGAGGAGGGGGTCAAGCTCAGTGACAATGGGTTTGATCTCATTCCTGGGGACGAACCGGTTTCGGTAAAGCTGGAAGGGGCCGCCCAGGAGCCTTCTTGGACATTTGTTGGCCGCTGATAAAATTTGACACCCAAGTTTTATTGCTGATGCTCAACGAATAATTAGAGGAAAGCTACCTACCCAACTACGAGTGCCCGTGAATCGCCTTCGGCTGGTACAGCTCCTCCAGATACTTCTCCTCTTCGTCCGTCAGCACTTTACCCCTTGCCGAGATGGCTTCCTCCAGCCTTTGGACACTGCTGAAGCCGATAATGGGACTCGTGATACGCTTGTTGATCCACGCAAGCGCAACGTGGGAGATCTAGTTCACATCGTTAGCAGATGTTTCCACACAGCAACTACACATCATAAAAACCCACTCACCGGCCACTCGTGCTTATCCGCCAACTCAACAACGCGGTTAATGGTGTTCAGATCCGTCTCAGTCGTCCCATGCGCACCGGGTTGGCTGTTCTTCTCGCCCTGGCTGCGCGTCGTCGACCCGTACTTCTCCGGACGACGAGCGAGATGGCCTCGGCACAAGGGCGCCCAAGGGATCAGACCAACCCCGGTGTCGTTGCAGAAGCGAATCATCTCACGCTCCTCCTCGCGGTACAGCAAGTTGTACTGGTTCTGCATGCTGATAAACTTGGTCCAGCCGTTGCGCTCCGCGACGAACTGCAGGCGTGCAAACTGCGTCGCCCACATGCTGCTGGCGCCGATGTAGCGGACTTTCCCGGCCTGGACCAGGTCGTGCAGCGCCTTCATGGTCTCCTCCAGAGGCGTGTTGTGGTCGAAGCGGTGGATCTGCAGCAGGTCGATGTAAGGGGTATCCAGGCGCTTGAGCGAGGCCTCGACTTGGTTGAAGATGGCCGCGCGAGACAGGCCGAAATTGTTGACGTAGTCCTTGGACGTGGCAATTTGCGCGGGGAAGAGGACGCCGCGGAGTTCGGGCTGCTCGCCGACGGCGAAGTTGCACTTGCTCAGGATCACCACCTTCTCCCGCGGGATGTTGTACTTTTTGATCGCCTTGCCGACGATGACCTCGGACGCGCCGTTTGAGTACACATTGGCTGTATCCCACGTGTTGAGCCCGCGTTCGTAGGCCGCTTTGAGCAAGGGCAGTGCTTCTTCCTCGCTGATGGCCCAGTCCAGCGTCCTCGGGTCACCGAAACTCATGCAGCCGAAAATGGGCACCGACACCGTGAGGCCGCTTTTACCCAGACGCCGATACTCGCATTTTGAGTTGTCAATCGACTCCTGGAGGCCAGCAGGGATGAGAGGCATGTTGTTTATCGAGAAATAAAACAAGCTGGGCTGGAGGATATGGATAATGCTTGGGCTGTATGGGCTGTCGTTGATCAAGACGATCCAACTTCAACAGGCATTTGGGGGGGAACTCCTGATTTAATATATGTACTAATGCCCCCCACACTCCACAACGGAACCCCCCCCTTTCCATTCTCTCCAAAACAAAAACAAAAAAAGAAGCATGGAAATGCACAGCCATGATGACCAACAACATTTTTACCCCGCAGCGGGGATAAAAGGTGATAAGGTCTTGGGCCCGACGAGCGTTGCAGTGCCCGTTCCCGGATATTGTCACGAGGTGGAGTTCGCTTCCCGGCCACATGGGATTGGGAATGCAACGGTTGAGCACGCCATCAAGGAACCCCTAGCTTTAGCAACCGTGGGGGATCCAGCAAACGCAATTCTTCGTGGGGGAGGCTTAAGAGGGGCACCGTGACCGACAGAAAGAGTGTGCTCTGCGAAGTGCTAAACTCGAGCATGCTGTCACGCTGTGACCGGGATAATTATCTGAAAGTGAGGCTGGGAAGGGCAGAAGGTGCTCGCATCAATTGATACTTATGTACTGAGATGTAGTTACCTGTCCAACGCTTGGGATTGACACTAACCCAGGTTGTTAGTCCAAATATAGCCCAAGCCGCAGGGTCATGACGTAGCAGTATGAGGGATCGAACTCACCATCTCGTAGTATATCCCTCGTTTACTCAACAGCGAGGAATGGTCCCCCTTTTCCACCACTCGGCCGTCCGCAAGAACAAATATCACGTCGGCGTTTTGCACCGTGGCCAGTCTATGCGCCACCACCACCAGCGTTCTATTTTTCTTATTCTTCTCAAACACCGCTTGCACCAGCCCTTCTGTCTCGGCATCCAAGTTGGAGGTAGCTTCGTCGAGAAGGAGGAGACGGGGATCGCGAATCAAGGCTCTCGCAATGGCAATGCGCTGTTTCTGTCCCCCGGATAATGTTACACCGCGCTGACCGACCTCGGCGTCGTATCCATCTGGGAGAGAAACGATGAACTCATGGATCTCTGCGTCACGGCAAGCTTGGTGGAGTTGCTCATCCGTTATTGTGTCTTCATTTACGCCGAGAAGAATGTTTTCCCGGAATGTGCCACTGAAGAGGCCCGGTTCTTGGGCCACGAGTGAGATGTCTTTGCGGTAGCTTGTGAGGCAAAGATCGGTCAAGTCCGATCCGTTGTATTCGATTCTTCCGGTGCTGGGCGTGTAGAATCTGCCATTAAACATAGTTAGAGTTTGGGTCCAATATAAATGAGGATTGGGCCCATTAACCTTTCGAGGAGCGAGATGACGGTAGTTTTGCCAGATCCTAAGATTTTGGCGATCAAGTCAGCCCCCTTTTATGTTTTATTTACCTGAGACTTGAGTAATCCATACCTGATGGGCCAACCACGGCGGCAAACTGTCCTTTCTCAATCTAAGGGCTTGTTGTTAGTCTATTATCGTGGGTTGTTTCATCTCGCAGGCCTTACTTACCGTCATATCTAGACCCTTTAAGACGGGTGTATTTCGCGTCGGATACTTGAACGACACGTTCCGAAACTGGATCTTGACTCCCATGTCCTCATCTCCTAGATCTCCTAGATCTAGCGAAACGAGCTTACCATCTGTGTGATCTTGAGTTCTCATCCCAAGAATCCGGTTTGCGGAGAGAGTGGCTTTCGCAATATCTAGTTCTCACGTCAGTTTCATTACCACTTTGTTCAACGCTGGAGTTGCTCAATTACTTGGAGAGTGACTGAGCCACCTCCCTGTTCCAAGGGCACCCTAGATAGCATTAGAAATATTCTCTGCTGTTATAATTACACAAAAAACACTCACCTGCATCACGGCAATGTAAACAACCATGTATTGAAAGGAGGTGTACGCTCCCTTCAACATGAGCCCGCCTCCGTACCTGCAGCCAGTCAGCATCAAAATCGTAAAATGGAAAGAAAGTGATGCTGGTCTCACCAAAGTACAAAGGCCATACACAGTAAGACAACGCTGTCTGCAGCGGAGAAGATCAACGTCGTCCAAGTGGACTTCCAAAACGCTTTCTTGATCTGCTTTTGAAGAAGACTCTGGTACCGCCGCATAATGGTATCCTCCAACGTTAGTGCCGACACAGTCCTAAACGCTGCAATAGATTCGGTCGCAAACTTTGCGCTTTCCGCAAACACTTCATTATTCTTCTGCTCAAACTGTCGCTCGTATCGGATCCGGAAGAAGGCCGCAGCGGTGATCAGGGGCACTGAGGAGCAAAGCGTCACAATGGTAAGTTTCCAACCGAAATAGAAGGCGATGGCCAGACAGCCGACAATGTTCAAAATGGAGATGAGAACGAATGCCATGTTTGTGCCAAGGAGCTCTTGGAGATGTATAGGGTCGGTGGCTAGCTGCGCGGTAAGGGCGCCAACGGAGTGGGCTTCGTCGTCAAAGAACGTGATCGATTTGGACAACATATTAAGGAAGTACTCGCCACGGTAGCGATGCGTGATGTACTTTGCTGAGTTAGAACCAATCATTCGATTTTAAGGTGGACTTGCTCACAAAAGTAATTGTGGCCGATGACCAACCCAAAGCAAAGTAGCTCGCCGCCACGAAAATGGCCAACATGACGAACATTAAGCTCCAGAAGTTTGCTGCCGCAGTGACCCACTCATCCCATGACTGGAACAGTACGAGTTCGGTCGCGAACAGGTATGCCTGGATCGGTTGACTCGCTGATTATGAGAAGGAGGGATGAATTAGCTTGGTGGACGTTCGACGGGAAAAAGGGGTGGTAGGAGCATACCTCCTCCGCCCAAGGCGCTGAGAAGAAGGATAGTGTACCACGTCTTCTGGCGGGTTTGTTCTCCTAGAAGCGGTAGGAAGGTCTGCCAAAACCCCCTCTTTGGCCGTTCTGTATTACCCTGTAATTCTTTAGTGTTGGTGGTGTCGGACTTGTCAATCAGTGTTGTGTCCGTGGTGATGGTGGTGAGGCTGCTCTTCTCAGTGACTTCGACATTGGATCGGGTTCCAATGCTTTCTTGGAGTTTTTGGGTTTCCGTGACAAGTTGTTGAGCAGTCGCCAGAGCAAAATATGCCCCGCCCTCCTGCGCCATCAAAACATCATGCGTGCCTCGCTGAATTGCTTTGCCCTTCCGAAGAACGATGATGTTGTCTGCCTTTTTGACTGTCGCAAGTCGATGGGCAATGACAAGTGTCGTACGGTCCTTGGACACTTTGTCAAGGGCTGCTTGAACCATTTGTTCCCCGCGGACGTCAATGCTGCTGGTGGCCTCGTCTAGGATTAAGATTTTTGGGCGCTTGACAATGCTTCTTGCAATGGCTAGGCGCTGCCGCTGACCACCGCTGAGCTTCATACCAGAATCTCCGACCATCGTCGAGTACCCCTGACTATTATTAGCAAACTTTCGGTGCCATACCGGGTAAATATCTACACCATGCTGGAACTCACATCTGGCAAACGACTGACAAACTCGTCAGCATATGCTTCGATACATGCTTGCTTCACGAGGCGAGTTTTGGTCTCATGATCTGAGTTCTCCCATTCGGTACCCACTAGGCCAAACTCGACGTTGGAGAAGATGGTGTCGTTGAAGAGACATGGTTCTTGCTGTACGAGGCCGATTTGGGACCTCCACCATTTGAGGCCAATCTGTCTCAGGGGCTGGCCTGCGACGGTGATTAATCCATTTCGACAGTTCAGGCTCTGTTAATATGTTAACTAAGGCAGGCAAACAACACCAAAGGCAAACCCACCGGATGTCCGCTATCTGGTGATTCAATTTCATACCACCGTTCCAGCAAGCCAACAATGGTGCTCTTTCCCGACCCAGAAGGACCAACGATTGCAGTGACTTTACCGGCCGGGAGACGGAGGCTCAAGTCATCCAGGATCTTGGTATCCGGTCTCGACGGGTAGGCAAAATTGACATGTTCAAAGACGATATCATCAGATGCTGACATATCTAAGCCCTTAGTACCCGACTTGTCAAGACGTGGCAAATCAATTATGCTGTAAAATATCTTTGCTGCACCAGAAGCTTGTGCTGCTGCAGACAATGGAGCTGTGATCCCACTGATTGCGGTGGTCATGAGCATCACTGACATGATTACACTGCGCAATAAGGAGGTAATCGTTAGCTTGATTCTTACATCACAGCTTGACAAAATCCCGTTTATGATTCTTACACGATTAGGGTTTCTGCGCTTCTGAGTTCAAATCCCATATGCATTTTCAACGCGTACCAGAACGAGAGGGCGAAGGTGCTGTAAACCGCGAACTGTACTGCATGACGAATTATTAGTTGTTCGTTTGGGACCTGAAACTGGAAGCCGGGAGCCCACTTACTTGGCCCTTGCTGCATTGCCACGACCGGAGCCATCTTCAGGCCACGCCGGCGGGATTCATCTGCCCACTTAGCAAATCGCTTGGTAATCTTGCCCGCCGCGTCACATGCGACAACCATTCGGATCGAGCTAAAGGCTTCACTTGCAATAGTAGATGCCTGGATATTGGACTGTTGCACCTCGCTCAACCGCTTCACAAGCGCTGGAGTCGTCATGAGGTAAGTGATGACGATTAGAACCACACCGCTGCTGGTTATCAACGTGAGAGACCAACTGTAAACCATGGATATGGTAAATGCGGCGACGACAGTTGAGCAGGATTGGAGAAATGTCGAGAGCTTTTCAGATATACCAGTTTGGAGTGCGCTGGCTGTGATTGTGATGATTGCCGCTGTCTGCCCCGGTGGTAGGACGTCGAGCGTTGAGACAGGCTGGGAAAAGAGAGACTTCATGTATTCGATTCTGATAGCAGCCGATATTCTCATACTGGTTGTCCGAAATCCGACCTACGGATCAATATTAGCAAAAGCTTAATGGAGAGTCATGATCTTCGAAGCCATGGAGAAACTTGCATATGCAGTGTAGTCTAGAATAAGCCTGATAAGGAACAAGCCGACAAGATACAAACTATACCCACAGTAAGCTAAACTGAATATATCCCCAAAAATGCCAACCCCGTTTACTCACGCGCAAGAGCTAATGGCAGCGGCGAACATCTCATAAGTTGTGGCGGCATCGGTACTAAAGTACCCAGTGAACGTGCCTACCAAGTGGCCTTCGTATGGGTTAGCAAGGCTGGCAGTGTAAGTTCTTCAACTGTCAACGAAGCCTGCACATACCGAAAACGATGTTCATGGCGGGCATGGTGGCGCCAACCCCCAATGATGCCAAGACAGCAACGGTGAGGACCGTTTTGTCTAGCCATGTTGAGAAGGTAAATATGCGCTATAATTCTAGTAAGTCCAGCGCGTCATAACTAAACCGTTGTCCATCTCATAGAAGAATCTCACAATAAAATCTTTCAGTGCAGTACTTTGGCGTATTTTTGCTGGTTCCATCTTCCCAGTGGATTTGACGACCGATAACGGCTGGGGCAGTTCTTTCCTTGAGTGAGGATAGGCCTGAGCCATTGAAGCGCGTAAATCGATGGGTTTGACTCAGTATCGTACCCTCTGAAGATTGAGAGGATCGTCTTTGCGAGGGCCCCTTCCGGTACGCCGGGGAAGTATCAACGGGGGTGCCAAAGCTACGCCTTGATGCTATCCCCCGGCTCGAAGGTGACCAAAAAGCGGGCTAAATTCACGGGAAACTTGAAGACTATGGACATGACGTTTGGTTCTTGGAGCTATACCCGTAGGGAGCCGGACGGAGGGGAAAGCAACCGGAACTGAGACTCGGCAAGGGCACAGGGATGTGAGCGTCTTGAGAAAGGCAAGAAGCTTCCGAGGTTGATCACGCTGGTACAGATAACCGTAGATCCCTTTCTGGGAGCGCACATAAACATCGAACGGGACATCAGAATCCGGAATTGAGATGGCGAAGAAAGTGGACGTTCGTGATATGGCGGATCGATTCCTTACAGGCAGCATGGTTGAATGTTCTTGCCTCGGGCAAGACCGACGGCTTAGAGAACAGAGGGGAGCAACAATGATTCTTTCCGGTTTCATAACGAATCCAATATGCGGGCAATAAAAGCGCAATTAGGCTTTCTGCTTGATAATAGATACCTCGAGAGCAAGACAGGCCTTTTGCCAAGCACATCTCCTGATAGTGTTGCCAGCATTGCACCGTTTTCACTGGTTACAAGGCAGACAGATTGCTTCATGTTAAAAGCATGACCAGATTCCAGATGGGAAAAATGCAAGTGGAAGACATACCCGGCAGATACCTGGCGGCGAACGTACCTAACTTGGACCGTGCATGGTGACTTCTCACGAGCCATGAACACGCAGCACACCGCACCGCGCCTCCCGCCCGAGTCGGATCTCGGGGATGTCGGGTTTCAGAGTTCAATTTTACTTTAGGTAGGTAGTATGCAGGGAACCGACTACCATTCCTACTCCCCGGCCGTAACTTCGTGCACCCGAGAATACATGCACCACGGAAGGTGCTTCTTTCGTAGTTGCCCCCGGGCCTCATGCAGGCCCAGGTTAAACCTTCCAATCTGGGTTGCTCGAGGCCACAGCGTCCTGCGCTGAAAATGAGGGAAAGTATGAGGACTTCCAAGCATGGAAATTGTTATTGCCATTTCCGCCGTTGTGCGAATTACACACGTAATATAAACGCAGTGTTGTCACTGTTGTGCTGCAAATGACGAGAAATATGTGAACCGAAGACCTCGCCAATAGCTTGCAGAAGGGCAGTGTCGATCCTTGGCTTATAGGGAAGCCGATGCACATCTCGGGATATATCCCCCATTTTAACGTGACTGGGTGCTTCGGGAGCGGTTCCTTGGCCCCGGCAGTTGCAGGAACTGGCAATCATTGTACGGTCCGGAAATTTTGAGAACCAACCAGCAACCCCTTGCGTTCGAACAACCCTCCCACATTATATCCATAACCTTGCGATGACTGACCATTTAGCCGTGGGCGTTGCCGCAGGAGCAGAATACTTACCACAAAACACCAATGGCCCTGAAGCAACACTTTCGGTGGAAGACTCTGAGGAGGGAAACGGCATCTCGATGACGATGGACAGAGTATGAGATAAGAAGAACGCGACGGGGTGTGTGGGTAATTACTTAGAGGACTCCTGGGCTGGAATTGCTTTGAGCGAGACACATTGGCCTTCCGGCCACCCGTCTCGCCGGCTTCCGCGGCTCGCCTATCATCTTCTGTGTTACCGTTCTTAACCTGTCGACCCAAGAGCCCGATTCAAAGTGATTTGGGTCTTGGCTGTCACTACTCACTATTAATTACTAGGACTGCGAAAGCCCTCGTTATTCACTCTCTGCTGCTAAACGTTAACTCCGGCATGTCTCCCACGTTGAAAGGCGGCTCGGGAGGTGCGCGTGGAAAGCCAAGCGGAAGCCGACGAACCATGTGGCCTTATATGACGAACAGGAAGGGTGGTGATGGCGTCATATTTTAAGCCTCATCTTCTCGACCGCTTTCCCGGAATGAGTGGAGATATGCAGCAGATTTGGAGATAATATTGCAGCAACCCGTTTGTCTAGGCTCTAATGGAACTCCCGGGATGGCGATACTAATCACAGCCGATTACCCGGGTTGTCAAAAGGATAAAATGTTCTAGATCTAGGATGAAATCGAATAAGACGTGCGAATTGATTATCGTCGTGCTTTTCGTAACTCGAAGATAACCACACATTCGGTGTGCAGTTCATGACGACTGCCTTGCTAAGATGCTGCAGATGATAATCTGGCAAGTAATCGGCTCTCGGATCGAGTTCATGCTTCTAGGAACGCAGAAAGGATTTTGAGCAACACGATACAGGCTTTGTTAGAAGACACGCGATGATTCTGGCGAGAGGTGTATTTGGGGACCGGCGCCAAGCAACGGGAGTCTAAATTGACGTTGAATAGGTAGGTAAATAACAGGAGAAAGTTTGAAAGTGTTACTCGTAACATACAAACTTTGTGGCCTAGCCGTAATTCGGAACAAAGCTAGCCCTGCATATCCCAAAAGTAATATCCAATCCGGCCATTTCTAATGAATCCCGTACAACGTGATTGCTTCCCTAACAACATCTCCAAGCTCCCGCACGGTATCTTTGTCTCGAGGAAGAGTGTGGCCTTTGGCATGATCAAACATGTAGGCAGTATCCGGGTCACAGACATTGTAGAGAGCCATAGACCCGTGAACGTAGGGGTCGAGGGAGCCAACTGGGAGTTTGTTAGCAATTTCGAACTCTTGGGGCATCTGTCGGGGTGTGTGTTGGAGGGGCGAATACTTATGTGGCAGGTCGGAATTTCGATCGTGGCGTCCGTTTCGTCGCTTAGAATCATGTTGTGATGAACCGGGTCAACCGGAGGCCAGCCGGCGAAGAAGATTGCGTACTTGAACATGGGAGGGATATCCTTTTTCTTGGACCTCTGCTGTTCGTGGAGGAGAAGGGTGGCGGCTACAGTGGCACCTTCGGAGTACCCGATGATGGCATCAAAGGGGCCTTGCTCCTCCATGATGTTGACCAAAAACTTGAGCGCATTATCAGTGCTGCGGTGCGTTGTCGCAATGCCATCTCTCATAAGCTCCCTCATAGTGTCTTCGGGCGTCTCGCAGTCCGGGAAATCTCGAATTCTTGCTAAAACGTCATCTTGTTGGGTTACTCCCGCATCCACATCCTTGTCTGGCTCGATGAAGCGGAAGTATGGCGGTTTGCCGAAATACTCTTCGAAGCCCTTGGGTGGGACCGCTGTACATGGGCCATGGATGAAGTGGAAGGTCGCGGACCCGTCTTTGGTCAACTCATTGACGAGGGGCGCTTTAAAATTTAAGTTAGTACCTCGGGTACAAAAAAGAGAGCAAAAAGAAGATGGAGGAAGACAAGGAGAGGGATTTTGGGGTTGGAGGCTTAGGGGTTGCTCACCAAGCTGCACCTCAAATTTCTGCACGGCCGTTAGTTGGTATTGTGAGGATAGTATTGGGAAAAGGCATGTGTACTTACATCGGAACTGCCATAGGCACCGGGAATACATAGAATTCTCATGTTGACTTGGTGGACGGATGCCAGTCTTCCTATGAGATTCACGGAGCACGCCGCCGGCTGGGTCTAATTTTGTACTTGAAAGATTTGTTAGGATGACTGCGAAAATATTGAGGAGGAGATTAGGCCATGTCAAGGTATGCGTCGGTAACCTTGGCTTCCCGGGTTCCGACTTGCTGTGCGAAGATGAAGTGTGTAACGGAATGTTGATCCGGGTTCAGATGACGTACAAGGCGGATGTTGACACGCGTAAACAAACATATATCCGCGATGGAGTTTAGGGCAGCCAGAGCATCACATTGAAAACGAAGTTGGGGCAAGCCACCGGGGCATGGATTGGAAACTTGGGGGACGTATCCACACCCGAGGGACACTCCAATCTGGATAAACCTTCTTTTGGAAAAAGAAGAACGCATTTTATGTCTGCAACCGTGGTGTTCGCATGTGACAGGATGATCCAAGGGCAGCTTTGGAGTGACACTCCGGGGATTCAGGCGAGCCTCCCTCCTGGTCAGGGCGGCTCGGTGACTGAACCGAAATGGCCCGGCATAACAGGCAATCCAGTTGGTTGGATCTGGCGAGAGACATTAGTTGCGGGGGCTCCGTGTATGAAATAGATGATATTCCCATGTAATAATTCATCTTCCTTCGTTGAAGATGTTTGTTGATCATGGATGATCAGCCGTGACGGGCCGGTGATAATGAACGGAAGCATGTACCGGCAACTGCGTGGCAGAGACGTAGCCTTTTGGTGTCGGCCCCAGCATATTGTTCACTCCAAGAGGTCTTAGCTAAGCTTGCCGATGCGGTAAAAGTTGTGGCCCAGGGGACATCCAGAATGGTTCAATGGAATCAAGGACCTGTCCGGGGTACCCTCCTCAGCCTACGTTGAGTAATTACAACCTCTCGGACAGAACGTGGATAGGAAGCCCAAGCTTCGGCCATTCCAATACAGGATATTACTGTAGCTCCGGTAAGATGAGCGTGAATTATCTTGGTTGCCGTCTTTTGTGTTTCAGCAGGGCAGCTTTGCCTTCCTGTTATTGCTGTTGGTGCTTGTTCACCCCTTTCCCCCTGTGTTTCCTCTGACACCGGTTGCCTTGCCACGTTGAGCATGCCGCACATAACTTCACGGCTCGATTGATTGGGTCTGAGAAAACCGTAGGGTTCGTTGCCGCTTCCTGCAAGCTCACGTCGGAAATATTATAGCATTGACGGTGAATATTTGGGATTATGTTAATTTAATCGGGATTTTTGCCGTCCTCATGGTTCTCCTTCCCCACATGTCCCCACACTTATTCCCCGCTAGCAGGGCCAGGTACCGAAACCGACTGCCCGCGATTTGCACCCGAAGCAAGTACCGAAGCCACCCTTGTTGCTCGGAAGACACACGGAGGGCTCAGGGCCAATAGGGGGCCGTTGTCCAACGTCAACCCTTGAACCGCTTCCCTGTGTTATCGGAGCATTGGCTCGAGCGTGCGGGTGGGGCCTTCCTCCCTCTTGTTTGGTTCCAACCACCTCGTGGCAAGGGCGAACCAGCACGGTCCAACAAATCATGTCGCCGGCCGCCGCTGATCGGCGACGACGTTAAACCACATGGTCTTTCTCTCCCTTGGTTCGTAGCCCTTGGTCATCGTCAAGTTGCCTTCAACTCCAACAAGCTACTATCAACGACATTATCCGTTGTCGATCCAACCCGGGACCTCAGCTCGTTCTCTTTTGAGCCCTTGGATGGAGTTCGAGTTTGGTTTTTGATAGTTTGACATGTAAGTTCTTTTCCACCGATAGCCGCTGTCCTGCCTCATCCCGAATGCCCTCGGTCGATCTTTACGTTGTTGGTCCCGTCGTCCCGAGATTCTTGCCGGCCTATCCCAAGATATTGGCCCTTGAGGCCATTAAGCGATGAGTTGTCTACATGATCTTTTGGGTAGATTGCCTATCCTCTTGACCCTGCCGTCTGCCTACTGTGGGCTGGTATTACGTAGCTAACATTCATCCGGGCTCCTGCTCCTGCTGCGGAAACCGCCGCTCTTTGCAAATCATGCCGTCGTGTAGTGGGGCAAGGGCCCTGCTCACATCCCCAAGAAAGATCTGCTCAACTTTATCCTCTCAAACCGGGAACCCTGATTCTTCCCCAGCATGGGTTTAGTGATATTGATTTGGAAGAAAGCCGGGGCATTCGGAGACGCGGACACAAGCCGAGAGGGCTAACCGACGGATTCGTTTCTGGTGGATGAAATTGCCAACACCTTATTGACTTCGTTGACGTATCGGACCTTACAACCCCATCGAGGACCAGCGCCACCGTCGTATGCCACCGGGTGGATGGAGACTATCAAAGCAACCCATTCGGAGGATGGGCTTGCGCAAGCCTCTAATCCGGAACTCCGAAGCGAGGAGGTGATCAAGATACCTGGAGTCGCCTCGCTTGACCGGGTAGTTTGGCCACTGTGTTGGGACGAGGAACCGGACTGTGGAATGGAGCACGATGTTTCTTCGCATACGTACAAATATGGCCGCCTTCTGTCCCTACATGTGTGTACCGAGGTGAAATCAACGCTTTGGTCTTACCAACATTACGATAACCACAGCTAAGAATCATATGCCTTCCATACTTACTCGGCCTTAAAGCACCGCCGCGGCTGAATAAGCCTTGAACGGCATCATTTCACATACGTTTCTGCTTTTTGCAACCCCTTCAGCCATGTCTCCAATCGCCATCACACCTGACAACAGCTCCACGGCGAGCCCATCCGGAGAGAGTGTCAGCGGTTACTTCCATGTCAACGGATACCCCAATGGCCACACCAACGGCCACACCAACGGAGACACCACCGGTCACGCCAACGGACACGCCAATGGTCACACCAATGGCAATGGCAACGGCCATTTGAACGATCATACCAACGGTCACTTCTACGGACACTCGAGCAGCCAGTCTAATGGCGATTCGAACGGGGAAGCCAATGGCTTTGGCGGAAGCCATGCCAACGGCGCCCCTGTAGATCAACCCTCTTCTTCTAAACCAATGCATATTGCTATCGTTGGGATGGCCTGTCGCATGCCTGGAAATGTCGCAACTCCCGCCGAATTTTGGGAGCTATGCACGCGCGCGCGGTCAGGATGGACTAAGATTCCAAAGGAACGGTTCGACAACTCTCGCTTTCATCATCCAAATCCAGGGAAAGGGGGCGCTTTGAACCCAGTAGGGGGAAACTTTCTCAACGTTGACCTGGCGGCATTCGACGCCCCTTTCTTCGGTCTCACCGAGAAGGAAGCCATATCCATGGACCCCCAACAACGGCTACTTTTGGAGTGCACATTTGAGGCTCTTGAGAATGCCGGTATCCCCAAACATGACATCGTCGGGAAGGATGTGGGAGTATTCGTTGGAGGGTCTTTCCCGGAGTATGAATCTCACTTGTTCCGGGACCCGGACACAATCCCCATGCACCAAGCAACTGGTCAGTTTCCCTCAAATCGACGCCTCCCATTCAGAGCCAGACTTACTGATATTCTTAGGGTGTGCATTTGCTATGCAATCCAATCGTATCTCACATTTCTTCGATTTGCGAGGGCCGAGTTTCACATCCGATACAGCGTGCTCCTCCAGCATGGTCGCCGTACATTTGGCTTGTCAGAGCCTTCGGGCTAAGGAAACCAGTTGCGCCCTCGTAGGAGCGTGTCATTTGAATATGCTACCCGAGTTTTGGATCTCGTTTTCCACCTGCAGGTATGAGACGTGCTAAATGTTGACTTTTAAGATGACACTAACGCGACTGATAGACTGCTTTCAGACACGGGGCGTTCTTTTGCGTTTGATGATAGGGGAACCGGGTTTGGGCGCGGCGAAGGTTGTGGGATGCTCGTCTTGAAGCCGCTTGATCAAGCTATCAGAGATAACGACACCATCCGAGCAGTTATCGCGGGCACGGGGTTGAACCAAGATGGGAAAACACCCGGCATTACGATGCCTAATGGGTCGGCTCAAGGTGAGTTACTGCTCGGCTCCTGCTCACAAAATGAATGTTTAATCAGCATGGTTAACATTGTGCGCAGAGGTGCTCATGAGACAAGTTTATGCGAACGCGGGGCTGGACCCCAACGCATGCGGCTTCGTCGAAGCGCATGGAACGGGCACAAGAGTCGGAGATCCGATAGAAGCTACTGCTATCCGCAACGTTCTAGGGTTGAAGAGGACAATACGTGATCCGTTATGGATTGGATCCGTCAAGTCCAATATCGGCCATCTTGAGGGCGCTTCAGGTATGATGGATCCGAACACCAGGATCTCCCTTCGTATGCTGACACGAAATAGGGCTTGCGGGCATTATCAAGGCCACACTGATGTTGGAGCGCGGGTTTATCCTACCCAATTACGATTTCAAGCACCCAAATCCGAAGATCCCCTGGAAAGAATGGAACCTGAAGGTTCCAGTCCACCAGAAGCCATGGCCACGGGGGAAGAAGTACATCAGCGTGAACAACTTTGGATTTGGTGGGACGAACGGCCATGTGGTTCTTGAGGCTGCGCCCTTTCGCAAACCTAGGGTGTCTCCCAACGCGGGTACCGACACTCCCGAAGACCCGGCACATGGGAGAAAGCTCTACGTCGTCACGGCCAACGACAAGAACGCGCTCGCTCAGGTAATGAAGAACCTGGTCATCTATCTTGAGCAGCGACCGGAGATTTTCCAGAAGGATCTCACATGCAACTTGGCTTACACCCTGGGACAACGCCGGTCCCTCCTGCAATGGAGAGCGGCGGTCCCGGCGCTCAATTCCTTTGAGCTCATTGAAGCTATCAACAGCGACAAGTTCATTTCTGGCAAAGAAGTTGAGCCGCTAAGGATTGGGTTCATTCTCACCGGGCAAGGTGCACAGTGGCACGCCATGGGGCGAGAGCTATACGAACAATACCCGGTCTTCAGCAGCAGCATCCAGCGGGCTGAGCGCTGCTTAATCAACAACGGCGCAGACTGGTCGTTGACGGGTAAGTCATTTTGAGGAGTATAGTTCGCGCATCGAAAGTTGTTTGCTGACCCTTTTCTTACAGAGGAGTTAGGCCGCGACGCAAAGGAAAGCCAGGTCAGCCAAGCTCACATCAGCCAGCCGTCGTGCAGCGCGATCCAGCTCGCTCTCATTGACTTGTTACGGTCATGGGGTATTCGACCTACTGCGGTTGCTGGTCACTCGAGTGGTGAAATTGCGGCAGCGTACGCGGCCGAGATCATTGATTTTGACTCGGCCATGGCCATCGCGTACCACCGTGGGCGGCTCGTCCCTATTCTGAAGGAAAGGCACCCCGAGCTCCGCGGCCGCATGATGGCCGTTGGTGGCAGCAAAGATGAGTTCTTGCCCTTGCTCGAGGGGCTCAAGGAGCGGGAAGCCCGCATCGCTTGCTACAACAGCCCCACGAGCCTAACAATCTCCGGAGACGAGCCAGCCATCGCCGAACTTGAGAAGATTTGTGAGGAGAAGCAGGTCTTCAACCGCCGTCTTGTGGTCGATGTGGCCTACCACTCCCACCACATGAACCTGGTGGCTAAGGAGTATCGGGCATCCCTTTCCCACTTACCATCCCCGGTTCCTACCGACATCCGGTTCCATTCATCCCTGGTTGGGCATCTGGTTGATGGCACCGAGCTGCAGCCGAACTATTGGGTCGAGAACTTGACCTGCGCAGTGCGGTTTAACGAGGCTCTGCAAAGCATGCTGGAGCCGACCGGTGACCACAAGCATGGTGTCAATATGCTCGTGGAACTTGGGCCGCACTCCGGGCTTCAGGGGCCCATCAAGCAGGTGTTGAAGGCGGTCGGCGGAAGCGCTCCCAAGATTCCATATGCCTCGGCTCTTATCCGCAAACGCGACGCAGTCGAGACTGCGCTCGAGCTTGCGGCCAATCTCTTTTCCAAAGGCGCGAGTCTGGACTTCGCAGCCATCAACTTTCCCACGCCAACAAAGCCTCCAGTGCTCCTCACCGATCTGCCACGGTACCCATGGAACTACTCCTCCAAGTACTGGCAGGAATCCCGCATGACAAAGATGCACAAACACGCACCAGGAGGCCGAAGCGATATCATTGGGACACTAGCGAACTACTCCAACGATCTTGAGCCTACTTGGCGCAACATCGTGAGGCTCGACGATCTTCCCTGGCTCGACCACCACAAGATCCAATCGCTCACAATCTTCCCCATGGCCGGGTTCATAGCCATGGCGCTCGAGGCTGCATTCCAGAGAGCGACCCAGCGGGATAGCCCGTTCAGCCAATTTGAGCTCAGGGAGGTCTCTGTAACCAAGCCTCTCGTCATCCCAGACAAAAACACGGAAATGACCATCGCTCTTCGACCGAGCCAGGAAGCCTCTTTTGGTGCAAAATGGGACGAGTTCCGAATTTGCTCGTGGTCCGCCGAACAAGGGTGGGCCGAGCATTGCACTGGCATCATTGCCGCGCTGGAACTGGACGAGAACCCCGTGGACAGCGCTAGGCAAGCTTGCGAGGCGAAAGATCGTCTGGCATCTGCTATCTTCAGCTTGGAGGACACCAAAGGCGCATCTGTTAACCCGAACAGCATGTATGACACACTGGAGGGGTTGGGTGTATCATATGGGCCTCTGTTTAGGGGCGTGGCCGGCTGCCGTGCGTCGGGGAACTGCGCAATGGGTGAAGTCGCGGTGCCAGATGTGGCAAAGGACATGCCGAATGGCCATTTGACCGATGCGCTTGTACAGCCGGCGTTCCTGGAGTCACTTATCAGTATGTACTGGCCCGTCGTGGGGGCGGGTTCCCGCGATATCAGTACCATCTACCTACCATCTTCAGTGGATCGCATCACTGTCTCTCTCGGAGTTAGAAAGTTTAGCAAAGAACCTGGGAGCATAGTCCGAGCGGTCTGCGAGGGGGAGATCGCTGCAGGCTCCCCCAAGCCAACGAAGGTCAACGTGACTGCCGTGGCTGGCAAGGACAGTACCGAGACACTCATCTCTCTGGAAGGTCTTACCATAGCTCCAATTCTGGATGGGGAGTCCGAGACAGCACAAGATGGCCCACGAGATCTCTGCTACAAGTTGGAGTGGGATCCGGTTCCCCAGCCTAACACCAACGACCAGAAATTCACACTAGATGCCAGCGCAATTATCATTCACGAGAACTCCAGCTTCCAGGGCCTCGTGGCGATGTGTCTGGCCCATTCCCTCGAGCAAATCACAGGAAAGCGCCCCGAGATAGGCACACTCGACACCGTGGACGCCACCGGAAAGATCTGCGTTTTCTTGAACGAGCTGCACCAGCCATACCTAGCCACTCTCACACCTGCCCAATTTCAGAGTCTCCAAAAGCTCTTGACCTCTGCCGAGGGGGTTCTGTGGGTCGTGAGGGGAGCATATGGTAACTCTGCCAACCCAGATACCAATATGGTGACCGGTCTGAGTCGGAGCATCCGATCAGAGACGATGATGAAATTCGCCACGCTTGACCTGGACGCCGAGTCCGGTTTCCATGAGTTCGATACCGTCGATGCTGTCATCCGGATCTTCGGCCTCGTTTTCGGCAGCTCGGCGCCCTCGGGAGAGCTAGAGTTTACGGAAAGGGCTGGGGCATTTTACACCCCCCGAATTGTCCATGACACGGAGATGAATGAGTATATTTACAAGCAGACCAACCCATCGGCTCTACACGCAACTCCGTTTGGCGAAGCCGGCCGAACCCTGAAGATGGAAATGGCAACTCCAGGGGATTTGGGGACGGCTTACTTTGTGGACGACTCCGCAACCGAACAGCTACTCGAAGATGACGAGGTCGAAATCGAGGTCAAGGCCATTGGCCTGAACTTCACGGACGGCATGGTTGCTACGGGGTTGGCGCCTCTCGGGAGTTGCGGTATCGAGGCTAGTGGAATCATCACAGCCGTTGGTGCCAAGGTCAGCAGCCTCAGGACTGGCGACCGCGTGGCAGCCCTCACACAAGGAGCCTTCTCCGCCCGGACGCGAACCAAAGCATCCTTCACGTTCAAGATTCCTAGGGACGTCACCTTCGAAGCCGGCGCCAGTCTCCCCCTTGCGTATTCCACTGCCTACTACGGCCTCGTCGAACTCGGCCGTCTGAACGAGGGCGACTCGGTGCTCATCCATTCGGCCGCCGGCGCCGTGGGCCAAGCCGCTATTTGTGTCTCACAGATGGTTGGGGCCGATATCTATGTTACTGTTGGAAGCGCCGAGAAGAAGGAACTGTTGCAGAGCGAGTACGGCTTGCAGGAGGACCACATCTTTTACAGCCACAACGGCGGGTTTGGTGAGGCCGTTCGTCGGGCGACGCGGGGTGAGGGCGTGGACGTGGTGTTGAACTCTCTGACAGGCGACGGGCTGCGGGAATCGTGGAAGTCTTTGAGCAAGTTTGGCCGTTTCATGGAGATTGGCAAACGCGAGAACGGTAGTGGTGGGGCTAAGGCCCGGCTGGAGCTTGATGCGGTCGACAGCAATGTCAGTTTTATGGCTGTTGATATGTTGACTTTGATCGCGGAACGGCCGAGGGTTGTGAGGCGTCTGTTGGCGGACGTTGCGCAGATCTTGAAGTACGGCAAGGTGAGGCCGGTGACACCCATCACGCGGTTCTCGATCTCGGAGGTCGAATCCGCGTTCAAGGCACAGCTGGCCGGTACCACGATGGGCAAGCTCGTCGTTGTGCCGGGCGCGACGGATATCATTAAGGTATGTTTCTTCAACGTTTCGTTCTCTTTATGAGAAGGAGAAGACTGCTGACACCGAGACTTTAGGCGGAGAGATCCAAAAAGGTCAAGCACCTTCTACGTCCCGATGCCACCTACATTCTTGTTGGCGGTACGGGTGGCCTGGGTCGCAGTATGGCCCGCTGGATGGTAGCGAAGGGTGCGCGGACCGTTGTCCTCGTGTCCAGGAGCGGCTCTGTGACCGGTCGGGTGAAGGACCTTGTCGAAGAGCTCGGGGCTGTCGGGGCCAATATTATCGTTCGCCCTTGCAATGTTGTCAATAAAGCAGATGTGAACGACCTGATCAACGTTGGATTGGTTGGTTTGCCGCCTGTTCGCGGTGTAGTACATGGGACGATGGTACTTAGGGTATGTGCTTTCGAGATAATGCTCCCGTCCTTTGCATTTTCCCATCCGCAATGCCTAACAGAGAGTAAACAGGACGTGCTGTTCGAGAAGATGACTTGGGAGGACTACAACCAAGTCATTGAGGGCAAAGTCCAAGGCGGGTGGAACTTCCACCACGCCCTCGAGGCCTGTTCCCTGGATTTCTTTGTCGCGATCTCATCGGCCGCCGGCGCTGTCGGGAACAGAGGGCAAGCCGCCTACAGCGCAGCCAATTGCTTCCTCAACGCGCTCGTCCAGCACCGCCGAGCACAAGGTCTGCCGGCTTCGTCTCTCGACCTAACCGCCGTCTCTGACTCAGGCTACCTGGCCGACGACAAGGAGAAGGCCGCTGAAGTGGCTCGTAACCTCGGCAGCGACAGTATTTGCGAGAGCGAGGTACTCGCGCTCCTGAGTGCCGCCATCGACGGTACGCTATCAACGGCCTGCAACGGCCACACCATCACAGGCATGCGAATCACAGCCACGATGCGACCCTTCTGGACCGACGACGCCAAATTCCGCGCGATGCGTTTAGCCGCTGAAGAAGAAGCCGCCGCGCTCAACAGCGCTTCGGCATCCTCTGCCGCGACCATCTCGTTCAACGCGGCCCTCAAAGCGGCAGGATCCCGCGCTGAGGCTGAAGATGCCGTGTGTCGCGGGCTGGTGGACCGTATTGCGACGGTGTTGATGATGGATGTTGAGGATTTGGATATCACGAGGCCGTTGTCGAATTACCCGCTTGACTCGCTGGTGGCGATTGAGATTCGGAATTTCATCACGCGTGAGTTTGAGGCGAACATGCAGGTGCTGGAGTTGCTGTCCAGCGGCTCGATTCAGATGTTGGCGAAGGGGGTTTGTGCGAAGAGCAAGATTCTGCCGGACGCAGCGAAATGATAGAGGTGGGGAATAGGAGAAGGTGTGGTTGGGTTTGGTGTTATTTGGATGGCGTGGTTTTGTGGCTTATTCTCTCTTTCGTTGTATGTTCGTTTGTGCTGGTATTTTGCATTTGTTACGTTGCTCGGCTGGACTGGGTGGCTTCTTGCCTCTCTGTATGTACATAGTACTTCATATTGTTTCCGTTGCTACGATCTATTACGTGAGGACAATTTACCAAGATACAAAGATGTGCTCCTTGATATGATAACGATCATGCTCCCGGGCCAAGACCGGAGGTACTTAGGTGATCATACAAGGCGGAACATCTGTTGCAGGCCCGTGGTGGTGATCTTGCACATGACCTTGCAGGAGACACATGCTGAGAGGTAGTTATTTCAGGCACATGAGGTCAGACCGGACAGTAATATACTCGGATTCAATTTGAGCAAGTTCCTCATCCTAAGCTGTGGATCTCCATAGTCATGTACGCACACCAGCTATAACCTTCATCTCCAACCCTCACGAGTTGAAAAGGTATCACTTCCCATATTACTTCAACGAATCACACAGGATCAACCAACAGTTATCCAATAGTCTCTGTTTAAGTCGACGTGGTCGTCGGCTCAGCCTTCTTCTCCGACTCGGTAGCGGGCGCGGGAGCAGTCTCGTGCTGAGTCGCCGCGGTCGAGCGACCCAGGGGAACAGAAACCTGAGAGTAGAGAGCATGGTTAGCACATGTTCCGAGCAATAGGCGTAACAGAAAGCGGGGTGATGGATAAAAAGAACAAACATACCTTAACGTTACCAGCCTCAATCTCCCTCTCCAGCTCCTCCAACCGGCTGCTCTTCTTATGCCGCTTCCACGCCGGCCGGCCTGAGTCAAACACATCGTCCATCTCCTCGAGCGTGTACCCTTTCGTCTCGGGCGCCATCAGCGTCATGTGCACAAACGCGGCAGCATTGAACGCGCCAAAGATGTAGTACATCTTGTACGAGATGTTCCACAGCAGCGGCGGCACGCCGAACGCGAGTACCATGTTCCAGAACCAGTTGGCCGCTGTGGACAGGGACACGGCCTTGGCGCGCACCTTGCTGGGGAAGATCTCGGCTGGGTAGGTCCAGGAGACGGGACCCCAGGTGGTTGCGAAGGTGGCGACGAAGAGGTAGGAGCAGGAGACGATGGCGGAGGAGACGGGTCGGTTGTTGAGCACGATCCAGGTGATGTCGCCGTTTTCGGAGTTGCGGGTTTCGTCGGTGTTTGGCTGGCCGTAGTATTGCTGGAGGGCACCTGGAGTTTGTGTTAGAGAGAGAGTAAGGGTAAGGGGTGGGCGTGGACGTACCAGAGATGAAGAGCCAGGTCATCATGCCAAAGGAGCCAAGAATCAGGGACGGGCGACGGCCCCATTTGTCGAGGAAAATGATAGCGGGCAGAGTCAGCACGACGTTGATCACGTATTGGATCGAAGCAGTTGCGAGGGGGGACGCAATCTGGGCGCCCTCCATGATGTAGACAATGTAGTACATCATGATGTTCATGCCACACAATTGAGACCACCTAGTTAAAAGGTTACTTTCGTCAGTTTCTGGAGGACTACATGGCTGTTCGACGGAAATGTAAAAATAACTCACATCTGAATGCTCATACCAAGTGCAACACGCTTGAGCATGCGCGGCGCAATGAGTTCCTTAAAGGACGAAGTGGCCTGCTCGCGTTCGAACTTGAGCGCCTCCTCGATCTCCTGGTACTGCGCTAGCACCTTGGGGTGGTTAACGTCGCCCTTGCCGTGCAGGTTGGCGAGCACGCGGATGGCCTCATCCCAGCGATCTTGGGACGCCAGCCAACGCGGGCTGTAGGGGAAGAAGTAAAGCCCAACGAGGAGGATGAAGGCGGGGACCATCTGGATACCCCAGGGAATGCGGAACGCGGCCGTCGGCTGGTTGGGGTCCTTGGAACCGCCGCCAATGCCCTCGGCAGCGCCGAACTGGATGAAGTATTGGCTATTATCGTGTTAGTGCTCCTGTCATTCTCTCTATCTTTCTTCCTCTTTTTCTTCTCTCCGGAACTTACATCAGAATACCCCAGGTAATGGCCCACTGCTGCAGCGAGACAACACGACCACGAATCTCCTTGGGCGCAATCTCGGCCTGGTACACAGGCACGATCGACGAGGCAATACCGACACAGAGACCGCAGATGACACGGCCCACACACAGCATGGCAACGTTCTGTGAAGCCGTCATGAGGATGGAGCCGATGATCCAGAGCACACACGAGATCTGCAGGGCGACCTTTCGCGAGTACTTGTCGGCGATGAAGGAGGACAGAAGCGAGCCGACTAGACTGCCGGCCGGCATGGACGCCGTGATGCCGCCCTGCGCGTACGACACCGGGTTGTTGAAGTAGCGCTTGTACGCCTGGGTGCCGAGCACGCCTGACATGGAACTGATGTCGAAGCCGAAGAGGCCGCCGCCTGTGGGTAGGGTGCCATTGGTGTTAGTGACTTGTCTCTTCCTTGTTCTCAAGGTGTAACTTCTTCTTTTCTCCTCATCTTGCTGCTTTCCGACGGGTTGAGGGTTCTCCCCAGATTGTGGGTTTGTAGAACGTCGCAGTGTGTGGTTTGTGAGATGTCCATCTCGTGCAATTCCCATGTGTGACTTACCAATGGCGGCAAAGCCGCAAATGAAATAGACGTTGCTGGCCTGATACATGGTAACGGCTTGTTCCCCAACGGGAGGATAAGGTTGGGGTTCACGACTGGTCGATGACTGTAGGATGGGTGATACCAAGCGACCAACAAACACTACGGCCCTGGTAGAGACGTATTGCGAATGTCTTCCCGTTCGAACCCACGATGCTAACCAGTCCGGCTGGGAATGGGAAGCAAACAGCAGCAAGACACGTGAAAGGGAAAACCCGAGAGACAGCAAAGGCCAGGGCGCGACACGCGGCGAGGTCGTCACGGTAGTTTATATAACCCAATAAATTCCGTTCTGAAGCGAGCGAGCCGGCAAGCTGCTTGGTCCGCTTGCCTCTCTTCTCCAAAAGTTCCCGTCTGCTGCTCCTCTTCGGCGCAGGCGCCAGTTGCTTCAGTTCGAAGCTGCAGCAAGGGACCAACCAACCATTCCAGCATCCAACCATCCAGCCTGGCATCGCTCACCCTTGATGCGATGTGCGACTGGACGGCGGGACGACCTCACAAGGAAGGATTCCGGGGATGAGCAGGGGTCTGCAGGCGCAAAGGCGCATCATTTCCAACCATGGGAAACCTGAATATTGTGGGGTTGCACGACCGAAGGTCACACTCCCCCAGCGAGACCAGCTCAATGGTTACATGCGAGGCAAAGACGAGGGTAGCCACTGGAGAAGGACCGCGAAGGCATGGAAAACGGGGCACTTTCTCCAAACGCCGAGCAGGCGGCCAGCCAGTCGAGCCAGTGAGCCTGGCCGGCGTCCAGCCTGCCAGTTGTCCAGCTCCTGTCAAGGAGGGGGGATCTTTTCCCTGTCACGGCTTGGGGTTCTAGGATCAGGCTTCTTGGGAACCAAACAAACCGAAGCACAGCACGTGCGGCTTGAGCTCACCACCTACTCCGGGCCGATTGCTTCGGAGGGCAACGAGGCAACGTAGCAACCAATACCAGAACTGGGAATCCAGAACCTCGCTCACCAAGAAAAAAAATTAGTAGAATTACTCGGTGAGTGGATAAGCCGCTTGTTTGCGGGGTTCCAAGGCCGTTCACGTTGAATACGATATATTAAGGGGAGAAGGAGTGTGAAGGAGCGAGTTCGTGAGTGCCTTTGAACAGACGTCGGCCTCTGTGGGATGGGGTGTCGTCGACAGTTGATGCTTACTCGGCTCGCTTGGTGCCGCTCCATGTTTAACTCGGTATTGATGCGCCGTTCCCGTGCGTATATGATGTCTTCCGCAATGTAAGCATTCGGCACGTTTCTACCGTGCCACTTCTGAAGTTAAGGGAGGGCGGAAGGGACGACGCAGAACTAGAAAGGGTTTGCTGCTCTATGGCTGGCGGGTTGGAGAGATCTCCATTCAGCCCAATATTCTGCGCACCCCCTCCGAGACAGTGGCAGGAATGTGCAAACGAGGGGATGGATGCAAGCGCCATAAGTTCTGTTCGTGTTAACTTAGGTATGCGGGGCTGGAGGGAAATCCAGATGAGGTGGCCAAGAGTTTCAACGTTTTGACATGTCCGTCCAAAAATGTTCTTTCCCTTGCTCTTCTTCGTCGCTCTTTCCCCCCTCTATTTTCTCTTCACGTCCGAGGAGCTCGTGAAGCTTGTTTCGGGAATTAACTTGGCTAGCTCCCTTGGCACTCCTCACCTCACATCCACATCCCGCCGAATGCTACCACACTGGCACCCAAATCAATGGCCGCCAAGACCGTTCTAGGAAGGAGCCCGATCGGTGGCGTTTATGGGCGTTGCTTGAACAGTCGTCTGGCGCACGGCGCTGGCATCGGTGGCTTTGTTGGTTCCGGCATCCAGTTTTTAGTTTGCTGCGGAGGCGGGTCCTGCCCTGCAAGTGCCCCGAAAAGCTGATTTCAACGGCTCGTCGATTGGGGCTTCGGGGGAAAAGAGAGCGGGGAAGGAAGAGGCCACAGAAAAAGGTGTGCGGGGAAGGTGGAGAAGGAAGGCGCCGAATGGCAGGGGGCCCGTGTGCCTGCCGATTTGTGAGTGGTGGGTTTCCACTCGTCAGTGTCACTGTGCCCTCGCACGGTACACCTCTGGCACATGGGTCAAGGTTTTCCACATGGTCAAGAACGGCCCTTTTTCTTTCTGTATGCACCCGTGACCAAACTCCACACAAGCAATCCGGGCGAATCCTCAACTCGTGACTCTTGCTAGCTTGTCGCTCTCTTACGCTGCTGTGAAACAGCACAAGCCAACGGCAGCATGCTAGAAGCGAAAGGGCGCAGAAATATTGAACCCACGCGGCTGTTTTTGCCCAATGTACATACAAGTGGATCTCCGGCCTCCCTAATAATAGATGATTGACAGCAAATCCAGAGGCTTGAGTGAGACAAACTGTTTGATGCTCTCTCTTAAGTTGCGGGCTGGGACAGAAGCTGAAAGTAGCTGAGCCACGGTGCGGCCGAAACAATTCTAGGAAGTGATGTGTAATGTTGTTGGCGGTGAGCCGGTGCTAGAGCTTCCTGGATCGACTCTCTAGTCTGAATTGGTTGAGAAGCACCGTGTTTTCGAGACACAGGATGGTGTCAACTAAGCTCAATTCTCCTTTAGTATATGTACATAATTACATAACGGACAAGCACATGAGCGCAGAAGATCCTCCTAGTCCCCTTGCGTTTTGTTCGTGGACATATCAATGAACCCACGGATGGAGTAGTTACTTGTTATTTGACGGACGCCACCGCTTTAGACCAATGTCATGTGTGTTCTTAGTTGGCGTGGTTATCTGCTTCCGCTATCCCTCGTTGATCCTCTCCGCAGCTGAACAAGACGCCCAGCATGCAGTGAGAAAAAGGGTAGGAAAGAAGACGAGTGGAAGACTCGTTGCGTATGCGTCAAGGGCCGGAATACGTATCCCAAAGAATCCGCCTGATCGAGCGCCATCTTCAGGATGTAATGTAAGTCTAAGAGCACAAGCGTTCCTTGGCCTGTCAAAACTTGTTGGCAGTAAACACCGGCAAACCAGCGAGGAAACGTCACGTCTTCATTCATATCGTTCGTCTGCTGGTTAGTTTGGTCCGCCGTTCTTTTGCTAGTGCCGGATTATCAGGCAAGCTCGCAAGAAAGAAAAGGAAAAGAGGAACGGAAAAAAAGGAAGAAGCTTGTTGATTCATCAGCCAACTTGGCCTATGGAACGCGCCGTTCGTTTCCGGTGCGAATAACAAATAAGAGGGGCCAGAAACGAGACCCGGAAAAGCCGGAATCGGGGTTGTGGATGGCGACAAACTTCGACATGAGAGCGTCAGGATGGTCGCCATCGCCCTCTATACTACAAAGTCTCCGGTGAGTAACCCTACAATAAGGATAGGGAGCTGATCGCGTAGGCATGGCGGAGGAACGGAAGATGGCCCGTCGTCGAAGAAAAATAAAAAAGGGAAAAGAATCGTGAAGACAGATAACCGAATGCGTTAAAGGGTATCGCAATGCATCATCCACACTGCCTTAACTCCAAGTTGCCGGTCCAGATTCCTTCTATGGGATTATTGTTCGGTAGCGCATGCGCCCTTCCGTTGACTCGGTCATGAAAAAAGAAAAGCGTCAGCTGGGACTCTTGTGTCTCGTCCCTCGTCAAAACGCCGTGGGCAAAGTCGTTGTTGCTAATGGAGATGGGTGCCGATGGGACCTCATATTCATTTCCGTCTGCGGTATCCACTGTTCCGGCCATGGGACGGCCCGGTGGCAGGCGGCTGACCCCGTGATGATCGATTGCCGCGATCACGATCACGGTCACGGTCTGACGGATCGTTGGACGGGCGTGTCGGCGGCCGATACCCCTCCTTGGACAGCAGTTCAAGGTAATTGCGTTGGGTCTCAAAGCTGGAATAGTTCCCGCCCATGATCACTTCCAGAATGCTCTGGCTCGCATTGCGCGGGTCTTGGGCTAGCTGCGCCATACGTTCCGTCAGGTCTTCATGAGCCCGTGCGAAATGTGACAGAATGGTGCCGGTATTGCTGGAGCCGCCCGAAATGTCGTTGGCAGAGTTGTTCGGGTCGATGATGGAAAGACGATCGTGGTTCTTGTAAGCAAAGTCCGTAACTTGGTGCTACAAGGCCGTAAATAACGAGTCAGCACTGGCCGGTTTTAGAATGTATGAGGGTGGGAAGCAGAGACTAACCTTAGGAATGTAGCGCGGCGGATCTAGGCTAATGGCAACCGTTTGGTAGTTGAACTTGTTCCCATAAAGATCAAAAAATTGAAGGAGAAGTTGCCCAAGATGATGTCTCGTGTCAAGGTTCCGGCTTTGTACCTCTGGCATCATCTGCAACATGCTCACCACGAGACAAATGACGGAAAACCCGCCAATCCCCCCGTTGACGGGCTCATTCAAGCCACGCATCAGGAGAAAATGCTTGATGAGCGTGACCAAAGCTGGCATGCCAGGATATTGAGCCCTCCACGCCTTGAATGTGTGGATGGCTTTGACACCAGTATCGTTCTCAAACGACACATCAATCTTGAGACCTGTTTTACGCTCGATGAACTTGACCAGCGGCACCTTTGCGCCGGAGATGACCTCGATCTCGTTTTGCCAGGTCATGTTACGCGCAATTAATTGCGATCTGAACCGAAAAAGGAATGACTTGGTGCAATACTTTGCCATGCCGCCGTTGGCGTATCCATCGGACATGAAGGCCATGTCCATATCGGCTGTGGGCAGATAAAGACCAGAAGGGAATGAGCCAAAGCAATACACTTCGGCATCCCGATATATTTGGCGGCAGAAACCTTTCAGCTCTTGCACCACCTCGTGCCGAAGACGCTCCTCGAAATCACGAGGCTTGATGTAGTCATAAAAGTCTACGACCTCCTTGTGCAGCCTGATAATAGTTACGTTAACGACGGCGATTGAGCGGCCGAGTCTGGACCAAAACTTACCAGACGGCCATGCTGGCGGAGGCGGAGTGATCCGTCTTCATCCAAGGCGTTGAATCTAGTTCAGGATCCGGCAGCCACTCATTTGTGATTGCACCACCGGAACGAAGTTTGGTCACTTTCCGAAACTTTGCGTGTGGCATCTTGATCTCATCATCATGTGTCCGCTTTCGGCTCCCGAGAGCAGAGGATAAGGGATCAGGAAGGATGGCGGGCCTGTGGTCCGGATCTGCAATCACCAAGGGTTTGGCAGGCAGCTGTAGGCTTGGAGAGGTGGTAGCGGGCGCGTTCCCAAGTTGTCCAACTGCGGAGGGTTTTGGAGGGAGCTGTAGGTCCCGTGCTGTTGTGGCGGACAAGGGCTCCTCGCCATGGTCGAGATCATCGCCACTATGCTCACTTTCGGTATCAAATGATATGAAGTCCGCGGTCTCTGATGGAAGAGAGGCCCTGGTCTCTGTTTCTTGGACGCGAGACTTGCGGATCATCCGGACAACATCCCTCTTTTTCCCCTGCGTTGAGGATTCCGGAGGGAGGGCCGTGTAAGGGTCGGGGTTTGACCATTTCGGGGCTTTGTTGTCTGATTCCGAGCGTTCCATGCCGACACGAGCGCGCTTGATGGACGGCTCCCCGTCAGACCCGGCCTCGTCACCAGAGATGTCCATCTCGGCCTCATCACTATCAGACAGCTCGTTGAGTGGGCGGTATGTAACTCCGCCGGCCGTGTTGTAAAAGGCCACCTCAGTGCCGGATTCGTGGTCGATCTTCAAAAGGTCCCGTTCAGCGGGAATGGGGGGTGGCCGCCACGGTCGATGAAAGTTGCGGCCATGTCTATTGTCTCGGAAAGGCGGAGGGCCGTTGTGGCTTCGGAACGAGCGGTCATGTGGCCCACGATTCCTCTTTGAAGGGCGCGAATCGCGATCTGGGGACAAGGAGCGGCGCCCACTGTAATTCTTGCGATTGCCTTGGGGGCGATAGCTATCGCTGTCTTGGACCCCGGCTGGTTTGTCAACCCGGAAGTTGAAATCACCTTGCGGTGGCCGATAATTGTCGACACCAGGAGGGCCGCGATAACTCATCGGCGGCGGAGGCGGGGCATCCTGAGGCCGCCGAAAGAAGTCCGCTTGTGGGCGAAACGGGTCCCTTGGTTGAGGGCCATTTCGGTGTCTCGAGTCACGGTCGTTGCGAGAGTCGCGCGGCGGCGGGCGACTGCTTCCTCGGGGGCCGGTGTATCGGGGGTTGTTCGGCATTGTTATTTAAATCCCCTGTCGAAAGATACTGCCCAATTTTTCAAAAAACTGCATGCGGCGGCCGGTGTGTTGGGAGTTGAAAAAGGATTTCTGGTAAACACGGTAACAGTTGATTTTTCCTTGTTTGGCGTGGAAAGAAAGTTGGGTCTACTTTGGCTAAACCTTACCTGGACTAGTGGAAGGCTCGATCTCGGGCCTCTCCGTAAAGCACGTGAAGCAGCACGTGACAGTACCCGTCTCCACAAATTGTTGAGGCACCAGTAACGTTATTTTGCGCTTGATCGAGTTGATAGTGGTTTGAACAGCTGTCAATTCGCGATGCCTATGTCTATCTAAGTTCGTCACTCCAATGAAGCTCTCCCATTAGTCATGGCGCGTTGCTCTCTGGCATTCCTAGGATGCGATCACACTCAAGAACCACCCCGAACTTTGAGCCACCAAGGAACACGAAGGCTGTCATGAACCTGTCCCTTCGTTTGTGCCAGAGCTCTGTCTACCCAATAAGTATTGCAACAGAAGACTGTATGGTGGCCTAACCTCATCAATGCGCCTCTTCATGTTGATGGATCGACGACCGAGGCAAAGCTGGCCGTTTTCTCAAACAGCCCTCAACGCCCTCGAGTGGGAAATCATGCGATTTGCAGGCCATGATACTCCGCATCAGGGAAAAAGCATATCCCTTATCCCCACTCGCCATAAGTCGGCGTAGAATACGGAGCCAACGATGGGTGTTTGGGTTCTCCGCTCTGGGAACCCCGACACACCTCATGGATCAACCCCGAGGCCGGCAGCAAACTTTCTTGCAACCCACGCGGCCCCATGTTCCTCATACTCCTGCTTTGTCACTGCCAAGCGCTCAACATGTTCATGTTTCGCGAAGTTGGCAGCCCCCAACCACGTGCTAACTACCGGGTCCTCAGGGCGTGCCACGCGGACGACGCATTCATCTGGTACCCGTTCCAATAGTTCCATCTGAAGCCGTTGGATGAAATTCTCTATGTTCACATTGCCGCCAACCACGACGATATTCGCCAAAAGCCCCGGCCAAAGGCCAATGGGTAGCACTGACAATGACTGCATCACCAGGTCAGCTAGCCCGGGTTGACGTAGATTAATATCGGATGGGTTGAACAATAGCTCAGGGACCACGAAGCGTTCATTGCGCAGTGTTAAGATGTCCTCGGTAGCCATCGCCGCTTTGCGGGCCCGGGCGGACAAGCTCGGGTCGTAATCCCGCACGACACCATGGAAGGTGCTGTGCGAATTGGGGAGGACGTAGTCCTTGGCGATGCCGGCACCGCTCAAATACTCTTCACGGCGCTCTCCGCGCGTCCCCTTCCATGTCTTTTCCAGGTCGCTCTTGAAGTCCAACGATACGTAAGAAACGGCTTCTTTCATCTCATTGACAATGTAGGTGTCGTTGCGCATATCAAAATGACGCAAGGAGAGCAGGCGAGTGAGATAGTTGGTCATCAGCCTCCCTCCAACATCAAGCCGACGAACCGCCCGATGTAAGGGCCGGCCTTGGATGACCGGGGTAACAGTGGTGTGCGAATACCCAGAATCGATCACGAGAAGAACTTCGGCGGGTACGTCCACGGGGGCCTCTGGTGTCCTTGGTGTGTGGAAAATGGCCTGGACGTCCTGGTATGCGTTGAATGCGGGGCCTGGGGTTGAGAGCGCGGTTAGCGAGGGTTTTGGGCACTGGCATGAGCGAAGGGAATGGCAAATGGAAATATGAAAAGTTCAAACACGCGCGGAGGGGACACACCAATTCCCCTGTAGTAGCTGGCAAAACCAAACTCTTCAAACACCATCTGGTCGCAATGTGTCTGTAACGCGGGGAGGGCGTTTGGCTGTTCCGCGAGCACCAGCCTAGTCTCCGTCGGGTCGCATCGCTGCGTGGCTTTGTCGTCGAAGAACTCCCGATCCCAGATCTCCTTTTGTGCCTCCCAGCTCACGACAAACCCCTTTTCAACCGGTCGCCGAAAGGCAATTTCGCCGAAGTCTCTGCATTTCTCTAGCTCGGACCCAACGTACGTCTTTCGGTGACGGTCTCGCGCAAGGCAATTGGGGATAATGCGCGGCGATTCAGTGGCGCCGCCCGCAGAAACAAGACCGGCCTTTATGGTATCGGCGCCATTGTCGAGTACGAGTGTAGTCGTGGGTACTTGGGGGCCCGCCGCCCGCGGTTTTCGACTTGCTGCCATGAGGTGAAGTTTGTGGCCCGGATAAGAAGGTTCATTTCGGCCGCTCTCCAAAATTGAGTGGGCCCCCCTTCCGTGATGGGGACAGCTGCAGGGGATCAAGGTGGGGTGAAATTCTGAGGCCCGAGCGGCCGGGTCTCGGCCTAAGTCCGTCCTCCTCCGCATCCCGAATGTGGGGTTTTTCGTCGGATGAGATCTTTTTTCCCTAAAAGGGAGCATTTCTCCTGCCGAGAAATCATGGTATTGGGACATGGAACGAGGGCATCCTAGGTCATAAGTTTGAACCTCGAGTTCATTCGCCTCAGCACCTCCGAGTTACCCCGCCTTAAAAATTATCAGATCCCTTGCTGCATCTTGGGGACCCCGAGCTTCTCCGCTTCAGCGTTCAAGGCATCGACCTCGCCCTTGACGAACGGAATGCCTTCCTTCAACCTCTTTTCCTCCAGCACTTGCTCCAATTCACCCGGGAAGTATATTCTATCCACCCCAGCCATCTTCTCCGACCCAACAACACGCTGATACAACACATCCATCCGTCCGCGGAACTCCTCCAAGCTCATAAACAGATCTGGCTTGATGGCAACAATGAAGTGACCCACATCTCCAGCTTTGGACATATCGTACGGGCCAGTGACCCCACCAGCAAAAGCCGAACCCGACAACACACCTGAGAATACATCCATCATGATGGCCAAAGCGGAACCCTTGGGGCCACCCATCGGCAACATGACCCCTTTCAGGGCCTTTTCCGGGTCGTCAGTTGGCTTCCCGCCCGCATCCAAGGCCCAGTCCTGTGGGATCTTTTCGCCACGACGCAGAGCCTTGTAAATCTTCCCGCGGGCTGCGACGGAGGGCGCCATGTCCAGGATGAAGGGGATTGATCCTTCGCCGCCGGGGGCTCCGCACGCGATGGGAGAAACACCCATCAGTTGTGACTTGCCTCCCCAGACGGGAAGCGCAGGCGAGGAGTTGGTGAAGACGAGACTCATCATCCCAGCATCGACAGCCTGGCGCACGATCCACGCGGACATGCCAAAGTGGTTGCTCTGTTTGACGCTGACCATGCCGATGCCGAACGTCCGGGCCATGGTGATTGCGGTCTCCATGGCAAGGTGTGCGGCTGGGAAGCCAAAACCATTGTTGCCGTCCACCTGGAAGTAACCGATATTGATATTGTCTGAGTCATGCCATACAAACGAATATCAAGGAGAAAACAGACGGGTGCAAGTCTACTCACCTGTGCAACAACCGGCGTGACCTGGGTCAACGTCGGGTCGGCCTTGGGGTCCAACACTCCATTGCGGATTCTCGAGAGGTAAGACGGCATCCGGTTGATCCCATGACTCTCGACTCCGCGAAGGTCCGCCTGGACAAGACCCCGCGCAACGATTTTGGCGTTCTTATTCGACACCCCGGAGGCTTCGAGGAGAGAAACAACAAACTCCTCCGCGTTTCTTGCGCTCACCGTCGCTGTGGCTTCTTGTTGGCTCATGATTGAGATTGTAGCACTCGTTGTTTACGACGAGGTTTCAGTCACGATGAATGTGGGGGAGATCTGAGGAGTGAATATCAGCACATTCTTACCTTGCGTCGTGAGTCATTCAGGGTTAGGGTCCAAACCCATAGCCACAGCCCAACAGGGGCTCCCTCGCCAAACATCAACTAAAAGCTTAGCCATCCACCTTGGCCGAAGCTTCTTCTGACGGTTTCGTCTCGGCGGATGTCCATTTGTCTGGGCATCGGACTTACTTCTGCTTGCCGACCTCCCTTCTCACCATTCGCCCTCCCTGAGCCTTCTCAAGCTACTTTCATCTTCCCTCAGCGGAAGAACACTTCCTTTGACCGTCTTTCTGCCCAACCTCTCCCTCGAACCATTTTCTCGCCAAGCAAGCCTACACTAATCATTTTCCATTGCTTCTTCCGCACAACCGAGCAGTTTGTCTTACCTATTTACGTACATCCCTCACCCGAGTATCCACCAATCACTCGGGATTTAATTCCCGTTTCACCATCAGCGTCGCGCTCCAAAAGTGATGGGAGCAACGTCGATCCCACATTTGGTCCACCGCAACGGACCCCCCCAAAAAAACCCAACCTTGCATGTTTGTCGCGGTGCCGCCGGCACGCTGCTTTTGGACAGCCGGGCGTCTCGTGACCCTCGGCCGTCTCCTCCCTCCCTCATCTCCGACCCCATCCCCGCCTCCCCTCTTCCCCGCGGGGGTTTCCCCAGGTTTGCGATAGCCCGACTCCACGCTTTTACAGGGCCGGCCCGACTTCGGTTCGCAAATTCGTTCCTTCAAGTGGAAAAAAACGGCAAGAATGTCGTCTTCTCTGCCGGCCGCTAACGGCATTTGTCCTGGCATGCCTGGAATTCCCGAACCACCTTCCCAAAACGATTGTGATGAGCGAGTCGCTTGCTTTAACTACCCAAAATTTGGGGATTTTGTAAGGCAAGGCTTGGAGTTGTGATGCCGAAACGCCACAAGGCAACCCGGTTTTTGCCAGTCAGGCTCTTACAGTCGCCACTTGCGCCATCCATCATGATCCATGCGAACCATGCAAGGGTTCACACCGACCCGAAGGCTGAGCGAAGATTTCTGTCTCACGCTAGGAGGTTAAGTGAGACCACGGCCGAGTTTTACGTGTACACGACTTGGCCAAGGGTTCCCTTGCTGCGCTGCTTGTGTCAAGGAGCCAGTAGTGTGGTGAAGTGTACTAATCCCAACCTCGATGTTGCCGATCCCGTTGAAGAGGCTACGATACTACCACGCGGGCACCCCTCACGGCAATGATCGCAGTATCCAACACGTGCCCGCCAGCCCGACCGTTGTCGCGCGGCGGGGCCACAATGCAAGCGAGAGATCCATACCAAGTTTCTTGGTGTTTTGATTTAAAAAGTCTAGCCCTGCCGTAGTTGCTTGCCCAGATGTTCTTGTCCATCCGGCGTCTTGCGTTGCGTTCTTGGCCGGTGTGTGTTGTGTGACCCAACCTCCTCCCCCTCTCCTCCCCCACCGCCGCAGCACCGAGCAGTACACCGCTCCCGCTTCCCAGTCCAACACCATATACAATTCAAGTTGCACCACCCACAAGTCCCCCATAGCGTGTACCGCCAATTCGCCCGGAAAAACCGACAAGATGGCGGGCGGCGTCAAGAAACCCGTCAATGTGTTCAAGTTACACAACTTAGACATCCCCAAAGAAGTCTTCAACTGGAGACTATGGTTCGCCGTGTTCTCCTTCTCGCTGCTGGGCGCGGCCCGTGGTGTCGACGAGGGTCTCATTAGCGGGGCGTTCAACAGCAAGAACTTTCAGAAAAGCATCGCCTACGACTCTTACAGCACCGTTGATCAGGCGAACATCAAGGCCAACGTCTCGGCGATGGTTCAGATCGGTTCAGTGGGGGGTGCACTTATGTATGTTTTCGATATCCCCAGCATTGGCTATGAGAAACCCAAATAAGGCGAAAGCTAACGTGAAGCAACACAGTGCCTTCTTGGTGTGTGATAGGATTGGACGAATCTGGGCTACTAGGCAGCTATGCGCACTTTGGATCCTCGGTATCGCCATTTTCATGGGCTCCAAGGGCAACCTCAGCGCCATCTATGCCGGCCGATTCATTGCCGGCCTCGGAGTCGGCCAGACCCCCGTTGTCGGCCCTGTTTACATCGCCGAGATCACGCCGGCTGCCATCCGTGGTCTCTGCACTTGCCTATTCACCGGCTTCGTCTACCTCGGCATCGTGCTCGCCTACTTCACCAACTACGGCTGCCAGGTCAACCTGGGCGACACCAGCGCGATTCGCTGGCTCGTACCTACCAGCCTGCACATCATCTTCTCTGGCCTGATTCTCATCCTGACACTTTTCCAATCCGAATCCCCGCGTTACCTCGTCATGAAGGACCAACACGAAAAGGCGCTGAAGACCATGGCTCGTTTGCGCCACCTCCCGGAGGACCACGAGTATGTCGTGACGGAGATCAGCGCTATCACGGCCGCCCACCAGAGGGAGACTGAGGCTACGAAGGATGCCGGGTGGTTGAGCACGCTGAAGGAGGCATTTCTCATTCCGAGCAATCTGTACCGTGTTTCGCTGGCGATTACCGCACAGATCATGTCGCAGTGGTCTGGGGCAGGGTCTATCACTCTCTACGCGCCGGATCTGTTCCACCTGCTAGGCATCGCTGACACCAACACCAACTTGCTCGTGACGGCTGTTTTTGGCATTATCAAGCTGGTCGCGGCCGTGATCTGCGCTCTGTTCTTGGTCGATGTTATTGGCCGTAAGCGCTCGCTGCTGCTGGGCATCACATTCCAGGCCATCGCTATGGTTTATGTTGCTGGGTTTTTGACAGCCAACCCGCAGCTGAGCGCCCATAAAGAAAAGAATGTCGGGGCACTACCAGCCTCGCAGGTGGGTGCGTCGAAGGGTGCGATCGCCATGATTTACATCTCCGGGTTCGGTTGGGCTTTGGGATGGAACAGCAGTAAGTTTTGATGCTCTCCTTCCTTGTTAATCAACGTGGCCAACACGCAACTGGTACTAACCTTCCCGTTCCCAGTGCAATACCTCATGACCGCCGAACTCTTCCCCCTCCGTATCCGTGCTTTCTGCACCTCGCTAGCCATGACCTTCCACTTCGCCAACCAGTACGGCAACTCGCGTGCCGTGCCTAACATGCTGCTGCCCACGTCCAGCGGCGGTATCTCTCCCCAGGGCACCTTTTGGTTCTTCGCCGCCGTCACCTTGCTTGGTGGCGTGTGGGTGTGGTTTGCCATGCCCGAGACCGCCGGTCGCAGCCTAGAGAGCATGGATCGTCTGTTCAGCCTGCCGTGGTACAAGATTGGGCGGTATGGCAACCGTGTGGCGGAGTTAGAGGACGCGCAGGTGGCGGCGAGTGGTGAAAAGAGTGCGGAACTGGCGCACGGTGAAGAGGTGGAGGTAGCTCGGGGAACTGGTGCTGGGAGCGAAAAGGTTTGATGGGTGGTGTGAGATTTGAGGAGAGTGGAGGGAAACCGTCTTTAAATTTACATCTGATCATGACCAAAACGAATGAAGACAACGAGTACAATTTTATGTGCTTGTACGCGACAAAGCGCCTCTGACCTGCCTATATTTGATTATGACATGAATGCCTTTGCCGAGAACTCGAGGTTGATAAAACGTTTGGCATAACGTTATAATCAGCTCAATGGGATCAAAGGAATGGAGTCCTGGGATGATGATGAGCCTGTAAGTCGTGCCTTCCCTCGAATTATAGATTTTATGTCATAAGTAAACGTTACAACGAGGGACTCGTACGAGGATCAGACGAGCCCCCTTGTGGTCCTTCCCGATATATAGGCCACTTCAGATCGATAAGGCGATAGCACCCGGTCATCCATTGGAGGTCAGGGTTGGTCCTTCCTGTCTCGGCCAATCGACGCCCCCACGGTTTTGGACGATATATGTTTTGTGCTCCGAGAACGTGAGGCTCAATGGTCCACGTTCTATGAGTGAAGCCAGTACAACCAGAGGAAAAGAAACTACAGGGGCGCGCCCTGCGGAACAAGACAGGAGGTATGTACGCAGATATCATCGCGAGTCATGTTCAAAGAACTAACAACTACAATAATTATGTTCAATGGGGCGTCCGTGCGTCCGTTGAGAGTTCCATGTGCAAAATTCGACAATCAAACGCCAAATAAGAGCGGAACGAGAACGGATCAAAAGTCTACCCAGGGACCCTCCTCTCACCCGGATGGCGCATCTAAGACCTGATCGGGTTTGCCTAGTCGAGGATGAGGAGGTGCGATGCATGGCTTTGCTACAAGGCCGGTGTTCGAACGGGGCATGATATGAATGGGACGGCGGGGCCGTGGTATTTGATGAGGGTCTGTTTTATTCATCCATGAACTTCCTCTACTTTGCAACAATAGTGCTAAGCTATTCCATTGCATTCACGGACAAGCTACAGATTCTACGCTCCTAATGCGCCCATTGCTCCCGCCACTCAAGCTTTTGCAAAACCGCCGAGTTGTCGGCCGTAAAGTTGAGGGGGCGGCTATCGGAACGATTCCGCTCCGAAACGCCCGGCCCATTAGTCCACGACTACCAACCTTTCCGGTCCGCCCAGCACGGCACAGCTCCGGGCAATGGCGTCGTCCTGACCCGGTCGGTAGCGACGGAGAAGCTTTATTGGTTGCCTGCCGCGGAGCTGAGCGACCTGAAGAGTTACATTTTGCGGCCCTGCACATTGCAGCAGCTGAGGCACACACAGCCCTCCTTCGGGCTTGCACTGCACGACAAATCGGCCCACCGACAAGTCGATAAGGCAGTCAGCCCTCCAACATGTGGCCTGGATATGGTAGCTCGGCGGGTACGTCTAACCGATGCTAGGCTAACTTCGGCTGTTTTCCTGTTCAGGTCTTGTCTTACGGTCTCTTACCGGTGCATCTTTACTACCCAAAGCCCCGCCACTCCAAGAACGCCACCGCTTCATTGCGTTGCACTTCAACATTGTCTTACAGCCCGAGTCGAGTCAAAGACACCTGATGGCACGTGGTTGACCGGCCCATAATTCATCAGAGCGGCCGAACGTGGCCACCGCCCGCGCCCATCCGATATTCGATAGTGTTGATCGGCCCTGGGTAACGGCGATGGCCATGGTGTCATCGAAGATCCAGGCAGCGGCTAAAAAGGGACACCGGGGCGCCGAACACCACCTCCGCCTGGTTAAGGTCACAATCCCCCACGCCCCAAGTGGGGAAATCGCAGTTTAAAACTTCAAGATCTCCTAGCGAAAGAATGGATTGCTGCCGTCTCACCCAGGGCGGGACGGCCTGCGTCATGAGTCCCCTGCCGGGTGCGGGCTCGCGGGGACAGCCCCCGAATCCCCCCTCCCCGTCGGTCCTTCTTGCATCGGGCTCGTCGGCCTGCTCGCCTCAGTGGTGCGCTTCCCTACGACAGGAATAGTACGGCGAACGCTACCTACCGTGCAAGTGCATCCACTACGCGCACGAGGCAAAACTCGCACACAAACCTGCCGTCTTGGCATCAAAAACCAACCGGGTTCCCTTGGTCTAACGCCGTGTTGTCATATTGCCAGTGATTAAGTGCATCAGATGGTCCGGCTGACAGGGACGGGGAACGGCACGGGTCCTTCCTTGGAATGGAACGCTGGAGCCCTTTGCAGCTTGGTGCCCGCATCAACCGAGGTGGAAGGAAGCACAAAAGAAGGGAAATGGAAGCTGCATGTACCGAGTTTTTTTGCGGGGGACCCAGGGGCCCTTGAGCTTCTTTTTTGCCGGGGAAGAGCCTAGTCCCGGCACTCTCCAGAAGCTTACTTCAAAACAAAGGTCTTTCCGGCCCTGGTGGGTGATTTGGGCACAACGAAGGGAAGCAACCAAAAAAAAAAAAAGGGGGAGCTTGGGGTAAGAGAACCAGACGCCAATTGTAGGTACAAACCCACCGTCGAGGAATTGACTACATACGTGTGTTGCAGCACAACATTTCCACCCCCCTTCCGGTGGTATTCGTCTTCAACGGATGGCGGTGCAAATTCAAGTGCAAGTGCCAGGCTCCAGCAGCCGCCATTCTTACCACACCTTCGCTTCGCTTCCGGGCATAACACTCACCCACACACCTACGCCCACACTATTGTGTTGACCGGCGGAACTGACTCAATGGCAGCAGCAGCCCCAGTCTGCGCCCCGAGCACACGTGCTGTATCACATCACCAGACCCTTAGTTGGAGGCACAAGTGCTCTTGTGTCATGTGGGCGGGGAGGAGCCCTGAAGTGTTTTCCGCTCTTATCGGGCACCTCGAAGCAGGGAACCAGTACCAGACCCGCCTCGAAGTGTGGAATGTGACAAACCGCTTGACCGAAGACTCGTTGCAGAAGCAAACAGTTTGCAGAGCGAAATCCGGTTGGCTCACACGCTGGTAAGCGTGTGTAGCTTTACACACGGGCTGGCGCGCCTAGGGGCTCTCGCATTGGTGGGACCTATCTTAGGTATCGGACTAGTCCTTGATGACTAGGTCCTTTAGCACTGCTATCGCCGACAAACCTACCCGCTGCCTACCTGGCGCTTCTGAGCAATTGCAGGCCTACGAGGCCGGATTGACCGAAAGGTGGGGGAAGGGACTCTGCCGGTCAGCCTTCCCTTCTCGACGGGTAGATAAACCCACGGGATCCGACCAACGACCCTGGAGCCGGTCTATGGTATTGTTCATCACTCAGGCCATTGAGGGGAAGTCGAAAATACCGTCTCACCGCACCACGACTTACACGCAGCTACTTTCTACTCATCGAACCTAACCCCCATCATATTTCTCTCCTTCGGTATCACCATGCAGTGGGCTTTCATCACACTCCTCAGTTCGGCCATCGCCGTGCTGGCTTCCCCAACCCACACAGCAAACCGAACGCTCACCTTTACTATCGAGGCAACCCGGCACGGCAAGCCCATTCCCCCATCCCAAATCAAGCTCGAGCCCTTCGAGTTTGGCCGCAGCCACATCGGACATCATGGGCCCGTACCTGCCCCCCCTTCATCTCCAGAGGCAGTCGACCCGACCCCTCGGATGGCTAAGAGAGCCAACCCAACGGCCACTAGCAACAATTGGTGCGGATCTGTCAACACCCTCTCGAAGACCAACCCGGTGAAAACGATCCATGGTGAATTCCAACATCCCACCTGCTCGCTACGGGGCGGGAGCACAACATTCCCGCAAGCGGCGGCGAACTGGGTTGGGATCGATGGAGACTCGTGGACGTCGGCGTTGTTGCAGGCCGGCACGGTTTGTAAGGTATGAAATGCTCTCTGATCAGGCGGCCCGTGTAGAAGTGGGTATGTTATGACGGTGATGACATCGACATGCTAATCAATGTCTTGGTAGATTGATAACTCGACCGGAATCGTCAAGTAAGTTGATTACTTACCAAATCCTCTTGGGGATATTTCACAACCCTAACACGTACTCTTTTGTAGGAACGAAGTTTGGTGGCAATGGGTACCCTCGGCCGCTTATACCATCACTTCTATGCCGGGTGAGTTCGCATGGTCGCCCCCAACTCACATCTCACTGCTAAACCCATGTTATCACAGTGTCCCCCGATGATTGGTTCGAGATCACCATTGCAACCTCCTCCGCCACATCGGCCGAAATGTTCGTTCCCCTTTTAATTATTTCTTCCTTTAAACACCTCTTCCCCACCGCTCGCTCTCGCTCCTCCCAGATAGCAGTCTAACATTCCCACAGCACAATCACCAACCTCGCCCAAGCCCACACCTACACCATTACTATCAACAGCGGCCCCACCCTCGCCCGCGTCAACGCCGACTGGGTCGTCGAGCGCCCTTACTTCGGCACCACACTGGCCGGGTTCCCAACCTTCACCGACGTCTGGTTCGATAATGCCTGGGCCGATCTCATCTCTGGGGCGCGGGTCAACGTTGACGGTGCCAAGCAGTACCAGATCCCGGGGCTGTGCGCGTCGCAGGAGTGGGATGGGGTGCAGGAGGTTTCTTGGTCGTTGTGAGTAGCTACACTTGTGGTGTGGCTTTGAAAGCGCTTGATGTAAGAGAGGCAGTGGGCTCGTGGAGGGGACGGTGAGTGTGTGCCATTTGGTGGGAGCAGTAAAGCGTTTTGTTCTCTTCGCTCAGCAACCATTAGCCCACTATTGTGGTTACAGGAGTTGGTTCAAAGCTGGGCGACTATTGTGTTGGACACAAGAATCTTATGACTTGGATGAAGCTACGGACAATTACAAGAAATCTATGGTGTGTTGTGCTGATTGGACCACCACCCATAAATTGTTCGGTCCCGTCTTAGGTTGCGGAAGGAATGAAGGTGATTTGTTTTGGCATTTTTCGGAAACGGAGGGTGTATCACCGAACTAGCCAGCCGAGCTAATAAATCAGCCGGGAGGGGGACAACGGGCGGGTATTGTGGGACGGATGGTTTTTTTATTTAATTGCTTTGTCTTGGGTCGTTTGCTAGTGGGCTTGTTGTTGATCGGAAATCGCCACTCCATTCTGAAGGCAGCGGGTTACTGACTTGATCACCTACTAGAGGGTTAGGGGTTCAAACTTAGATCTGTGAGCATACACACATGATTCACAACACCGTACTCGCATCCACAACCCTGAATTACTTTAACCAACAGGAACGTAAACAGCGACTTGGATGTCATGTTGTAAGTGTCATTGGATGATTCGTCGGCTTGCCACATATTAATCCTTTTTCCTTGATTAACTCCGTCTTGTGTTTGCAACTATGGTACAGGTGTCGCGGGTGGGGTGTATCGACACCCACAACAAACCCGCAAGTCAACCAGTTAAGTATCTTTAAGCGGTTAGGCGTGGGTAACGATCAACGTCACTGGAAGCGCGACACTGAGTTGAGAAATGAATTCAATTAAAATGAATAGGGTATCGTCAATCATAAACTAAAGCTTCCAAAAACGCTAAAACACGCTCGCCAAAGAAAATCGCGGCGGAATAATATGGGAGTGGAAAGCCGCACGGAGTAAAAAAAGTAAATAAAAATAGATAGAAATAAGGAAGACGGCGAAGATTAAAGTTGAGGAAAGTTGTGAGAGGAGAGGGAAATTGAAAGTGTAGTTGCTAGGTGATGGGGAGAGGAGAGTGGATGTTGAATTTGGAGGGTCTCAATGGGAGGGAGTCCCGGGGAGCGGCTGATATTCCCCAGTTACGAGGGGGACAAGCGACAGCCAGGGGCGCTTGAACCCATATGGCGGGTAGGTAGGTGCCTTCATCAGTAGAAGTCCCGAATATACCGTCGGCTTCGTCCCGCACACCCTATCAACACAAAGGTTAGCAATCTCCCCTTATTAAACAAAGTTTTACGGTCGAGTCAGGTCGGTCGAAGCTTACAGTCGCACTACCCATCATGTTCCAAGTTAGCTACACAGCATCTCTCACGTCTAGGGGGGGAATAAACGTACCGCAACCAGGTTGGAGCCTTCGTTATGAATGAGGCAGTAACCGCCTCCGCATCTCTTGCATACCCGCTGGGTGCCGTCGATGCAATCCTTGCACTGGGTAGTGAGGAGTATGTTAGATTGTGACATCGGGATATAGTATGTGGGGGGGTTTGCGGGGGGTTTCTCACATTCATACCGCATTCCCAGCAGCTCTTTGAGACATGAGCCTAGTGATAGTAATGATTAGTATCTGGATTCGGGTGACGTCATAAATGAAACTGCGAGGGCTTCCGGATACTCCGGACGGCGTCAACAGCCAGAGCACAAGCCCAAGGGATCATGGACCTTTTGGATGACTTCGGTCATATACGGAACTGCCGGCGCTAGGGCTCGCTCGGCTCGGCGTATCTGTACTGAGGCCGGACGCCGTCGACGGAACCTAGGTCCCGGTTGGACCCTCTTTCTGATGGCGCCCTGTGACTCTCAGGTTTGTAGGAGAGGCCGGCATTTTCCCGTGCAAACTCCTGGCTGGCTCACGAACCTTGCACGGTCCCTCACCGTTGTAGGACTAATACAGGACGGAAATTGGCTTACCGAATCAGGGCCTGATCCTGCGTGTCCAGCAGGCGACACAGCCCTCGGCCCAAGATAACACGACTCACACCACCACTTATGGCACCCCACACAGTACCGGTCCCGAATACAATCAAAGCACCGCGGTATAAACCTCGCCACCTTCTGCTTCCCAACCTGCACAAACGGCAACCGCGACCTCACCGTCTGCCCAGCCGGACACATAGCAACCCGCAAACTCGCCGAATGCATCGGCGGCGGCGCCAGCAGTGGGAACCGCGCAAGATCAGCCATGCAGCTTTCGCTCGTCCGCCTGCCGTCGGCGTCCCGCTTGCTGGCGTAGACCTCTTCGCCCCAGACGGTCCACCCTTCGGGAGCTGCGCCGCATGAGGTGCACCCGCCGAGACTGTGCGTGGCTACGCTGAAGTTGGCTGCGCTGGGGGATACGGCGGAGGAAGAGGCGGCGTCGAGAGCTTCGATGTTGACGGTGCCCCAGGCGCAAGAGTTGAAGTGTCTGGGTCCGGTACATAGGACGGAGTCGAAGGAGATGACCCCGGCACAGGCGACGAGTGTGGATGCCCATTCGGGACTGATCCGGCCTGCGAACTGCTCGCCGCGGCGGACGTACCAGGGTTCCGGTTCTTCAACCGGCTTCTGGACAGGGGCGGCCGGTAGCAACTTCGGGCTTTGGCTGTTCCAAGCCGCGCCGACTGCGCCTGGACTCGATGGGGAAGGGCTGCGGCTTCCCTGGGGCGGGGCTGGTGCCGCTGGCGGCGCCTTGTCGACAGGACCAAACACGTAGAGGGCTTTGAGGCGGGGCATCCCCTCGGGCCGGGAGTCGCGGCATGCGTATTGCAGGGCGCTGCGGAGCGTCTTCTCGTTCATGTTCCTGACGCCGCGGATGGACAAGATCCGGACAGAGAAGGAAGGGTCGATGAGGATGTCGTGGACCAGCTCAGCTGTGACGGACAGGCCGTCGAGAGAGAGGACTTGCACATCCCGCAGGATGTCGGTGCGGCGGAGGGTGGAAAATATGCCACGGAGGGGTCCGGAGTAGAAGCTAGTAAAGCGGGGGGAGGGCTGGTGTTAGACAAGACCAGCGTGGAGGGGAGAGACTGAGAGAGCGGGGGAACCATAAATCTCACTCTTCTTCAGTCAGATTTTCGTCCAGCTGAACATTGCGCCAAGTTTCTCCGCCTCGATCGATGGCATCGATCTCAAACTTGGCTGTCTTCACGTTGCTCAGCACCAGCCGTCGGAAAACGTTGGGGGTGTGGTAGACGAGAAAGCGGAAGGCCCGCGCCGTGGCGGCGAGGTTCAGGACATCGTAGCAGGAGAGATACGGTGCTGTCTGGGACAGCACGAGGGAGTTGGCAAGCAACTGGAGAAGAGCGGGGTGTTGGGTTTCGTCACACAGATCGTTCCGAGACTCCTCCCAGGTCTGGGTCATCGTATTGCGCACCGTTTTTGAAGAGGGGTCCGGGCTGGTGTATCCTGCACGGTGGGTGGTCTTTAGGTCGGGAAACTTGGGTAGGTAAGGGTGGTTCTGAGGAATCGAGAGGGTGTTCGGAGGTCGGGCACAAGGGGGCAGCGAAGCAGATGAATTATACGCTTGAAGGATGTCTGACGGGGTGGGACCACAACCGGAAACGCGGGTCTCCAATCGTTTGTTTGACAGGGCGGCGTTTCGGTGGGATATGTGCCAAGCGAACCGGGAGGACCGGCCGGCGTGATCGGCGGACCGGGGTCTTTCTTGTTGTTGCAGATTGGGGAAAGCCCAAAAGCTTGAGCGCGCAATCCGGGCGTTTGGCTGAGGCTTGGCACTTTACTTGGCCGAGACTTCGATCAGCCAGAGATTGCGCCCAAGATCTTGGTATCAACAGATCTGCTACGATTAGCCCTGTGTCAGTCAAAGACAAGTGGCCTCTTGCTCATTGAAGGAGGCTTGGCTTTGCGTTTAGTGTACACTAGTGTAGTGTAGACACGGCGAAGGAAGGACAGCAGAGCGTTGTTTAACCGGCCATTGTTCTTAGCGTTGGATCAAAGACGGGACGGCCCCCCGCGCTGAACCCCCTGTCTTGGTGGTTTCGCCATTGGCGTTTGCACCCTCTGCAGCGCGACGTGGGCGCATACAACGTACTAACTTTTGGTGTGTGTGGCGGGAAGGAAGGCAAGCGGGGTCTGGGGTCTGATGCTTTGCCCGTCTCGTTGGGCAACGAAAAATGCTTGGCTTATGTCGTTCCAAGTTGCGGCGCAACCTAAAAGAACTCGCTTTCCGCCATACACGTGTCGCGGTGCACAAGCGGGCAGCTAACGGACAACCGCTGCGGACCAGCTGACGAGAGAGCTTGCGCGAGGTTATCTTATCGACTCCCGGTGGCGGGCTTGTAAGCAGGGAATGGTGGTTGCAACCCTGATGTGACCGCGGGGGTCGAGGTGGGGTTGTGCATTCGGGCTGCGACCGATGGGAATTCCTGATTACACAATGGATATTCGAACCATCACAAGAAGAATACCGGTGTTGGTCCTGGTTGGCCGTTGGGAAAATCTCAAGGATGGAAGGGCGGGGTAGGCTGAAAGCATCCTATACTTTCAAAAGCTTCGAAAAGAACGCAAACCTTTCCTGCGTAAAGCCGGGAGTGACTTTAGAGTGTATTAGCTCCGAAACCCTGGGATGCAGCGCAGGCCAGAAGCGAAGTCAAGGTCTTGCTCGGAGCGCCCCACCTGCCGAACACCGGAGGTTCGGGGCCTTGGTGGGGGGTCGGGCCAACTGCACCGAGGGACATTGTGGAAGGTGCAGGAAGCGGCCCGATGCTGATCTAATCGCAGGCAACGGCTCATGTCGCGGTTGTGGCAGCTTCTCGGGAGTAATTATTTCATCACTAATCGAGGAATTGGGGATAAGTCTTCCACTTTGTTTATTTCTATTCCGAACATTTTTACTTTACGCGCTTTAATTCTTCAGTTTTTCGCCCACTCGCTCCTAGCCCCTCCCTCGCGAAATTCCCGACAAGCTCTGACGTCAATAATCCGCATTCTATCAACCACAACCACGAATTCAAGAGACCGACCGAAGCGAACCTGCCGGGATGGACGGCGAATTAGCGCAGCTCAAATGGTCCGCATCGCTGCGTGTGGCACACCCATCGCGCGTCGCCGTTAAGGATCTGGGCGGGGACAAGATTCTTTTACCGCAGTCCGCCCTCGAGCAGCTCCTTGCTGCTTCCACGACGACGGGGCCCTCGACATCCCATACATTTACCGCGTTCGACCCATACAACCCTTACTCTGTGGCAGAAGCTCGGCGGGAACGCTCCCTTTATCGAGAGAACTACCAACAGTTACCTCACCCGTTGATGTTCCAGCTTGTCAACCAGACAAACGGAAACGCCGTGTATGCTGGGATCCGCGAGTTTTCATCGAACGAAGGGGAGGTCGCGCTGAGCTCACACCTTCTTGCGGCGCTAGGGATACAAGAGACGGACATACCGAATGTTACACTTGCCGAGGATGGGGTTGTGGACCTCACTATTGACGAGAGCACCACCCCGCCAACGGAAGACCGTGGGATCCAGATTATCATCAGGGCAAACCAACTCCCAAAGGGCACTTATGTACGGTTACGGCCTTTGGAAGCTGGGTATAACCCAGATGACTGGAAGGCTTTACTCGAGAGGCAGCTCCGCGGTAGTTTCACTACCCTCACGAAGGATTCCATGCTGTCAATAAAGGGAGCGAAAGGGGAAGAATTCAGGTTCTTGGCAGACAAGTTCGAGCCAGAAGGAGACGGAATATGTGTTGTTGACACAGACCTCGAGGTTGACATTGAACCTCTGAACGAGGAGCAGGCGAAGGAGACACTGAGGCAGATCGCCGCCAAGGCCCAACGCGCCCCAGGAACCACCTCCGGAAGCTCAGTGGGACATACGATAGACATCTGGAAAGATGTCACCGGCCAAGTTCTACAACAAGACTACGTGGACTACGAGCTCCCGTCCTGGGATAAGTCTAGTGCGCTCGCTATCGAGTTATCTGGAGAGGATGGCGATAAATTGGACTTGTTCGTGAGCCCCAGGAGCAACCGGCAACGAGCCGTACCGCGCGCTGAGGAACACGTCTTTGGGGATTTTTCTTCTCCAAAAGATGGCAGGAAGGTTATCGTTATTTCACCAACACATACAGCGCTGGAAGGAGCGGATAGCATTCTGGTCTCCATCCACGGCTTTTCTGGCCCAGGGGATGAGGTATCAGGGGGAAATCCATGGCGGTACACGCTCCGTGCTAGGGCGACCGATACCCAAAGCTCCAGCGCCGTGTCGGTGAACCAAAAGCCTCCTTCACTATCACCAGATGAAGAGCAGTGCAAAAACTGCCTCCAGGTCATCCCGAAGCGAACTATGATGCTTCACGAAAACTTCTGTCTGCGCAACAACATCGTCTGCCCACGATGCCAGAACGTGTTCCAAAAGCGGTCTCAGGAGTGGGAGAACCACTGGCATTGCGACACACACCCAAACGCTTACGGCTCCGACCCCGAAAGCCGAGCGAAGCACGACTACGTCCAACACACACAGCACACCTGCCCATCTTGTGGGCCATCAACACCCTTTACATTCCCCTCGCTCCCCGAACTCGCCCGCCACAGAACAACTATCTGCCCGGGCAAACTCATCCTCTGCCAGTTCTGTCACCTGGAAGTCCCCCAAGAAGGCGACCCATTAGACCCCTCCTCCGAAGCCGAGACCGCCATCTCCGGCCTAACCGCCCACGAACGCGCCGACGGCGCACGCACAACCGACTGCCATCTCTGCGGCGCCATCATCCGGCTCCGTGACATGGGAGCACACACCGCCAACCACGAACTCGACAAAGCAACCCGCCACCCGCCAGAAATCTGCCGCGATTCCCTCTGCGGACGCACACTGCATGGCATCGGCCCGCGCGGCCAGGTCAACGGCGGTACACGTATGGGCCAGGGGCCCGGGAACGATCTTGGCCTGTGCAGCCTGTGCTTCTCACCATTGTACGTTAACATGCACGATCCGGAGGGGAAAGCGCTCCGGCGACGTATCGAGCGCCGGTATCTCACCCAGCTCATGTCCGGTTGTGGCAAGAAGTGGTGCGTCAACGAATGGTGCAAGACGGGGCGGGCGAACCAAGGGTTGAAGAAATGGGGCAGTAGCGCGGCGGCTGCGTTGCCCCTTGTCAAGCCGTTGTTGGGGGAGATTGGGGACCATGGGAAGGCGATGCAGTTTTGTGTGGATGAGGGGTCGCAGCGGAGGAAGAAGACGGCGGAGATGTTGGCTGCGGAGGGGGTGTGGGAGCTGGAGTGGTGTGTTGCTGCGTTGGAGGCGGAGGGGGGGGATTTGGGGAAGGCGAGGGGGTGGTTGGGGGATTGGGCGCCGACTAGGGTTAATGGGAGGCGTTGATAGCATCGGAAAGGAGTTTGGATGGATAAACTTTAGGTTCCATAGACAGACAGGACAGGAACGGATGGGAGGTGCTTTAGATCATAACAGATAATACCCTCACGGACGGGGACATTTCCGAGTTACATTTTGGAGTTCAAACCGGGCAATCTTTGAGTGTCTGTTCCAATTTAACGACTAGAGAGTAGCATCCGGCTGATGACTGCTAATAGTATACTGACGCCCGAGATATTGCTACTGTGAGCCTCCAAGTCCGCAGCGTTCAAAACAACGCCAAATAGCGTTGCCTTTTCCCAATCCGATCCGTCCGCAAAAGACCGAATATCACCCAGCAAACAAAGACAAGATGCGCACGGTACCTGATCTGGGGATCTGGGACGAAACCGCGCCAAGGCGTGTGGTCTGATCTGAAGCATGGTGTTGCGTTGTGATGAAACCGGGGAGTCCTTGGCACGGGACACACGCCAGAACCCGTCCGCTCAACAACATCGCAAGACGGGCCAACCGTCACCGGTTTCTTTTACGAGCTCATGCAGCAATTACTTACTTACCTGGATAATCCTGCGTCAATCGTATTTTCCGACGCGACACAACGCGGTCATCCGACCAGGCCGAAAGCGACAACTCCCAGCGCCAGCAAGGCGTGAGCAGCAACATCACATCACCAACCATGCTCCCACACTACCGCCTACCTCTTCCCCTCTTCCTCCTCTTTCTAGTTACCCTCACCTCCCTAACCCCCCTAACCCACGCCGCCGAGTCCCTTCCCGCCGGCGTCGACATCACAGAAGACACCCCCGGCCAAGTAACCATCAACGGCGACCCGACAGGCAACACGACCCTCGGCCCGCATATCCCTATAACGGCGACCCTTTTCTCTGGCGTCCCCGGGCCATCGGCCTGTCGCGGGCATGTTATTTTGCATCTTGCGCTTGGTTCCCTGACTACCGGTGGTAGCAGTCCGGATGGAGGAGGGCAGGGGGAAGCGACGGCGCCACAGGCAGAGACCTGCTACGACCTCTCTGGTACTTCTTCTTCCTCCGGCGGAGGCGGCGCGGGCTGTGGGGTATTCACAGCGAGTAAAGAAGCCGGGTGCGAAGCGCGATTGTTTGCCGAGCCGCGGTGTAGGGTGTATGTTAACACGGCGGTGTTTATTCAGGAGGAGAGGGCGGTGGGCGGACGGTGGCGGAGTTTGGGGGTGCGGTGTGGAGTGCCGGCGCCGGATGAGGCGAGTTTGGGGAAGCCGCCTTTGGCGGGGTTGATGAGTTCGGCGATGGTGGTGAAGAAGCCTGGGAGGGTGAGGAGGAGGGGAGGTTGAGGGTTAGTTGGGGGTTGTTTGAGCGCAGGGCCAGGCCCAGGGGAGTGTTAAGGAGAGGTGCAGAGGGATGGGCCAGCGGGTTGTGGTCGGGTGGAGATACACTCTGCGATGCACAGGCATGGCTTTGTTATCGGCTTGTTCCTCCTATTCTTCTGGTTTCAGGACGGCTTGGCGTTGGTGATATGATTTGAAGGCGACAGATCAGAAGGCATTGTTGAATGTGCAACCAGTTGTGCATGGATGCCTACCGACATTTAGAAGTGGTGAAGTAGACCGAAATGTGTCGCTGTTTAGTTTATAAGTCGTGGGTGTTGCCGGGCTCAAATTGTTTGCTCGAGAGATGTTGGTCAATCAATGTCTTGCAAGAGGTCCGCACATGGCCCTTGCTGCCTATGTACGAATAACTCCCGCCAATGCCCGAGGGAAGGCGGCCGCAGAAAAGTGAAGTGGCTCGCTATGGCCAAAAAGAGCGGCACACCAAGCCCCTGGATAACTTACTTTGCTTGAAAAGTGAAAAAAGACCAAAAAAAAAAAATAAACCAAAAAAAAAACGGAAAGAAAACAAAAAAGAATAAATCCACGAAGTGAAAAAAGACAGACTTGAGCTACATGTTTTAGTGTGTCGCTTTTTTTGGCCACAGCGAGAGTGGTTAGCAAGAGAGGCGCATTTATCGGCCAGTGCTTTGAAGCCGCAACGGAGGATCCCGTCTTGTAAAGAACATTTTTCGCCAAAGGAAACCGAAAGCGAGGAACGACTACGAGTTTACACACGGGATTGGGCCGAAAACGGCACTACTTCGCGCCTTCCGCCGACTTGGGATTTTGGTGGGCTGCGGAGCACTTCTGGCATCCGACATCGACCAGCTATTGGCTGTTGGATCAAAGCTTTCGTGAAGGGTGCCCCACCCTCAACCCCCGGAGCTCCTCTCAAATGTCCGACTGTGGAGCAGTGTGCACAAGTTCATCCACGGAAGCAAGTGCAGCCGTGGAGAATTATGCAGGTTTTGTGCAAATTGTGCAATCCGGAGCCTCTGACCCCAGCTTCGGCGCCGATTGCCCGACCGCTGTCGGTGACACAAGCGGAGGACTCCCCAAATGCGATCTTCTCGCATTTCAGGCCACCTATGAACTGCTCGCGTTTTCTCAGCTGCTTCTTGCTTGGCAAGATTTGAAAATCCCAGACACACAGGTTTTGCCTTTGACCAAAATCGTAACAATGTTTGTTGAAGTACGCTAGATTTATGTGATCAACTGGTGAACGGGTGCTACTGGTACCTGGCATTGATTGTGCTTGGCCCGGGTGGCGCCGTTGGGGAGCGAACCCACATTGTCTCGGCCACGCCAGAGCTTGTGCTAAAATCTAAAATCGAAGCTTCCTCGCTTCCTCGCTTTCGGTCTTTGCCAAGACCGAAAATGCGGGCGAGGGAGATAACCGCGGAGCCTTCCCGTACCCGGGCCCTCGGGGTGTTGGTTGTCCGTTAGTCCATGAGGGTGTGCACCCGTTTCTGGGGGCCAACAAATGTACAAATACAACCCGATGGCCGCTGGTACATGACATGTCTTGTTTCATGTGATATATCCGAGATCTTATATAAAACAAACACCACGCCCCGCCTGGATCGCCTTGTTACTCGGTCAACTAGCAGCACCACCACGACTGTGACGACGGAAAACGAGAAAGCCTTGCGCCATGGCCGACCTAGCAGCGCCTCCGTCGGGCCGTGCCGACCCGGCCAAGGCCTCCGACACCGATCTCGAGAAGGGCGTCCTTGAGCTCAACTCGGACCTGGAAGCCCCGACTCTCGTGCCCGATGAGAAGGATGAAAAGACGGTTGAAGACCCCAACATCGTCAGCTGGGACGGCCCCGATGACCCAACAAACCCGAAGAACTGGACGATGCGCAAAAAATGGGGTAACATTGCTGTGCTTTCTATCCTGACGTTTATCACGTACGCCCCCAAATTCTTGATCAACGAGTGAGCTTGCAAACGACTAACACCTAACAACAGCCCCCTCGGCTCGTCCATGTTTGCCCCCGGCATCCCCCGCATCCTTGCCGAGTTCCACGAGACCTCCTCCGTAACCGCCACGTTTATCTTGTCCATCTACATCCTCGGCTTCGCCTTCGGACCACTCATCGTTGCGCCCATGAGCGAGATCCATGGCCGCTCACCCCTCTACAACATCGGCAATGTTTTCTTCACCATCTTCAGCATCTGCACCGCCCTCAGCAACAGCATCGGTATGATGATGGCCTTCCGCTTCCTCATGGGTGTCGCCGGCTCCGTCCCCATCACCATCGGCAGCGGTAGCATCGCCGACATGATGCCCGTCGAGATGCGCGGCCGCGCCATGGCTGCTTGGGCCCTTGGTCCGCTGCTGGGCCCTTGTATCGGTCCCGTGGCCGGTGGCTATCTGATCCGTGCAGTGGGCTGGCGCTGGGTGTACTGGCTTCTGGCTATTCTTGCGGGTATCATCGCCGTGTTTACGTTCTTCACTCTCCAGGAGTCGTATGCCCCGGTCATTCTTGAGAGGAAGACCCGGCGGCTACGAAAGGAGACGGGGAACCCGAACCTGCGCAGTGAGCTGGAGAGCGCGGGTGCATCGCCGGCGGAGAAGGTCAAGCTGGCTATTGTCCGCCCGCTGAAACTGCTGTTCCTTGCGCCTATCGTCACCTGCACCTCGCTCTACGTGGCCATTACTTGTGAGTGCTTACCTGCCTTCAGGAGTTGGTACGTGTTGTTGGGCTCAAACCGCTAACATGACACAGACGGCACGTTGTACCTCCTTTTCTCGACGTTCAGTCTCGTCTTCCCCCGCTACTACGGCTTCGACGAGGGCCAGAGGTACGCTTAACCCAATTATCCCATTGAACGAAAAACGCTAACCAAAGACAGTGGCCTCGTCTTCATCCCCTCCGCCATCGGCATGGCCATCGGCATCGTCGTTTTCGGCGCCCTTTCCGACCGTCGCGTCAAGAACAACCTCGACTCGGGCGCCGAACACCGTGCTGAGATCCGGCTTACACCCGCATTCACGCTCCCCGCCGGCATCGCCATCCCCGCTGGCCTATTCATCTACGGCTGGACCATCCAGTACCACATCCACTGGATTGTGCCCATGGTTGGAGTGGTCATCTTTGCTTTTGGCCTCATGGGTATTATGGTGAGTTTTTTTTTTTTTTCTGAAAACGTTCCTGTCTTAGTCTTGCAAGTCAGACACTAACATACCACCACAGATGTGCATCCAAAACTATCTTCTCGACGTCTACCCGCGTGCTGCCGCGTCCGTCACCGCCGCCTTGGCCGTTCTCCGTTCGCTCGCCGGCGCCCTACTCCCGCTCTGCGCTGTCAGCATGTACGGCGCGCTCGACATGGGCTGGGGCAACTCGCTTCTTGCGTTCATCGCTGTTGCGCTCATTCCTATCCCGTTGCTGTTTTACTTTTTCGGGGCCCGGTTGGTGAAGAAGTTTGAGATCAACTTATAGGGTTGTTTTGTGGGGGGGGTTTCAACTAGATTTTGGTCTTGTATCTGTTTGCATGCATGCATCGCCGGCTGGAGTTGAAGGTTGGGAAAAAGGGGGTTGTCTGTTGATTGCTTTTTATGAGATACCATATGACACGGATGCAAGACGTAATGATTAGAGTTTCTACGCTGGCCAAGTTGGCTCGAGTTGACCACTGCATCAAGACCCTGTGGGCGGGAAATATAATATGCCTGGCTCTCCATGGTGGGACTCAGTCGTGCAACCTCAGGTACAGTCGGGCTTTCTTCTCATAGGGACTAGAAGGGTCCCACGACGTCAATGTGCTGCGCAACCTTGGTTGGACAGGAGTGAAGGGAAATCGGTGGTTAATGAACTCAATGTTCTAAAAGACAAGCAAGACGGAACTAAGCAACATCAACCTCTACAACCAGCCAACATCCCATCATCTCCTCCCCCCCCCCCCTTTTTTTTTTTTCTTTTCCATATCCGACCCCTTTCGACTCAACCCCCTTGCGCACGGCGCACGCATTCTTCAACGGTGATCCAATGTCCTCAATGGCACTGCGCCTCCCACCTCTCAATATCCCCCCAGCACCCCTTATCACAAAACACCCCCCTCGACTTCATCTCATACCACGACGCCGGGCCCGAAGACATGGGAATAATTTCAAAGATGGTGTTCCATTCCTTGCCGGAACAGGTATCTTCGCGTCCGCAGGCTGCGAGGGCGAGGTCTCGCTGGTTGTACCCTTTGAATTGTTAGTGGGGGCTTAGCAACATGGGGTTGAGGTTAGAGGGAGGGAGGTGCTTACAGCCATCGTTGACGAGTGCGTAGCCGCATGCGAGGAGGGGGTCGTCGGCTAGGACGGTGGCGGCGGCTGAGAGGAGGATGGCGAGGGTGAAGGTCTTCATTGTTGGGGTGTTGTAGGGAGTGGGATGGTAGTCTTGTTGATGAAGAACGTGAGGTGATTGTTATGTGGCGGTTGGGTTGTGTTGTGTTGATGTGAGCTGCGAAGAAAGGAAGCTGGACGGGGTCACGGTGGGATAGAACTGGTTTTTATACACAACTCATGGATGTTTACCGGCGGCGGGTCTTGGGATGCTGAACATTATAGAAGTATCGCAGCTTGGCATCGAGAGGCAGTGTCGGGCGATGCATAACATCGGAACGAAGATGCAACTCGGTGTTACCCGTCTCCTGTGGAGAAATTTGTTTGGCCAAGGCGGATATGAGTAGGTTGATACCGAGTAATTGCCACTTTACCGACGCGGTTGAAAATGTTTACCCACTCACGCTTCAGCAAACTGCTGACGCCAACTCCCGCTTAAGACAACTCTGAGTACCGCCATCCAAAGTTGGCAACTCCCGCTCCATTTCGCGGCGCTAATTAATTACAGGCCAAAACAAGACCGAAAAGTCGTGACGAAACTCGCAAAATCAAGTGCACATTGCGTCAAGAGCTGATTTCCGAGTTAGCCCCTTGCAAGTTCAGGATCAAGAATTAACAAGTCGTTCTGTGGTTGCCATTGCTCGGGCAGACCACTCGGCTCGACAGCCGCCCAAAAGTGAGACTTGGCTCAAATAATTGGTTCAGACTCAACTGCCGCCAAATCACGTCCTCAAGTGTCTTCAATGTGAAAGAGCTGTCCAATTATCTAATGGGAAAATGCTTGACTCTCTACTCGCAGCAGCTAGTGTGCATACGTTTACCCCCCTCTCCCACCCTCTCTCTCCCCCTTTCGTTCTCACACCCGACACGTTCGTGACGGGAGAGGGCGAGCTCCCGCTAGACGGTGTCCGTTCCGTTTCGTGTTCGGGTGGGCGCCCTGGGGGGGGGGGGGTTAATTAACGACATGAGCTAGGCATGGGGCTTCTGGTAAGGGAGGTGCTTACACCCGCCATTGACAAGTGTGTAGCCGCAATTGAACTCAGGCTGGTCGGCCAGAACGCCAGCGATGGCCGAGAAGAGAATGGCGAGGGTGAGGAGTTTCATGGCCGGAGTGTTCTGTGGGCTAATATTGTCGATGAATGAGAGGCGATTTCTGTTGTGACGGCTGGGTTAGGTTGAAGGGAGCTGTTGAAAAAGGAGGTCGACAGGGGGGATGGGAGAACTGGTAAAATACCCCCTCGACTGTGCCACCCCCATCCAGCCCACGGCGTACTACAGTAGGTGTGAAGCGAAGGTTTGTAATACATACTGTCGTCAGCCGCATTACGCCCCCATTGCGCACCATTGGCATTAGCATCATGGTATCCATTGAGCCGCTGACCCTCCCCCGCCTAACTGCTATAATTAAGACAACCAGCCATCGAACGGTGCCGTTGACCTACTTACTGCACGGCACTATGGCACCTGTCGTGATGGATTAATTACATGATAGGTTGGCCGAGGACAAGACAGATGAGGAACTATCAACTATAATACTAAAAAGGAGGCCCCATCAATATCAAAAGGTCGCCACAACACTGGTAAACTCACAGTTGACATTAGGGTTAGAGCTAATTCCCGAGTTAACCCCTTGCAGATGCGCGATCAAGCATTATTATGTCGTATCGCGGTTGTTCTTGCTTGTTCTCGTTGTTTTTGTTACTGTCCGGGCAGACTAGGCAGGTTCTTAACTCGACAGCGATCTGAAGTGAAAGCATTTACTAGCAAGCATTGGCTAAAGTACCGACACTACATCTCCTGTCGGACCGGATGCATGGTCCGTCTGCTGCGAGACGTCAAGCTGCAAGTTGTTGGACTCAGTTGCTGCGAAGCCGTGTCCTCAGGCCTCTCCAATGTGAAGGAGTTGTCTAATAAGATCTAGTTCTCAATGAAGATCGAGTAATCAACTACCGTCATGAACCCGGATTTTTATTTTCTTTAATTCACCGGACGCCATTGCTCTCGGTAGGACTTGTTGAGAGAGGAAAAAGGTGGAGAGTGGAGCAGGTTAATAAAGTCGAAAAACTCTGATTTTCGTCAACCAATCGGAAACCACACACGATTGAATCGGGTATGGTGTAGCGGTAACATCGTTGACTCTCACTTCTCAGAAGTGACTGCTTTCTCAACAGCCCCGGGTTCGACTCCCGGTATCCGAGTAGATGTTCTTTTTTGGATTTTTCTTGTCCTGTTGGTTTGTTGTGGTTGAGTCCAGCTTTAGGATTTTAGTTGACTGGGGTGAAGTTACCGATAAGGATGGACCTAGGCTGGTCGTGCTCTCATTCCCGGGTGTGAGCGGGAAACTAAGTATCTAAGAGGCAGCCTGCTCGGAGTTAGTAACTGAGTCGAAGACTTCCGGACATTATTGTTATTTGACAGGACGAAAAAGCCGAACCGACCTAATTTGTCGAGCTGTCTAACCCTCAACCTCAAACGGCATCGAATGATTCCAAACCAAGACCTACATGTGTCAGCAAACCCTAGCATCGAATGGCCGCATGGCGTTCATAACCCTGAACGCCTACGACACCCGTCAGCACTTGTGCACCGCCCCGGAAGCAGGTCCGGAGGGTCTCGCCACGTTGACCAACGAGAAGCCAGAAATTATGTTCCAGATGCCTGATGCGGAAAGGCAAGATCGGTAAGGACGTACCACGCACGCTCGGCTAATTGAACCACCGACTTCTTTTATGGGGCTCGAGCTGTTAGGCTGAGTAACGGGCTCGCTTGTTAGGTAGAGGTAGTTACTGGGATCGCGACTTCGCCTCGACTATTTGGTAGTAATTAGCGAACGAAATCAAGGAAGTAAAGGGGCAATTAGGTACTGGTGCGTTGCGTGATTTGGGAAGAAGGCAGATATAAAGGGGGCAACAGCTCTGTTCTTGACACCTATCTGCATGCACCTTCTCACTCCATCAAGCTTCTAATACTCCTAAAACCACTTGTTGGGGGCCTCCAAACCAACTGCCATCACCATGCGAGTCACCTCCCTTCTAGCCGCGCTCTCCTGCGCAGCGACCACCCTAGCCCTACCTTCCACCACAACCACCACAGTCACCAATAATAAAGAGAACCCCCGCCTCGAACCCCTCCAATACATCAACACCACCCGCCTCCAGATCGCCTACTACGAAACCGGCCCCCCCACCGGCCCCCCCGTCCTCCTCCTCCACGGCTGGCCCTACGACATCCACAGCTACACCCACGTCGCCCCTTCCCTCGCGGCATCCGGCTACCGCATCATCGTCCCCTACCTTCGTGGCCACGGCCCCACCACCTTCCTCCACCTGACCACCCCGCGCTCCGGCGAACAAGCCGCGCTCGGCGCCGACATCATCGAGTTACTCGACGCGCTATCCATCCCCCGCGCCGTGCTGGCGGGCTACGACTGGGGCGGTCGAGGCGCTAATGTCGCGTGTGCTTTGCACCCGGAGCGCTGCGCGGGGTTGGTGTCGGTGAATAGTTATTTGATTCAGGATTTGGATCATGCGTGGCAGCCGCTGGATGTACCGATCGAGGCCGGGTTTTGGTATTTCTACTATTTCCTCACGCCGCGCGGGGAGGCGGCGCTGGCGGGACACCCGAAGGATATTGCAAGACTGGTGTGGGAGCGGAATTCGCCGCGGTGGAATTTTACGGAGGGGGATTTGGATCGGGCGGCGGAAGGGTTTGAGAATCCGGATTATGTGAGTGTGGTTACGCATGTGTATCGGCATCGGTTGTTGTATGCGCCGGGGGATCCGGCGTATGCGGAGGATGAGAGGAGGTTGAGGGGGTTGCCGCCGATTACGGTGCCGGCTGTGACGCTGGATGGACTGGCGGATGGGAATTTTCCGGCGACGGATGGGAGTGAGAGTGCGAAGTATTTTACGGGGGTGAGGGTGCATCATCAGGTGCCGGATGCGGGGCATAATTTGCCGCAGGAGAAGCCGGAGGCGTTTGTGGACGCTGTGTTGGAGGTGGCTAAGCTGGCTAAGTTTACTCCTTAGGGGTGGTTGGAAATGGGAAGTACATAGATTTGGTGAGTCAGGGGTGGGTGGTTGTTGAAGGGAGATTTTCTGTAATTATCTGAATATGCAACATACCGCTTGAATTAAACCAATTCCCAACCTTCGTTTGTACCTACCGTACCTTTTCAAGCCACTTAATTGCTGTAATACGTTCCTGTTTCACGATGTTAGCCACAAGTCATTCAACCACCAACACCAACACTCCTCCTACCAAAACATCTCAACTTACCATTCGGAAACGAGCATTGCCACCACCCCCCACAAAACGGCTCCAACCCCTCCGGCTCCGGCCCCGCATCATTCAACAACAACGCCGCCACCCCATGCGCCGGCACCGTCACCGTCACATTCCGATACGCCGTCCCATTCCTAGTATGCGACCACAAATCATACACCTCATACCCCCTCCCCGCCCTCACCGCCCAACTCTCCGTCAAATTAAACCCCATCTCCCGCGTCTCATCCTGCGTATTCAGCACCATCACCACAACCCCATACGACGAGTTCCCCGTCCAGTACTCCGCCGGGTGCGCCGGGTCCCAGGTATAGTCCGCATTCCACCCCCAGCGGAAGGGTACCACCGACTCGCCGACGTGGGGGTCCTGGTGGATGCGGAGGATGTCTTTGTTTTCGAGGATGGAGAGGGTTTCCCGCGTGGCGGAGGCCATGTCGGAGCTGATAAGCAGCGGGGATTTGAGTAAGGCCCAGGCGGTGAAGTGGGATTTGGCTTCGTCGAAGGTTAGGTTGCCCGGGGGGGTGCCGACGCCGGTGTTGCCGACTTCGAGGATGTCGAGGTCGTTGCGGGCGGAGAACTTGGTGGAGGAGGCGATGAAACTGGCTTGGTTGATGATGGAGGAGAGGGCAGACCACCAGGGTCGGATGTCACCACCGATTCGCCATGACTGGCCTAGGCGGGCACCCCATACCCACGGCTGCTGCCATCCCCATTCACACAAGGCTAGTTGCACTGGGTCGGTTTTGGTCTTATCCGCATGCGCCGCGATGGCGTCGACCATGCGCTGGTATCGGCCATACACGTTCTCCTGCGTGACGTTGTCGAAGGGGATGTAGCAGTTGTCGTACTTGAGGTACTGGAAGCCCCAGTCTGTGAAGGTTTTAAGATCGCGCGCCTCGTTGCCGTATGATCCGGGGAAACCGCCGCAGGTGCGATAGCCCGCGTCGCTGTAGATGCCCGCGCGGAAGCCGAGTTTGGAGAGAGAGGTGGTGAAGGCTTTCATGCCGTGGGGGAACTTTTTGGGGTCTGCGTACGCGTGTGAGTATTATGCTCAGAAGGGGTTGAGATGTGAGCCCTCACTCACCTTCGACAATGTTGCCCTTCTTGTTCCGCTCCTTCAGGCTGTAACAATCGTCAAGCATGAAATTCTACACGAAACGGATCAGCTTATGGTCTTGGGTCAAGTTTCGGAACCTTACATTGTACCCAGCGTCGAGAAGCCCATGGTCAACGATAGCTTGGGCCTGTTCTAACAGAATGTCGGCAGTGTAATCACACCCGTACAGATTCCATGCTAAGCATTGTCAGCTCGATGCGCATACATGTCTGTTGGTCTCGGTATGCGAATAGCTCACTCACTGTTGAACCCGAGAACTGGGAGTTTGCCCACACCGTTCTCCAGGGCTAGCGCCCCTGTAGCGAGCAGCCCGAGAAGCACCGTGACCGCCGTCATTGTTGTTTCGCGGGTTTCACAGTTCCGTTCGTTGTGGAGATCAGAGGTCAGCAATAAGCAGGCAAGTCAGACTCAATTTTGTCTCTGAGTCCCTCTGATTTTATACTGCAAAGGAATTACAAGTCTTGTTGGAGACTAGCAAGCCGACCTCGATTTGGGTTCCTGGATGTAAGTGTCCGAATCCGGAAACGGAACCCTTCCCTCCGTCCCCTCGGTGTGTATTTACACGATTCCTCCGCCAGTCCCAATCGTACGGGCAGCAGAAATCGAACATGCCCAGGGCGCTAGGGCGGAGGATAATGAAACAGCGAAGATGATTGAACGATTTGAAGCTCTTAGTGAGCTCGCCTGTCTTTTTATCTCATAAGGTAATGCTCGGAAGTCTTGGTATGGGGTTTCGCCCCAAGCACTCACAAAGACAGCACCCAAGCCTTGGTTCCCAGGCATCTTCAGAATCTCCAACCTCAATGGCCCTGGACCTGTCCCCATTCTTGCACCTTCCCTCCCTCCCTTCATATACCCCCTTTCCAACTCCCACAGTCACCAGCTCCTCCCAATTGACGTTAAACACCGGTTTGGCGCAGCGGCATTGGGAGGAGCACCACGCCAATTCCGTCGTAAAAATGGGTTCGAATCCCAGGCCAGCGAAGAAAAATCTTTCACCGGAAAGATTTTCGTAACCGCCGACCGCTATCCTTCCGGATGGGGATAGGGTTCGGCGGTGAGCTTTTTGGATTTCACCATTTTAAGTTCTGATATGGTACACAAAAGATGGTCTGCACTTTGTTTGCACTATGTAGACATTTTGAGCCACAATGAAATGTGGCATTTTGGGTATTAAATGAGGATAATGGGATAAGAGGTTGGCTTTTTTAGTTACTGTATCCTTCTTATTTTGTAGATTAGTCCGGTACAACCCCGTTAGAGCCCGGAAGTGGTGGGCAACAAGTCAAAACTTAGATAATACCTAATCTTATGATTGAATTGAATACTATCAAAAAGCACTGATTTACTTTTGTCATGACTTACCTCTGAAATTTAATACCAGCTCCCAGTGTTGAGCGTACCATTTCGACGGGTTACCTACACATTCCCCGATTGGATCTTGAGCCTATCCTTGCCCTCGTCGAAAGGGAAATAAATGCCACTCCCACCTCAACAACGCCCACCTCACTTCGGCACCGTCCTTGGTGACACCTCCCCATTCAACACCTCAGGATCCCGCGCAGGTTGTGTCCAAACACTCTTACCCTCCTCACCCTCGCCCGAACGACCCCACGGTCGATTAGCCTTCCAGAACTTCTGGAACTTGGCATCTCGTACTACCTGCACCTTGCGCTCCTCACAAGTACCCAGCGCCTCCTGCACCTGGCTGTAGAATGGTTCCTCCTGGGTCGGGAACCACACGAGGTCTGCGGGATCCAGGGTGCGTGCCTCGAGCCACTCTGCCCACTGTGCCTGCCAGCGGGCGCCGTTGCTTACCTTGGGGTCTGCTAATACCGGTGCGTTGGGAAGTGACTGGAGGGGTGGGTTTGGTGGTGGGGGTGGGGATTCAACGGTTGGTGGTGGTGGCCTGGGAAACTTTGGCCACGGGAGGTTAACTCCTGCCGTTTCCTTGGGCGGGAGGGAGTCCCAGAGGTCAATGGCTTGATGGATACCGACGGTAAGTTCGTGGAAGGCAGCGAGACTGAAGTCGAGATCTTCGATTCTTTCTTGAAGGGTCAGGGAGTCGATTGCGGCAATATCTACTGCGTCTTTTACGTTCTGGTAGAAGTCGATGGCTTCTTGCTGGAGTCGCATTGATTCTCGTTGGGCGAAACGGGCTTGGTAAAAGCCCGTCAATCGATTGACAATTGCCGCGGCGAGGGGAGGAGCCATAGCTACAGAAAAACTCGGGGGAGCGGTGAAACGTCTGGGTGTTTAGCGTATTTGGGTGTCAATGTGAGTTTACCTCTACCTATCCGATAAAATGATACGCTCCGGGCGAAGGTGTAATGGGGCGTTGGAATTGATTTGATTGACTTTACATCTCTCGATGGGAGCTTCAGGGCTTTAAATATGCAAGAAGTTTCAGTCAATGTAAATATCGCAACCTAGTAGCAACAAAGACTTTGGCTGCGTGCTAGCTGAGAAACAATGCCTTTGTCCTGTCTAACTTGTAGTACAGATGGTTCTTTGCTAAATATGTCCAATATTTCGACAATGAACTTTTGAGAGGTCGCTCAGTTTGAAGCCCGGCGCGCCTCGAAATATCTAGTTACCGGCATCGATGGAAGGCTGCGTGGGATTGTTTGTCCTGCCGATGTTCTGTTGAACCAAAGAACGGGAGATCCAGGGGAGACGTTGATGCACGTATACTTGTTTGGCCATTTTCGTGTTGGACGAGGTTCGTTTACCATCTCGGCGAGCACCACCAATTCTATGACCCAATCAAAAACCTGCGTTCGGCATGAGAAAGAAACCGCGTGTGGGACTGGAATGTGGTGACCGTCGGCGGGGACGTTGTGCAACTCGGGGGTGCGGTGCTTGGGAAAGGGGAATGTTGGCTCGTTGGTTGGGAACTTGAGCTCTCAAATCATCCCAGGCACGAATAGCCGTCAGCAGGTGACCGGAAATCACAAACCGCCAAGAACCGCGGCTCGGGAGCCGGTTGGAAGGTGCGGGAGGCTGTGTGGGCTTCGACTTGTGCCGAACCTTCGTTGGGCACACATTGTCGGCTGCTTGTCTCTGATTGGCTACTTGATTCCGAACTTGGAAGGAGGGTGGTGGGGCCAGGTTTCCATCGCAGGCAGGCACAACAGCAGAGGCTTGGGAGGCAAGGTGCGCCGTGGGCACTTGTAGTGAAAAGGAAAGGAAAGAACCGCGACGGTGGCCTGAGTAGTTTTAGCTTCGGATGCGGCTTCCGCTGCTACCTATGGCGGAAGTTGCACTGTTTGACATGTGCGTCCGCCGTGCCACTGTGCGACAGTTGTCCCGCCTCAGTTTTGCCCGCTGAGTCTGGCTATGAAAGCCTCCGAGGCGGCACATGCTGGGCAAAAATAGGGTCCGCGCCGACTGTGATCGGCCGAGGATCGAGTTTGCGATTGCCATAGCCTCCCCACGCCCTTTTCAGACAGCGTGGTTCACATGACGGCGTTTCTGGGAGAGCATGTCGAGATCTCAAACCGACTTATGTCAAATATGAACACGACAGCCCCGGCTACGCCCACCGCTTTTCCTTCCTCGATTTCCGGATTGATCAAAACTAATATTCGGTGTGCGATCAACTAACAACTAACATAACCCCTCGCGGGTCCACTACCGCCACCAAGCCCTCGTCGGCCCGTTTTCTCCCAGTCCAGGCACGGGTTTTGTTCCCCGCCTTTGACAGCGGCCTGTCCCGTCTTCATTGAAAATCAGCGACATCGGACCGGGTTGTCTCTGCCCCGCGGTACACAAATCAAGAATCCGACAAGAAGTATCAAGCCCCATCAAAAACATTGGTAAGTTAGTTGTCCCTGAATCAACAAAATCTTTTTCATGACGCCCACCTTAAATTTTATCTTCTTCGCCAATATGTTCTCCTTTCTTCAATTTCCCCGTTTCCGACTTTGTGTCTTCCCCTCTTGCACCGCAACATGAAAGTTGATCTCGACCGCCCCTCATGCTCCACGTGGGGTTCTCGAGTGGGGTCCGCCAGAAAACCATCTCAACTCACCGCTTGGCATCTCCACTTACTGTTCCCAAACAGTCAACTTAAGCCTGTGCTGACCGCCTGTTTAGCGGGCAACCTCAACAATTTCTGGGGAAATCACGAGAACGCAAGGTTTTCCTGTCTCAGCACCTCGAGTGTCTCCAACTCGAAGCGACTACAGTTGGTGGGTCTTCAGGTTCTGCTTTCTGAAGATCGATAACTCTTGAAAAAGCCCCCTGAAAAACGTGCCGGTCCAGAATTTTGGGTCGGCCACAAACTGGTTTATTTCGAGTTTCTGCGGCTCTGTGTGTGGCTTCTTATTCCCGCAGTTTCATGTTCCATTTGGGACCCGCAGGCCTATTTCATGCTTGATGAGAGTTGCAGCAACCCAGGTTTAACTGCATGACTTGAACAGAACGGACCTGCAGGTGCGGCAACAGCGTGGTTGGTGTGTTCCTGGCTCGGTCTGGACGACGTGCAAGTTGGGGGCTGGCTCCCCATCGCGGACATTTCTCATTGGCGCACTCTATTCGCAAACTTGCAGCAAACCCGGTGGCGAGCGTCTGGAACTTCACAGCGCGGCCCCGACGATATCCACCCGGTTGTTTACACCCGAGAGAGAGGGGAGCGGTTACTTGACCGCAACTTCCCGGAAGGGGCTCACCCTGCGCCGAGAGTCAAATTTTGTTCCATGCCCTCCCCACAAGCTTGACCGAATTAAAGAACCGGCGGTTTTCCCACACTCTCTTCTAGATTATTCTTTTCGTTTTGCCGGTTGGCCTTTTTTGACGACTTCGCCGACTTGCGCCGGTTGTGATGCTCCTAGTCTCAAGTCCGGCACGACACAATGGCCGCCATGTCCCACTTAATACACCTCACGGCCATCGACCGCCCAGACTCGCGGGTCAGTATGGCGTTATCCGACTCAACGTACCATAGTTTTCAGGACAACGATTTGCCCGAACCAGAGGCACCATCCCGGCCTATTGAGAACAAACCCATCACTGTGCGCCCGCCACCCACGGTAGTCGACGCCAAAGAGGAGGAGTGCGAGCCCATGGCTGGCGCAATGCGTCGGCAGGACTCCGGTTACGAATCGATCATCACGCGTGAAACATTATCATCTCAACCTAGGACATCGTCACCTGCCTCTTTTTCCTCCGCACGGCAGCGCCGCACCCGGCCACCAAACCGCCGGTCTCCAAAGTTAGCACCCGTATCACACCGTCCCCGGAGCGCCCTCCACACCGTCTCTCCTCCAGGCACATCCCGATCACACTCATCCCAGCCCCAGCAACCAGTCTCGTACTTTTATTTCCCGCACTTCACCTCCTCAGATCCCGCGCTAGTCGAACCGGGACTCATGGCCGACGACCGCAACCCCAAGGATTCCACTTCCACAGCCACCTACGCCCTACGCTGTGATTCACAGTCGCACCAGCTGCCGCCCCAAACGACACACTACTGGACCAGTGACCGAACAAGGAGACTTGAGTATGCCGCCATTGACGCGGCAAGCAAAGGGGTCCGTGGTTGGGTGATGCGGCACGTGGTGCCAGACTGCTTTGTTCCTCAGAGCAAGCGGCGGGTCGGTTTCGAGGATGACCGGGGTAGTGTGGTGCGGTACCGCCTCGACTTGGACACGGACGAGGGCATGGAGAAGCCTCAGTCAATCAGAGAAGGAGGCTGGAAGGGGTGGTTGTTCAGCAGCCGCCGTCGTTGAGCTCAAAGGAGTAAAAAAGATGGTCTAACCGGCTCCATTTCGGCAACCCAGGCTCGAAAAGTTGATCTGACGACAGCCATTACGCGACTGGCGAGCAGGAACTCTTTTCGCTACACGATTTCTTTCAGGCACTGTGCCAGTGGCGCAAGTGATAATCTTCCTATTTTCATTTTTTTGTTCTTTCCGGCATTCGGCAGCATTTCGGCAGCATTCACAGTGGTATTTCCGGATTGGCATCACATTTACACAGGACTCATCACAAGACATGGGTCAGGCGTTCTATACCCCTGCGTTGCAGCATTGATGTCTTTTTCTCTCGCCCTCGCCCACGGGATGGAACAGACTAGAATCTGGCGAGGGTTGAGAGGGGCAGCTTGCATTTCTTTTGGGACTTTTGGTGTGTATGTCAATTTGTAATTGAAGATTGCATGGCGATGGATCAGAGGATATTCATTTAGGACCATATCAGGTGTGAGAAGTGAGATGGAGAGTAGGGAAGGAGGGACTGCCTTCGAGGGGAGCCCGAAGAAGGGTAAAAGAAATTGCCACTTCTGAAGACATGTTCCAACAGAGACATGGATGGAAACATGATCAAACACGGGCATGGCCAGGGAAGGAATATGGAAAGGAGTAGGAGAGAGCGGGAACTACGGGAAATCTACGTAAAGTAATACCGTGAATATATTCCATTTGTTGTTCAAGTAATTTCCCCCTATTCTGACTGCGACTAATTTCTCTCCATTACCCTTGCCTGCTTTGAGGGTTGACATGACTTAGCGCGGGATACTTCCCCATGATTTGAAAACAGCATTCCACTGACGGCTGGGGTATGGGCTTGTATAGCTAAGGTGTGAACAGTTACTTGTTGCTTGAAAGGATACCCCCCGAGAAGATATTACAAGGGGCATCAAGTGAAGATCTGGTTATCATGGGCGCTTTGACGAAGGTTTGTAGGTCCGGGGCCGGTAAAGTGGTCTTTCTTCCACGTCTTTCACTTCATAAAGGGGAACGTTGCGAGCTGCTATTAGGGTAGATGAACATGAATCCAATCTCCGAACAAAGGCCGAACAAGTACTAGCACTTGCCTACTTGTTGCTCGAAGAACAGGTTAATTCACAACATCTGGGCTTGTAACATGGAAAAGGGGTTAGTTAGTAACGAATATGAGAGGGGGCATCGTTGGAGTAGGCAAGCAAACCACAATCCAATTCGAGTTGAGTTATTTAGATACAATTTCATACAATTCGATCAAGACGCAAGGGATGTCATGCTCAGTTACAAACTTTCTTTACCATGACTTCGTCTACAACCGCGTAATCTCTGGGACAAGATCTTGGTTAATTTTGGAATAAGGGATCGTCTTGCAGCACACGCCATCCAGTTAACATGCAAGAACAGCCGATTTCAACGTCCGAACTCCAAGCTTGAGGCCTTTAGAGTCCATAGAATGCTTATGCTTGGTGTGAGGCTTTCAAATATCTAACGATTATCTAGTCTCTCACCGATCACTGCTCCCTTGGCCACAAACTACCTTTGATAGAAGAACACGAGGTTTATGGCCATCAGTGTCTTATCCACCGGGGAATCCGGAGTCTACCGGCGCTTTGTACTTATCCCAGAGGCATCCCCAGACAGGACATTGCGGCTCAACTTGGTCCAGCCGCAACAGGCGGAGACCAACCATCACGACTAAGCATCATGAAGGGCATTAGCCCTGCGGCTGGTGTTCTCCGCCATGAGCAGAATCACAAACATAAATCCATTCCTTTGAAAACCCGCTTGGCTTCCTTCTTCTTCCCCAATTCAGCAATTTTTGCTGATTACACTTCACAACCACCACAGTCGCGGGCCAGCCTGAACCTCTTTGGAACTTCTTATTCCTTCGGCATCGCTGATCAAAGGAATAAGATCAGTTTCTACTCTTTAGCTTTCTTCGATTGCTTTTTCCCTTTTCTTTCCTTCTTTCTTTCTATCTTGTAGCATCACCATCCCACCAATACACGGGGGTGGGGAAAAAAATCGAAAAAGAACAAAAGACAATCCGCGACAACTTACCATCAAGATGTCGAACTCCAATTTCAACCCCAGCACGAGCGCCCCTTTGAACCCCCGCCTCGACGCCGTCCCAGTGGCTGGGAGTCAGGCCAAGTCCGAGGCCAACTCCTCAGCTAAAAACGACAACGCACCCTGGGCGGTGGGGGGCGAGATCTGTGGGATCCACGAAAGAGGTGCTCGGTACGTTCAGAAGGATATTTGCGGTGGCAGTGGCCGCGGTAAAGTTGGGATTCGGACGAATTTGACTGACAGCCTTAGCAGTGCCGGCGGTGCGCGTGGTCTCGGAAACCACATTCTCGGGGCTGCCGGCGCCCTAGTCCTTGGTTGTCCCGATGCTGCTGCTGATGCAGTTCTTGACGCCATCAACGCCAACAAGGACAACGTCAACAAGGACAACGTCAACAAGGACAACATCGCCAACAAGAACAAGCAGACCGATACCAGCAGCAACGACAATAACAACAACGATGAGGACAGCAACATCGCAACCCAATTCGCACCCTGCTACCCTTGCGAAGCCGACATCCGCCTCGTCATCTGCGATCGGTCCGGCGAAGTCCGTGGCTACGACGTCCAGAAGGAGCCGATGGAGGATGCGTCGCTGGTGTGGCGCGATATCTTTGCTCAGTTTGCTGCTCAGATGCCAGTTAAAAAAGAAAAGGCCAGAAAGAGCGAAGAAGATCAAGAACCCCCGCCGGTGCTGGACCTGACGCAGGTCAAGCAGCCGTATGATGCGGCTGGCTTTGAGGTGGTGCTCTGGTTGATGCATGGGCTGTTTTCGAAGGTTGAGAGGGCGCCGGCGATGAAGTTGTTGTATAATGTGGCTCAGGTTGTGGAGATGTATCAGTGTTGGGGGGTGTTGGCTTCACATTTGAAGGATTGGTGAGTCTTTCCTGTTTTTGGTGTTTTCCTTGTTTCTCTTAGTGAGACGATGGAAGAGATGGAACCGACGTTGACCGACTTTGACTCCACAGGTTGATTCACCTTGACCGGTATATTTGCGCCCATCATGACAGCGTCGACGATGAAAAGCTGCTCTTCATCAACTGGGTCTTTGGTGACGCCCACTTGTTTCTCGGGGTGCTGTTTCGCGCCGCCCATAAGGCCACGATTGACCAAAATGGCAATCTTCGGGATAGCCGTGGCAGACTGTGGTCCCTCAACCCGGACCTGCCCCGTCCCATCATCGGTATGTCAACCTACTTCCTAATCCAGAGTGAATCTGGAGTCACCCATGGTACTTAGTATGTAATTATGCTACTATTAAACTGACACCCCACCAACGAAGATTCCATCCCCCAACTCCGCTTGGTGACCATCGAACGCATACTCGGCACGATTACGCAAGTCGTGTCCTACCTAGAGAGTCACAAGAATAGTTCTGGGCACTGCCACGTCTACGACAACAAGAAGAATCCTTTCATCTCCAAGACCATCGCGGCCGAGTACTCTCACTTGTGTCTCCAAATCCAACTCGACTCTCTCCTCGCTGGACTCGACGCGGTCGAGGTTGGTTACCCTACCCCGGCGTCCAGGGCCTCGGAATACCACGAGAGCGTCAACACGTTCGCCAACAAGATTCTCGACATTAAAATTGCCCGACTGCATATCCCGGACGGCCCAGAGTTTCTGGGATGCCACGTGGGCTGCGGGCAGTATCTTCGGGGGTGCATTGTTAGGATTATGAAGCAGAATCATCTGATTCTGCCACAGGAGATAAAAGAAAAGATGGATGAGCGACGGTTGCGGTCGGAGGCGTGTCCGGGATTGAGTGGGCTGGTGAGGGGCTGTCGGTGTGCCCTTGGGCATGGCTTTTGAGGATGTGTTGAACTGTGGGTGAGGTTTTGAGGGGGATACCAGCCAGTTACATGTAGGGTTTGTCTTAGGTCTGGGGTGAGCAAGTGTTAGGTAGTGTAATTACAACTTGTACTTTTAGCAAGACCGGTGTCCTTGGTTTGACCCTGTGATCCAATACTTACTTGTTCCTAGAGCCGTTATGGGCGAGCCGTACGAGGCTTAACCCTCTCGTTGATAAATAACTATAGGTAGCGGAACCCGTCCCACGATTTATCGGCCCGAGCAAACGGACCAGTACAGTCGGGCATCATATCCATCGACGACATACCTTCCGAGACCAACATCAGCCCAACGCCGATCTCACGATAACAACCCTAGACTCGGACAACGCCTCCTCATTTTCTTGAACAGCATCGGCAAAACTTGCCTCGCGATAATGAACTATGCACTTCCTGAGCCCATTCAGCGCAGTAATAAACCAACAAGACAATACCAAGACGAAATATCAGCCACACACTATTTATCCACACCGTGATGCATGGATCAGCGTGCGGGAGCCTTCCGCTGCTCGTCGTATGTGTTGATCGCCGTCGCGTGGCCCGGGTCTTTGCATGGATTTGCATCATGCCGGAAATGACAGATTGTAAACGGACTGATGTTGGCTACACCAGTAGTACACCTAGGTAGGCAGGTCCTAGCACCGGTCTCGTCGGGATCTAGGCACATGGCGATACATGTAAGTGCAGTTATTGGCCGGAAGCTCACTCAGGTAAAAGTTCCTGATTCAGGCCCGGAACGGCTACCATAATTACCTATGTACTCAGATGGACAAGGCAGGAAGAATTGTGCTGGGAATTCGTTTAATTAGCCCGTTCGTAAAGGAAATTCTAGGAAACATGGAGAAGTGGTACCCCAAAATGCGTTTTGTGCCAGCTGAAACTACGAGCCAAGGGGGGGTTGCTGGGTGTCGGACCATACAAACGCATTGCAAACCCACCATCTAGCTTCCGCATCACTTATCTTGATTACTGGACACATGGGCTGAGGTTGTGGTGCATTATACAGAGGTAATTAGGAATGTCTCACGTAGACATTCTAGTTCCTTGGTCTCAGCAAACGAGCTAACCCGGCCTACCTAGTTAGTCCGCAGCTCACCATGAACCCCAGCCTTGACTCCGCCTTCCCCATTCTAAGCCCATTCCAAGGCATCCGGAGGAATGCGGTGCCACACTAGACGCCCTCTGTAATTCCCCGAGAGCGTTTGACAAAGACTAACAAAAAGTCAGCCCAAAACCAAGATTCCGAGAGGCGCTTGCGTGCCCTGGTACGGCACACTGCAGCGGTGCGACGGTCAATCCCGCAGTCATGTCGCCGGCCGCGGCAAATCCGTTTGGCCGTTTGGCCGTTTGGCAGTTCCGCCTTCATACCGGCCGTGCCGAAGCTCAAGAAAACGTGGGAAGTTATCCGTACCGCCGGTGGTCGGAGGAGATACACGTGGGCGGTGCCGTGAGGGTAGTCGGATGGGAAGGCTGGCATTCCCGGAACGTTATCCTCGCGCTGTCGTCATTCCGAGCGATATTTTCCTTTCTTTCAGCCGTGGGCACACACCCCTCCTCCTATGTCGTCCTCGACACCCTGTGCGACCCACCTCTTCTCAGGTCGTTAGTATTTCGTCCCATCTATAAAACCCGGTTACGTCTCCCCGCGTCTCAGTTCGTGATCCAGAACTCGGGCAGTACGTTGTTTCGGATCAAATCTTGCACCTCATGACTTCGCCCATCGATCTGTGACGAGTCAAAACCCCACCAGACTTACACTCGAGACTCGACAATCTTTAAATCCCCGTTAATCAGATCCCTCAAAATGGCCTACCGACCACCAAACACCGCATCACCACTCCCGAGCATCGTAACAATGGTAGGCCCAGGAAACCCATCCACCCCATCCATCTCTGCGTTCTCCCACTCACCTCCAACACCCCCATCCGCAATGGGGCCAACAAAAACAACCCCAACAACATCAACATCAACAGCCCTCACCAACACCCGCACAACCCTCACCTCCCATCCCGCTCCCGTTCCCGTTACCGAAACCCGCACCCTCCTAACCTTCCCAACCAACGGCCTCCCATCCCCCCGCATCCTCCCAGCGAGTGCCTTTCCACGCCACCAGCCTGCCACCGCAGGCCCTAGCTATGGCAATCATCCACCGTACATCTCCCATCAACAACAACAACCACCGTCCAGCGTCGGCGTCGGCATCGGCACCGGCGTCCCCTTCAGGGCCCAGACAAATCGCTGGTTGTGCTGTGTTTGCGCAGAGCGCGAGGTTTTTGATCCTATTGGGATGGTGTTTCACGCTGAACCTCCTTCCCTTCTCTACCCTGCTTCTTTTCCTCGTCCCTCGGCTTCGGCTTCGCCAGCTATGGGAGGGGGGTATGCGTGGGGGGAATATACGAGTGCGTTTATTGGAGACGGTGCTGTGGGGTTTTATACCGGTCGGGAGGGACAACAACATCGCTCAGGCGGCGGTGGTGGTGGCAACCGCCATGGTGACGACGACGCGGGGACCTCATACACCACCTGCCACAACATGAACTGTCGCCACCAGCAATGCGTCAACTGCGCTCTCTTCCCGGGAGCTGTCGGGGGTAGTTACAGGGCGAAACAACTGGTTCGTACAGTCGGGGGACTTTATACTTCGCCACGGTTTGTGGATCCGGTGTACTGGGAGTGTGGGACGTGTGGGGAGTCGGTGAGGAATAGGTTGCATTCGCGGTGTGTTATTGGGATGGCGGAGTGTCAGGGGGAGAGGTGTGTGGGTATGCGGCAGCAGGTGGGCGGATCGCGGCTTGGGTATGGGGGGGAACAACACACTATGGGGGGAGGAGGAGGAGGAGGGGTGTTGATGGCGGATAGTGTGGTGATGAATCGGTATGGGCAGAGATTGGGGACTGCGGATCAGAGGTTTGCTGTAGCGGATGGGCCGTGGCATTGGCAACGGCGGGCGTTGGGGGATTCGAAATGTGCGGTTGTTTCGGGGACGAGGAAGCTGATGAACAGACCGCTGGAGGGGGGTGTCCGGCGGGATGGTGTGGTTCATGAGTTGTGGAAGGATGGGGAGCCGGTGCCGAATTACCCTTATCGAAGGCCGCCGCCGTTGAATGAGGATGATGCACATGAGAATAACGAGTATGAGGTCACGTATCTGGCGGGGATAGCGGCGGAACCGTCGGATAAGGGGAAAGGGCGAGAGGAGCGGTATGGGGTCCTTGATCAGGGTCCACGGTTTGGGTCGGCTTCGAGTCCGGGTGGTGTCAGTCCTGGGGGGGCTTCTTCAGATTCTTCGTCTTTTTTTCCTGGATGGAACAATTTGCAAAGGTAGCGACGGGGTTACTATTCCTACAAGGTATAAACGAACAGAGTCACTGCTAGCCATCGCAAGCCGTCGTAGAGATTTCGTTGATCCCATACGCCTAGGCGCCCAAGGTAAGCACAGTGTACGGATCGCAACATCTGGATAGGTAATGTGTGGCTCTGTTGTTGATGAGTCGGGACCGAGTTGGGTGGTGTCGGATCGGCCCGGATCGATTCTTAGCGGCGGGGTTGCCCCTCCCCCGCAGTGACGTTGAATGCCGAAGCAGCCGACAGGGATTGAAGATGGGCCAGAAAGCTTGCCTGAGGTCCCAACTTGAGTCCCGGCTCAAAGGTGGGAAATACACCACTCGGTAATAAAACTTAGGGCAAAGATAGAACAAGGCGGGGTAGGGACATCAGAAGGGTAAAGAATGTAAAAAGATCCGCAAACTGGCAAATTGAAGAAAAGTAGGATGACGGTAGAGAAGCCTTGCCGTGACAAAGCAGTGCCATTGTGATGTGTGATTTACTTGGAAGCTAGGCAGATGTAAACTTTCCAGATTGGTAGGCATCCGTGGATGGGGAACACGGAATGTTTGGCAGCTATGCTGGTTGACTCATTGAAGAAAAACAGAAGGCAGAAGCAAAACCGTCCTGGGAAAAATATATGCTTCTCGGAAATAGGCAACCAAGTGACGGGAAAGATCATGAGTTGGCAAACACAAAGTGTGGAGGAGTTTGTCATGGCAAGTCACTTAACCCCGAGAAGGGGGCCAAAACCATGGAGAGGTTCATCATTGACCGAAGAGACTGGAAGGCCAGGCAGGTCGACGCACGGGCCAGTCACCCAGTTCACCAGCAGGGAAATTCCCCACACGCGAGGTAGCCCAATCAGGAACCAGTGCATTTTTTTCGGCGGGGAAAACGTCAAAAAATTTGGCTTTCGTCGCTTTGTGGTCTGTGCAGCGCCGAACTCCCTGTTCTTGCTTGCGCCTCGAACAACCCGCAGTTTTGAAGTTTGAAGTTCTGCTGGCGACAACGAAACTGGCAGAACCACCAAGCCGCCCTGCGGAACTATTCCTTGCCGTCGCCAACCTGAAGCGATCGGACGGTATTGTTCGTTGTCTCTGTTCTCCCTGCGATTACCACGTGCTAACGTTCAACAAGCAAACAGGGAAAGGCTGCGCGCGTCGCACTGCTTCAAGTTCCGTGAAAACCGCCAAGTGATCGGGCTTCCTGATTCCACTTCTCCTTCTTCTCCGACCGTGGTCCAACATTCATTTCCACCACGACACTCCTTTTTACCATTCCCAAAGAACACCACACCGCCTACGGCTGCCGTCGACGAATCTTCTTTCAGCAACTCATCTCACAATCATGGCGCCTGTCAATGGAGTCGGAGGCAACTCGGCCAACGCCAAGACCGCCGCAGTTCGGCCCCCCAATCGAGTTGTCGTCCCTGTGCTGCCCCTCAACTTTCCTCAGCGGCCTGCGAATAAACCGCCGGCCCCTCCGCCTGCTATTCCCTATTCCTTGATAAAGCCACAGAATGGAACACGTCCCAATGAGCAGAAGGCAGCACCGGATGTGCAAAAACAAAGCCGGGATCATTTGAACGGAACCTCGACATCGCATGGCCCAAGCCCCACAAAAGAGGCCGATGCTTCAACTCCCCCCGCTGCTCCTGCTCGCATTGTCACCACGGCAGAGCAGATGGCACCTGCCCCGGCACAGGAAGAGCTTGACAAAGGTACGAATTCCTCATTAATTCCCCCCTCCCGAGTTGGCCCCGAGCCTTTCCCCATATCTACCCGCATCCTCAGTTTCCCTTCTCAATCCTCGTCCTCAAGATTCCCCCAAAGTTCCCCATTTTCCCTCTCGAGGGTGTGAAATGCCGACTAACGAGCACCATGGCAGACACCCCGACCATTTCGTCTACATTCCCCGATCGTCGCATGCTCCCGACTACCCGTACTCGACCACCGGGGCTCCCCAACCCGGCATCCGAGCCCATGAGCGCATCTGGCCCGATTCCTGAAGGTCCCATTATGGCCCCACCACCCCCCGCATTCGTTAACCGACCGGCATTCCACCAGCCTCACCCTAGTAACGGGAGCTTGGGATTTAACGGTTTCCACGACTCCAACACGTCCTCGCCTGCCCCTCGTACCAGCGCTGCCTTTGGTCCTCCTCCGGGCCTACTTCCTTACCCCCCGCCCGCTGTTGACGCCTATGGTCGCCCGGTTCTTGTCTCTCCCGTCGTCGATGGATTTCCCCCGAACCATATGAACCACCATGGCCCACCTACACCCCATAGCTTCCATGGTTCGCATTCATCGGGGCAAGCAGAGGATCATGGTTACAACACGTACGGTGCCCCTAATGGCAATCCAGCCCACCCCGTTCCATCGGCCGGGCAAACGACCATGCCTCCGCCTGGACTGAACCCTCCGATGAATGGCACGGTGCCCGCTGCCTCGCCATCGGCCGCAGCGTATCAGAGCCTGTGCGACCAAGACGAGGCCTTGTCCTTTCTCCGACACGGCATTTCGGACGCTACCTTCAACGACTGCGTCCTCGAGGTTCGCTTCTCTGATAGCCAAGAATTCCAGGATCATCCCAACTATCGACAGCTGCACCGCGCTCTAAGGACTCCCGGCCACCGTTTCATCTTCTCCCGTAGCCCTGTTCTCGCCGGAGTCATGAAGACCCAGGGTTCGATGCCGGGAAGCATCATCTACCTCGACGCCAACGACGAATACCTGCGGTCGGATACGTTTTGGTTTTCTCTTCGCACTCTTTACGGCTGGAGCCTCGCCGATGGTATTCTGCCCACGGAATTGGCCCTTCGAGATGTCGGAGACGACCTCAAGACGGCACTTAGCTACATTGCGACCGCTCGCTACCTGCAGCTTCCGTGGGTGCGTTCTGTGGCCATCCACCGTGCCAGCCGCTTAATCTTTTGGAACACGATTGAATCCGCGGCCAAGTTTGTTTCCCGGATCGTGGCCGTATCACCCCGGGACGATGCGTTTGGTATTTCGGAGTTCTTGGAGCAGGTTCTCGGTTTTATTGTTCACAACTTCCCCACCGACTTCGTGCTCGACGCTCAGGCTGGCGACTACGGCTTCTCCCGCTTCCCACCCTCCGCGGCCGTGACTCTCAGCCCCAATGCACCCGCCATTGCCAATGGAACATCGGGTGGACTGCATAGCAGGCAGTCTTCCCTTAGCCAGACTCAGATGCCGCGCAACTCGCGCGCGCCGTCAGCAGGCATACGGTTGTCCCAACTCAAGTTTGGGGACATGTCGCCGGCCAAGAACGGACAGCAACCTCGCCCTCCTACGACCAACGACACGATCCTCTCACGGATCCTCTTGAATCTGCCATTCGAGCTCCTAAAGCAGATTTTGGAGCACCCCAGCCTCGCTAAGCTATCTGGCGAGCTCGGCCCGAAGGCTCGGCAGTCCATCATCGCCCAGATCATCGCTGAGCGCGAGGCTAGGCGTCAAGCGGTTTTGGACAAGACCTCGGATCCTAAGCTGAGGGTCTATCAGGAACGCGTCGAGAAATCGACGGTTCCGCTGATCGTGGGACACATGGAAGATTTCTGGGTCAACAACCTGGGTTTCAGAGAGGAGGTATTTCCCGGTGATCTTCCGTACCTCGTCCACACCTGGTCGCAGCCAGCTTCGGCTACTTCCAGTGCCTAAGCCCGGTCAGTCTTGGTTGCGGGTGTTACTGATTTACTTTTTACGACTTGATGATGATTTGGAGGCGTTTGGTTGTTGTTGATTGGGAGGTCTACTGGGTTTGACCTATTTACCACGGGGATGGGCCCCTTTGTTGGCGTGTTGCGGGCTTTTGCACCCTTTTTGCCAACTTGCTTGCCTCTGCGGTTTTCGCGGAGCCGATACACCTTTCCTAGGTCTTGCTTCGCATTTTGCATTGCGTTTGGAGTCGCACGGTTATATAAAATCGCCCGCCCTCACTTCAGGGCGGGCTAGAGCGGAACGGTGGGACGGCGAGGGCGTGTTTATGTATTGGTTTGTGTTTTTCCTATCTCTCGCCCCTTCCGCGTCCCGGGCGATCTCTATTGGGTTTCGCTTAGGGATTTCGAAGGTGAGAGGTTGATTGATAGCACTGTTCGCCAGCATTGGTGACCGATGTTTAAGTCGCTTCTGGGGGAGTACCCTGCAAGGGTGCCGTGAGATGAACACCATGACGACGGACGCTTCAGCTTTTCTGGCCTGACGTTTTGGAGTCGCGGTTTGGGATACAGGATTTTTGTGTTGGGGATTTCAGAGCAGCACTCATCACAGAGTCTAAGTGTAAGGGCTGGGGACATGGGGAGGTGGACTTGTGATGATAGAATCTTGTAAAGGGTTATATATCCCATTAGGTGGAAAATGGGAGGGGTATGGGCCTGCTTGATGGTGTGCTGTTACTTGTCGGGAATGAGGGAAATGATTAGTCTTAATACCAATCGCAAGCTTTTCACCCAACCATAGCATCCCCCAGAACGGCAATGCGTCATGAAGGGACTTCTCTTGTCTTTAGTAATCCGAAATCCCACACCACTCCGGAGCGTTAGCATGCACGTGTGTTCTGAAAGCTGATGATAATCGTGGAGAAGTGGATGCTGGGAAGAACCACACTGGGTGCAGGATGCAGCCAAACGAAGCAGGTGTGGCCGTGTGGGGAAGGGACCTTCAGATGGTCTTGGCCGAGCTCAGAACCGAGGCTTTTCTCATGTCGCACGCACATGGGCAGGTGGCCCTCGTCAATGCACGCAGCGGGATTGACCCGCAATGGAACTCCGCTTGTCCCCCATTTCCGTGCACTTTCCCCAGCTTTGGAGCGTCAGAGCTGACTTTAACCTAGAACCATCAATCTCGCGTTCGACAATTTCACCACGTTTCTGTTCCTCAAGATCGCGCGTATCTAAGAGACAGATTCTGTGACGCGCAGGAGATTTTTAAATTGCAAGTCGACTTGGGGGGTATGATTCTACGGTCTGCTCGCGCTCTTTCGGAGCTCTCGCGTCGCAATCCTGCAGTCAATTAATCGGACGCGCTCGATTTCGTCACAGCACAGCACATAAACAGGGGATTGTCTCTGCTCCTCAATCAGCCCGCCCGCGCTATCGCGACTGAGAACAACGCAGCGCAGCGCCGGAATCGACACAGAGACCTCATACCTCGAATTAAGTAACTGCAACACAACAGAAAAACGAAACAACACACAAAGACACACCCGAAAATGCCCGCTCCACCGGGTCCCTCGGCCAGTGGTGGCCCGTCATCGTCATCGAAATCATCAGCAGCTCCAACAGCCCGCAGCACAACGGACCCCATCCTGCGCAACGCCCTACGCTATACTATCTCGGCCCGCGAGTATGCGACACTGCACAAATATGTCATTTCGCGGTCGCGTGCTCTGAAAAAGCGCGCGCCGACGGTGGAGAGTGTGGAGAAAATTATTGGGGGGTCGTCTTCTACGGCTGCTTCTGCTGGGAAAGGGAAAGGGAAGGGGAAGGGGGGTGTTAGGAGGCGGGCTGGGGCTGGGAGTGGGAAGGAGACTGGGGGTGAGAGGGGTCCAGAAGGAAGGAAGAGGACGGGGACTGGGGTGGAAGAGAGGGAGAGGAGAGCGGCGATGGTCAGGGGGGAGGATGATTATAATGCGAGGGCGGTACGGCATTCGTTGAGGGTGTTTGTGGCCACGGGGGCGTTGATGAAGTTGTGGGGGGTTGTGTCGGGGCGGGTGTTGGGGAAGAAGGAGTATGTTTTGTTCTCGTCTTCTATTATCTTGCCTGTGGACAACAGCTAACAAGACGACAGTCCCCCAGCAACGGCTGGCAAGAAACAACCCCTCCACAAATCCCCCACGCTACGCCTCTCGCTATCCCTCAGTACCATCCTCCTGCTCTACCGCATCCTCTTCCGCTTCTTCAACCGCCTTCGTGCGCACCTCCTCGACCCGTCCGCAGCGCCGTTTTGCTCGCGCAACCCCCGGGCTGCCCGGACATTGACGTCCCCCTACGCGCCTGCTGTCGGCGCCTCGCTGGCCGGCCTCGCACTCGGTGTGTACCCGTCAAGCCAGCTGCGCGTGACGATTACGCTGTACACGGTGTTCCGCGCGCTCGAGTTTGGGTGGAACTGCGCGGAGGATAACGGGATGCTGTGGGGCTGGGAGAAGGGCGTCAATGGCAAGCCTGATACGATGAGGGCGCGGCCGGCGTGGTGGGGGAGCTGGATGCTGCAGCCGTTGGCGTTTGGGCAGTTGTTCCATGCGTTGGTCTTTGATAGGGACTGTTTTCCTTCGGTGAGTGCTCTTTTTCACTATGGGACCGCAGAGATGGATGGAAGGTTGATGAGATGACTTCTAACGGAGCAAATCTAGTTCTGGAGCAACTTTGTCTTCAAGAATTCGACCGCCTACCTCCAGGCTAAGCCGGACACGTTCCCGGCCGGGTTGAAGTGGCCCCAAGCAGGCCAAATCGCCGATAGTCTCGCGCAGATGGCCCGGCTCAGCTGGCCGTAAGTCCTACTAAGACCCCCTTAATCCACTTCACGCTGCTAACGCCTCACATCAGAGCCTTCATCTCCCCCACTCTCTTCCCCCAAAAAGAAGACATCCTCCCGGTCTCTCTGGCCCCAATCTCCCCCCTCACCTCCGGCGCCCACCCCCTCATCAACTCCCTCTCCTGCGCCGCCCTCCACCCCTCCGACCCGTCCTGCACCCGCACATTCCTCACCTTCTGGCTGCGCTCCTTCCCTCCCTTAACCCGCCTCCTCGTCATCATCTACTCCGCCCTCCTGCTCCCGCGCCTCTCAGCCCTCTACCACTTCCCGCTCTCCACCCTCCGCCAACTCCTCTCCAACGCCCTGCGCATGGCCGGTTTCCTGACGGGTTCCATGGCCACGGCCTGGTCGTCGGTCTGTTTCTTCCAGACCTGGCTGCCGCGCACTTTCTTGCCAACGCAGCGGTTTTTCGTCGGCGGGTTTGTGGCCGGGTTGTGGGCGTTGCTGCAGCACGGTCGGCGCGGGAGTCGCGGGGTGTTTTTGTCCAGTGCGAAGGTGAGCGTGGAGAGTTTGTGGAAGGTTGGGGTCAAGAGACGGTGGTGGAGGGGGATGCGGGGCGGGGATGTGTGGGTGTTTGTGGCTGCTTTGATGGTTACCGGGGTTGTTTATGAGAGGGATGCGAAGGCGGTTAAGGAGGGGGCGTGGAGGAAGGGGATTAGTTGGGTTAGGGGAGAGGGGTGGAGGGATTGGGGGATGGATGTGGAGGATGAGACTGAGGAGGGTGAGGGGGAGGAGGGGGAGGAGAAGGATGGGGATGGGCTGTGGATGAAGACGGAGTGATTGATCGTTACCAAGTCGAGGGTGTCGTGCGCGGTATGTGCCGAGGACAAGGAAGTGAGACGGCAAGATGTTTGAGTAGTGTATCAGTGTAGGTAAGTAAGTAGCCTGCGGTTAGCATGGGTATGGGGAAGCTATCCAGGCGCCTTTAATGACGATATGTAATACATCTATTACTTTATTACTACTCTCATCGATCCAACCATGCAAGTGAGGTGGTTCAGCCGATCGGTCCATTGCAAACCGTCCCGGGCCGTTTCGGACCGCAACGGGCTGCCATATGCGAGCCAGCCAAAGTCTGTGCGAACAAGCCTCCTTCCTTTTCACCTCTTCTCTTCCCTAGACACCACACAACTCCCTACTCATCTCTAACAACCAACTCCCCCCCAACCCTCAAATCCCGACTACTCCCCCCCACCCAAACCTTATACCCCCCCCTCTGCAACCGCCATATCTGCCTCTCCACATCCCAAATACTCAAATCCCTCCGCGTCAACTCAAACACTGCCTCGCGTGTTTGGCCGGGGACTAACGGGCCTATTTTTGTGAAGCCGCGGAGGACACGGATTGGTGATTCCACAGCACCTAATTCTGGTTCTTCTACACCGCCCAACTCTGACCCGGCAGCGCTTGACTCGGGCTCTGCATCGGCTCCGTGGGTTGTGTGAGTTGCAGTTGGACGAGTGCTACCCGGCACGCCGAGGTATAACTGAGCTGACTCTGCACCTTCGACATCCCCCGTGTTGGAAACTGTGCACCGGACGATGATGAGGACGTCCCAGAGGGAGGGGTGGCCGCCTTGGGTGATGGGGATGGATGGGGAGGGGTATTCTGGGGCTGTGATCACCACTGGAGAAGAGGAGGATGATGAGGCTGAGGATGCCGAGGATGCCGAGGATGGCGGTGTGTAGTTGCCCGTAGGGGAAATGGTTAGATGAGCATACGCAAAAGTAGTATACGACAACCCAAACCCAAACGGAAACAACGGTTCAATACCGTGCCGATCGAAATACCGATAGTCGATGTACAACCCCTCCGTGAAATTTTGGTCGGGGAAGGGCGCGTCAGAGACGGTTGAGTTGAGCACGGCGCCGTAGTCGGATTCGGAGTGGGCGATGGTGTAGGGGAGTCGGCCGGACGGGTTGCGGTCGCCGTAGAGGAGGGAGACTAGGGAGGTGCCGGATTCTTGGCCTGGCAGACCGGCGAAGAGGGTTGCTGTTACGTTGGGGTGGGTGATCCAGGGGGTTACGAGGCGGATGCCTGGTTGTGTTGTTAGTGAGTTAAAAGAGTTACAGGGTAAACGGCTGGACTTACCAGCAGAATGGACCACGACAATGGTATTCCGACACCACGAAGCGACATTCAGCACCAACCGGTCACCAAACTCATCCGTCAAGCTCGTCCGGTCAAAACTCTCCGACGCATACGCATTCACAAACACCAAACACGCCTCCGCATTGACATATCTCGTAGGATCCTCCGAGTAGAAATCCCACCGCAGCACTCCCCGATCCTTCCTCACCCGTGCCTGCAACGCCTCAAAAGGAGACACCACATACGGCGGTGTGCTTCCCCCCGACCCGCCGGCGGTGATGAGAGTCCCGTTGAAGGTGTTCCATCCAAAATTCTCATCGTACCCGCCGCTGTACCGGTCGCGGTTCGTCCACGGGTCAGCTTTAACCGTCGCGTCGTAGCCAAACACGCAGAGAAACTTGGGTTTCTTCAGCGGGAGGGTGCGGTTGACATTCTTCACCAGCACCGTGCCGGCTGCACCAATCTCTTCGATCAGCGCGGCGTGGTCACCCTGGACGTCGACGGGGAAATGCGGCTGCAGGTTGTCGTAGATCGCCGGGGGCGGGTAGGCGTTGTCTTGTTTGAGGTAGTACCACGGTGCCAACAGACGCGTAGCCATGTCCGTGATGCGCTGGTCGCTGACCGATCCGTTATGGACAGCCTCGAGCAAATTCACGCCCCAAAACCCGGCGTTGGGCATGACTATATCCAACCCGGCATTGGCCGACGCGACGCCGGACATCTGTCCGTCCCAGTCGCTGACGACAAACCCTTCAAACCCCAGCTCTGTCTTGAGAATCCCGTTTAGCAGCTTCGAGTTTTGGCACGCGTACGAGTGGTTCGCGCGCTGGTAGCTGCACATCACGGCTCCGGCACCCTCGCGCAGCGCGTCCATGAAGGGAAAGGCATACAACTCGTGCAAGGTCCGATCATCGACATTGGCGCTAATGGCTTCACCGTCGTTGGCCGTCCACCGCCGCCGGAACTCCTGCTCGTTGAACAGCCAGTGTTTCGGCGTAGCGATCACCCCGGCCTCCTGAATCCCGCGTGTGATAGCACCCATCCCAACACCAGCAAGATACGGATCATTACTCAACCCCTCCCAATTCCTCCCCCCGCGCACAACCCGGCCAAGCGGGCCCGCAACCGGACCCAAAGCCACATTAATCCCCTTCCCATAGTACTCAGCACCGAGCGCCTGACCGTACCGGTACATCAAGTCCCGATCAAACGTCGCGGCGAGGTGGATGCCAGCCGGGAAAGCCGAGACGAACTCTTGGCCGCGGATGCCCGAGGGTCCGTCGGCGAAACAGAGCGACGGGAGACCGAGACGGGGTACTTCACCCGTGTTGCCAACGCAAGGGCCCGGCCAACCGCGCGTTACGTTGACTTTCTCTTCGACTGTCATACGCGAAACTAGAGCCCGGGCGTGGCCGTAGGCGGCGGACCAGCGGTCGTTGCTGGTGCCATGGCCGGGTGCTTTGGGGGCGTGTTAATATCATGAACTTTGCTTCTGGTTATGGTGAAACGGAGAGAATGGGACAGGATACAGAATGAAACAAAACGCTTTACGGGATGGATAAACCGGCGGGCTCAAGCCGTAGTATGGAAGCTCCGACGGCGTGTCATGGCCCGTTTGCACGTGTGGTGAGCACGCTGCACACAAAAGTGTCGCAGCTGTCTTGGTGCTAAGAACTGCTTGATCTGATCGCGAGCGGTGGGAAGAAGACCCCCAAGGTTTGCGGGGTAGGAGATTGTAGGCGCCTCTAAGAAGCTCCATGGCGGGCAAAAAAAGCAGGCCTTTTGGTCACAAAAAGGGCCAGATCGAGTTTCGAACCAACAATGATGTGAGGCTCGCGCAGGCGCTGGATTGAAGAAGCCTTCCTTCTTCTGCCCACCGCTCAGGCAAACATCTGTTTGCTTTTTTGGTTCTGCCTATGACGCCGAGGGGGCCCAGCTAGCCTTGTCTGCCCATCTCGGAAACACTCGTCCAATTGGATTGGCCTGTGGCTGTTTGTTGGTTGGGCGCCACCCTTCTCCGCCAGAAGTTGAAACGAAGAAACAACTAGTTGTTGCATCACTGCTCTCCGCCAGCTCCATCTGTTCGTCTTAACTCTGAAAACTCGCCTCTTGGTCTTTGACAGGACGAACCGGTGGAGGCTTTGTTATGCAGAGTGGCGAGAGCTGGGGAAAAGCCAGCGGCTCATCCCGTCGCACTGTGTCTGACTCGAGTTGGCTTGGCAGACACACCGCGGCTTCAAAGACGAAGCCTCGATCCCAACACAGGCATTACCAGGCCGTGCTGTTCTCTCGTATCTACACCAGATTAATATATCTGTAAATGCCGATGAGACTGTACATGGGGATCATCTCCACCCTTTGTCCCGTACCATGACGATATGTTGCGCGCTACCTTTAAAACAAATCCCGGGTCTAGCCCCCTGCTTTGCTTCCCGCATCGCACCTCCAACCGCTCTTCGTAATCGACGGTTCCGAGCGGGAGCAAAAGTGCTCCTTGCGCCTCCAACTCGGTACAACCATATGTACAACCCAATACGATTTCAAGAGTGAAAGCGAAATGGCAGGATGGCGGTAAACAGCCGAAAGAAACCGTTGTGCATTTCATCCACCTCAGGTAATTGGCCCGCAACGCGATATCCCGAGGCGAGCCGACAGAAGTTTCGAATTCAGGGCTGATGCAACTCCAAGGCAATGCACGTATCCCGATAATCTCCTGCATCTTCCCTCCTCGCTTTCCCTTTCTCGATTTCCGTCGATCGGCTATCGGTTGTTGTCTTTGAACCGGTGTCTCGGCAGCGCTGCAGGCTAGTTAAGCAGCGGGACAGATCGCAGCAGCCGCCAGCCGGCCCTTCCATCTCTCTCCTCGAATTGCGGCCCGGCGGCCTGGCCTCCGCGATCAGCAGAACAATACGCTTCTCTCAACAAATCTCTGCAGGACTGGGAGCGTCCAGACCGCGCTGAAGACCGGCAATGATGTTGATCTATCCCTCTTTGTTGCTGGCTTCGGTGAGCACCCCCGTTAGCCACCCCGCTTCCTCCCAGCGGGTCGGAAATTGGCTGGGATATTGCCACGAGGCGAGGATCCATTGCCAGGTTTCAGCCCTGAGAGAAACACATCAACCCAACATCCTGAGCAATGGGACAGTTATCTTTTTGTCCTCTAAGGCTAAGGTTCGGGTGAGGGGAGTGGTGGCAACGGCGAGTTGATTGCTTGCTGAGAACCGAGCCTGTTGGCAGTGCACTGCAACCGGGCGGGAGATGGTTGAGCTGACGGCGTTGAGGTGATATGAGGGCAGGGCGGGCGGCCCAAGGGACGAGCAAGGATGGAGGCACAAGATTTCTCAGCAATGCTAACTCCAGAGGGGAAAGCGCTGTTCAATTCCAATTTTCCGGCAATCGGAATCGAGGACATCTCGATCGGCCTCAAAGAAACACCGTTGGATTTATAAACAAAACCGGAGATATCCCATTAACCTGTAACCCCGAGCTGGACGTCGTCAGCTCTCTCTTATCCGCCTTTGCGGAAGGTAAGTTTTGGTTACACGGACCTGCCCCTCCGTGGTGTGGACATGATGCACGGCTTTTTAGGGAAGGAACATCCTAAAAAACTTCGATGAAAACTTGATGCGAAAGTGCAGGAGCGCCCAAGTGCAGAAAAGAGTGGGGTCCCGATCTCGAACTTCGGGGAGCTATACTAATAAAGGTTAAGCGTCAGGAACAGTTATCTGATTGGCTCGCGGAATCCGTGGAGGCAGACCCGTGTGTGTGGGACGAATTGTGGAGGGCGTGACTTATGCCAGGGGAAATCCTGTTAACGACCGGGACCGGTCCGCTCCCCCAAAAAGAAAGTTGCCCAAGGTGTGCCAGGTGCTTTCCATGGGGGAGGGCACAAAACAACTTGGTGGAAATTTCCTGCGGCCCCCAGCCAAAAGGTAGCAGAAATTGCTTCTGAGCGTTTCTCTCTTATTATCCTTCTTCTTTTCCCTCCTTTTCTGCTGACCTTGTGCATCTCAGGTGTAACCAATGTCTTCGACTCCCCTTGCCCCTTTCTTTTGCCCCTGAGGGATGCGATGTGGTGGTGTCAGGCCCAAACAACACCGGTTCAGGGGGACCAATAGCGCTTGCAGCATCCTCCGCTTTGGTCCCCCGAAAAGACCGCAGGCGTTACAGCAGCATCAACAGAAAGAACACAACGCGCCAGAGGCTCGAGGTGACCACTGGATTGCAGTCTCGCAGTGCGAACTGCCTAGAGGGGCAAACGCCCACATGACTAATAACACAACTCCGTTTTCCCCCAATTTCATCCAATGCACCATTCCTGGCCCTTGGAGGCACGGCTTTGGCCCCCGGTGGGCTGTCGGGGACAGAAACATTGGATTGCCAAGCTCGCGGGGATGGAAGGGAGTGCACGAAGCAGGAACGACGCAACCTGCACTTCCGGTTTGCCACACATCAACTCTCCGACAAAAGAAATGTAAACACGAAGAATCGAGCGAATTATGTCGTCGTGCCCAAACCCAGCGATGATATTCGCCAGGAAACCCTCGGACAAATTTTGGTACGACGGGACTCGGACTCAACTCAACCACTGACACATTGACTCGATTCCGAGTCTTTGCAGCAAAGCAAATGTCAACCGGGAAAGAAAGACAATGTACGGATCCGTACGGGTACCGAACGGGAAGCATGACCACTAAAATGCTGGAACGGAACGCCCAAAGACGGGATGCAAGGTTGTCTTCTCGGTCGTGCATCTCCCACCATCTTCATCGCCGCCGGGGCTAGAGCAGAGAAATTGCGAATTCCAATAGTTTTCGGCGCAACCTCGAAAACCAATCGGGCCCGCGCTGGTCGTTCCATTAACCACTCTTTCCATATCCATTATGCAGTTTCGCCGCACTAAATGGTGATAATACTACCTACTGTACACTACTTCGTACTGATGCTGATACGGCGTCCGTGCAATCAAGGATGCATCGGTAGCATCAGCGTCTGCCGGATGAAGATGACAAGAATGCCAACGGTTCATTGTCTGCCAGCTCGTCAGGGAATGCTCATTTTTCTTCGGTTGTTCTCTGTCCAAATTTTCTGTCTGTTTTGGCCCCTGCCAGTTGCTACGATCACGCCGTGCAATCCCCGCTCCCACCCATAACCCAAATTACAGCCAATCACATAAAATACACTTCATCATTTCCGGGCCAGGCGCCTTCCCCGAGTACCCCAGGAGTGGGGGGACGAAGGCCCATTTCAAACTCCCAGCGAACCCCCTGCTCGCTATTGGAGAGGGGGCCGGCCAATCGTGGGGCCCATCAGCCGGGATGAGCTGCAACCCCTTCCGCGTTTTGACTCCAAGATCCTGGTCGACCTCCACTCTCTGTGCAGGCGCGCGCAATCTTGGGCAAAGAGAAAGGAAACTGTGAGGGACAGCGAACGAGGTTGCTTTCTTTCTTCTCCGGCCCTTTCCCCGGCTTCTAAATCTTACATGCCATCCACTCCCGTGGGCAAGTCAACATCCTTGATTCTCGATTATTTTCTGCTGTTTACATCTCGTCGTTGAATGGACTTCGTCGTTCTTTCCGATCTTTCCCGTCCCTCGCGTGTTTTTTCTTTTCAACCTCATCCGCTCTTTTCTGGGTCACGAGTTTTCACCCACGTTGGGCCTGACCCCTCAAAACCCGACGACGCAGGAACCACGCCCGCCAACCTATAGGTTCTTCGACTCGATTAACGTTACCGCGAACTCGGATACCGACCCGCGATATTCTTTACAAACAAACATTGGTCGAGCACGCAAACAACCCACCTTACCCGCGAGGAACTCTTCGCGGGTGTGTGCAGCATCACAGTGTGACCGACCCGTGGGCAACCGACTCGCTCTCCGCCTCATCGCCTGTCATTACTGTGTCTCCCGGCGTGTTAAGACGGCTCTTGGAAAACTTGAGACGAACCATTGGCCTCAGCTTAATGGGATAGTGGTGGTTCCCTCGGTAAGCTCTCCATCCACAACGATTGTGCGAGCAAAAGCAGGCTCGACGTCCAATTTGTACCACCCTTTCCTGTATTCGTAGCAAACACCATGCGGCTACCATGCAAGAGCCAGTCTGCACCACTTCAGCGCGGCCGGAAGGTCGCTTCTCAACTTGGAGCCGCCTCCACAGTTACACAACACCAAAGCTTTGCCCAAGCATGGCGCCAAACCTAACGCGCCAGCTCAAACTCACTATTCCGAACACTAACATGTTTTCGTCCGTAGTCCGTCAGGAGTATTTTTATACCCTCTCCCCCTTGTCAGGGCGCTCCAGCGTGATCCTCCATACGAGATACCCCCGCCGAGCTCCCACGATTCGAGTACGACCACCATCCGGCCACATCGCAGCAGAGCGAAGCTCGAGTGAGCCAAGATGAATCGATTCAGGACCAAGAAAAGGGCAAAGGATGACCTTGCGGCCGGCCGAACAAGCGAGGACTCTGAGCAATCCTCGCTCTCATTTTTCCGTAAAGGAAAGAAGTCGCAGCAGGAGGAGTCGAAGAAGGAATTCGATCTCACGACCGCCCTTCCCACCAACGATGACTTTCGCACGAGCCTGTTGATGAACAACCTGTCCGCCCGTTTTTCGATGTTGAGAGAGCAAGATGACCCCAACACCAAGATCGGCAAGGCGAGCGACGACAGTGTTCTCTACCCGAAACGGCAATCACGCATGGCCGATTTTGGCTTTGGCCACGGTGCGGGCTTGTCTGATATTGCCGAAGTCGAGTCCATCAGAGGCACCGGCTTTCCTCGTGCTACGTCCGTGGGATCCGACGAGACAGATTCCGCGAACGGGGGGAGTGTGTTGACACGCGGGAGACCGACTGAAGGCAATGTTCTGTTCGGTGGTCGGCAGAAAATCTACAAAATCCCAGCTGCATCCGAAGGCGGAATGGCCGGCCGTGCGGTTTACGAGGACGATGTTGCCGTGTCAGCGTTCCAGCGCTGGAGGCAGACAGAAAGGCAAAAGACGCTGGAAGGCTTGACCGGGCCAGCTACGGACGAAGACGAGCCCCCGCGATCCGAATCCCCGCCCTCGATGAGGTTTGGTAACAAGCGGGAAACAGCATCAACGACTTCATCCGCCTCGATGATGGCTCGCAATTCCACGGCCGCTACCTCTGTCACTTCGCAAATAGCCAACATCAAGGAGGCGCAGTCGCTGTCCAGTGCGGCATCGTCGGCCGTTACCTCACCGATTCCCGAGCGGAATGTTATCCGCACACGGAGATTGTATGAACAACATAGCAACCAGGATGCTAAGGAAAACGCCCCAGGTTCTGTGTTGTCACGCATTGAGGCACTCACACGCCCGCGCCCATTCAATACCAGGACCCCCGACTTGCCCATCCGGTCCGACACCAATCGAACAATCCTGAACAAAACCAGCGCGCCCAGCCTTCGATCACTCAGCCCCAAGCCCGTGGGTCGGCCAATTGGTGATTTAGACCGGGGGGTGAAATCTCAGCTGGAGACCAAACGGAACGATGTTGGCGGCGTGCCTGCGTCGAGCTCCCCGGCCAGCGAGACAGGTGAACAAGTCGTTCTCCCTATCCTTGCCAAGGATGTGGGGAAAGCCACGGCGATGGGTATTTTCCAAAAACCGACGCAATCATACGATGAGTCACAATACGTCCAGAGGCAGTTGCAGCTTCAGCAAGGCCGAGAGACGCCAACTCTGATGCAAAGGGCCGACACCAGCGGCAGGAATACCCCCGTTTCTGCTGAACCTGAGAGAAAGCCTGTGACCATCGGAGTTCGACCACCTGTTCCGAACGTTGTACTTCCCCCTACTCCGGCCACGGAAACGGGCGTTCTGTCCGCGGCCAAAACCGACTCGACGACACCAGAACCTGCCAACATCCCGCGGCCCTCGGACAAAGATCACCCGGCCTTCAGGCAGTCGCCACTGACATCTCTCCCTAGTAGCCACAGTGTGAGCAAAGAGAAGCTTTTGGGGGATGATTTGAAACCCCCTGTCGACGGCTCCCGGCCGGCGTCCCCCGAGGACTCGCCAACTCTAGGCCCGACGTCCGGCCTTAGCGGATTGGTTCGCCAGCACCTTCGCACCGAGAGTGTAGAGTCGTCATTGAATCGCACTTCCATGAACCCTATCAGCTCCGGATCGCGATTCAATTTCGATTCCGGTTCTCCATCCTTGCTGGCCGAAACAGGTGTCGCGTTAAGCCCGTGGCCATCATCAGATCAGGATTGGATTGGACCTGGTCCAGTCAGTGAATCCAAAGCGGCGACCCCCGAAGTGCGAGAATCGGAACCCCAATCCAAGCCAGACGTTTCAGCCACTCCGACACCTGATCGTACCAGCACTGCCACAGATGATGAAGTTGATGACTTTGCGAATCAGCTTGCCAACGCCCGCCGGCGCGTCAGAGAGAAGTTGACTTCGTATGTCGAGTCGGACAGCAGTAGGGCGCCCTCTCCTTCGCTGTTGCCCGTCGATTCTTCTTCCATGTCCGGACCCCCTCCCAACGGTACCGGCATTTTGAAGCCAAAGACGAGCCGTGGGTCGCTTATTGACCGAACCCGAAATGTGCCAACAGGGCCACCTAAGAACATGAAGATTATGGGACTAGGTGCCTCGACGCAACCTGGCAAAGAAGAGAAAGATCACCCCTCGCTTGAGACCATGAAGGAGGAGGGAGAAAGGGCGCCGAATGGGCAGCCGGGACACAAGGTATCGAGCAGCGCATCCAGCGACCAGTCCACCAAGGACAAGGACGAGGGCATCAACGCCCACCCAGGGCTGAAGGCTTTCCGACAAGCTCGCCGAGAACTTCAAAAGCGAAAAGAGCTCGAAACTCTTGCCCGTCACCAAGCCGCGCAAACGTCGCAGGCCTTGGACGAGTCACCGGAGCAGCGGCCTGACGTTCCGGCACCGAGAGGCCAACGGACCCCGAGCCGCGACAGGAAACCACCCCCTGTTTCCTACAGACAACCACCCCCGGTTGACGACCACAGCTACAGCTCGCCTCCAGGTGCAAGGCCGTCGGGCGAACGCTCGAGAAGCGGTTCTGAGGCCAGCAACGGTCGTTCCAACAGCCGGCCACCCAGACTGCGGACGAACAATAACACCAGCCCCCATGAGCAGTATGGGCCGCCTAGCCAGAACCGGCCTATGCTCCGATCCCCTGCCATCCCCGGGCCGGCGGACTCCAAAGGCTCATACTTCAACCGCGGGGCGCCTTCTCCCGCTCCCTCGCCGCACCCTGACCGGTCTTGGTCCTCAACCAACTTAGCTTTGCATACCGGACGTCCCGGTCTAGACCAACACTCTGGGCAGCCGTCACCAATCTCTCCCATGGGTCTGCCGTCACCATCACCCTACACGTCTGGCGCTTCCCCCGCAGGCACACCCACGACGCTTGGGCCGCGTCCGAGACTCTCTTCCGCATCGCAGTCCCCTGCCCTGGGGCCCAGTCACCACGCTGGATCTGGACCGACTAAAAGAGCGGTCGACAAGCGGGAGATCTCAGAGCCAACCTTTGTCATGTCAACCAGCCGAGTCCCAACAAACGCGCTTCCCCATCATGCTCCTCCTCAGTCACCTCCGCCCCAATACCCTCCGCCTCCGCGCCAGGCTCCCCCGATGATCCCGACCGCGGGCACCCGGTCGCGATCCAGCAGCCGCGCAGCCGATTCTGCTCCACCTTTGCCCCCCATCAACCCCCGACGACGGCGTGAGGATTCTCGTCCACGGCAATCAACACAAAATGGGGAGATGACAAGCCCTCGGATGCCTCACCCAAGCAGTGGTATCCCTTCTCCCACCAGCGATGATGAACCGGGTAACCGGCCGGAACAACGACGGGTGCTACGGAAGCCTCCCCCAGATATGCCCGGCGGCGGTCCCCGGCCGCTTCCGGGGCTGATGAGGGATACCAACCCGCCCTTTGTAGCTAAGGGGCCACCGACGAGTCGGACTGCACCACCCGGTCAAAATATGGGGGGGCTCCCCGGTGGAATGATCTAGGCGTCACCGTATTACCGTGTTAAGGACGGCACGGCCTTTCGGCCGCTCTTGATGTTCAGTTCCCTTTCTAAACTGTTCTCCATGTTAACTTCGCTCTTATACCTTCGGTCTTGCCCCGTTCTGCCTCTCAAAGCCAGAGAGCGCAGGCGGCGGACACCGGCTTCTGCTCTCGTCGAAACCGTTACGGCCCTTATGAACTTTTGAGATACCTCTTTTACACCTTTTTACTCTCCTTTTTTTCTGTCCCGGTTCTTTTTACAAGCCTTGCTCCTTAGTTCGGCGCGGAGTGAGGTGTTTCTTGTCGCAATTTACCCTGGATTCTCTTCATTTCGTGCTTCTTCCACAGGGTTTTTTGCTGCGTTTGTGTACTACTCTTTATTGAAAATCTTGTTCAAATTCCATTTGTGGCTCAGGGTTCTTGTACATCTGAACAAATCTGTTGGCGACTTTTTTTGTTCTTGGATGGTTTCGAGCCGCACATAGTTGGCATCTGGTCCAGCTCGACCACTGGTGGCCGGCGGGCTTTTGCGGGGGAGGGAGATTGCTTGGGTCCTGTTTGGTGGGCGCGAGGTTTGCAGATTGGCCTAGGAAGGGAAAGAAAGTGAGGAAGAAGATGGTTGGACTGGACATATGGACTTGGTCGGGTCTAGATGGAAAATGCATACATAGTCTGGAGTCAGGACAGAAATTTGGATGGCGACACCAATCTACTTGTGCACTAATTACGTACCTGATTTGCAGTGGGTGACGGTGTAGTGTCCGCCTTAATAGAGGTACTGTATAGAGTCTTGGCAGCCGGCCCGAAGTTTTGCCATGATAAGCGGTCTCGCCTTCCTCACAGTGCGGTTCCAGAAATGGATACCGGCCATGATAGAGGGGAATGTGAGGGGCTCGTAGGGAGAGTGCTCACGTGCACCTACTTGCTTTCCCCCATTCTAAGTTGTGTTTATTGCATGGCACATAGTTTTACCAAACGACAATCCGCTCTGGAGTTTTCGGTCCTCTATCCACGGTTTTACCCCGCGCCTATCTTTTCGTAAACTTGGTGCTCTTTTAAGACATTTGCCTTCGCTCGTACAACGTACAACGCTGCTGTGGATTCCAAGAGCACTCGGGCCTTGTGTTACTTTCCGAGAGGGGTAACCGTCCCGGCTTATAAGGGGGATACCGAGGGTGTAATGTAAGTGCGTTCGGCTAAGGTTTATATCCTGTGTTGTTTTGTCCCGTTTCATGGCAATTTAGGGTTTAATATGGTTTATTGTGTGATGGTCGGCTAAGTTCGCTTCGCTAACTCGGCTTCGCTTACTACGTAATTAGAACTTGCTCGTCCAGAGTCCACGGTTTATATTTCATCCCGAGTCTGAAACCTCAGAGTGCATCTTGGGACGAGTTTGAGGAACAGAAAAGAGGAAATGGCTTTCATTCGCCCGTTTCGACCAGAGGATACAGAGGATGCGAAGCACATCGTAAGTCAACCCCCCCTGTTTAAACCCAACATTGTTCTTCTTCCCCCTCCATCCTGATGACCTGATCTCCTGCTAAATCCCCCGCAGTGCCGAGCAACCCTCCCCCCCTCCCTCTCCTCCTCCCCCCGCGCAACCTCCATCTCCCCCTACCTCTGGACCCTCCCCTTCACCCACCTTTTCCCTTCCCACTGCCACATCCTCGACGACGGCGCCGGACGCGCAGTGGGGTATGTCATTGGCACGCCGGATGTGTTTGCGCTGGCGGCTGAATACCCGCGTTATGTGGCTGAGGTGTTGGGGTCCCCGCTGGGGAGGGAGGAGGTTGGTGTGCCGGGGGGGTTGCAGGTGAGGGAGCCTTGGGTTAAGGTTAAGGAGGATGGTGGGGTAGAGGGAAAGGAAGGGGGGAAGGAGATGAATCCGGAGGCGTTGGTGCAGTTGGCGTATAAGGTGGAGTGGTTGGTTTTGGAGGGGGTGGAAGGGAAGAGGGAGTTGGTGGAGGAGTATAGGGCGATGTTGCATATTGATTTGTTGGAGCCGTGGCAGGGGAAAGCGTGGGGGAGGAAGATGATTGAGAGGTTTGTGGAGGGGGTGAGGAGGGAAGGGAAGGAGAGGTATGGGAAGGGGATTCAGTTGGGGGTTGCTGGGGAAAATACGAAGGTCGTGGGGTTTTATGAGAGGTTGGGGTTTAGGGTGTTTCCGGGAGGGGAGAAGGAGGGGAATGTTTGGATGGTTATGGATTTGTAGAGGGTGGTTAAGGAATGGGACAGGGTATGCAATGAATTAGGTTGTGAAAGGTATTATATCATATCAACCTCCTCTTCACCACCTCATTATCAACCCCCTTCATAAACTGCGGCGCCTCCACCAAAGCCGCAGCAGCCGCCAAATCCTTCTCCGCCGACATCGACGGCAAATAGCCCTTCAAAAAACAATTCCCCCCATACATGGGCAAACTCGTCGTCAAATTCGCACTAAAAAACACACCCAAACACGTATTATTCCGCGCAAACCTATTAAACATAGCACACGCCCGCAAACAATCCCCGAAAGTGTACGCCGTCATCCCGGCTACGTCGACGCCGGGGCCGATGTAGTCCATCATGCACTGCACGTCGAAGCCCCAGGTGGCGGTGCCGAGGGTGATGAGCTGGCGGTTGGTGGAGAGCCGGCCGCAGTCGAAGTCGAGGATGCCTTGGGTTGGGACTTTGATGGGAGTAAAGGCGGAAGTAGAACCGTCGATGTTGGTGTCGTCGTCGTTGGTGGTGGGTGTTTGGGCTGGTGGTGGTGATGGTGATGTTGTTGGGTTGGCGACTACGGCTGTGGATGGCATCATGATTGTGGTGGGCATCATGACGATCATGGGGTTGTCCGCGTTGGAGGTCCTGTGAGTACCATTTCATGTTAGGTCTGCCATTGATCTCAGCTACCAGCATATCGACTCACCTCCTCGCACTCGCAGCTAACCCACCCCCTATCCCACCTCCCACCGACGCCAGCACAACCACGATCACCAATGCCACCACTAACACCGCTTTCCCACGGCGTAAACCCCATATTGTCGTATTCTTTCTAGTTTCCGAGCCCCCGACTAGCGCGTTGGTCGACTGTTTCTCAGTTTTCAAAAGATTGAATTCTTTTATACTGCTCTCGTCATCGCTCCCAGCGGTAGACCCAGATCGCTCGACCGGCGAGTGGTGGACTGGTGGTGGTATTTCGAGTTTTGGTTGCCGGCGCAGCTTGTGGGAGAGGGACCGCTGTGGGCCGGATATTGCTTCTGGGGCGTCCATGGGGAAGGGATTAGGAGTCGTTTCCTGTCACCAAGTTAAGGTAAGTGAGGAGTCAGTTGATATGTAAATCTATGCCAGACAACGCTACCGGGGTGGAAGTATTTCCTGGGTCATAATTCGGTCATAACGACATCGTTGCTGGCGTGTGGTCGTTACATTGGAATTGGAATAGGCGAAAATGTGGAAAGAGGGAAAGAAACCGGTGGCCGACATGGTTCACGATGGACACACCCCAAATGGGAACGGGAAGGAGGGAAAAGCTCTCGGACCCAAGATGACACACATGCACGGTCATGCCGTGCCGTCGACATGAGGCACTGGGGTACGTATGAGGGGTCCATCTCTGTGTTGAAGCGGGCATATTACCGAGGCCCAGCCCCTCCACTGGGCATCAATGGCCGATGCAAAGTATCCAGCTGGCTGGGATGCAGCATGGTTGTCGCAGATCTGTCTCGTTTGATCGGAGCTTTCTCAACAGCTTGGTTGGATTCGGGTTATCCTTTTGCATAGAGATCGGAACCATTCAGGGGCAGCTTTCAGGGCTTGGCGATGCGCTCGGCTTACATGAAACACGCATCGCCGACGACGGCTTGGTCATGGCTTCAAAAGGAAGGACTTTTCCCAAATGTGCGATAGGATGTGCCCGAACTACCTAGTTAAGTGCACATTTAGATTTCATCTTTGAGTGTTCTCCACAACAGAGCAACGACTCAGCATCGCGCAGAAATTATCAGACAGGGAGTCGGATCAAGAGAGGGACACTTAGTTCACAGAGTATTATTTAGAGCAGCCCCCGGAACCACGGTCGCAACCTAACAGTCAAAGTAGAATTAAGTTGATTATTATACTTATCCTGCCTTGAACCAAGTAACAAAGCATGCCGTCCGTAACCTCCCATGGGGCTTGATTCCATTCGTAATTACTTGATGCCGCGATTTGGGCAAAGAAACTTCACGGCCTGCTCTGCTGCTCGTGGTCAAGGGTTTTTTTTCTCTACCAGTATGAGTTGGAACACCGTTCGGCTTCCCAAACCACGAGATAATATCCCGTGGGCTTCTCGTCCCCCTTGCTGAACTTAGGCCTAGGACGAGTTCATGTGATGCTGATTAGGTGGAAAAAGTAGCCGGCATGAAGCCTAGATAAATAGGCTCCGGTCCCCCGATCGAACGGGGTTTCGACTCATCCATACCATCCTGTGAGCAAGTCAAGTACCAGACCTCATCTTACCTAATTCTTTCGTTTCGCAGCCTATATCAACATCATGCCAGCGACCCACCAGCCCCCCGACTTACTAGATAGGTTTGAAGAGATCTTCAAGACCGTGGACCTAAATGACGCAATTCGGGTTCTTATCAATGGGATAGCGCGGCGACAAAAGCTGGATGCAGATGATCTTAGCGAGCACGACAAAGAGCTCCTGTCCATGGCCATAACCACTGCAATGCAAAAGGCTGTTCATTGGGGGAAGGAAAGCCCAGATGGAGACATCGCTTGGTCGATACGAGCGCAGAATGCGAAGCTGGATAGAGAGATAACAGAAAACCCGTGGTTAGCTGGCTTTTATGAAGAGCTCCTATCTGTGCTAGTGGAATGGGCTCATCAACAACGACAATGACAAAAACAACAAAGGAAATGAAACGATGTCCCTTCAAGCTCTGGTTCTTTTTCTTCCCCCTTTTTTTGCGTCACCGCTATTGCTGTTGGAGGTGAATTTCTTGGGAGGGATGATTAGCGACTCGGCAGGAATGTCAATCTGATTCTGCATTTCTCAGTCTACTGCCATTCCATTTATCGGCCAACTCTGAACTCTAGGTTGATTCAGGGTTATTACAAAAGCCTTAGATAGTTAAAGATACAAGTTACATTGGGCTAGATTCAATCACTTATTTATTTTTTGACTTCACTGCTTGGAAAAAAAAACTGTCACATAGTTTATCGTCCAATCACCGGTGGTTGACGATTTTGGTTCGCTAGCCCTTTGGGTGCCTACCTAATTAGCCTTCTTTCCAGGAACTGTCTCTGCCTATAACTAATTACACTCTTTTAAAGTCTACTATATGGGCTTCAGTCCCAAGACCGATTGGATAACACGCAATGACTCAACCGGACTGCCTCCTCTTGACCTCGTTATGGCCTCGCCGTGTTTAGCCCGGACGGGCGTCTCAAGCCATGTGGCCGACATATATTACACTCCCGTTCTGAACAAAGAAGCACCGTGACCACATGACATTTCGCTTCCGTGAATCGGTCATACACCCATTCACTTTTCCCCCTGACCACGTGAGTCAATGGTCTTTCTGTCGGCAGCGTTTATCGAACCTGTCACAACACCGGACCGAACACCTGAGCCCAACATACTCTCAGATGTCATGTCACCGGTTATCACCACACCGCTGAAAGACTCAAGCCTATAAAGATACATCCATAGGCGAGATACCAACGGTAGTCCTCACTCGTATTCTTGTACCTCACATTGCCAATCATCAATCTAATTAATTACCAAATTAATTGATATCAGTCCCGGACGAGCAATCATCCAAGAGCTAATTATGCCTCCCTGTCTAAGATCTCATACGCGCAAGAGGCGTGAGAATGAAGAGACAAGTGGGACAAATCAGCCTGAATACAGTTTGGACTCTCGTTCTGGACCAAACGATCAAGCTGGAGGGCAGTTGTCAGCACAGACCCCCACAGTTACTGCAGAGCAAGCAGAGGCAATCTCGCATGATATGAAGAAGATTGTTCTGGACTTGGCGCAGCTCTTAGCAGAGAGTCACACAATTACTGCAGAGAAAATCCGGCATGATCTGGACAGGACTTTTCTAGAAATTTGCAAGGAGCTCGACGAAACCTTAACTACAACTCCATTTGTGTGGAGTGAGAAGGAATTGGAAGCATTGATGCAAACAGTAACCCGCGAAGCCTTTGCCAACGCTGGGTTGAGGCGTCAGGCAGCGATTGATACTGCTATAAAGTCCCTGAGGTTGCAATTAGAGAATCTACATTTGCCAAAGAAGGATTGACAAGGTTAGGATAGTTAATGTAGGAATCTTTTCTTCAATTCCTTAGGCTGCTTGATCGTTGTGAGATATCCCAAGTAATTACCGCAAGGTACCTTATGGCCTCATCATTGCTGCTCACCATACTTCCACGACAACATGTGTGTATCCCGCTCTGAGACCGTCGACCGATGGTGTGAGCCTTTCCAGCGGTCCATCACCATCCCCTCATCCAATCTCCCCACCAACTTCCAGCCACCATCGCGCGGTAGCCGCAGAGGTTGGCTTTTTCTCCACCACCCCTGGCCTTTTGGGATATCTTCCCATGTCTAAGCTGCAATGAGGCCGACAGAAACCCGTCAACTTTCATGCGCATCCGGAAGGTCAGTCGCCGTGACTGGTCCCACCGGCCCGAAGGGCCTAAGGAGCAGCAGGATTTGGCGTCCAATCCTTCCTGGCAACTCCGCCTCTTGCATGCAACTCGCCCCATGACACAAGCTTGCCGTGGACGGCAATACGGGGGTGTCTTTGTATGTGCGGCTCGAGGGATGGGAGAGACTTCTGAGCTCGAATCAGGGGCTCTAGTTGACACATGTGCTGTGGGTGTTTGATGAAGGACCTTTCGAGTCGATCACCCTCGGGGGCGAAAGCAGGCGGTTAACGCGGGATGGAGGATTTGTGTTGCCCCGCGCTTGGGCCGTGATAAGTCTGCTTCACTCACGAGGGCACGCATTGCCTTCATAGGTAGGTTGTACCTCGCGGATGACTTCCTCGGGCAGTAAGGTATCATTTTGTTACCCCCCTTCAAGCACCTCTTCAGATCGGTCGTGGCCATGATATTCCTAGGACTTCAAAGTCACATTTCCTTCCCCGGTCTTCGGCGCCTCAGCAATAACATGCTTCGTGAAACTTAGTCATAGGTTTTTAGGGCCGCCAGGCCGTTGGCTACGATGCAAAGTCACGGGCCAAATTCTGTACGTAATAAATCTCGATGACCTGAGGACGAAGTCAGCCCGACGAACACTGCCCTCTTCCAATGTGGTGTCAAAACTAGCTTTTTGAACAAGGGAGAATATGGCACATGCAGCCTTTGCGGGTGGGCCCCAAGCGAGCAGGGCGGGCCGGCGGCCAATTGTTAAATATTTATTGAGCTTCCGAGAATGCCGCGGAATATGGCACATGCAGCCTTGCCCCTGGGGGGTAGGGCCGAACTGTCAACTGAGTAGGGAGGGCGGGATTCTTAGCCAATTACTCAGGCAGTGAGGGTCCAATAATGTTGCGGTGCACACCATATGTTCGAGCCGTGACATACCAAACGCCCAGTTTCCCCCGATCATCATAAAGCTCCGAACTTATGATCTTCATTGAGCCTTTCAGCCGTCCACCGATCCTGGGGCCTTCCCGTTTTGACGACTGTTTGATGACTGTTTGGGCATCAACCATCCACACACAACGTTGACCATCACACCATTCCCAACATTTGTGACCGGCCTGTCCCGCAACGACGGCAACACCATGTGCATGGAGACGGGTTGAGACTGGGAAGTGCCAAGAAATGAGGCTCTGCTGTGAGATGTTGTCAAATGAGAACTGCGCATTTTCCTACAATTATTGGTGGTTACATTTCCCCACCCCCTTTTCATTGTCGACATGCAGTGGCCTTCCCCATTTCAAGTTCTCCCCACTCGCAGCGAGCGGCCCAAGAATGTATCCGACATACGCGCCCACCCGGCAACAACCACCATGATTTATCGCGCGCTTTCGGCGGCAGTCTGGTGTGCGGTGTTGATAGAGAGGTTTGGGCTCGCAGATGTGAGGGTCTGCTGAGTCTGCTCTGCTCCTGTATCGCGCTGAGATGGGAAGGTAGTGCTGATTTTCATGTCACCGGCTGCATCAGAGGATGGTTGTGAGAAATAATCATGCTTTGATTGTCGCTTGCGGCGCCAATCTGCCTTTTGCCATGAAAGCTTGGGTTGGTGAACCGTGAAACCTGGTACCTAGAGAGCAAAGTGAAGGAGTAGTATATATGAGGCGCACTTGTTCCCATGTCCTGGGCGTAATCCAATGGTGAACTACCATCGGTACTTCTTCTCTCCGACCGACAAGCACACGAAGTTCTCAAACCCACTTGACCCTTGAGTTGGGTACTCAGCATACTTCGAAAATGGCATCCGGAAACAAGAAGGATTTCTATGTCATCACAGGCATCCAGGCGGGCCGTGACGGTGAGAAAGTCCCCCCTTCGCCTTGAGGTCGACAGTTGGTACCCGCCCGACCCTAGGAAGTTCACGCCGGACCAGGTGGAGGTGTACCTGATTCAAAACAGTTTGTTTCTTTGGGCTCTCCAAATCCTCCAGGAGAAGCACCCATGTGGGGAGCTCTCCTACTTCCAAATTGCCGGTATCCACGGATTCCCTTACCAACCATGGGACGAACCGAATTGCGCCCCGGAAGTAGGGAACCAAGGCTACTGCACTCACGACAGTCTGCTGTTCCTTCCCTGGCATCGCCCATACATGGCTCTCTTTGAGGTAATTACAGTGTCCCAAGGGTTGACACTTACTTCCGCTAATGACAATTATCTGGGTATTATCTAGCAAGTCTTGTACAACATCACGGTCACGGATATCCTCAAAGAGGTTCCCGAAATTGCGCATGATGAATGGAAACAGGCTGCGGACACCTGGCGGTTGCCTTATTGGGACTGGGCCGTGAAGAAATTGCGCGTGTGGACTTCACCCAATCCGTCGTTACCCGGCCGTTTCGTGTCTGCGGAGAAAATCTACGATCTCCCCATCATTGCCCAGAACCCAACGATCAAAGTGAAGAACTACGCAAACCCTAAGGGTCGCGATGTCGTGATCAACAACCCCATGTACCAGTTCAGGATGCCCGACAACAACCCGATGGGCTCTTTTGGCATCAAAGATATACGTGTAAAGGTGGGCGGCGACGATAAAGACTGCCAAAAGCCAAAGGTGTCCGAATGGGTTACCCTTCCTGTGAGTCCATTCCTTCAGCCACGCACCTACATCTTCCAGTTTCCTTGAGGCTGACAGACTCTCCAGTTTTCTCAGTCTCGCGCCACGTCCCGCTGGGCGGCTACGCCACCGAAAGGCGAGGCGGTCGGGAAACCCTGGGAGGATGGTACCGTCGATAATGAGAGTGTCGCTCCTGCTCTTAAGGCGCACGAGTGGTACGACGGTGACTTTGAAAAGATACCACTCGCCGAAATGGTGTACCGTCTATACGACCCGGAATACGTCAAGACGTTTGCTCAGTTTGCCACCACCAAACAGCCCTCCCACTGGTCCGTTCAGCCTCGGGGCCGTACCGAGGAGGCGGAGGAGGCGCCTGGTCCGTTTGCTCAGCTCTCTCCCACCGCACAACCCGTGGGCCAAACCGATGGGAACGCGTCGACGCTTCTAAATCTGGAATTCATCCACAACAACATCCACGTTTGGGTTGGCGGTTTCGGCGACTATACCGGCCACATGGCGAAGGTTCCCGTCGCTGGGTTTGATCCAATCTTTTTCATGCATCACTGCAATATTGACAGACTGTTCGCCATTTGGCAGGCACTCGACCAGGACAATACCACCGGCGAAACTAGAACTACAAGCTGGTTCCCGGCGCATTACGAGGAACGGGGGAACTGGCACCTTCCACCCGGGACCGTCCCCACAGCCAATACGGATCTGGCGCCCTTCCATAAGAACGCTGAAGGCGAGTTCTGGAACTCTGTTGGCATTGAGAAGTGGACCTCGCTGGGTTACTCGTACCCCGAGCTTCAACCTTGGCGGCCCGAGTTCAGGGCCGGCGGGAAATTAAATGACGATAAGTACAAGGATTCCATCAAGGAGCAGCTGAAAACGCTGTATCAGCCCAAAGGGCCACCAGCCGCTGTGGCATGGGGTAATCAGGATCTCGGCTGGGACATCATTGTCAATGTCACCTACGACCGGCAAGTGTTTTCCAGCTTGAGGGTGGGGGTGTGAAACGGATTACGGCTAACGAAATGTCTAATCTAGCTTTGCGTTCCAAGGCCACCCGTACACAATTTACTTCTTCCTCGGCGAGAAGGACAAGTCCGAGAAGGACAAGAAGGAGGAGGACAAGAAGGAGGAGGACAAGAAGGAGGAGGACAAGAAGGAGGAGGACACGGCCAAGAAGGACACGGCCGAGAAGGACAAGAAGGAGGAGGACACGGTCGACAGAACATCACCTCACCGAAGACGCCGACACCGCCAGCTTGTTGGCTACGTCTACACGTTCAGCAACCCCGTATTCAGCGAAAACGAAGGGTGCGGGGATTGCCTGACCAAGTCCAAAGAGGGTACTCGATGCCGCGCCCAGCTTCCCTTGAATGGCGCCTTGCTTGCCCGTGCCAAGGGCCACCAGGAACGATCGGCGGAGGCATCTGAGGCTGGTTCGACCGGGCCCAGCCAAGGACAGGAATACTTAGGCGATGGCATCTATGTTCTTCCTAGCCTTGACAAGGACGCTGTCCTTGCCTATTTGGAGAAGTACTTACACTGGTCTGTCGAATTGGTAAGTCATGATCTCCTTTCCAGTTGAAGAAAACTCGAATTCGCAAGCAAATTTGCTGATGAAAGAAACAGTCGGGTGGCACGCCCGTTGATATCCCGGAGGAAAATCCGTTCTTCGAAGTCGTAGTCCACCACCGTCCTGCAACACTCCAGAACCAAGACCCAGATATACATTACAAGCCACAATTTGCCATTACGCACGGCAAGCTAGGCGGCGCCAAGCAACCATCTGGTAGCTAGGGGGAGCGCTGGAACCCGGAATAAAAAGACGGCCAGGTGCAAAACCCAGCTGATCACATCTGAGTTGTTTGATGCAGCTCAATTCATCTATTTTTGATTTCATATCCTCATGTTTTTAGCATTGGCGCCAGGGTTCCTGGTGTAACCCTTTCATTGCACCTTTCGATGAATCTGGTTTACAAAAGGACATTCAACATGGTCCAAGTACCGCAGTATAGGGGAGTTGCTAGCAACAATCAATAAAGACCAGTTTCCCGCACAACACCTGACCTCGGCTCCACGTCGCATTGGCTTTGTAGTCGTCCTCAAAAAAAACTCGCACGTGTCCGCGTTGTCATTACTTACCCGCGGAGCCGCATTAACTCAGTTGACGTACATCTTTACATGTTGTCTTTCGCCCCTCAAAAGCCATTACCGGTCACAGTACTCCAAGTCCATCCCGCGTGTTCCCAACTTTTTAGCACAGACAAAGCCAGGATAAACCAACGGCTACTACAACTGCACATGAACAACTCTCTCTCCCTCTCCTTTCCCTCCTCTTCTGGAACTTACACCTTGCCCTACTATCGCAGTATCCGGCGCAAAACGGTCATGGCCACTCACCGCCCTGTGACCCCTTGGTCCCCGCTGGACGACGGCGACTGCTCCACATATCTCGACCCAACTACCTCTACCATTTCTGGTAACAGCAGCTACAAGGAGACTTGTAAGTTTCAAGATCAGAACAGCGTTCACGGCTATGGTCATAGACATGACCTTGGTTGCTCATCTGATAGCGAGGAGGATGATGATGATACCAAGCCCCTTCTCCCAAAGACCTACGTCCTACCATTCTCTCAATCAATCACTGGACGGAAGATTGGGTCTTCTATGGCGTGTGTGTTTTGGGATGTTGCATTCTGTGCTCTTGCCGCTATTATTTTGGGGTGGTGGGTTTGCATGAGGAAAGGGTCAATAGTTCATGGTGTAAGAAATTAGACTATGAGTAGCAACAACGAGTTATCTTGCAACTTTCCCCCGACCATGTACTTCTTATTTTTTTTAAAATACAAAAGGATTCAGGAATTGATGAGCTGTTGTTGGGGTGTATGGATGCGGGTCTGCATCGACTCCACTTGTCATGCCTGCACTGCGTTAGCTCCCGCAATTGTGAAACGGCATCAACGGTCGCTCAACAGGGGAGCAGGGGCATGTGACTTGTAGTGTAGACCACATGGATGTTAGACTTTGGTATGTGCTCTGGATAAGCAAGGTTGAGTGAGATGCCTCTCTTGAAATGCTGAATAAACCCGCCAATACGGCCCGTTAGGAATCTGCCTCTGGCTCGGCCTGGCTCGCTTGGTGAGATTTGGTATGTGATCTCAGGGTTAGGGTTAATTTAAGGGGGCGACCAACCAAGATGACCAACCTGTTTCCCCCAAGTTCCCAAGAGAACCCCGACATAACTCAAAACCTTCGAGGTTGACCTTTCATGAGGTTCCGGTGAGCCGTTAAATGATAATTAGTTGAACCCAAAACCGCGGAGTTGCAACATTGTGACCGTGTTATTCAAGTCATTAAAACGTCGGCCCTTGCGTTTCGTCCCCATTATTCTGCTACCATGTCTTTCTATTTCTCAAACGTCAACTCAGCGGGGGGCCGGGGCGAATATTGAAGTAAAATCTCATAATTAATCAACTAACTATGCCTCGATGAACAAACAGAAGTTGAGTTAACTTCGACCGCCCTGCCCAACATATCATGGAACACACCCTCACACGCACCGGGCATGGTCACCAAGCAATCCGGGCAATAGGCCCCTTCGGAAAGACCCTCACAGCCAATTTCCTCATCTCATCCATACACAAAATCCCCAATGCCAGCGGCAACGGAATCAGCCAAAACTCAATCGGCACCGACGCCGTAACAAACAACGTCTGAATCCCCGGCACCTCCGTCACAAACACCGCAATGGCCAAACTAACCGCCATCGACAACAACAACCACGGGTTCCGCCTCGCAGGCCGGAACAGCGGATCCGCCTGCACAATACTCAACCGGCGATTCCGCACCGACAGGATATTCCCCCACTGCAGAATCACAAGTGTAACAAAATACACACACTGCCCCGTGGTATTGAACCGCTGCAGCGCCTCGGCCGAGTGCCCGTAGAAGCCGTCAGCAGCGGAGTATTTTTCGAAAGCGAAAAACAGCGCCGACGCCGGGATGCCGGCGTACCGCCACATGTAGAGGAAGAACATGGCGTGGGCGGTGACTGTTTCCATAGAGCCGATGAAGAGGTAGGCCTGGGCGTAGATGCGGGTGTTGATGAGGTGGTCGCGGCGGTGGTTGCGGGGCGGGAGGGAGAGCAGGTCGAATTCTTCTTTTTCCATGATCAGGGAGAGGGATAGGAACAGGTCGGTGAAGACGCAGATGATGATCATGAGAAAGGAGGACAAGGGCAGGGGTACGCCGAAAAAGACGTTGAGTAGCACCGGCCAGATCTCGGACCACGAGCCGGCCGGGAGGAGGTAAGCGATGACCTTTTGCAGGTTTTGAAACACCAGGCGGCCGAGGCGGATGGCTTGGACAATCTCGTCGAAACGGTCGAGGAGGACTAGGTCAGACGCCTCGATGGCTACATCGGAGCCGGTCACGACTGCGATGCCGACGTCGGCTGCGCGCATGGCGGGTGCGTCGTTGACGCCGTCGCCGGTTACGGCTACCACGTTGTCGTCGCGCGCGCGGAGCTCGTTGACGATGCGGAGTTTTTGTTCGGGGGTTGTGCGTGCGAAGACGATTTCTTGGTACCGGCAGACAATGTCCCAGTCGTCGTCGGAGAGGCGGGCGATTTGGGGGCCTTCGAGGAGGAGGCTGTGGTTGGACTGGGTATTGTGCTCGGCTGATTCTGTCGAGTCCATGGACTCGACGCTCTTTTCACGGATTTGATCGAAGCCGTCCGGGTCGTGGGGACTGGTTAGAATGCCGATCTGCGAAGCGATGGCAGCCGCCGTGAGCCCATAGTCGCCGGTGACCATGAAGAAACGGGCTCCCGCGCGGCGGCACTCGGATATCGTCGCGGCCGTCTCCATGCGAGGCGGGTCCATGATGCCCAGGATTCCCACGACAGTGAGGTTGGAGATGGCGTTGGCCGCGACCTCGTCACGGAACGCGTTGGTGCCGGGCTGGTTTGTCGGCTTCATGGTCTTCTCGCAGAGCACGATGACACGTTCCGCATGGCGAGACCGCTTGTCTTGGATGGCTTGAAAGGCCGCGCGAGCAGCGGCGTCGAGGGGCTGGATGGAGTCGGTTTTGCCGGACCAGAATGTTGTGCACGCGGGTAGGAGGATATCTGGCGCGCCCTTGACGTAAGTCTGATACTCGTTGTCGGTTTCGTTGCGCCGGTACATGGTCAACATCCACTTGGTCTTGGAGTTGAACGGGATCTCAAAGTCGCTGCTGGGCCTCTTCGGGTATTGGTTCTTCCCACTACCGCTCTCCCCTTCATTACCCGGCATACCGCCGGCCACGAAGCGAAGGACGGCGCCGTCAGTCGCATTACCCTGCACAGTCCGCTCTGTAGGAGGGAGATGCAGCGAGGTGGGATCGAACGAAGCGGCGTGACAGAGGTCGGCAGCGCGGTAGAGCGCGGCAGCACTCTGAACGAACCGTGACTTCTGGTAAACCTCTGCTGGCGACGCCAACTCCTCATCAACCAAAGCCACCGAAGTCACCCGCATCTCGTTCTTCGTCAACGTGCCGGTTTTGTCGGAGCAGATCACATTGACACACCCTAGCGTCTCAACGGTACTGAGACCCTTAGGCAGAATGTTAACAGCCTTCATCCGCCGCGCAACCATCATCAGCGTGAGCGCCACAGCAACCGGCATGCCCTCAGGGATGAACGCCACCACACACCCCATGACATTGTTCAACATCGCCACAACATCCATATACCCCGGATGCTGCACCCTTAGCCAGCCAACCCAGGTGAGGAGAATCAGCAGCGCCAGCACCACCGTGAGACACACGATAATACGCACAAACCGCGTGATCTCCCGCTGGATCAGCGTCGGTTTCTCACCCTTGGTACCACCAGCCGTAGCAGCCGCTGCCGCAATCCGGCCCATGACAGTCCGCGGGCCCGTGAGCACGACCACGCCCACGCCACTGCCGTTGCATACGAGACAGCCTAGCAGGGCGATGTTCCGGCTCTCGAGGAAGTTGGGATCGGTGCAATCCACCGCAGCCTCGATCTCATCTGACTCTCCCGTAAGAACAGACCGGTCAAACCGGAGATCTCCCGAGTGCCGCAACAGCCGCATATCCGCCGGCACCTTATTCCCCATCTCAAGAAAGACAATGTCCCCGCCGACCAGCTCTGTCGCAGGGATGCGGATCTTCTGCCCCTCCCGCAGCACCACCGTCTCAGCAGGGAGCAAGTCCATGATAGCGCTCATAGTGCGCACTGTGGACCAGTCCTGGAAGGCAGAGAACCCGGCCTGCAGGACGATGACGATGATGACGAGAATGGCTAAGGCGAGCATGGTTGCTGAGGGTGGATTGCTAAGGGGCCGCCAGCAGAGGAAGAAGATGATGACGCCGACCCAGAGCACGGAGCAGAAGCCACCGAAGAGGTACCAGAAGAGTTTTTTTGCGTAGTTGGTTGTTGGGCGTGGGAGGGTGTTCTCGCCGTCGTGGGCTAGGCGTTGAGCCGCGCGGTCGGGGGAGAGGCCTTGGGAGGAGGAGACGTTGAATTGTTGGCAGATTTGGTCGGGGGTGAGTTGGTGGAATTGCAAGTTGGCGAAGTAATCCTCGTCGCCTTTGAGTCCTCCCTTCTTGTTGGCTGCGGTCGATGCATGCTTCCCCTTAAGGTCGGCGATATCATCCGTCAAAGCCTGCAGCTGCTGGGACTCAGCGACTTGGATGGAGAGCGTGCGATACTCGATCGGCACGCCGCTGTTGGCAGCAGCAGCAGCAGCAGCAGCAGTCGCGGAAGTACCATTCGAGCCAGTGCTTCGGGAGCGACGACGGCGGTGACGGGAACGAGAGCGTGAGTGGCTGCTCCGTGGAAGACGACCGGTAATACGGCTCTCGCGACCTTCGCGATTCTCACGGGGGTCGGTCGTCGCATCGTGGTCGAAGGTGATGCCTGTGGGACGTGTACGACCACCCGGTTGAGAGTGAGATACGGCTATTGCAGCCGAAGCCTCGGGGTCATTGTCAGAGGGCAAGGTCCCGCGAGCTGGCTCGGACTCGTTCGTCATGGTGCCTGGTGCTGGCGAGAGGAAGAGGGCGCGGATTCGCCGAGTAGGGTGAAGGGGGAAGATGGAGGAAGAGGGGGGTGTAAGGGGCGGACGGGTTCGACCACGGCGGTCACGATCTCGCTCCCGGGAGGTAAATGCAGAGGAAAGCAGCTGGGTCAGGAATGAAACGGCAGACTGGGCAGTGGTCGTCGGTCTTCTCTCACCAGCCCCATCCGACCGGGCGAGGTGCTTTATACCACGATGCATCGCTCATCACGCCTCGTTATCGGCTTAGCCAAATCACTCCTATCATCACTGCGCTAGTCGCCCTCCTCGTCAATTCCTATTCTAGGAAATGGTGCTTTCGGTCTTTTCCCAAACTCATCGGGGGCCAGAGAAGCGAGAACCAAGGAACGCGATTCCAAGCAGTGCCACCAAGCAAACAATGGAAAGCAGCGGTCTGGGACTCTGGTCGGGGAGGAACCAGGATTCGAACAAAGCAGGATTTTTTCTCCAGCATTACGCGACATTTGCACAAGGCTATCTACATTGGGGATGGCGATGTTCGCCGTAGACTGGTCTGGATGATCTCAAGGGTGGCACTGGATGATGGGATAGGAGGAGACACGCCTCAATGGAAGGAGGAACTCAAGTCAGGAAAATCCGATAACTATGAGAGATTTATTTCCCTCAGCAAAGCGCGCGAAAAGTTGCCTATTTTTGCCCCCTTTCATCCCATCGCCAGCGACACATGGGATGGGATGGGGAGCCCGGTCTGCGCCGCAATGTTTGTAGGCAAAGGTAAGCTCCGTTAAGGTGTACGAGGCGATATATATGGACGATTCAAGGGAAGGCTTCACTGGATCGCTACGAGCCGCATGTCTCGGTCGTGGTTGCTACTAACTGGCGACTAACACGGCGCTAGCAACAAACCCTAAATTGGATGATGGATCCGAGTCTCCTCCCCCGGCCCCCACGAAGGTCCTTTGGCTTGTTTCATGCACTTTCATCCCTCCCAAGCAAGGACTGGCCGGGGAGGACTGGGCCGGGGATGTGACGTCCGGCATCCGTGCAGAATCCGGGAATTGAGAGATGATGGATGATGGGTGGGGTTGGGAGGCCGCCCGCCAAACACAACTTCCTTGCCGTCCACATGCCAGCCGCAGGGCTTTGGTCCGCGCTCTTGCTTTGCGGCTTACACAGTGCCATTGGAATGGATCATAGCCTGTAGCGTGTACTGTGGCCTCCCGACTTTGCGACCAGACCGGGAAAGGAAGCTCAAGCTGCTTCTTCCATGAACTTGGACACGATTGAGACTGGTGCCCACCGAGGCATTTTTCGACCTGTGGACTCGACTGGTCGGACCAATTTTTCATCCACGGACACTTCTGATTTCAGCTCATTGTCGAAATTAGGAATCCGATGGTCCTGAGAGGAAGTGGTAAACATGCTGCATGCAAGACGACAGTGTGAGTGCCGTGGGGGCGAACTGCCCGCGGCGCTTCGAAATGGCTTGCATCGGATTTGTTCTGTCACAATGACGCAGGGCCGCAGACGACATGGTCAGCCCACGTGGGAGGGAATTCAACCGGCGTAAACGAAGTCCATTCTCCCATTGCAGCGTGATCGTACCATTTTGAAATTTTTCGTCTCAAAAAGAATGAAAAGAAAGAAAACAAAAACCGTCAACTGCTGCGGTAATTTGCACCATATTGTACTGTACAGTCCCACATCACGCCTTCGGATCCCGCGCGTGACGCAGATGTGAGGCCGGTGGACTATCCTAGTGTTGGGAAACACGTGAATAACCCCGAGAGTATTGCCAGTGTACTTGGAAAGACAACCTTTACGTCCAATCTCGAGAAAGCCACCCGTCAGTTGATATCGGGAAGTCAATGTCGTTACGACAGTAAAATACCTTGGATTCCCCTGACGGAGGTAACCAAAGCGAGTCTGAGTCTAAAATTGTTCTCGCCGAGGTGTTGCTAAGTATACACATGGATGTAATTAAAGCCGAAATCTTCAGAAGCAAAATCACCCAGTCCATCATATAATCTGCGCCCATTGCCCACAGTGGCCAGGAATCCTCCAAGCTCAACGGCACTAAACTTTTTCTGCTATCAAAAGCACCAGCCTCAAATCCATCCCCTCCCTCCTCCTAAAAAGCCATACCTTCCCTCCCACCACCTAACCCCCTATATAACCCCCCTTCCAACTCCCACAATCACCAGCTCCTCCCAATGTGCCAAACAGCGGTGTTTGGCCCAGCGGTATTGGGAGGAGCATCGCCGGTGCCGTCGTAAATCGAAATGGCCTGGGTCCGAATCCCAGGCCAGCGAGGAAAAATCTTTCTTTCACCAGAAAGATTTTCGTAACCACCGACCGCTATCCTTCCGGATGGGGATAGGGTTCGGTGGTGAGCATTTTGTTCTTTCTCACAATAAAAAACCATTTTGTTATCCCGTTTTTTTGTCGCTGATTTTCTTCTCCTAGGCCGTCAGTTGCTTGACTCCTCTAGCAGTGTTTCTGCTCCTTAAGAGACAATCATTTCCTAACACCATCCATCTACTGGTTACCACAACCACCATCGCATAAGACTTTGGCGTCTCGGTCAAATTGTTTAGTGAATCGGAGAAAATCTGAGATTGTAGTTCATAAGTGTACGCAAGTTCTCCTCTATCATGAACCCCATCACCCTAACCCTGAGTGAAACCCCTTAAACCAAGGAATATGCTTCCCATCCTACAATACAACACCCCAAAAAAGCAACGCTCCCACCCATAACCAATACACCGGTACCAATACCAATCCCAACACCATGACCAATCCCAACACCATGACCAATCCCATGACCAACCCAATCCAACCTAACCCCCCAACCACCTAGCTAACCCCCAATCAACCCAACCCAACCAACCCTCCCGACCAACCACCCAGGTACGATCACTCACTCCAACCCCATCCTAATCTCATCCCCCACCCCCCAACTCCCGGCCTCCCCCCCAGCCTCCTGCACCGCCATCCTCGCCTGCGGCCCCAACGACGCAGCATCATCCTCACTCGCATTACTCGCCGCCATACTCGCCCTCCGACTCCGCTGTCCACTCCCACTGGTCCCTCCTGCGCCACTGCCGATACTCCGATGCTGCGACGAGTCCGTGATGCGTCTACGCAGGGAAAAACGGGCGGATCGGCTGGATGTGGAGAGGATGGAGGCCGAGTCGGTGTGGGTTGTGTCGTCGTCGCGATCACGGTCGCGGTCACGGTCGTCTTGTTGGCTTGTGCTGGGGGAATGAGGGTGGTGGTGGGAGTGGGAGTGTGTGGAGGTGGAGGGTGGAGAGGACGGGGTGAGAGGAAGGTCGGGAGTGCTTGGGGTTAGGTCGACTGTGGGAACGGCCGGGGCTGGGCTGAGACCTCGCGCGCCGGTGCGGATGGGCGCGGAGGCGCATCGTGGGGTTTTGGGTTGTTGTTCGGTGTGGTTGTGGTTGTCGGCGGGTTGGCTGTGTGTCTCGTCGGCGACGTCGTCGTCTGCTTCTACGAGTTCGGCGTCTCGGTACCATTTTCTGCGGCGCGTCCAGCGGTTCCATCCGTCTTGGCCGCGTCGGCCGTTTTGCCACTGCGAGAGGGTCAGCATTGCGAACATGGGTAACTACAAGTCTGTAACAGAGAGGTACGTACCTTGTTATCGTAATAAACCCACCCCATCTTCCCCCCGGGCGCATCATAATCCCACTCAACCTCCTTCTTATCCCCAGGCATGACAGCATCATCCGGCACACCATCCACCCTCCACCTGGACCCCTCTGCCCACTGCCACCGCATATTACTCCCGTCCTCCACCTCAGGCAGCTCAAACTCAGCGCGGGGCGGTACAGCGTTGTTGTGCTCGTCCGCCCACGCGGGCCGCTCGTAGCCAAACAGGCTGCTTGTCCACCCAAGCCCAATCCAACGTCGCTGGTTTTCGTAGATGATGAACGTAAAACGCACGCCGGTCCCACGTCCACGCGCTCGACGGAGAGCCTTGGTCAGTTCTGACTCTCGTGGGGCCGGTTTGGCGTTACCTGAGGTCGCCGGAGTCTTGGCCTTATCCACGGCTCCAGCGTCCCCAGCGACCACGCCGGTACGACTCCTTGTTGGCGTCTCAAAGGTGAGTCCGGTGACGAGGCCTAGGACTCGCCGGACCGTTGCGCTGCGCCATAGTATGACGCGAGTGACTCGGATGACTCGCGAGTGCCACGACAAAAAGATGGTCCCGAGGATGAGGATGACGCGGCGCGTAGTGATGATCCGAAGCGGCGGAAGCGTGAGCAAGATCCAAAACGGGATACACAACAAAATCCGAACAAAAAGCGTCGTCAGCGCAGGCCGGGTGGTGGCTGAAGTAGGCGTGCGCTGGGTGCTGAGGAAGTCGGTCAGCTCGAGCAGCGGCTCCAGCAGTATGTTACACCGCGCGGTGAACTCGCGCAGCGTCTCGACAATCTCGTCCAGCGTCTTTTGGTGGCGTGTATTGGTGATCTCCGACAGCGACGATTGGTTCCGCGCGTGTCCCCTCGCCCCCCCGCCTGCGCCTTCATTCCCATTCCCAGCCTTGCCCGCCTTCCCGTTCTTCTCTGTCGCGCCGTCGACCGAAAGGTTCTTAGTCCTCCGCGCAGCCTTGGAATTCTTCCCATCCGTCGCGACAGCGTTCCCATCGCCCGTGCCCAGCCCCGGTTCGCTCCAGCCACTGCTGCTTAACGGGCTAAACCGCCGGCCGTACATGCCCCCGATAAGGACCAGCACGAGAACCAGCGGTCCCGCCACGCGGACCACAAAATCCCCATATAACACCGCGGCCCAAAACGCCGCAAGCAGCAAGAAACTCTCCCACGGATCATTTGTAGTCCACGTCAACAACCCCACAAGCCGATTCAGCGGGAGCAGAAACGGATGACTATACGCAAGCGCGCGCGTGATCTGCGGGGGTGTCGCAAGCAGCAGCGGGGATTTCTGATGCACCAGGATTGTACTCCTCCGTTTCGCGGCGGACGTCGCACTTGGGGTGGTCGCGCTCAGTGTCGCGGGGGAGAAGGAGGCGTAGGTGCTCTGGGCCTCCTTGCCGGCGAGAAGGGCCGCGGCGGCGGTGGCATCGTGGCGGGACGGCGAGGGCGGCTCCTGCTGGGAATCGCCGCGGTGGGTGCGCGGAGTCGACATGTGGTGATCGAGCCACGGTTCCTAGATGTTGGGGATGGGGGTCAACTGGTCAGCTGTTGTTGGTTTTGGTGTGGCAGGTTCGCGCATGGCCGTTTCTCTCTCTCTCTCTCTCTCTCTCTCTCCACACGATCGTGAGGAAGCAATGGGGGCGAGAAATTATTTTGCCGAAGAGGGAAGCTTCGAGACTTGGGGAACTGGAATGGTTGTTGACCGCCCTTCGGAGCAGGCGGATGGATGGCGCGATGGCGATGGACGTCCACGATGTTGAGTGGTTGATGATCGGAGAATTGGTGAATGCCGGGGGTCATCCCAAGGCAAGTTCCGTCCAGTGTCTCGAAGCCCCCGGACAACAGCAATGTGATCATTCAGATGCCGTTGCACACGGCGAAGCGAAAACAAACAATTCTCCAACCAAAGACCAAGCCAAGAACCGGACGAAAGAAAAAGGAAACCAAAAAAAAGAAACAACTCACAAAAGCAGCCATCAAACGCAAGCTCGCCGACCGTTGCAGGACCGGCAAGCTCAGTCCATCCACTCAGTTGCAGGTGCGGGACGCTTTCTTTGCCTTGCAACCCGGGTGGTGCGTGTCGTCATAGGCTCGCACGCGAGCGCCCAGATCGTTCGTTTCCGTTTGAATCGTGCAGGGTGCCGAGAGGGACAGGGCACTGCGGGAATAATGCGGGCGGGGTCAGTGGGGGCCTCCAGCTGTTCAGGACACTGCAGGTTGAAGAGCGACATCAATTATCAAAGGTAAATAATGTAAAAGAGTCACATCAATACGAGAGAGAGAGAAAGGGAAGAGAGAAAATAGGTTAAGGGATCCCCCCAGACGATGGAGTGGTCAAGGAAGAACTGTGCCTCGTCATCCTGTTCTCACGTGGTGGCACTGGGGTACCTAGGCGGACCAAATCCGGGGGAGCCCACAATGGTGGGCTCGCAAGCCTGACCCCAATCCCTAAAGTTGACCCCGCGCCGAGGGCAGAGCTAACAAAAGTAGAATCACATGTCAAATTGTGGTTCCTCCCTCAAAGAGTCTCCAGAATGCTTGATGGCGTACAAATCTAGGGACAACCGCATCACCAACTGTGCCAACCAAAGACATCTATGCACTCCACACATCCGCTATTAATGGCAGGCACACCCGAAAGGCACGTCCAAGGAATCAGTCAATCACCGGGGATACCAGAGATAAAAAGAAATATGACTGTCAAGTCGACGTTTAGCTGTCTCTGCATGCTTTCGGCTGTGAGCCGGGTTTATTTACAGGGACATTTCCACATAGCCCATAAAGGGGGCAAGTATTCCGCGAACCCCAAGATCGCAGCAATCTCTCTTCCTCTCGCCGCCAATCATTCGCCATTGTGGCCCCCGTCTACCGAAGCAAGCAACGCCTGGACCCCCAATACTTCCGCGCCGTGCTTCACTCGTCACCCCCTCAACTCAGATCTGGCCATCCCGAGGCCAATGTAGGTAGAAAAAAAGCCGTAGCACACCATAATTATCCTCTTATCCATATTCCTTTCTCCAATTATTCCCCGCCGCCCCGGGGCCCAGCGACAAAGTAAAACCGCCCGCGCGTGGCGAGATGGGTCCGGGAAAGTAAACTGCCTCCCTAACGCCAGCCAAGTTGAGTTGTAGAAATCTTCGGCAGCTAAATGTTCCCTCTATCTTCCTCGCGGCCTAATTAATGCGCAAAATATTTGTTTGCAGAGTTGTGATCAATGTGATCAAGGTATGTCCGTGGGTCGAATGCAACCGATCGTGTAATAAGGCTGCCCATGTCCCGAATCGTTATTTGAGCTCCGCTGCAATCCCGGGGCTAGGTACTGCCGACGAGGGCGTGGGAGTTTGGTCCGCAAACTGCCACTTGATCGACTCCACCCTACCAAGAGTATCGTGTTAGTCTTTGTTCCGGTGAGTTTCAGCGCATCAATGTGTGACGTGTGTTATGTGTTACGGAGTGACTCACGAAAAGGAGATATTCGGCACCTCCACCGCACCATTCCAATGCTTAAGTCGCCTGCATAGCCTTCGTGCATGCAGTGTGCCAATCTCCACGCCCCTGCCCCCCGATTTCGCTTTGTCAAAGACCAGCGTGTACACCTGCGTCTTCCCACCCTGCTCGTTACCATCATCGACGTCACATGTAAGATCCACCACGCATACCGCCCCATTCTGTGCCGATGTCCGCTGTGCGCTGCGGACCTTCTTCAGGTCAATCTTCACGGTCACTGGCGCATCCGCCGGTGTAGTCAATGACCCACTCAGATGGTCATCAATAAGCCGGAGAGTCTGGCCTTGGCCTGACGACCGAAACACCTCCTTATCGCCATCCATTAACCCTACCAACTCCCACACATCCATGGTCGGAACGAATGCCGAGGCCGGGGCCTGTAAGAGTGTCGGCGTCAGCGTCGGTGTCTCGGGCTTCCCACCAAAGCTACTCCCGGTCATCAGAGGTGAGTCAGTCTTGGTCTGTTGGCCGAAGACAGGCGAGTTCGCCCGGGTATTGTTAGCACTCGTTTTCGGCGTGGCGAGCGGCGTTGTGTTCAAACGCAGAATCCCGGGAAGGGCCGTGGCAGCCGAGGGTAGTTGAATCGGTGGCAGTGTTTGCTCGTGTCTCTCGGCGTACTGAGTGGCTGGTTTAGGCGTTGCCTCAGGTCCAGAAGCTGCAGTTGATGCGGGTGCCGTAACCACTTCTGAAGTCGATTCCGCCGCAGGGGCTGGAGACAAGGCTGGAGACGTGCCCGGCACATGTGTCGATACGGTGGCTACATCCGGTTGAGGAGAGCCGTGAGGCGAGCCATCTCTGCTCAGGCCCGGCAACGCCGAAACACTGCCAGGCTGACGTATGTCTTCCAGAATCGTGTTACTCTGTTGGGGCGGCTGGGCCGGAGCAGAATCAGCCCTAGCTTCCTGAGGCGGCTGGCGGAGTTTCGTAGAGAATAGGGGGCTGCCGCGCGCAGGTCCGCGCGCAGGTCCGGACGGAAGGGGCCGTCGACCACTCGCAGGTTTGGGGGACTGAGAAGCAGTCCGGGGTGGCGTCGCAGTGGAACTCGGAAAATCTTGAACAATGTTTTGTAGGCTGGCGGGGCTCGGCCGTCGGATATCAGCCCGGTCCTCTGTCGGAGTATCGTTCGGTCCAGGGGTTCCATCAGCCGGCCGCTCTGGCAGCACCACAGTTGGCGAGCCGTTTGCCGGGTGGCGGTTGCTGCTACGAGCGTGAATCTTGATCACTCTCCTGCTCGCAGCGCCTGCACTTGGTACAGAGCCAGCTCGTGAAGGCGGTTCGAGGCTAGCACGAGTACTCGGGCTGGCGTTATCGCCACCGCCGGCGTTAATGGCGGTGAATCCCCCTCGCTTTGGCGGTTGTAGACCCAGTGCTTGTGCCGCGATAAGCTGCGCTGACGTTGGGGTTGCCGACCCGGTGTTAGCGACATCCTGCTGCGGGTAGCTGGTACGCCGGTTGCTCGCGTGGTCTGTATCAGAATCCCTGTCCGAGCCAACGTCCTTCATCTCGGTATCCTGGGGAGAGGAATAGCTGTGACGTCCCCCGGATTGGCGCAAGATCCGGTCAACAAAATATTGGCGCGCCTCCCTCGCAAACGGTATATCCCCGGAGTTCGTACCATCAAAGTCAAAGGCCGAGAGGCTACCAGCCTTCACCCATCCCACCGTCCAATTGCGGCTATCACAAGTCAGTAAATTCGGTGCCAAAATCCGGTGTAAGAAAAAAAGGGGGGACGGGGGTTCCGTACAAGTCCGGGTCATCCACACACAAGACGGGAAACTCCCGTTTCCTCTCTGAAATTCCCCCATCTTCATATCCCTTAGCCCAACCCTTGATACCCGCAATGCGCCCGTCAACCTCACGATAGACGTAGCACCGAGGCGGCTTCTGCATTCCCGAGGACTGCCCGCCATCCGTGACATCCGGGAACAGGCCGGTGTCGGCAAGCGTGCCCCTTAAACCCGCACGCGATATGTCACCCTGGGGAAGAATAAGGACCAACGACTTCGAGTCACCGTCGCTCGTGACATAAAACCTGCACGGGACGGGACTAGTAGCCCCAGCCAACTGTTTGCGATGCATGGCAGCCCTGTGAGAATTCAGGGGGTCAGGGGGTGGAAATCCAAGCTCGGCGCGCTTCGCCTGGCTCAAGTTGTTGGCGTTGAATGCCTTGTAGCCGTTCTGGAATGCCTTCAATACCACTGCGTTATTTTTTTCAGCCATCTCCTGGGTGCAACCAACAACCCGATGGCCCAGCGTCTCGATAGCCGTCGTATGCGCCTTAGACATGAAATTATGCTGCGCGCTGGCCAAGTGCTTCGCAGCACCCCTGAGCGGATGTTCGCCGAAGTGGACCCCATGGCCATCGCAACGCAGAATGTAAAACTGGCCAGTGATGTTATCTGGAAACCGCACAATGACATGCTTGTACGTCGCTGGTTTCTCTGGTGTTCCGTATACCTCCGCAAATGAGACAGCACGCTCTGGAGTAGGCGATTCGTCAACATCCGGCGGCGATAAGTCACTCGTCTCAGACCGGTCACCCCTCGGAGCCTCAACCTTGGGACGCTTCAAAGGCCCGGGTTGTGTCGCTGGGGATTGCTGGCTAGTTTCCCCGTTAGCTTTCCGTTTGAGCGCAGATTCGGGCCTCGGGCTTGGATGCGCAGGGACAGAGAGCTGTTCATCGGGGCGTGCGGGAGTGGCAAACTGCGGGGACCGGTTTTCCTGTCCCGGGTCGGAAGATGGACTCGCAAGGCGCCGTGCGACGGACTGGAGGGTCGGCGAGAGCCCCACCTCGCGGGGGTTATCGGTTGCAGGAAACTGCTGGCGAATAGTTTGGGGCATCAGGGGGTGTTGACCACCCGCGGCGGGGTTGTGTGGCGATCTGTTTGGTGCCCCAAGTCGGGCGTCGTTTCGCGGCGCAATGGGTATCGGCAACGAAGGGGGGCGCTGGCTGGGCAATGGAACGCGAGCCGTCGGAAGCGGCCTGGGGGCCGTTTCAGAAGGCGTCGGCTGGGCTACAGCGAGAGGAGAACCCACGGTGCCTACTTGGAATGGCTCTGGCGGGCGTGCAACAAACGCTGTTTGTGGGTGTGAGTTTGGTTCGGGCTATTCAAACATCAGCAGGCGTGATCGAATACGTAGGATGAACTGGTTGTAGCATAATTACCGCGGAAACCATCATGGCTGAAATGAGTTTAAAACTTTCCGACTCATATCGTTGTTTCTGCTCCGCGTGCAGTCTCTCTGCCTCCTCAAACTTCTCCTCGCACGTCCTCCGGAGAGCCGCAATCTCCGTATCTCTGTTTTGACTCAACATCATCTCGATCTCGGCCCGGATGGAAGGGTCATCTCGGGCTGAGAGGATATCGGCCCTTCGCTTTTCGAACCGAGCGTCGATTTCCCTTGCCCCCCTCTCCCAATCCAGCTTGATCTGCCGCACTTGAGCTTCATAGCGAACATCCGACTCTTTGATTTTAAGCTGGAGATTGGCGTGGTCGGCTTCAGCACGTGCCGTCTCACGAAGTAAGCCCCGCGACACCGTCATTGCGAGCACCAAAGGACGGCACCATGTGCTTGATTTCTCCTCACGTGGTTGACGGTCGCTGATGAATAGCGTTGATGCGTGTGAAAATGAAAAATGAGAATGCTAGTTCAGACGTGATATGATATGTTCAGCTCGATAGCCTAGAGAAGAATAGGTTAGATGAGGAACCATGAGAGAATCCTCAGGGCAGGAGCCAAGCTGAGTTGAAGTGAGTGCAAGAAAAAAGCAAACAACACCTCGCATGAACAGTCTCAATGTTCATCGACAGAGTGAAAGATAGAAATTTGGTGAGTAGCATTTACGGTTTCCGAAGGGCCGTGCAGGGAAATTGCTGCGTGGATGCGGCACAAGGTGCACTTGCCGCCTGTCTGGAAAAGCTGTACTTTGTACAATTTGGGTATATCAGGCGGGAAGGAACGGCCGAGATCTGACTGCGCCCCCACCCATTTCTGACTCGGCAGCTAAAGGCACAAAGCACTCGCTAGTTATTCGGATGAATGATTTTGGTGAGGCCCAAAACACAGCTCACCCATTCATACGGCTTCGGTAGGTCTCCCGCCGTTCAAGTTGAACACGTCATGAAAAAATGCGAGTCGGCATCAGGATGTTGAGAAAAAGAAGACGACCTCGCGTCGAAGTAATAAAAAATGTGGGACTCGGGCGTCGGAAAGCGCGTCCCTGGATGCGTGGGAAGTGGAGGAAAATCAACAATCTTGGGTTGGGAAGGAGGGAGGTCGGGTTCGGAGGCAGCGTATGGGGTTGGGTGATATTCCCGAGTGCGTTAACATGGCGCACGACTTACGCAAATGGTAGAACAAGCCGGACTATGCTCTTGGACAATACCCGTAGACGTCGATGAAGTAGATACGTGGTACGTTTTGGATGGGGCCGTGTCGTGGGACGAGAAGAGCAAATTTGGAATTTGGAATGTTTGAAGGATGGAAATGGGCGAGATAAACCGCCGGTTGCTTATTATTAGAATTTTTGGGGGCCAATCCCAGGCCTGGGAGAACAACTTCGCTCTACGCCCCGTATCACCCCGGGAGGCCGCTAACGTTAGCCAGAGGGCGGCGGTACCGTATTAGGGCGGGATGCGGTTGGCGGGCTGGTGGGTTGGGAAGGTCAGATATGGAGGTCTCCGGAGAGTCAGCAGGTGGGAAAGGTTGCCGCCGGCGTCGTTCACCAAGCACACTGTACGGAATACCAGGGGCAACCCCAGCCTGAGGCACAGAATGTACTAGGCCCGATTTCGACCGGTTGGCGCAGACTAGCGAGAAAATAATGGGGCATCGACAAGGATTATGGCAGCGGTATAAGATTAGCACTAAACGTCGTGTTCGACGGACAAAGCGTGTAGGGAAGCCTGGCACACCTCACACCCTCGCACCCAGTGCGACGCGAAAAGCAAAATACGCAGTTGCAATCATCCATAGAAAAAGTAGGCAGCGCAGCAAGCGGAAACATCACACCGTGGTCATTTAGGTCGGTCGCCCCTCGATATCATCCCGTGCACAAATTTCGCGCGCGCTCCCTCGCTTTGGGGGCAAGCACGGTGATGGATGCGGTTGGCAACTCCGGCCCCGGTTTAGCTGGACGTTGTGGGTGTGCGGGCGTGGTGGTGACTCGGTGACGACTGAGGAGTTCCCCACGCGCGGCCCCCTTTCTTTCGTCAATCAATGAATCATGGCGGTCATTCGCAATCCCTCAGTGTTCGACCTCGCAGGGAGGGAGTTATTTCCTCGATCCTAAGGACCGACGGTAACGTTATGTCCCATGCACTTGGCTCCGTCAACCAAAGGCCCTTGTAACCCCCCACAACCTGGAAGCTTTGCCCGCCACGCCCGCGCGAATCCGATCCACACGTCGCCGAGACTTCAGAACCCACCACCGACGATTAGTGTCCCTTCTCCTCGGATAATCAAAATCCTTCAAACCTGGCATTTCCCTCCGAACCGTTCATTCCGCAAAACATCCCCTTGATAAGAACTGATCGGTGACCCTCCCTTCGCGGTTCCCGGGCAGAATGCGGGTATCCAGCGAAAAGTGCAATGCAGTAGACGCCCTTTTAAGAATGGCTCCTTGACTATGGAACCTATGGAAAAGGCCAGCAGCGTGATGGAAGCTATCTTGCTCGCAGTTTGCCACAAATCCCTCCCGTTCGCCGTGTTCCGTACAGGCTCCTCGAATCTAGACCCACTCAAATCATACCCCTTGGCCCCATAATTACGGACCAGAAAGGCCCCTTTTGACCAAGTAATAACGTTTACGGGCAGAATGGAACCTACCATACAAGGCCGCCCAGCTCAGCGGCTTGTTACATTAGCCAGTATGGGTTTATCGCCTTTGTATCCGTATTTGCCCAATGCGTCGCATCTCTCGGACAATGTCAGATCGGTGCGGGCGGTGCATGATGAGTGTACAAAATGTGCACTGAGTGAGCACCAGCGGTGTGCAGCCGCCGTTCGTTCCGAAACACATCTCGTTGATCGTCATCAGCCCCCAGTTTGATGAATCGTCATTTGTTTCATCGCTGTATCCAACCGCTTACGTTCATCTTTGTTCCCCCTCGCTCCATATCTGAAAACTGACCGATACAACATCTGTCGAATGGCGTCGGGGGGTTCGTAGTCGCCGAAACAAAACAAAAATCCGAGGTTCAACATGATTCCAGCATTCATCAGGCGGGTCATGCAACCTCCCACCTGGGCAGTTGCCATGACAAATCATAACATGACAGAACGGCACTGCGCCGGTGCTCTGAACCACATGTGACGAGGTGAGGGAAGTTTGCTCCCAATCGACGCCCTTTTTCCACCAGTTTTGTTGTGGCCTAACTTAGTCTCAGTTTGAGCTGGGGTAGGGTCGCCACTTCATCGCCAATAGGGGAGACCGATGACCGTAGTAGGCAGTAGCGCAGCCAGAGTGCAGCGCACGCGCGTGTACTCGGAGGCTACCGTAGCCACCCATAAGACATGTCGATGAGTGATCCAGTGCCTGCAACTTGTGGACGGGGTCATAACAGCAGTGCAGCCAGACGTCGTCCAACAAAGGTTGCTTTTTCTCGCGTTCCAGATAGGGATGAGCATGGGCGATGTAACGCAAGTGACTACCACGTCGGACGAGGTCATAAGCAATCGGCTCGGGTCCGCAATCGTGCCGAGAGACTGGGGTTCGACAACCCCTACACAACACATCCGTACATACGGCAAAATGGGTGAGCAAATTGCCTTTGCCAACGGTACCATTATCAACCCAGCATGTCTGTCCCACGCAATTCGAAATCGTCACCGCGGTTCTGCAACTCCCCCGCAACCTTCCCCCGCCGGTGCCGTGATTGCCGAGACTCGGAACCTCATAAGCGATGAAGTATTCGTAGTTACCGAAGGTTATTACTTACTTCGTACTGGGTAGTAACTTCCAAATCAATGTGAAGATGCCGTGCCCGTTCAGCTGTGTTAGGGGTTAGTGAAATCCACAGTGCGACAAAATGCGAAACAGGCGACAAAAATGTTGGCGACTGGCTAATAAAGATATTTTAAAAATTTCCGCCGCGCCATCCGTCGATTTGCGCTGCTCACGCACAAATTGTTCGCTCGCTTCAGGTGGGGACCGGGCTGGGCCGAGTATTCCCGCCTGCGCGTTGGCGGCCCTTCTAACCGGGGCTCGCCATCACGCCCTATCAAGTTTCGGCTCATACTGCGTAATAACCCAACCGGCCTTGGCTCCGGTTCGGCATGTTGGTGGCATGAGTGGCACTCGCGTGTTGCTGCTCCTCGCTCAATCGGGGCTGTTCTCTTCGTTTCCCAAGCGAAAGAATTCAAGAGGGCCAAAAACCGTTGGCCATTGCAGTCAACCATGTCGAGCAAAAAACCAGGTCAGGGTGTTGACCCGTGACAGATGAGCGAGCCGCCGCCATGGAATTGCTTGTTTGGGTTGTTGGTGCTTTGAAAAGCACGTCGGCTATCGCGCTTTGCGAGTTCGTGGCGGCGCCATGGCCGAATTGTGATAACGGTGCATGAATAGGACGTCAGGTGATTTAAAAGCCGCAAACGGCTGGGTTGGGTTTGGGCCATTCGGCCAGTCGGGTGATCACAGTATCATGAATACTGGATCGGCAGCGCTGGGCTATTCTTCCTGTTGCCTATGCCGGTGCTTGAGTCATTTGGGCGCAAAGGACAGAATGTCTTGACGTCCTCCAAAGGCAACAGACGTAACCCACCCGTTGCTACCTTACCGACCTACCTACCTGACCCGACTAGGTAGGTATGTAGGTACGTAGAGGTACCTAGCCGAAAACGTCAGCGGGGACTCCAGGTAATTACCCGAAGTATCTGCCTTAAGGTACATACCTACCTCAACATCTGAATCTGCCTGATCCTTCCAAAGTACTTTTCCTAAGACACCGGAATCATGACACAACTATCAAACTCCCGAAACTCCGGCGTAAGTCAATCAATGCGTTTAACTTGGCATAGGAATTGGGTTTCTCAGCCGGCGTGTAAGATACTGTGATTTGTTGTGTTCGAACGAAGTGTGAGATCAGTGACCCGGTTGGGTACCTAGGTGATTACCTACCCCCAACAATATCGGTAAATCGTAAGAATAAAAGACAACAAGTCAAGTCGGGCCGTTGTAAAACTCGTGCCGGCCATTTTCCGTCGACCGTCACATATCGAGAGGAAAATGCATGTCCGCCACCAACCATGGAACGGCCGGCGGGGCTTTCTTCAGCGGCGGCGCCTTCAATAGAGACAGTGATAAGGTTACAAACGCTAATTACGCAATACAAGGCGAGATTCAATGTGATTTATTTTCTTTGAAATCCAGGGCTATCCCTGTTTATCGTGGCAAAAGCGGTCGTTCATCATGTGGCCGGATCTAATTAGCAAACAAAGAAGCCGACTCAGTGCTCAAGGGAAAAGACACACAAAGGGCAAACGTGATCACCCGAGCCACATATCGCCCAAGATCCGACAATTGTAATTTGTGGTCACAATGCTCTCCTTTGGGGATTAACCCGATCGACACTGCCTCGGGCACGTTGTTGACAACTCATCTGTTGTATTAGCCAAGCACCTCGGCGCTTAGGGAGAGTTTCGAATGACCGGACTGACCATCGTGGCCGCCCCCGAAGCCGCCATTAAGGCTGTGAACTCGCCTTGTAGGCTTCGACCGCCTTGTCTGCGTGGAAAACACGGGTTGCTCTTCGATCTCAATGGTAACCGAGTGATCAGAAACATTGGCCATTACTATTTCACCGAGGACGGACTCGAACACGACCTCGAAGCGTTACGAAAGAATCATCTATACCAGCGGTCTGATTTCGTGAACAGAGCGAAAGCATGGTATAAGGCCGAGATTGACCGGTTGCTTCATCTTGTGAGGGTTGAAGAGGTAAGTCCCAAGCATCCAAATCAATAGCCACGGAGCCCTGATCTCGGAACCGTTCACCCGAGCCTCTCCCTGACCGACGACATGACCGCCTCGTAGGAAAAGTCACCACAGCCTCTCACCGAGTCAGGATGGCCCGCTCCTCATTCGACCGCATGGGAGGTGTCCACGAGATCCCCAAACCGCAAACCAACAACCATGCGGTTCAGTCTCAAACAGTACCAACCCGTGTCCAGCCACCCCGTTTCGCCAAGCAGAAAGCCGCTCTTGCCGCCGCACCACAATCCCCGGCCAAGCGTGTCTTAGTAGCGGCCCCACGATCTAAAAGGACGGCGCGGGAACTCTCCCACGCCGCAGTCCGTGCCGCAAAGCGACTGCGGAAGTTGGGATTCATCATCTCGAATAGGACAAAACAAGACGACGAAACAACCGGAGACTACAGTCTTGCCTCGGATGACTGGAATCAGTTCATGCAAAGGAATTTTGTTGAAAATCACGTATCGTCGTCGTTTCAACGAAACCCAAATCCACAAGGCTTAGAGGTGGCACAGTTTGCCGTGCGACTTGAGAAGGCCATTAATGAGAAAATTACGGCGCTTCTTGAAACTTTTACCGAATTGGCTACAGCCGCACCGCAAATGAAAGATAGCCCCAACTTTGGTGGGAGCCCGGAACACGGCCCCCAAGCCTCGCTCCCTGATTCCCAACGACAACTCCCGTCGTTACCCCAAAGCAAACACTGCCCGCCGCACTGTGTATCACCACCCACCGACACAAGTCCGTCCTTCAAACACCCAGAGCCCTCTCTTTCCTTCGAGCCCGCAGCCGCTTACACCCCGGGAGAAGACTGGCGGCCGCCTGTGATCGAAAGCCCTGTAACTCATCTGGACCCCAACGTCTGCAGCCCTAAACTCAGTTCCCAACAAACAGTCATTAACTCCAAACATGAAGCGCCCCTAACACCGCCCCATCACAGTGCCGATTTTCCGGACCAGATGCCCGACACGGACATGAAACCCAACACCACGCTTGGCTTGTCGCCGCCGACAGCCTGCATCGGATGTGCGTTCTCTCCCACGGCACGGCCTGTTGATGAAGCAAAAGGCGACGGTAAAAGCAGGACTGTAAACCTAGTACGTCCATTGCCGCCACAAGTGAACCAGGCCAACGTGGTGGAGGTATTGGGGTTACGGTTTGCAGTTGATATGTCTGCGGTGACAAGAAGACGGTTTGGGGTCGTCAATGGAGAGCAGGTTAATGTTGTGGAGATTGAAGAGGGGGGGATGAGAGTTCCCATAAGGCGCTCGAGGGTTCTGAGGAGGGATTTGCAAAAGAGGGCGAGGTAATGATTTTTATGGTACCATAGAATGGAAGATGTTGCTGTGGTTCTAGCAGACTGAAACTAAACATGAACTGTTAAGAGGCACTTGACCGGCTCAAACTTAATCAAACCGAGACTCATGGTCTTACCCAAATGCTAACTAACAGCACTTACCGTCTTTATGTTGCACTCAGTTCCATTCCGTTGAGTCGCCGTTTAGTCCTGCGAGTGCGGCTTTCCCTTGGTTTCCTAATCTTCGTTGTTCACTTGATAATCAACACCCGTCACCGACAGATAGATAAGGTATCGCCGCACCAAACGACAACGTGGGTCAAAGGCAAAGCCTACATTTCCTCTGTTGTGAGTACACTATCCATCCCTAAATAATTCCAAAAGCTTAACCCGCTCAAAAAAAGAGTCCCATAAATGATGCTACAACCCCCCGCCTAAAACGCCCCTTCCATCTTCTCCAACACCATCTGACATATTCTTAGGCGGCTAGGCCTTCTTCGAATCCCCGGATGAACTAGTCCCACCTCCTTTCTGAGAAGAGCTCAGCAACACGGCGAGGCCGAGCGGTACCGGCAACGTGAAGGTTGTTGGGTTGGCAGGGGCCGTAGTCATCATGTTAACGGCAAACGTCTTGTTGATTTCTGTCTTGATGCCGGTGCCGTTGATCTGCTGGTTCTGGGGCGGCGACTGAAGATGCTCCCACACAGGTGAAGGTGAGTTGAACAGCGGGCGCTTGCTTGTGGCAGAAGCACTTTCATGCTTATTGGTATCTCTTGGCACTCCAGGCAACGTTGTAACGGCGCGACGCGAGATGGTCGAAGTCGCGCTTCGTGAGAGGCTCTTCGCCCGTGGTAGGAAACTCGACATGGCGGAGTTGAGCTGATGGGTTGATGATGGGTTGAAGTCGAAGCTGTGTCGGTTGATGGCGTCGTATCGACTTTTATGATTCTATCAAGCAATGGCCGAGGGATGAGGTAAAATAGGAGATTGAGAAGGAGTTGCGTCAATTAATACAGGGCTAGAAGGTCAGCGCATGCGCCTTATCAAGCTTACATCATAACCCAAGATAACCCTCAACTGGACTGCCCCAGTCGCTCCCAATGCATGTTTGGCTCGGATCCAACGGGATTCAGCTCAGTTTCAACGCCCTGCCGCATTAGAAAACCCGGTGTGGCGCCCGGTGCTCCCATTGTCGCGCAACAAGGACCCTCAGTCAAAACGATGTCTCGAAAAACAAAGCAACCCTCGGCTCAAATGAAATTCCAATTGGCTGGGAACCTTATGTTAGACCAATAGGCAGACCAGGATTCAGGGTCAAGTGACCAGCCTGCCGGAACGGTTCACAACTGAGTGTGGTTGTGGGGGTTCAACCCCATTTCAATGCGATTGTCTTCTCCAAATCCAGAAGAACGTCGCAGCTCGTTGGCCTTCGCGTTGAGGTTGGGTCGGAGAAAGGCTCATACCCCCACGATGTCCGGGTCGTCTGACAACAATCTTGAGAAAGTGGGTCATTTCTGGGAAGGCGCCGTTCTCACTCGGAGCTGCGGTTTCGGCATTGAGCACTTTCCGCCCGTTTCGCGGCTGCCCGTCCGCCATCGGAGTCGGCCCGGGGGAGTTGGGAGACAAGGCAAGTGCCATCACGAATCCGCCACCCACGACGTTCGTTGTCATGCCTTTGCTCGGCCGACCCGACCCGTGTCAAGCGGCCGGAAAGCTCGTTGCGAACCGACTGGACGAGCTTTACGCACAAATCTCTCAACGCCGGGCACAGACCTGCAGGTGGGTCTGGGGTCTCGGTGATGGTACGGCCAATCGTGAGACCGCATGTGGGTCCACAAAGCTCCGAGTGTACTGGCGGAACTCCAGACGAACATATCGAGCCCCTCGGGCGCGCAGGACGGCGACGCCACGGTGAGAGGGGAGGCCAGCGTGGGTTGGTCCCGGATTGTTGCACTTCCATGCAGGATTGTCTCTCTTTGGTGTCGCCCGCAGCTCTCAACCAACCGATGCTGACAAGTTCATGAGTTTGGGTGTGACGAACCATTGTCCCTCGTTCGTGCCTTCCCGGGCCTTGCATCCTTGCATATGGCCCGAGAAGAGTGGACCGATGGACGCGGCCAAGGTGACCCGGTCCATGGAGGAAGGCACAATGAACGCAACTCCGCACAAACCACGCATCTGGAAGGCAACAAGTTGCCCAGAGCTGAAGTTGCCATCCGTCTATAAGTAGTGGAGACTTCTCCTTCCCTTTCACTTTCACAACTCTCCATCCGCAATCAACTCTTAGATACTCAAGACACTTTCCAAACCAAACACAAACCAAACCCACCAACCAAACACACTCAACCAAAATGTCTGGCTGCGGCTGCAACGGTTCTGCCTCTTCCTGCAACTGCGGGTCTGGCTGTAGGTTCTCCTGTGATCAACGCCGTAGTACGTCATCGCTGATTATGCTGACCGCTTCATCTAGGCTCCTGCTCTGGCTGCTCCTAAATCACCAACAATGCTCCCAGCCAATCTAAACACCACGTCAACGACTCAAACCTGACCTGACAATTCTTTGCCTCCCTTTCCGCAACGGTTCTGATGGAAGGGTAGCGGCCGGAATGGTTTGATGGAGGTGACCTTTGGGAGGTGGTGAATTCACGATTTTCATGATTTACTTGATTTGCTTGTCTTTTGTTGGAATGGTACCTTTTCATGAGCACAAATTGAGGCGTGTAGCCACTCATTTATGAATGAAAACTGATGTTGCAATCTCTGGCCGATGTTGTGATTTTTGACCGGCGTTGCGACCTCTGGATACACTTGCTCCGCCTATCGGTTGTTGCCTACCACACGTCCACCCGCATTCAACAACCAGCCCCTCTCTACCATTCTTGGTAAATATTCATTCCATAATGCTCCGGTCATTTCAGTTCTTTCGGCTGCAAACCAAGGAACGTCCAAGTGTCCATCCTCGACTAACCCCGCACGCCACACGCGCCAGGAAACAGGGCTGTCTTCCTCCAACCTATCCTAGTGTCCGATTGAGGCTTGTTTCGGAACGGGGAGGGAGCCACGCGGGGCTGTTGAGCTGTCTTTGCTGCTATTTATGGCAATGATATTAGTCAATATTCCCAGCCCTCCCGTCTTGTCCTGTTCGTGAGTTTTTGGCTTCTGAGACATGTGTCTTCTTGTGAGTGGTGTTGTGTTCTACTTTAGAAATAATGAAGATTCTGAACCAAGAATTGATCTCTAGAATGTGTCCCGAGGAGCAAAGTCCGTCGTTGCCTCGGGGGTTTAGAGCGGTGCCATTAGACGTGGGAGTATTGTAGTGCTGTATCAGCACAGCCGAACGGCAAGAATTAAAGTCAAGACTTTCAATTGCAGTATCCGTCCGTCTTGCCTGCGCCCCATCACCATCATTATCAGGGCACTCCCGCCCCTGCCCTAGCTTCTACCAACGGTACAATGAACGTCTTAAACCTGTCTCCCAACGCCTCCACCACAGCCTTGACATCCACTGGCGGCGGCTCACGCTCCTCTCCCCCATCCTCTCCCGTTTTCCCCTCATCCCACGCCCCCTCTTTCCCGGCCATCACACCCCGCCCCGTATTTGATTTTGGGTGGGCGCCCCCCTCAGCACCCGTCTTTCCTCTTCCCAGCAACCCCTTGACATCAGCCCCACGTCTGACCGAACCACCCTCTGTCCCCGGGCCAATTACAGTGTCGTCCATGAGCTGCCGCCAGCGAGAGAGGTACACCCCTGGCCCCGTTTGCGATCCTTTTGTCGTTGTTGTATCGGAGGATGGAACTGCGGCTACTGATCCAGATGAGGACCTGGGAGTCGTAGCTGGATTGGGGCTAACAGAGCGAGGAGTGGAACGGCCCGAGCGGGACCAGTAGGAAGGAGAGAAATAAGAGGAGGTAGTCGTCGAGGCGTTAGCCGCGGGAGGTGTAGTCGGTGCTGATTTGCTGGTTGTGTTCGTGTTGGCGGAAGCTGCAGTATTAGCCCAGGTAGGAGCCGTGGAGATGGCCGGCACATTGTCGAGGATACGCTGCATGCGGGTTAGGGAGAGGGATTTGAGGGTGGAGAGGTAGGCCGCATGGGCATCGATGCTGGGGAGGATGGCTGCTTGTCCTTGGGGTGGCAGGGAGGCGAAGAGTTCTTGAAGAGGCTCGCTGAGAGCACCAGCCGCGCCGGTGCAAGGGTCATTGTTATGGTTTTCGATTTGCGAAGAGCTCCCTAGGTTCGATGTTTCAGATGCTGGGGACTGCCGGAACACTTTGATTGTTTCCTTGGCCCAGGCACAGAACTCTTCCCGGATATCAGGACACTGGGAGGCAACTTGGTGCAACCAGTTGTAGAGCATATGGCGGTTTTTGTGTAAGAGAAGGGCGTAATCTTCCACTGTCGGTGGCTGGGTCTCACCAGTGGAGGTTTTCTTGCCTCTGGTAACATTGATAAAGCCAGTCACGAGGCTTTCCCCGGCCGTGAGATGTTCACGAAGATCGACGTTCTGGTGAAGAGTTCGAATCATGGGTTCGAAGCCGCCCAGGAAGTTCTTCACGATTCGGGTGAAGACATCGGGGTTCTGGCGACAGAGTGCGTTCGAAATTTCATCCCGGTCCCGCACGGCCAGTGCAGCCGAAAGGTACGCTGAGCACTGTGCATGTTGCGTCTCTGATAGTGATGAAAGCATCGCAGGTTGTGGGCGTTCCAGAATCGTGGCAACAATCGACCGCCCTTCCCTAGCGCTAGTTTCCCGAATATCAAGGTGCTCCGCCCTTGATTTAGATGTGTATTCCTTAAGTGCGGCCAGTTGCTCCTTTGATGGATTTGCCGGTCCCTTGGCCTTCTCAATGGTCTCCGCGGTTTTGCGGAACTCGGAGGCGTCCCATGACAAGACCAACCAAACGATTCTAAGATTCAAAGATTTAGAAACACTGTCAAGTATGTGTAGTAGTGAAAGTAGGTATTACCTTTGAAGAAGGTTCATCCCGTCATCTGCGTTCTGGGTGATGCCAAACCAGTTGGAGAGGGCTCCTACGCCCACTTTGGCTAACATCAGACGCATCATGCCGTTGAGCATACTTGCTGCGTTCCCTATACGAAGCGTTTGCTTTGTCAAGGCATATGGCAGAAGCTTATGTACATTTTCTAAATGTTTCAGTAAATAAGGTGCCTCGGGAGACAAGACGTAGATGTGGTGCAATAATGTCGCCAGGCTAGCGCGAGTGGGTTAGCTATGGTTTCTCGAGCGTATTAGCAGGGATGTGTCGAAAGGGGTATCACTCACTAAATGATAGCGTAGTCTGCGGCGGCTTGTATGCCGGGGGAATGTTCTTCGAGACTTTTCTTCTGCTGGGCACAGGTGAAGAGCTCTTCGACCAAATCGCCATACACAAGACCGTGTACTCCATCATCCCATGCCCTGGCGAGATCTTCCGCTTTGGACCGGTCATATTCTCCATGCAAATCCCCGGGCGCGCGGTTTTCCAGTCCTCCCAGGATGCCTCTAGACAAGGTCTCATGGATGGCAGATGCCGCTGTTGCGAGACTCTTCCGGAGACCTAACCCCCCTTTGTCATAGGCTTCAGACAACTCCGCCCGCGCGAGGTTCTCTAAGATGCCTTGGAGCTGTACATGCCAAACTTCCGGTGGCAGGTCCCGTATACCCGGGAATGTGAGCACGATGCTCCTCAGTAGCACAGCCAACAACGGAGTCGCTGTCTCGGGAGCGTAGGCCGGTTCACCGTCAGATTCGGAAGTGTGACGAACAAACGGGTAACCGTATTTGGAAATCGCTCCCGGGTCCTTGAAACTCTCTACCTCGTCATATGTCCCGTGGTGGGTCAGGATGTCGAAAAGAGCATGGAGCTGAGATGGGCTGAGCGTTTGGAAAGGGCTTAAGTCGTCCTTGTCGCGTGTTGCATCTTTAGAGGGGTTGTCTGGGTTTATTTTGTGGGACTCCATGACGGCGATCCGGTCGTATGTACCGGAGCTATTTACCCGTCAGGGAAACTTCTTGTGTTGTGAGGTTGCAGATAAAAAGCGGGACGGGAGAAGAATTTAGATTTCGAGGAATTAATTCATTGATATTTGCACTTTCTAGACCTTCAAAAGCCACAGGTCTTGGGCTGCGAGTTACCAGATTGATGGACCGAATTTGAAACAAAAATGTCAAGACGAATGCAAGGATATTATGAGTAGGGCCTTTCAGGCTTGGAGGGGCTTACGAGTCCATCATTCTGTCGCCGAGTAGGTCCGGTCACACGAGCCGGCTCCTGAAAGAGAGTTGGCGGCATGATTGGGGGCCGCTGACGTTGTTTAGCGGGGGCGGCATAACCCTAACCCTATCACATATCGGATATTCCAGCTACAACAGCCGGATAGGTTGTGTGGACAGTGGAAGCTGCCAGGCCCTTGCCCACAAACAACTTTCCAGATCTAGCCTCAAATGCAAGTCCGAACCCAAACCAACCCGTTGAAGTCATGTCTTGTCCGACAGGATTTGGTGTCGGGTTTTGTTCCGTACCTCGAAATTCACGAACCTTGTCACCTTGTGGGGTACGGTCCTACGGACCTCCAGGATCGAACTTTCCTCAAGCTCAGGTGGCGTGTTTCTTATCACTCACCGGCATCCATGTTGATGGGCTCGTGCGACCAAATTTGATTTCTCTACAGTACCTAGTAACCACCAACCTCTGGGCGCAGGTCTAACGAGTTGGGTTACCGCTTGAACCCTGGATAGGAGGAAGAAGATGGACTCATGGAGAATTCACCGGCTTCACAGTCCGGACCATTATTTTGCCCACCGACAACTCTCTCTTTAATATGCTGTTTCTGAACTCGGGCTCAAATGGGGTTACGGGCGGCCACCCAGCAGTTCAGGCGATTGCAACCGGATATGGCCCGTACCTGCGTTCACCCCCCGCTCGTCGACGATGATGGCCCCCCCCTTTGGGTTGCGCCCTCCCAATAACTAGTGCGGAAAGGGCAGGACAAACATGAACACGCAAAGGACAGGAGCGCCCGCAATTCTGCCCAACAACTTAAACCCGATGGTCTTAGAATCACGCTCTTGACTCCTGTTCTTCCCGCAGGCTACAGCATTTGATTACCAGCAGTTTCTCAACTCTCAGGACCAACCGTATCTGCTACGACAAGCTTTTAGTCAATATGCTACTATCGCCCTTCTTCTTGGTGAGCTGGCTCTCTGCGGCCGTGTTCGCCGAGCTTGTCCTTCACGATGGCGGATTCACACCGGACCATGTTCTGAGGGTATCTCTCGCTAGTGTACCTTCGGCCTGCGAGACTCGCGAGGACGTGGTAGTCAATGGAACGACTCCTGGCCCGGCACTTCGGATCCCCTCTGGCGCAACAACCTGGATCAGGGTCTACAACGACATGACTGCCCAGAACCTCACAATGGTTAGCTAGTCCTCGTTACCACGTTCCTGACTCACATTAGGACGAACAGTGTTGGCTAACCCAACCCGCAGCACTGGCACGGGCTGTCACAACGCTTTGCACCCTTTTCCGACGGAACTATAGGCGCCTCTCAATGGCCCATTCCCCCTGGACATTTCTTTGACTACGAAATTGCTACGGAGCCGGACGATTCCGGCACGTACTTTTATCACTCGCATATTGGTATGCAGGCCTTGAGCTGTGCCGGCCCGCTCATTGTCGAAGAGTGTTCCCAGCCGCCGTACGACTACGACGATGAGCGGATCTTGATGTTCGAAGACCATTTCCAAAAGACAGACAGCGATCTGATGAGCGGCCTCTCGGCCGTGCCATTTACCTGGACTGGAGAGACCCTTGGGATTACGCTAAACGGAAGGGGCGTTTCTCGGAATCAGACTGCCGTCCAAGGTCCGGGAGGCGACGCCAACGGGTTCTTTGGTAGCCGCCGCGTGTTCACGCAATCTGATCTGGGCTCTGCAACGGACTCCTTAGAGGGCGTGGTGGATGATGACCACATCACGCCCCCTACGGACTGCACGCTCCCAGTCATTGACGTCGAGCCCGGCCTGACGTACCGGTTCCGTTTCATCGGCTCCACCGGCTTATCTTTCATCAGCATGGGCTTCGAGGGCCATAAAGACTTGACCATTGTGCAAGTCGACGGAGGTGAATACAGCGAGCCGGTACCGGTTGAATACATTCAACTCGGCGGTGGCCAGCGGTTCGATGTCCTCTTCCAAGCCAAAACCCATGAGGAACTTAGACACGACAACAAGAATTCCTATTTCCTGCAATTTGAGACGCGCGACCGCCCAGACCCTTACACTGGCTACGCTGTGCTCCGGTACAACCTCTCGTCCGCTGTTCCCCCTGCCCCTTCTGCTCCAGTTGTCACTCTTCCCGCGGAGGCGAACAATTGGCTCGAGTATACCCTCCAACCTCTTGATCGGGCCACCAGCAACTTCCCCACGGCCGACGAAGTCTCGCGCCGGGTCATCCTCCAGGCCGAGGAGAAGATTGACCCCAAGTCTGGCCGCCTGGTGTGGGAGCTCGCTCACATGTCGTGGAGCGAGACGTCCCGCGACCGGCCGGTGCTCGTGGACATTTACGACCGCGGCCAAGCGGCCATCCCCGACCAGCAGGCCGCAGAAGCCAACTACGGCTGGGACCCGGCCAACCGGCTGTACCCGGCGCAGCGGGATGAAGTGGTGGAGATTGTGATCCAGAACACGGGGTCGCAGTTCAGCGGAGCACTCGGGATGGTGGAAACCCATCCTTTCCATGCGCACGGGGCTCACTTCTATGACATCGGCGGTGGCCCCGGAGTGTACGATGCGGAGGCGAACAATGCGAAGCTGGAGGAGCTGGGGTACACGCCGGTGCGGCGAGACACGACGATGGTATACCGGTATGGGGAGGGCAAGACGGAACCGGGCCAGCCGGCGGGCTGGAGGGCCTGGCGGGTGAGGATGGAGCACCCAGGAGTGTGGATGATTCACTGTCATGTCTTGGCGCACATGATCATGGGTGAGTCGTTGACTGCATAACTTATTCCAGCCCCCTAACTTGAAGAAGGTGTGTTGTGCGGCTGCTGACGGGCTGTGTTCTAGGCATGGAGACCATCTGGGTGGTCGGTGACGCCGAGGACATTGTCACGATTCCGATGACGGTGAGTCGGAACTATTTTGTGTATGGCGGCAGTGTGTACGGAAATGACACGCATGCGCCCGAGGTCTATCATTATTTTGACGGAACAAACAAGTCGGAGTCCCGCAGTTACGGGCTGTCCAGCTCGGCTTTTGATGATAGCGATGATGACCAACAGGGCTGGGAGGAGGAAGGAGATGTGGAAGGCGACAAACAGGACTGGGAGCAAGAAGGGGATGCGGAGGAGTACGAATATGAAGATGCCGAACTGTTTGGGGACGGGGACGAGGAATAAGCAAAATGCGGTGGGTTCCATGGCCAAGCCCGCCGGGGCTGAAGGGATGATGAAGCGAAGTTGCTGACTGCTTCTTGCCAACGTGCTTCTCTGGAGCCTGTTCCTTTTTCTTGACTTTTCTCTGCCTTATTCTTTGGTAACTGTGTTTTCCGCCCTTCAAACTCGTGTTTGTTACTTGAGCGTCTCAGCGTAGATGAGTATCGTCAGTAATATGACCGTTGTGGGCTGTTGTTTGTGCACGTTCGTCTTCCTACTCCCGGTCGTTGGGCAGCCAAGACCAGGCACCTGGGCCTGGAACATCACAGCACGAGATTTGCCGATAATTACGAAATATGTGATTATGAAGGATATTTGTGTGATGATGCATGGGAATCCGGCAGTTGACAGTATTTCCTTCGGGATTGCAATGCGATGGCACGGTGTATCAAACGGCGAAGTGGCCCGACGAACTACGGCCCGGGTTTCTCGGATTCTGCGGGTTGGTATCCCGATGCGATTTGCAGCTGTTGTGGGTATTGTTTGTGTTGATCCTCTCAAGTTTTCCCCTGATACCTTGTTGCGATGCAGCCTCCTTTTCCCTGGACAACATGGATTTGCGAAAAACACAGCGGAAACCAACTCACGGAATACGCGGGATGATTGTAAGACAAGGCTAGTGTAGAACGGGGTGATGGAGAGAAAGAAATCCGTGTGGCCATGGCGTGGGCGATCACAACGGTTTTGTCTCTGGTTCATATTTGGAGGGGCCAGCCGCCTTGGATCGATGGGGTTTTCTGGAAGGCTTTTTGTGTCTCTCATCTTTCTCGCTCCTTTTGTTTTTTCTCTTTTATCCAAGCGCACAAGAGTCTGTTGGATTAAGTCACTCTTTTTTTGGTGGTTTCCTCGACGAGATCGAATAACCAGCAAGCTGTTCATTCTTTTTGGCTTTGTTGGTGGAGATCGCACGACACTCCTTTTTAGCTTCATCGGAGCATATCGAAGATCCTCTCCCTCCAGTACAGGTCAACGGACGGAACTACCACTTACCAAACTCGGTCTTTTACCTTTCTTTTCATCGTGGTCGAATCAACACGTACGCGCCACGCAAAGCATACACACATAAACATCAGAATCAACACAACCTCACTCAAAAACCAAAAAACCAAAATGACTCGCCCAACCCTCGCCACTCTCCTCCCGCTCCTGGCGCCTTTTCTCCTCGCCACCTCAGCCCTAGCCGACACTCCCTTGACCTCGGCCGACTGCGTGCCCATCCGCCTACCCAGCACCCTCGGCCGGACGGGCGACAACGCCCACGGCCGCCAAGCAGTCGTGTGGTATGTGCCCTCGACAGGAAAAGAGTGCCTGCCCAACCCGGCCCAGCGCCGTGCCGTGGACCAGCTGAACGGCGGTGATCCGACTCCCGGAGGCGGCCCGGCTCCGGCCGCGGGTGATGCGGCTGCGCAGCAGCCTGCGCCGACGGAGGCGCCGCCTGCGGGGGATGCTGAGGGGGATGGTGTGCCTGCTCCTACGGAGGGTGCCGGTGATGGTGTGCCTTCCCCGACTGGGCCGACGGCTGTTCCTTCGCCGACGGGGCCGCCGGCGAGTGGACATGATGGGGAGACGGGTAATGGCACGGGTGCCGGGACGGGCGCGGGAACGGGAACCGGTACGAGCGCCGGCAGTGCTGATGGGAAGGGTAATGGGGATGCGGCCGGAAGCAGTGTCACCACGGGCGTGCCCCCAGTTGAGACGGGTTCGGGTTCGGGTGTTGGCGCTGGTACCGGGAGCGGTCATGGGCAGCCCAATGGGCACGACAGCAGTGATGGACAGGGAGAGAGCAGCGGCGCGAAGACAGTCACTGCTGCTCCCGTCACTGCCACGGTGACTACCGCAGTGACTAGGCCCGGCGGTGTCGTTGTGACTACTGCTGTTGTGGTGGTCACCGGTGGCAGCAGCAGCTTGGGAAGTAGCAGCTCGAACGGCGCGAATGGCAATGGTGGTGCGGGCAGCGACCCGAACCAGAGCATCTCGACCATGACGACGGTGATGGTGGAGATGGTTGACGGTACTCCTCAGCCTGTGCCTCCGCCTGCTGCTGGTGCTGATCCGGCAGCTACCGGTCACCCGAACGCGGCTGGTACTTTGACGGGCATGTGGCGGGCTGTGGGAGTCGCCGTGGGTGTTGCTGCTGGGGCGTTGGTATTCGCTTAAAAAAGATTGAAATGTTGGAATTCGGAATGAGTCGGATGTTAGGCAGTCTGTATGTTAGCAAGAGGGGTGTAATGTAATGGCCGTCGTTGGCGTTGTTTAATTTAATCCAGTGTGTTCAGTCGTTTATACAATGGCCTCTCCGTTTACATCGCCTTTCTGAGCATGTTCTGCTTGGTATCATCGTGATTATTGACTTGAGGTGTCAGGGTCAAACCCAACATGTTCAGACTGAGGGACCCGGCCTCGCTGCGGCCAAAGAAACAGGCAGACCAAGACCCTGGATAACTTACTTTTCTGCAAAAGTGAAAAAGAACTAAAAAGAATAAATAAAAAAAATGAAAGAAGACAAAAAGAATAAATGAAAAAAAGTCAAAAACGACAAAAAAGAGTCAATCAATCAATAATTATCTGTTAATATTTGATCAAATGCCAATGTATTTTTGTCTACCGCTTTTTTTGGCCACAGTGAGCTGGCCCATGCATAGGCAGAAATGTGGGTTTCGCAGGAACCATAAGGGCGGTGTCGAGCGGCAGTATCACGTTGCTTGGAGGCAGGCCAACCCCTTCAATCCACCGAGCCATCCACTGGGCAACCAAATGTTCCCCAGCCGGGGCAACCTGACTTCTCCACACGCAAGTTCCAATTCCCGCCCTCATCCCACTATCGCACCGAGCCCCTCGAATCGCAGCATCGCGCATTGTAAAGTTTGGTAAGTCTTTATCGCAGTAATATTTCCTGTGTTTACGTTTCCCTCCACTGCTCCAAGTTTCAATTCCCGGCTGCTACTACGCATGCACTGTCGGGCTGACGTGGTCCAGTGCGATTGTGCAGTGCGACCGGCGAATCGCAGGGACAGCTGTTTCCAGGAGCAAAGTTCGCTCCGCTCAATTCCAATTCCCACTTGCTTCACCCCCGAAAAAAATCTAACAAGCATCCGCCCAGCAAGAGTTTCAAGGGCTTCGACGCAAGGAGCTGCGATACAATGTCGTCGGACTCGGAGCCATCCGCCCAGGCGGTCAATGGCCTCCCCAACATCTCGACGCAGGCACCGATGATGGACGAGCCGACTACGCCGCTCGACGACGAGTCTGTAATCGCCTCGTCGCAGCAAAGTATCCCCCCCACCGAGGCTCCCGACTCCCCGATTGAACCGTCGTCTTCATTCAATGGAGCGCTCAGCGAAGACCGTGCGGTAGCTCCCATCATTCCATCGTCGCTCACCCCGCCTCCTTCGTCACAAATCCCCACCCTCACGATTGCTGGTGTGCCCACGGCTCAGTCACACAGCCTGGCCCCCTCCCATCGCCCGAGCCTCTTCTCACCGCCTGCAACCGGCATCAATGGCATCAAGCGCGTGAGCATTCCCGACTTTGCAACCCCGACACAAACACAGATCGCCGATGCCTCGGCCGATGAGCTCCGGAGCATGCTCCAAAGCTGCATGGCTGAGCAGGCCCGCCTTAAGATGGAAGCCGCTCACCACAAGCTGCAGTTTAACATGCTCAGTATTCGGGCGGACGAAGATACAAAGCGCGCCGCCGTCGAGCACGAGATGGCCAAGAAAGAGGTCGAGGCCCTGCAGCAAGCCGAGTGTGCCCGCCAGGCCCGCCGGGACATCACCACAGCGCCCGATTCAGCACAAACCAAGTACATGGAGCTTAAGGCCTTGCACGACCTCGCTCTTGAAGAGAACGACACCCTACACAAAAAGGTCAAGGCCGCCCGGAAGGTCATCCAACAAAAGGAGGACGAGATCGCCACTCTAGCGGACGACCGTGAGATGCTGCTGAACCGCATCCGAGAAAACCGCGAGCACTTCCACCTCCTCTGCAGCCCCGGAGGTATGTTTCATGGGGTCGTAACGCCTAAGGCCCAAGCTACAAGCCCTCAGCAGCACCGTACCACCCCGAGACAGACTCCTAAGGCGTCACAACGGGACAGCCAGCGCGATCCTCACCACCACCACCATCACCACAATCAAGAAGGCTTCGCCGTCCTTCTCCAAGCTCTCAGTCAAGACAACAACAGTGCCCCCTCGACCCCGATCGTCGGCCAACGCCCCGCGCCTCGCCTACCCTCGAAACATACCCGCAATGTCCAGTCAATGTCCTCCTTACCATCAACCCCACAGGCCCGCACCCCCGCCAACAACCGCGGTCTCCTCCCATCGATCGATCTAGTCCCTCAGACCGAACCGCCCCAGCGTCGCACCCATTTCATCCCCGAAACGCCGGCATCGTCCAAGATTCACGACCGTCGCAAGAGCCGAGAGAGCACCATCTCGGCCGAGGACAACCAAGAGCTCGCTCGCCAAGCCCTCCAGTCATTCGCCTCGCGTGGATCCCAACATTCCCACAGTTCCTCCCGTCAGCGCATGTCTCGCGGAGGGGAGGACGACGAGGCCGAGATCTACGAGAGCCAGGCCAGCCAGGCGGCATCGGAGATGCTCCGTCGGAACCCACGCGAGAGCTTCGAAGTATCCGCTTCAAATGGTAACTCGCGGGACGGTACTCCGGCAGTGACGGAACGGAGTGTCAAGTTGCAGGCCAAGTTGTTTGGCGGGGTGAACAAGAGCGGCATGTCGTCATCGCAGCCATCTGGCAAGCGCAAGTTCAACGGGCCGCATGGTGACCCGGTGGACGGGTACCCCGCAATTCATCATGACCATGTCAACAGCCCGACGAAGAAGTTGAGGGAGGTTGGTGGACTACGGGATCCGGGACGGGTTGGTTTGGGGATACAGTACAGCAGGGATTTATGAGTGGGGATGGATGGAATGAATAAGATCAAAACACAGGTGGAATGATCGGTGGAAAAATCGAAGGCTAAGGGTTGGAATGACGATATTATTATTGGTATCATTATGAGGTCCCGGCGCTGCAACTTTACCCTCTTTTTTTCTGGGATTTTGTTTCAAGAGTTTCCTCGTCAGCGATCATCTTTAACCTTACGATAACGGCTCCTTTCGGTTCTTGGTTCATATGGGTCTCAATACGCAATGTACTTTAGATGGCGATGATCTGCCCCGAAATGGAGAACATTTAACTCGTTACTTCCCATAGTCTCCAAATCGTATTCTACAGTTCTAGTTGTCCCTACCTTCGTTCTTCCAAGTAATACAATTTGACTTGACTGCACTGTGCCAAGAATCCCTCAGTGAGCTCGTATGCCCCACAGGAAGCTGCCGAACTGCATTGCCGCTGTCCACTCAGCGGCCCGCCGGCATCTTCCTCTTGCCGGATGTGTGTTTTCCCCTCTCACAATTGGAACTCCCCACTGATGTAGCGGCCGTGAGTTATCCCGAGAGGCTCGAATTCGATCTCGGAGACGGGGGAAGAAATCGGGTGTTAGCCGCGTATCTTTTGAGTCTTTCTGTTCCTGCGTTTTACTTTTTGTGAGATACCCAGAGATTTATCCCTCTTTCTCTTTTTTTCTTGTTGCAATTGTCTCTTTGCAACTGGCGAGTTGTCACTGCCGTCTAGACGGTGTTACCTTACCAAATCTTCAACTGCCGTTCCTGCAAACCAGCGGCCCGCGTCTCTCGGAGGTCGTACGAAGTATTCCCTCCTGAACCACAGACTCCAAATTCTTTCTCGAACCTCCCAGTTACAGGGACAGGACACAGCACAATCTCTTATTTGCCTTCCTCTCGCCTGTCGTCGTCAAAACCCCCCACCATGACCGGCCTCCCCAAAGGCATCAAAGCCATCCTCACCAAGGCCCCCACCGACATAGTCATCCTCTCCTCCCTCCGCACCCCCATCTGCCGCTCCTACCGCGGCCAGCTCAAGGATGCCTACCCAGAAGAACTCCTCTCCGTCGTCCTCCGCGCCACCCTCGACCGCAACCCGCAACTTGACCCCTCCACCATCGACGATGTCGCCGTCGGCGTCGTCCTCAACGAGCTCGGCGGCTCCAAGGCCGCGCGCATGGCGCTGAACCATGTCCCCGGGTTCGAAACCACCAAGACCTCGCTGTACACCGTCAACCGGGCGTGTGCGTCTTCTCTGCAGAGTATCGCGCTGGTTGCTGCGCAGATTCGCACGGGGATGATCGATGTGGGGATTGGCGCTGGGATGGAGAGTATGACGCGGAATTATGGCTCCAAGGCGATTCCTACGGATCTGTGGCCGGCGTTGAAGGAGTCTACGGTGAAAGAGGCCAGGGATTGTATCATGCCCATGGGCCTGACAAGCGAAAACGTCGCGCAACGGTACGGTGTCTCCCGCGCAGACCAGGACGCGTTCGCGGTGGAATCGCACCGGCGCGCGGCACGAGCACGGGAACAAGGGTGGTTTGATCAGGAGATTGTACCGGTAACGACGCAGTTCCATGATATCGACAAGCAGGGGAACCGGCTGGATCCTGAGGGTGCCGGGAAAACAATCACCGTCACCCAAGACGACGGTATCCGTCCCACGGCCACGCTGGAAGCCCTCGCTAAGCTCAAACCGGCCTTCCTCCCCGCCGAAGCCGGCGGCGCCAGCACGGCGGGGAACTCCAGCCAGGTGTCTGACGGCGCGGCTGCGACGCTTCTTATGCGACGCAGCACGGCCACCCAGCTCGGGTTGGACTCGGCCATCCTGGGGAAATTCGTCGCGGCTGCTGTGGCAGGGTGTGCGCCTGATGAGATGGGGATTGGGCCCGTCCTAGCAATCCCGCGGGTCTTATCCCAGCTCGGCCTCACACTCGAGGAAGGACGGGAAGTAGTGGACAGATGGGAACTCAACGAGGCGTTTGCCAGCCAAGCGCTGTATTGTGTGCGGGAATTGGGGTTGGAGGGGGCGTTGGCGGAGGGGAAGGTGAACCCGGATGGAGGGGCCATTGCGTTGGGACATCCTTTGGGTGCGACGGGGGCGAGGATGGTGAGTACGTTGATGCATGGTCTGGGGAGGGGGGATGGTGGTGGTGGGCAGGTTGGGGTGGTGAGTATGTGTGTTGGTACGGGGATGGGGATGGCGGGGGTTTTTGTGAGGGAGTAAGTGCAGGATGGGAAAATGAACAGCGGTTGGAATGGAATTAGCTTGTGTTGCTATGGAGAGAATTTGTTGTAGGAAAATTGTATGTTTCAAGAAGTGATGAGAACAGAAACAAGATGATGGGAATCGACAATAACGATGAGTGAGAAGAACTGTCAAACTGAGGAATCACCTCCGTGTTCGGAAAGTTCAATTACACCACATACAATCAAGCTCACGGAGTCAACAGTCACCCCTGATGATGTTAGATGTGAGGTGGGAAACGGCCAATTGACCTATGACTGCTAGCCCAGAGTGTTTGCTGAATCACGCCGTCTCTTTCTTCAGGCAAACTCAGTTCTCCAAACTTCGTTATGAGTGATGAAACCAAAAGCGCCAATTACCAAGATCGCAATCCATGACGGCCATTGGGGGCACACAAGCAAGAGAAGTCTCACAATTCAGAAACAGCCTAACAACACACACACACACACACACAGACATCACTTTTACGTTTCCAAAACTTGTCAACCAATTGGCATAGTAATTTGAGTGTTCAAGCAAGGTATCAAAACAATCTACGCCGGCCCGGATCTTCATTCCGATAACCGGCCGGCCCTCGGGGGTATCAGCGGAACCGAGTGCCTAATCTGGAAAATTCCCATCCCACCCGCTCCAAAAAACTCCGCGAGGGATCCGGTTAGTGTATGTAGAACAACACAACACAAAAATCCTGCCTGCCCGAATGACGCCCGCCGACCCAAATCATGACATAAAACTCCCAGGCTCAAAAATCGCAGTTAGGAACGAGGCCCGTGTTGTTGTTTGGGTGACGTGGTGGTGGTAGTGTGGTAGTGTGGTGTAATGCGAATCCCGAAAAAAAGTGCCCGGTTTCGGTGGGCGCACGTGGGGGGTGTGGGAGCGCCTTTCAAAGCGCCCGTTCCCAAGGGATAGATAGAGGCTACCAGGCGGAGGTGTGCGGCATGATGACCGTGTTTTGTTGTTTCCTTCGCCCGTGAGATCCGGAAATATGTTGCTGCCGGTAACCCTTTTACGAGTTGACCGTGTTGGTGGTCATGCCCGGCGCCGTTTCTGACGCCGGTTTGTCATCATGGCTTGTCTTGTTTCCAAGTTACAAGCCGCAACGGTGTTGAAAGACTTAGACGCAGTCGGTGCACTGGCTGTGCTGGCAGTGAGTGCAGGCCGGGCTGATGACCAGCATGGATCCGCACTTGCAGCAGCGAGGTTGGTAGGCAGACATGTTGATGGTTGGTGTTTGGTGTTTAATGTTTGGTTTTAAGTTGGGTGTAAGTGAACGGTGATTGTTGCACAGCGATGTTGAAGCAGTAGCGTAGAGGAGGTGTGAAGGTGGGAGATGGTGTGGAAGAGCTGCCAGAGAGGGGGGTGAGCCAGAGATTATATACACTTCGACCCGGACCTCTGCCGCAGTTGTGTTGGGGGGGAGAGGCCCGATGGAGTGGCGAAAGTTTTCACCCGGCCATGGTCTGCCTACAGACTCTCAGACTAAAATGGGTGGGAGGGAGGCTCAAAGGGGAGCCTTACTTTCCCTTTGTCGAAACTCCAGCGAATCAAAGCACTGAACGACAGGTTGGATCCCCCAGGGTACGGCAAAAACCGGAACGCACACCTTTCTGCGACCCTCCGGAGACCACCCGGCTGGTTCGTATGCTGGGGGGGGCAATGGGGTGCAGGCGCCCACACAACCTGTTCTGCCTGTCTCCGTGGGATGTACGCGCTGATGTGTTTGAGAATCACAAGATTGGCGGCCAAAACGGCCGTCAGTGGCTGGCGAACGTGCGCCCAGAGTGGTGTGCCTGTCTGCATTTGGCCAGGGATCAACGCCGCGGTTCCCCGCAGCATATCCTGCGTCTCTCATTGGCTGGGGCCATTGTCGGCGACCAATGAGAGCAAAGCCATGAGGTTTAAACATTTGCTAAGTAGTATTCCGTGGGGGCAAGCCGGCTTCGTCCGTCGCAGCCTTGCATGACATCAGTGGGGGAAGTGCTGTTCCCCAGATTCTTGGGATTTTGAGGGTCCTCGATGTTGAATATCAATTCCATCTTGGGGCCCTGTGCGAGGTTCAAGGCCGCTCCCAGATTGGACAAGACGATGGTTGAAAAGGCGATGTCCTGTCCTCTCAAGTTCTCAACTGAAGAGAAAGCTGTCCCTGGCTGGCCTGGGAATTGCTCGGAGGGAGGGGACGACCCACCCATCCCACCTTGGGATGCTCCTTCCTTTCCTTTAGTGCTTTCGCACTTGCACTTTGGCCATCGCCGCAAACTCTCAAACTCTTCGTTAATACCTGGCATCCACGCATCTTCGAGCTGTCGTATATGTTGATGAGTTTCCGACAAAAATGATGCAGCGCCGCAGCCGGTGTCACAGATGCCCCTCGGACTCTGCGACAGGCCACGTGCCGTAAATGACGTCGTTCGAACCCCCTGACGAAAAGTCCACGATAACCCAATGCGAGAGGCCGTCCAGTTTGCCTTGAATGGAAGCGCTTGAACAATTCGGGTTACTCTCACTCCGGCCCCGCAAGTCCCGAAAGATGCCCTCCTCCACAAACATCCACAAACATTGAATGCACCGAAACATGCATCACCGTTGGAAGCTTCGTGATGCGGGGCTCACCTCGACTGGCTGCAACGTGGAGTTGGGGAAGCTCAAGCGGCAGCTCGCGCCTGCCACACCTCGCTTCGCAATGAGTCAATCATGACTTTGCTACACTAGGTCTTTGCTGCCTCCCAGATTCGCCTCAATCATGAAGCTTGCGCGGCGGCCAACTTGGGCAAGGATCTTCGCCAAACTCTCGTCTTTAGACCAACATTTGAGAAACACCATCGTGCCAGCGTGCCAAACACCTCGGAGGGGTGGAAAATGAATCATGGCGACGAACCACTTGAGAAAAATTGGGGCTGAAATTGAAGCCCCCCAATTGCAATCCTGGGGGATCTTTCAACCGCTTGTTTGGCGTCTCCGGAGGAGTCAGACGGCCAAAAAGGGGTCCCTGCAGCCCTATCCGGTTGGCGCGAGGCCTTCCCAGTCAGCCTTGCTTGCTAACAATAATGCTGCCACAATGCGGGACAGAAAGGTCACAGCAGCAAGCAATGCGCGCCAAACACCATGGCAGGCTGCCGCTTGAGGTGTAATGCTGCAAAGTATGCCTACCGAGCCGCCTTAGGTTTGAGGGCCAATCAGCATTAGAGAGATGATTTTATTGTTTGGTGATGGGGCCTCCAAACACTGGCTCCCTCTTCATGTCCGGCAGCCATAAATAGTGCGGGACCTGCCTGTGTAAGCTCTTGACTCTCTCGCTACATCTTTCTTGCGCTTGTGTGCATGTGGAATTCTCGACTTATTCCCTGGAACACTCCGTCCCCGAACGAAAGACCACGACCCAAACGCCCAGCCCACAACGATACCATGGTGCTCACGAGGACGGTGAGGAGTTGTCCCGGGGGAAACGAAGAGGGGAACACCTCGGCGCTCCCCTTCAGCCCAAAGCAGCCAAGCGATGCACCACGAGTCCAGATTCACCCGTTCTCATCCGGAAACGAGAACGATGGACTTATCGTTAAGATCCAGCCGCCCAGAGAGCCTCGGGACGCCAGCCTCCACCATGTTCCCTGCGATCTTGTCCTGTCCATCGACGTCTCCGGAAGCATGAACGCTCCAGCCCCTGCGCCCTCAAAACCGGGCGAGCCGGATGAAGAAGACGCCGGTCTGTCCGTTCTGGATCTTGTCAAGCACGCAGCGCGGACAATCGTGGAGACGCTAGATGAGAACGACCGCTTGGGGATTGTAACCTTCGCCCTCCATTCCAAGGTAAGAGGACAGATTCTAGCTGGAAATAGTCCCAGATTGACTGACTCGAAACAGGTCGTCCAAGAGCTCACCCCCATGACCAATGTGAACAAGGCCACAACACTCGAGAAGATCAAGGCCATGAGGCCCGAGGACGTAACTAATTTGTGGCATGGTGTTCGTGATGGCCTCGGCTTGTTCGAGCCCGGTTCAAGCAGCCGAGCCCCCGCCCTGCTAGTCATGACCGACGGGCTCCCGAATACGTGCATTCCAGGCAAGGGATACGTACCCAGCTTACAACCGATGATGCCTCTGCCTGCTACTATTCACACCTTTGGGTTCGGCTACAGTCTCAAGTCGGGCCTGCTCAAGTCGATTGCAGAAATCGGGGGTGGGAATTACTCGTTTATTCCTGATGCCGGGATGCTCGTGAGTGAATAAGGCCCTGTGCATTTTGGCTTCGCTAATTTAGAGATAGGGAACCGTGTTCATTCACGCGGTCGCGAACCTTCAGTCCACGTTCGCCACCAACGCCAAACTGCGCCTGACATATCCCAGCTACCTAAAGCTGGAGGAGACCACGGGGAAAAGTGTGGTTCAACAAGAGCCTGTGTATATTCAAGGCGACGTCCCCGAGCCCCTGATGTCTCTTACGATCCCCCTCGGCAACCTTCAATACGGCCAGTCTCGCGACATCTACCTCCGCTACGGTGACCTCCTTCCGGCGATCCAAGCTGCAGCCGCCGCGGGAGGCACTGTTAATCCGTCTCCTCTGGTAACGGCCATTCTCGAGCATCAGGAGTTCACCCCAACAACACACCAAACCGTAGCCCACCAGAACCTCTTCACCTTTCCCCCGCAGCCCGCCCTTGACCCGGCCGAAATCGCCTATCACATTTCCCGGTCCGCCATCATCGCCTTCCTCTCCACCTTCTTCCCCCTCAACGCCGAGCTAGAGCACAAAACCCCCCAGAGCGTACCACCCAATACCTCCAAACGCTTTCGGTCCCTTCTTGCCGACCTTCCTGCTTCCCGGCCGGAATTTGCTTCCCATGCCGGATGCCGCTCCCTCATGGAGGACCTTCGTGGCCCTCTCCCCGCTGACATGAGTGAAGACGACGAAGAATCCGGGTCCAGCGGTGCCAATACGGACCCCTCAACCTGGTCAGCCCAAATTCCCCTCGCCCTCCTCGGCCGCGCGGAATCCTATGGCGCCTCTCGCTCCTCCAAATCCCACTTCAAGCGTTGGGGTGCACACTTCCTCCCCGCGCTTGCCGGCGCCCACGCCCGACAGATCTGCCACTCCTTCAAGGACCCTGGCCCCCTTCAGTACGGCGTGGACAGCCCGTTGTTCAAGAAGTGCAGGGATCGCCTAGATGAGGTGTTTGATACCCTACCGCCGCCGGAAGGGAGCCTGGTGCCGAGACTGGTTCAGAACCCGCCCAGTTATTCTCCGCCGGCTGGCTACGGGAACGGGGGCGTGAATTATAATGGGAATGGCCACTCGATAATGTCGATGAGAAGCTATAATGATTCCGCCAGGGGGTGTTTTGCGGGCTGCATGGGCGTGTTATTGGCGGACGCAAAGGTCATTAGAGTGGGGAAGCTCAGAAAAGGGATGGAGGTGATCACGCCCCGCGGACCGAGAAAGGTGCAGGCCCTGTTGAGGATTCCGGTACAGGACATCGGCATGTGTCTTGTCCCCGGCCGTAGCGGACCCGATGTCAACAAAGGAGCCCAGGGACGGAACACCGCGCTGCTGGTCACCCCATGGCACCCTGTTACGACTAACTCTGAGGGGCCGTGGGTGTTCCCCAAGGATATCGCCGTGCGGTCGGTCCGGTACACAGGTGCGGTGTACTCCGTTCTGCTGGAGCGGGACGAGGATCCAGACGCGCATGCTATCTTTGTCGGCGGGGTCTGGGGTGTGGCGATGGGCCATGGACTCACTCAGCCCGGTACTAGCCAGGATGGTGTGCGGGCACACCAGTTCTATGGTGACTATGACAAGGTTAGCAGGGCGTTGGCGAGACTGCCGATGAGATCGGGCGGCGTGATGATGGGCGGTGGGCTGACGAGGGATGCTGAGACTGGGTTGGTTAATGGGTTTAAGATGGCCAAGGTTGGAGGATATCAAGCGAGGGACTCGGGAGCGAGGGATTCAGAAGCGAGGGGGGGTGAGGGTTCGTCTTTGAGCAGATCAGTAGCTTGTTTTAGTTAGCTAGCTAAGGGTTCCTCTTCCACTATCAATGTAATTCAGGTCTAAATTGACAACCAGGCTTTAACAGAATGGAGATGATGCTGAGTGTTTGGTTTGCCCAAGCACTCGAATGAGGCACCACTGTTTAACCCGTTGTTTGAAGCCAAAAATGTGTTCCCCCGAAAAAGGATAAATTCGATTATTTCTGGCAATGTGATGTCGTCAACCCTAAGGTTAGAAGGAAGAATTCGCCCCCAAGATCGTTCAATAGTGGTCAAGCTTCTTGTGGTCAAACCGTGAAAGTTGGGAAAACGAATTTCAGAAGTAGACACTGAGGTATCAAACGAGGACTCAGACACTCAAATGTACCTCGATAGGCGACCTGAGGCAAGCTATGCACTGTTTTAGGACAAGTCAATGAAACGCAAGTGCTACCGACTGCCAACTGCCAGGCGGCTGGCCCCTCCGTCCCCGCCCAAAGTTGGCTTGGCGTCCCGCCGACCCCACCACAAACGGTGCTGGCGAATCAGACCCACACACCACCCTCGATAGGGTTTCCAAGCCCTGCCGAAATTTTGGGAGCGCTCCTCCAAGCGAGCGACCTCCAAATTGTATCTGCTTCACGACCGGCGATTTCTTCGACAACCAGAGGGACCGAGGGCTTGATCCACAACCGGCACAATGGTGAGTTGTTTTTCTTATGGCAATTGAAGACAGCATTGCTCATGCCTTTTACCGTTGTGACGTTTCACTGATGCAGATGCGACCTGTAGGCGATCAAGCACAACCAGACGATTCCCAACACCCGTAAGCCAGATCCGACGACGACGATGACCCCGATCACGACGACTGTTCCCACCCGCCGAGAATTGGAAAACTGACGCGACGTTTTACAGACTTCCGCAAGCAGTGGCAGCGGCGTGTGCGGTGCCACTTCGACCAGGTTCGTTGATATCGGAGACAAAAAAATTATCACTGGGAAGAACAACGAACAGACGTTTCTGACGCATGATGCGAAATATAGCCCGGCAAGAAGGCCAGCCGCCGTGAGGCGCGCCGCTCGAAGGCCGTTGCGGTCGCTCCCCGCCCGGTCGACAAGCTCCGCCCTGTCGTCCGTTGCCCGTTAGTAACCTACGAGCACCCGATCACATATGAGGCGATCTCAGTCTAATTGCGATTTCACAGCACCATCAAGTACAACCGCCGGACACGCCTCGGCCGTGGTTTCACCCTGTCTGAGCTTAAGGTACGATAGAGCGATCCAAGCGGGAGCGAACACCATACTGAAGGGGGTGTTGGGATTTCACGATGCTAATATCAAGACTAGGCTGCTGGCATCCCCAAGCTGTATGCCCGCACCATCGGTATCTCCGTCGATGCCCGCCGCCAGAACCTCTCGGAGGAGGCCTTCGCGGCCAACGTTGAGCGCCTGAAGGAGTACAAGAACCGCCTCATCGTCTTCCCCCGCAAGTCCAACAAGCCCAAGAAGGCCGATACCCCCAAGGACCAGCAGACCGCCGAGACCACACAGCAGATCCGCGCCTCGTTCGCCATCTCGCAGCCCGTGGCCGCCGGCCTCTCCGAGATCTCCAAGAGCGACCTGCCCAGCAACGTCGAGGGCGGTGCCTACAAGGCTCTGCGGAAGGCGAGGTCGGACGCCCGCCTGGTGGGTGTCCGGGAGAAGCGTGCGCGGGAGAAGGCCGAGGCCGAGAACGCCAAGAAATAGATGGGTTTTTCGGGTCGGGTCAGAAGCGACGGATAGGAAGGTTCCCGGTGTTCATTTGGCTGGTCTGGTTCTGGTCTGGTCTCCGCTTTCTGCTTTTCCTGATAAAACCAGCCCCCCCCCTATTTCCAACAGGCGAGGAACATGGATTCCGTCTCCTTACTATGGCCGTGCAGTCTCGGAGACTTGTGCACGTCAGGACAGGGTTCAGAAAGTTTTACTACGCATCATAGGGATTTGCTAGAGCATCGCAAATGAATGGACAGGAAAAGAACAAAAGCATGACTGAAGGCCAATCCGTTAGGTGTTGGGGCTAATTGACGGGTTTTCTGTTCAAAATTTTCAGTGAAGCGTCTTCGTGATGATCTGTCAAGCTACTTAATTACATCCACAGGCAAAAACTCCTTTTCTAGTCTAAAAGCTATCACTGTCCGCCCCGATTCTGGACAACCAATTCGGCACCCTTATTCAGCACAGCCTCCAACGACGTCCTCAAACCCGCCAGCTCCTCCGGGAACCTCCTAAGTAGCTCAGCAACCAACACCATCCCGTTCTCCCGGTCCATCCCGGCCAATTTCGCCGGCGAGTGCGGCTGCTTCTGCTGGAGCTGTGGCGGCTGTAAATCCACCTGTTGCGCTTCCAAGCTAAGCTTTTCCACCGTGACCCCTCCTTCGCTGGCCCCGTTCTCGTTGTTATCACCTTTGCCCGTCGCTACCTCCTTGTCGTTTTCATCAATCTCCACTATTCTCGACGTAGAAGCAGAAGTAGAAGCAGAAACGGCTCTAGCAAGCGCAACGGTCTCCTCTGTCTCCGCCGACCCCGTGATCACCTCAGACAGCGCTATCCATCCCGCACCCGCCTTTTCTACTTCTCCCTGAGAAAAAGGCTGCAACACCCCCAACACCGTCCTCGCACCATCATCCTCCTCACTCTTGGCCATCAACGCCAGCACAAAAATAGTCTCAGACCGCAAGGTTGGAAATTTCGTGCTAGTAAGCAACAGACGAAGCGATGAGAGGAGCACAGAACGGGAGTGAGACTTGTGGAAGCGAGCGAGGGCCGTTTGTTCCTTGGTCTCGTCTGGCTGGTCTTCTGTCCACGACCAGGACGGGTCGAGGAGTTCGTTGCCAACGCCGCCGTCGCCGGCTGCGGACGGGGAGGAGTGCAGGGCCCGGCAGACTAGGCTGACGGCGCGGGTGGCTTCAATCTTGATAGGATCTTCGTCGGCTGAGAAGGCTGTGTCGGTGAGTAGGGCTAGGTTGCTTCGACTGCTGTCCGTGTTGTCGCTGCTGCTGCTGCTGCTGTTGGGGGTGCAGATAAGCCGGACGTTTGACGGGCAGTTGACCAGCAGGAGCCGGGCTAGCGACACGGCGGTGAATTGCAGCTGGGGCTGTGTGCGGGTGGAGGTCCAAAGGCGCGGGAGGAGAGGATTGATTGGGTCAAGGAGTGCGGCGCCGAGGATGGGTTTGTTAGCGGGCGCGATGGTGAGGTTCTTGAGGAAGCTGAGCGCTGCGTGCGTGAGTTGAAGAGGCGGGGCGGATGGTTTGGGTTCAGTAACTTGGGAAGAAGAAAGAGGAGGGATTGCGCGAGTGACGATGTCGAGGAGGGGTGTTTGAACATGCTGGAGGAGCCTGATGCTGGACTCGTCGGAACGGCTAAGGTTACCGAGGGAGAAACAGGCCGCCGTTTGAAGGTGAGGTTGAGCGTGTGTGTTTAACCACTCGGTTAGCGTCTTGAATACTTTGGTATCTGGCGAGGAGGTGGCTGAGAAGCTGGGCAGGGCCGAAATATCCGCAAACGCGGTGAGGAATGCGTGCCCAACTTGTTTGAGCTGTTTGGCGGTGTCTGGGTCGGCGGCATCCTCGGGGTCAAACCGGGTGTACAACTGAGAGAACCCCAGCTGGAGCAGTTCGAGGTGTCCATTCTTGACAAATATGGGCTGAAAATCCTGGAAGGTCAGGTAGGCGAGTGCGGGGGAGCAGATTTCCAAGAACGTGTCCAAGTCGGCGTCATAATTGTCGCCGGCTGCGAGACTTAGGAGGACTGCGGGTGTGTTTGGGTCGGCGAGTTTAGGTTCGGCATCTAACATTGTTAGTTCCCAGTACTCATAGCCGAGCCGACATGTTGTGAGCGTCTACCTTGGTTGGACAGCAGCTCCAGAATTGTCATGATATGGCTGAGGGCAGGCAAGCTTGAGGACAGCCGGTTGCCAGAGACAAGGCGCACAAGGACCTTGCTCAGGCCAGATTGGGAGGCGTGCTCCTGAGCGGGTGCTGGGTCAAGTCAGTAACTTATTAGCTTTTCGAGGCAGTGAGCCAAAACATACTGTTATCAACGCAAATGTTCAACGCCGCAGCGAGCGCAAAAGGAAGGAGGGCATCCTCCTGAGGATCACGGATGATCTCTACAACAAAGTTGGGCAGAGCCCCTGATTTAACCACCCGAGCGCGGTTTTCGTCTACACATCGTCAGCATATCACCATATCAAATGCCGGATGGACCCAAGTTGTGAGCTTACCGCTGTCTGCACATGCGTTTCCGATGAGACGCAGGGCTTGCTTGTTCAAGTGGTGTTGGGGTCTCTCCTTTACGGTTACGGTTGATAGGATATGATCCAACAATCCGGAATCTCCAAGGGGGTTCCGCCATGAAGCTAGAAAGACCAATGACAGAGGTCCAAGGTGTGAGTAAAGGCCCTTCAGAAGAAGTAACTACTACCAGGATAGAGTATAGACCCCGTGGGGAAACAACTCACCATCTCGTGCCGCATCAGCGAGCTTCTCAACAACGGCCGCGAGAACCTCTAAATTCTCCCTCTGGAGCTCCGGTAAGAGTTCACTCAATTTCGTAGTGCGGTCGTCTGCGCTGATACTAATTCCGCCTCCTACCAGCGCGGTGAATTTCTGTAATATGTCCGTCATCCTATGGCGCCCGTAATCCTAGATTTTAAAGGCCGGATCTCTGGACAGGTTGGGGAATAGGGTGTCGAGAGCTTGCGAGTCCCCCGCTTTAGAAATTAAACCGCTCCTTGTGCGAACCAACAATTTTTCACTGGTGAGTCGAATTATTACAATTGTGAAAAATCAACGAAGAATGAATAATAGATTCAAGGATGAATATCTACTATGTAGTAGCTTCAAAATTATGTAAATAATGATCTAGTTAAGCAGCAAGCCCACATCAGTTGTTGTGAGATGCACCGCTTTGGCCAACCCCACCCGCCCGCTCAGCTCTCTTGTCTCGGCTTGCATACCTAACTAACACAACTGAAAAACATCACAACGCTAACTTGAACAAACTCAAGGCCCTTAAATATCAGACAGCACCACGACATAGATATACAGAGAATAATACTTGCTTACCAACGAGACTAGCCCAATTAACTGTAGGATAACTATACTACCTAGGTAGTATACCAGTGCTCTCAAGGTAGGAACCTTGGTGGGAAATAAACACAAAAAGCTCACTGCCTACTTCCTCCGGCGAGGTTGTACACAGCAACGAAAACCCAGATGGATTTTTCTTGGGTGCCCCGTCCGTGAGTCGAACTCACGAAGCGGACGAAGCGGGCACGCTTGGTGCTGCCCGCACCCCCCCCAAATGCACCATCCGCGGTCGGGGAGGCATTTGCCGGATGGGGGGGCTGTTGGAAACTGGTAGCGGAAGGGTAGGTTATAAAGGGCCGGTGTAGGATTTGAGAGGGAGGCAAGGTATGTACACAAGTATCTATAATCCTCATCCGATAATGAGTTTGTCTAAAACGACCCCAACTCGGTCTTCCAGGCTATGCTCACCACGGCCAGAGGCAAGAAGGAGGTTCAAAGTCACCATCCCATATGTGTAAATTTTGTCTACATTATACATGATACACAGCTCCGCCGCACCTTGAGGTATAATTGTACACATATAGCCCACAACAATCCACCGGCCCCTCTTTCTTTTCGGCCCGTGTTTGCTGTGTTTTGTCGTTTCCCCCGTCTACGCCTTTCCTTCCAACCATTTCCTCTCAACCGATCCACTATAATCGCCAGTACCCGTGATAGGTAGCTCGCGCTGCTTGAGCTCCTTGACGATAATCTTCCAGCGACCTACCATCTGCTCCTTGTCGATGGGTGTGACACGCCGCGGGAACACGCGCACGTTTGGTAGCCCCTTAAACGACTCGTTCTTCTCGAGAAGTTGTGTGAGCAATGGCCTTCTGGCCGGTGCCACCAGCTGCTTGATGAGGTTGTCAAGAGTGGGGACGGCGAGCAGCTTGCCGTCGCCGAGGCGGTGGCCGGTGAGTTGCTGAATGCGCTTGAGGGCCTGTGGATGATGAGTAAGTGGGTGCATTCAATGAGTGGCGAAGGATGCGGAAGGGGAGGTTAGAAAAGCGCCACTCACTCGGAACTTCACCACAGGATCCTTCAGCTCGGCTTGCTTCCACGTCTTGTCCCAGGAACCCACCAGCCCCTGCGCTACTTCAGGAGGAATCCCAACCACCGGCGCCGCCTCTGCGGCTTCGATAATCTCAGGCTCTGGTGTTGCGGCTTCCTGAGATTCTGGAGCCTGTTGAGGTTCTGGGGCCTTCGCAATTTCCCCTTCCGCTAATTTCTCCTCCGTCTTAGCCACCTTTGCCTTTTTCTGCCCCCGCGGCTCGGGAGTAGGTAACAAGGACCGCAGTATCCTCCATACCCTCTTCCCGTCCTCTAGGTTCTTGAACGCCACCTCCCCATCCTCTTTAGCAACCAACTCAACCCCCGCAATTTCTTCAAGGTAGTCTGCAGCACCAACACGGGCAAACATCGCCTCCACCCGTTCACGCGGCTTGCCCCCTCCAAACCACGACACCGTCAGCGCCTCCACAATTGCCCGCTTAGCCAGTACCTCTAGCACCGCAGGATCCGTAATCTTTTCCACAGGGCCAAACCTACTAACAGTCGACTGTACGTATGCCGCGGCCCCGCCCTCATTGCCCCAGTGTGCCGGGTTGTCCCACCAGCCCCCCAGGCCGCCGACCTCCGCCAGGTCGGTAGCCATCTCAGCAGGCGTGTAAGTCGGGTCGGTCACGGCAGATGCTGGTTCCGCGTCGATAATGCCGCGGGGGTAGACTAACGGCGTGTCGATCGGTGGGCGAAGGGTGAGTTCGTCGTCTTCGTAGGAGGGTTCGGCCGGCTGTTCCACGACGGGGGTAGGAGGTTTGACAGCTTCGGGTTCGGCCTGAGTCTTTGCGTAATGAAGGGGACTTGTTGAGAGACAGCGTCGGGGTTGCCGGTTGCTGTGTAGCGCAGTCGAGTTCGGTGGGGAGAGGGTTGAGGCACTCGAGCGAGTGGCCGCTGCAGGCGCGCGAAGTGCCCCCGAAGGGGGTATTGACGGAACAAGGCCCGCGGGAGCGGGCGCCCGTAACCTTGAGAAGCGACGCATGGCGGCCGGTGAGGTGTGCGTGCTCAATGGGCGGGGCACCGTGACTTTGGTCGTTGCTTTCGTACCGAAAACCACGAGCGACAGACAAAAGCTCCCGCCAAAATTTCCATCGATAAACCGGCACCTGGCATACGTGGGTCCGCCAGGGGTAGTCAGCCCCGCGATCAAGCCACAGACTCTCGTTTCTTTAATGTGGCGCAGTGATAGTGTGGCTTGTGCGGGGTTCTCCAAGACCGCGGTCAAAAGCTCCAGACAAAAACTTTGGCTTGGCATTGGATGAGATCAAAAGATGGGATGTCCCAAGCTCGAGATTTTGGGGGAAACAAAAACCCAGAGCTTCAACTAACGCACCCTCCCCCTCCGTCGTGTTCTCTAGAAACGGCTGGCCACCACACTTTACAGGCGCCGACAAATTGAACAACAAGCACCATCACGATGAGGCCGGCGCTCCGGTTAGCCGCTACCCCTCGTAGCGCATCCGACGCAACGCGATTCACAGCAACGACACTCCATGCAACCTCTAAGACAGCTACGCCACCACCCCGGTTCACCCCTCCGAGGCCTGGCGCAGCATCATCAACACCAGGTGGCTTAGGTGGCTCCGGTGGGAGTGGAGATGCCGGGGATGCTCTCTTCGAAACTCCGGAGCAAAAGGTCGCCCGTCTCAGGGCAGCACACCAGAGGGCAAAGGCAGCACAGGTGTCGAAGTTTGACGCAGTGGTGGATCACAGCCGACGTTTCTTTGACTCGGCGCATAAGATCACCGTTGTAGGCCTAATTGGCTTTACCGGTGAGCAACTCGTCCTTTTTCCCTTCCCCTCTCCTTTCCTCAAACTTCATGAATTTCAGATCCTAACCACGCCCACCCACCACAGTCGTCGCGGGCGTTGTCACAGCCTACACAGCCTATGACATGATCCGGTACAACAAGAAGCGCGCCGCCGAATGGGCCGAAGCACAAATGAAGCTCGAGGCCAACAGCCTGGAAGCCGCCCGCATCGCCTACATGACCGGCAAAGCAACCGAAGAGCAAATCACCCTGGTCGAGGAACAACTCGAGCGCGAGCGCGAATCAGGCCGTCAGACCACCTTCTTTTCCAATCTTAGCGTCCTCGGCAGCCCCGAACCCACCACCGCCTCCTCCTCGTCTACACCATCAACCCCGCCTCAACCCCCCCATTCCGTCACCGAGACCGTCTCCTGGCCACCAAAAGACGCCTCTCCAGACCAGCAGCAACCAGCCGACGCGCCGCAAGACCAACCCAAGACCTCAGTCTGGTCCTGGATCACCTCGGGCCTCAAGACCGACGAAACCGACTCCTCCTCATCCTCAAACTCAACCCCATCCTCCGGAAACCAATCATCAATACTTTCCACGTCCACGAGTGCGCTCCAGGCCAAAGCACAGTCAGCATTGGACCAGGAGAAGGCAAACCAACAACGCGGCGGGCCATTTGACAAAATTGGTGGTGCCCCAGCGACTGAAGGGGCGGGCGAGACGGGGAAACAGGATGATAAGGGAGGGGAGAAGAAGAAGGGATGGTGGTAAGCTTGGTGGCGGTGGCTTGGTGAACGGGCGGCAACGGGAGAGCCAAAAGGGGGGAAGGGAAAATTCACTAGGGAAAACCCTTCAGAGTCAAAGGACTGGCCGTGGACGTAGTTACGACCCCCGCTGGAGGTGTAGCGGAATATCCTTCCTTGATTCTAATGGGTTATACAGTGGCGCTAGGAGAGGCCAGCGGATCCCTTGTTGCGTATTACGCCCAATTTTGCGTATTACGCCCCGGGCTGAAGACGCAAATGGGCTGGGGGAGAAGGTGGGAGTTTTGGGCGGCGGGTCAGAACCGGAAAGTGTACCATATGTGTAGTCAAATAAGGGGGCATTTTGGGAGACACAAAAAGAGCACGACGGGTGGTGGTGAAGTTGCATTACTCGGCGTGGAATTTATGCAAATAAACAATCCGTATACAAACCATTGCTATTGCCGATGTTCTCACTGGAATGTTGGAATTCTACATTGACATCCGAAGTAATGTTCTTCCCATGCTCAGGTTTTGACGACCAGACAGATAAATAGAAACCGTACGGAGTTTACACCTTTTGCAGTAACAGTTGGTTTTAGGCACTGAGGCGCTTATACACGCAACGAAGCAATGCCGATTCACTAGTGACGATAATTCCACTTCGCTATCCTCCTAATTTCCCCTTTCATGCTGCCCAGTCAACCGTTCGCCCGGCCCATACCAAGGCTCAAGTTACTCGCTAGAGCGATACATCCAATGACACAGAAAACAAGGCGAATCCATTTCTCGCCCATATCCCGACCACCCCCTCCAAAAAAACGCCGCAAGTTTAGCCAGCAGGAGCCACAACGAAAAGCGAGTAAGTAAATAAGTACCCCAAGTAACTCCAAGTCCCAGTTGTCGCGATCCGCGCTGTCGAATAAAAGAAAAGTGCCCCACGCATAGGGCGGGTATAAAAACGAGTGTCCCCAGCGATAAAAGAGAGTTTATGCATGATAACAAAAAAGAGAACGGTCAGGGAGCGTACGGTACCAAAAGGCGGGGAGCTGAGGAAAGGCACGGCTGTGTCCCAAACACACATCCTAGGCCCCGCGTCAAAAATAAAAAAAAGGGTAGACCTGGGACGGAAACCCCCCAATCCCAAAGCCATGTGCATGTCTATAAGATTGGCAGATGGCAGGCGCTGATCGGTGGCCGAACTTTTGGTACGCCAGACTTAACCAACCTCATATGACGGCCCGAGTAGTCCTTCTAGGAGATAATGATGTGGTTGAAGTGACCGGGCACCTTGTTCCGGCATCGCTCGCAGTCAGCCCGGTACCCTATGCTGAACGACCGCGTCATACCCGGCTGCACACCCGTCCACGAGTTGAGAGTGTGTTTAGAGCGTGTGTGCCCCTTTTTTGGTGATGGTGTCGCAGGGGACTCGAGCTCCATCGCGCTGCCACGACCAACCTGGTTCTCAGCCATACCGGGTGTGTCTTCCCGTATCGTTCGCGCCTCCATCGCGGAGCTCGCACGTGGCGGAAGCCCGGCCACCAGGGGATGTTTGTGGGTAAGGTGGCTCAAGTGGCCGCCGTGTAACGGTGGTGAGTCGAGTGCCATCCTTGCGTTGCCCTGGCTGTCTTCCGCGCCACATTCGCTGATCGGGGAAGGAAGCCGCCTATTCTGGACCATGTTCCAATCAGCCATAGCAGACGCCTCTGTCGCCGAGGCGAACTTCTGAGTAGACAGGTCAACTGCGCCATTGCTGCCGAAGGCTGCCGAATTCGGCTCTTCGGGCGTCGTCGCAAGAATGTCGCCATGGACGGCATTCCCTCCACTCCAACTGTTTCCTCGCACTTGCGCCGCGAAGGTGCAGTGAATTGGTGTCGGTATGCGGCCGGTCACGCTGGGTGCGTTCTGGTCGGCTAAGAAAACATTGTGTTCTGGATTGGGCGGGACTTGCAACCCCGCTTGCGTGCGCTGTACCGCTGGCTCCGACGTATCCATCATGTCCATATCATCGTCTTCGGCCCCGCTAATCACCACAGAAGATGGTGGGTTCCGTGATACAAGTTCCGGCTCGTCTGCCCACATGTGAGTCTGCACCGGCTCTTGCTGAAGTAGATTGGGCTGGACATGGTTTGTTGGGGCGACGGTCTGGTTAGATAGTGGGAAATTCGGCCGGTCCATCCATCGCTTCGAGTTCGGAGACGTCCTAAGTGGGAGGGACTGGAACCGTTTCTGCAAATGTGTCAGACCGCCATTGTCGTAGGTGCAGCTCCCTGCTGCTCTAGACAGCCGCGGGCGCGGAGGTGGTCAAACAAAACAAGGAGGTCACTTTCGCAAGTCCCGCCAAAATCACCGACTTACATTTCTGTGCTCGGTAAATCCTACTGGGCTGCCAGATGACGCCTCTTCATCTTCCTCTCGGATCCTCTTGCGATGTTGCTCCGGGAATTGAGTATCAACAAACATCTTGAAATCACCCGCGGCGGGCCACCGGCGTCAATATTGGAATAAGTATTCGTTTCGGCTTAGGGTCTTCCTATCGGGAGCCGAGGTTGACGAGATGTATCCCTCGCAGGCGACGGCGCGATAATCATCGGCAGGCCAGACTGCGCCGAGAATCGTGGCAGATGGGGAGTAGTGACGGGGATCGGCCGGTGATGTGTGTAAGGTTCGACCGGAACGTATAGTTAGGCAAAAACGAAAGAAAATTGACTGACAGCACAAAGACAGTGATAGCGAGAGCGATAGCGAAAAGAGACCCTCTTTGGCTGTTACAGCCATGAACATTGAAAACGAGGGGTGTTGGGGAAGGTCGGGACTTGGAAGCGGAAGGCAGCAGCCGGGTGGGGCTGAGATGGAAGAGAAGCCTCCCAGTGGGCAGCCTGTTCTTTCCATGAATGCATGGGGCTGAAGTAGCGGCCTGGGGCCCAGAAAATGGCATTTTCATAGTATGCGCATAAGAAAACATACAAAATTTGTGATGGCGAGCAGGAATGCCAATTATGATCGTTCTCTAGGCCACATCCACCGAATTTCATCGTTTTGCTCCTCATGATGATGCCTCTGACATGTTCCGCTCAACATAGCCCGGAGGCATCGGGCCTAGATTTAAGCGGGGTGGGGCCCTTCGTTAACTGACGCCCTCTCACACAAACGCTGTCTTGCAGAAGACTCCGCGACGATAAGAGTGCATAGCTCCCAGATAGCAGGTCATCGTGCCAGTTTTCTCATATGGACGCCATCACATCTCCCGGCGAGGAAGCTGGGTCCAAATATTTTCAGGGACAGAGTCCCCAAGCGCTGCGGGCAGCCACAGCGGCCATCTTGTACCCGGCCTCCCGGCGTCTGGGCTGATGGTGGAGAATGGTGAGCGATTGGCGGGCGCGTCGACGTCAGACGCTCACAAGGGGCTTGGTGCAACCGTGGGGTGCCATCTACATAGTAACCGGAACTCCTGAAAATCCGGGGCCACATCGCTTAGCTGCGAGTTACAGCCAGGAGAGAAACAAGGCAAAATGAATTGCTTGCTTTCTACTTCGGTGGTTTGGTTACCGTTGCAGCTGTGGGAAACGGACCTGACTAGTCTACTCGCGAGTAGAAGTCCTTCCGCAGGAGGCCCGCTCCGTTTCAGACTTGCTTCAAGGACGCGTCGTGGTCGACCAAGTCTCTCCCTTTTGGGAATACGATCTGACTCACGGGGCATTGCCCGGGATCATCAGGTCCCTGGAGCAAAATCGTTCGACGGAGGTGACAGCCGCGACGCCGACACGAGCGTATAGCGTTGGCGACCGAGTGCGAACTGAACGACGGACGAAGCGCATTGGAATCGGCGGGACGCACCCATTGACAACTTGACTCTTGTTCCTCGAAGAAGTCTGCCGTTTCCCGTCTCCCTGCACGACAGGAATAGGAGCTACGTGGAACCGGTCGCTCAATACAGGTACAGACAGACCCAGGCCCCCTCCGTCAGTTTATGGCGCAAGAAAATTTGACATTTCACGCAGTACACCACTCTGCACCATGTAAAAGTTGGAGCCCTCTGCCGGTCCACAACAACCGGAGCGGGGGTCTCGGGCCGGGGCCGGCCGTTGAACGGGTCGGCCAAAAACATGGCCGAGCGACCTCTTCGGCTTCGCTAGGCCGCTTACTCAGCAAGGGCCAAGGACACGTGAATATCGTCAAGGTGAAGTGGTCGCCCTCTTCGTTGATCAATAGCTCCCCGGAACCTTGTCTGCTGAAGACTAAACCATCTTTGTGAAATGGAAACATTCGATGCAACAACAATGGGGTACTGTTCTGGTTAGACCAATGCAGGGAACATTGCGCTACTGGGTGGTCCGTGAATACGCGGGAGGTGTTGCCGGTGAAGCAGCACGACACTCCAGCGCTTCACCTGGTGAGCCTGACAGATACGCTCGAATCGGAGCCTCCTGTCCGGAAGCGTGTTTGAGACACCATCCTTGACGGGTGGTTGTGGTTTGGTGTGTGATTTTTGTGACGGCAAAAGGGTGGGAACCATCCAATCAGTCGAGTCAGATTTCCCCCAAGAAAAACGTGAGGAAGGCGGTGAGATGGGCAGAAACACCCGAGCAGGGAACTGGAACAGCCCCTCCCCCACTTTAGAATGCAACAATTTAATTGACAGTTGACAATGTGTTGCGATCTTGGGCCGAAATGCAAGTCGCGGTTCCCTCCTCTCCGTGCTCGGCCATTGACAGCCAAGGTCGAAATGGCGCCAGGCGGTGGCTCAACCTGGTGTTAACCATAGGGCAGCGTGATGTGTCGCTTCTGGCTTCCATCTTCTCTCGTTCCTTCTTCCCGTGGCTCTTGAAAAGTTAAAAAGTGCTTGCTCTGTCTCCTCCTAGCTGCCCCTGCCCGCCCAGTTTTCCATTTGGATCCTTGCCTTCCCGCCCGGACCGACCTCCCCCGTGAAGTACTGGAGCACTTCTGAGTCACTGAACATATTTCCTCTCTTTGTTCCCTGCTGCAACAAACCACTTCTTCCGAACTCCATTTTCCGTACCTCAAACAACCTAAAACCTTAACACCCAGGCCGACTTTCACCAATCCACGACCTACGGTTTAATCACCCCCCACGACGTACGGTTTAATAACCTCGAGGAATTTCGTGCATAACCTACCTTACCTTCTCGGTCCTCAATTGGGTCCTTCAGTATTTCCGTACCTACAAATCCTTTCTTCAGACGAGCTCTGCTTAACTGCGTGAAGCTCCGAACCCTCCTACCTTTAATCCCAAGCAATCCTCGAGCACCGGTTGCTGGGCGTACCCCCCCTTTACTATATTATATTCGTTCGAGCTCTTCAAGGAACCTTCTGACGATGCCGGGGCCCGACGCCGCGCCTCTTCAGGCCGATGACATGAGAGGTAACTTTTTTACACCCTTTCGCTTTCTAATTATCTCTTTGTTCGCTTTGCTTCACCTCCCAGAAACAGTTCGAGCAATGGCCGAGCTGCCCTGAAGGTCTTGCGTCGTCGGACCCGATCAGAATTTCGTTTCTTCTTAGCATGGTAGCTGCGACGGCCGCTGACTTGTTCTTCACACCAGTGTTGGGCCAGGATCCCCTCATTCCCCCCGCGCTGCTCATCTCCGAAGTTCCCATGCCCGATGCCGCCCTCCAGACTGTCGTCAAGGGTAGGCGGGATGCTGTGGGTGTAATCATGGGCCGCGACGACCGCTTGCTGGTCATTGTTGGCCCCTGCTCCATCCACGACCCTGCTACCGCGATCGAGTATGCGACTCGCTTGAAGGCTCTCTCCGACAAGCTCTCAGGTGATCTGGTCATTGTCATGCGTGCCTACCTTGAGAAGCCCCGCACCACGGTCGGTTGGAAGGGTCTCATCAATGACCCCGATATCGATGAGACCTTCCAGATCAACAAGGGCCTTCGTGTTTCGAGACAGCTCTTCTGCGATCTGACATCGACCGGCATGCCCATTGCAACGGAGATGCTCGACACCATCTCCCCTCAGTTCCTCGCTGACTTCATCTCGGTTGGCGCCATTGGCGCCCGGACCACGGAGAGCCAGTTGCACCGCGAGCTTGCCTCCGGCTTGTCTTTCCCCGTTGGCTTCAAGAACGGCACTGACGGAAGCCTCGGTGTGGCCATTGATGCTATTGGCGCCGCAGCCGCGAAGCATCACTTCATGGGTGTCACGAAGCAGGGCCTGGCCGCCATCACAAGGACTTCGGGCAACCAACACGGCTTTGTGATTCTGAGAGGTGGCTCCAAAGGCACCAACTACGACAAAGACAGCGTTCAGGCTGCGAAGGAGACCCTTGTTAAGAAAGGGCAGAAGCTTGCCATCATGGTCGACTGTTCTCACGGTAAGAATCGAACCCCATTTGTGGGCAAGCAAGGAACCGCCACCCGCTAACTGTGTCACCAGGCAATTCGAACAAGGACCATCGGAACCAGCCCAAGGTTGCCAAGGCTGTTTCTGACCAGCTTCGCGCAGGCGAGACCGCCATCATTGGTGTCATGATTGAGTCCAACATCAACGAAGGCAACCAGAAGGTCCCTGCCGAAGGCCCTTCGAAGCTGAAGAAGGGTGTGAGCATCACCGATGCTTGCATCGCCTGGGACACTACTGTGGAAGTCCTCGAGGACCTCGCGGCCGCTGTTAGGGAACGCAGGTCCTTGAGCGCCGGCCAGCAAAATGGTTCGCCGAAGACCACACTTCTAGAGGAGGACTAAAGTACCTCACTATCAAAGCACATATTGTGGAACAACGATAGCATGCATATTATTCCCTGGTCTGCGAGGTCAGGTTATAGCATTCACTTTCGATTGCTTTGTTGTCATTTTAGGGCGAGCTATCAGACGTGGTTCAGGGGTGCGTTGCTCGGATTGGGAAAACGGCGCTGCTTCTATCGGGGTGTACAAAAGTAGGCTTGTTGTATGACTTTCGAACTGTTTTGCTCGTGTGTTGCACTACAAACCTTGTTAGACAAAATGATAAGAGGCTCAATGGGAATCCTCTACTGGTAAACAACCAAGTAACATGGGAGTGAATCGATTCCGGGTGAGAGTGCAATATTCTTCTGCATCAATGCTTCAAATACCTAGCGGCAGCTAACAGATGACGCAACCAACCTTTTATCCTGGCCCTCGAGGTATTCCCTCCTCATGCGTATTCCCTAGAGGACTGTATGCCCCTCTATCAGATTCTCCCGGAATGTTCCCTCTCCCGCCGAGTAATCCTCCCAGACCACCGAATCTCCCTCCACTCCCTAGTACACCCCCCGTCCCGGCCCCCGCAACCATCCCGTTCCCTCCTAAGCCCTGCCTCCCCCTCTCCCTCTCCCGCCTCAACCGCGCAGCATCCACCACTCTCCGGAGCGCCGCCCAGCCGAGCAGGCCCGCGGTACCCAGCAGAAACCCCCAAACAATGAAGCGGTCTTTGGGCGAGTCACGCTGGAAACAAGTCGTTTTGATGTCTTTATCTTCGGCGTCTTTGCAGATGGGCAGGTTGTATTTGAGGCAGAAGGCGCGGTTGCATTGTTTGCAGGAGGTGGAGGCTTCGCGGGGGATGAGGAGGGGTTGAGGGGGGAGGGGGGATTGGGATTGTTGGGTGTCGGGGTCGGGGTCGGGGTTGGGTTCGTGGCGGGAGGAGGAGGTGCTGGTCAGGGTGGATGAGGAGGAGGAGAGGGAGGAGAGGGAGGATTTGGCGGGTGGTGGTGGTGAGGCGGGTTCGCCGTTGTCGTGTTGGGGACCGAGGGCGATGATGGTGCTGTTTTGGAAACAGGTGCATTTGCAGAAGGATTGGACGGCTGGATGGGATATTGTTAGTTAGTTTGGCTTGCTACCGAGTACCTAGTCACGATCTATCGGGGAGGGTAGAGAGAGGGGCACAAGGGGAGTTTGGTGGAGTGCTGTTCTCCCCGGGGACAAGGGGATCTGCGACGGGGGGTGGAGGGTCGGGATGGAGGAGAGAACTAGACAGAGTTGAGGTGAGGACTAACTTGCGCTAGCGAAAGTCGCCAGGATGGCGATGATGAGGACGGCCACCAGGCCTGTTCGCGCCATGGTGATGCGGGTGACTGACGAGTGCGTCGCAGGTGAGGACGTGCAACCACAATCCAGTGATGGGACTCAGCACGCTGGACGGCTTGGTGCTTGGCTTGGCAGCAGCTCTGAATGTGTGAGCTGATGACGCGCAGCTGCACCGCACCACTTGACTCTTTCTCCCGCCACACCCATTCAGCTGTGGAATGACTCAGCTGAAAATGACTCCACAACCGTGGCTGCGACCACCGACATGTGGCTTAAACCAAACGCATGAAGTGGCTCCGACCGCCTCCAAATTGCAGACGTGCACAGACCAGCGTTGGTAGCCTATAAATATTCGCCCACACACACACCCAATCTTGGTCCTTTTCTCTTCTTTTCTTTCCTCGCCCTTCGGGGCATTTGGTCAATTTGAAACGATACAGAGAAGATTAGCATGGCCCCTGCACTAAGGATGACACGCTACTCAAAGAGACGCTACCAATTTTTTCGCTGTGCTCGTGGTCCTTTTGGGTCGCGACATGGAGAAGGAAAGACTGCGATTGGTGTTGGCGTTGGCGATGTTTGCTCGCGTCGCGTAGCGCGAATATTGGGCATGGGATGCGATGGCTCGTCGCGTTCGTGGTGACACCATAACTTGTCAATCGGGCGTCGCCTTTTGTGTGGCGCGTCACGAATGCCTTGAACTCACGAAGATGAATTGATCCTACCGTTCCCTATTGCCCCAGCACGCGTCGCCATGTGTGTAACCCGCGCGCCCGAAATTGCCGCTGCAGACGGTAGCTGTCAACTCCCCCAGCTCAAGCCTCCTCGTCTCTTCCCGGTGTTATCAATGGTCAGCTGCGTCCAAGTAGTCTGATTTATAAAGTATATTTGAGTATATTTGGCAGTCACTCCGTCTTGTGTTTTCCTCTCTTTATTTCGACGGTCCTGGCACTGGAGTTCGAAGACACCGAACGGGCTGCTATTTCCAAATTAATATCGCGTGTTAAGATATCTCGGTATCAAACCTACTATTCACGGCAAACAAGTTACATGTCAAGGGCGACGGGTCTGCTTGGCTCTAATTTACCATTCTCATCGTCTACGGATTAGTTATTAGGTGCGTCTCTCTCTTTCCGAGATTTCTATGCTCCGTACAAAATACAGTCCGCAAGAACAACACCAACTCTATGTTCCATATGGTTTCCGTCATCCGTGACTCTGGACTCCAAACTCCTCTATCCTCCCGAGGCTCGAGAAAGAACCAACAAATATCCTTCCGCATATTCCCACCCATATTATGGACTGTACCATATGTCCACCATCACCCTGGACAATGTACAACGAAAAAGTTCGTCTGAGACTTACACGCGCTGGGAAGCGCTCAAGTCCTGCAGAGGAATCCCGGCATTCCGCATCCTCTGCTTCTTGCTGATATTCACCCAACCCATACCAAGGGCGGTAAGCATCCCGAGGCAACTAAGCCCCGCCGCCAGATAAAAGACACGGTCAATGGAGAGGGCATATGCTTCCAAAACACCGGGCAAGTTTTGCTCGTTAACCACGCTACGGAAGCGGGTGGCGCCGGCAACAATAATAGCGGCGGCGTCAGCATGAGGCGCTTTGAGGGCGATTTCGGACACAAGATTGGTCTGGAAAATGGCGTCGGAGACAGAAAGGGCGATAGCGCTTCCCAAGCTTTGGACGAAGATAATGATAGCGTTGCCCATAGCGAGATCCGCGGGAGGGATGGCCGCCTGGACCGCAAGAACTGCCTGTAATAAAAGTTAGTAAGTTTACCGAGTTTAAAGAACGAAGGGGATGTCTGTTTGCTTACCATCGGCATACCCACACCGCGACCGAATCCGTTGAGAATCTGATAGCCCACCCACTCAACCGTCGAAGTTGTGGGCGAGAAAGTCGAGTACATGCCGTTGGAGATAGAACCGGCTGCCGCCGCCATCAAGGCGTAGGGGATTACATAGCCCGTTATTTGCACTAGGTTGCTGTTAGTTATCATACCCGTGTACAAAGATGTTCGGGAACGGAGGGCAACTTACCAACAAAGCCGGTGATTGAGACAGCAAAGAGTTGAAGAAGGATGCTGGGAAGAACATAGACGGCGCTCATCATGGGGTCAACACCGCGGACGGCCTGAAAATAGATGGGTAAAAAGAAGGAGGCGCAAAAGACGTTTGTCAAGAGAAAGCAGTGTGTGAGAGCGCCGGTCCACACCGCCTGAACCTTGATGAGTGAGATAGGGATCAGGCCCGCGTCGCCTCGATGCCAATTCCAAACAAGCCAGATAATGATGAGGCCGGCCGCGCCACTGAAGAGACCGGTAACGAAGCCAGAGTCCCATTCATATTTGCTGCCGCCCCAAGACAAGGCGAGGAGGATTTGGAAAGCGGCGCCAGCGATGAGGATGAATCCGCAAATGTCGAAGTGGTAATGAAGTTCCCGGATAACGGACCACGGGCTGGGCTTTTGGATCTGATCGGGGACCGGGACCAGGCAGATACCGAGGAGGAGCAGAGCTCCGATGGGCAGGTTGATGTAGAAGCACCAACGCCAGGTAGCATACGAGGTGAACACTCCACCGAGAATGGGGCCGAAGGCAACGCCGAGTTGAGAAATACCCATAAGGATGGCCGTTAGGGGAGCGCGCTTCTCGATTGGGACGGCAGAAGCTGTGATGGTAAGACCGCCACTCACTAGGCCCGTGCTACCAATACCGGCAACGGCGCGCCCAACAATGAGCATGGGGGAGGAGACTGCGATACCACAGATCAGGGAGCCGACCTCGAAGATGGCCAGTGCGGTGAGAAAGGCGGCCTTGTTGCTAAATTTATGATAGATGCGACCCCAAATAGGTTGAAGAGTAGCATTGGCGAACTGGTAGATGCTGATGTACCAGCCAACATCCTCGAGAGAATGAAATTCGTCGGTAATGCGCGGGATCTGTGTGGTTGAGAGTCAGTGGTTGAGTCCAGATGGATACGGAACTAGTTGAGAGCCACCACTTACTGCGGTCGAAATAATCGAGGTGTCGAGCATCATCAAGAACATAGCCGCGATGAGCAAGTTTGAGAGGATGACGAGCTTCCTGCCGGACACCCATTGCCCTTCTTCGCTTGTAGGGGTAGGGTCAGGGTCATCTTCGGACGCACTTCCGGTCTGAGGGTGCGAGATCTCGTCTAGTGACGGTTGCTGAGAGGGCACTTGGTTGGGCTTCCTCGAAGATGTCGGTGTGTCGTTGTTAGGCTTGGCCGCCGACGACTGCGCGGCTGAATCCATGGTGATAGCGGGACTGTTGTCCCCGCTATGAGATTGGGTTAAAATAAGAAGAGAGTGTCGGCTCATCAAATTGTAAGGTCGGATGCTGGAAGATGATGATGAGTACCAGCAAGTAAGTCGGATGTGGGTTGGGAAGAAGGTGAAGCTCGGTCGTGGTTTCCTAAGGGAGGAGGAAGGGGTTTTTATAGTCTAAAAATTATTTCTGGCGCACCTTCCACCAGGAGGTTGTTTGGTCTGAACAGCACCACTGGTTCTGGGTTTATATCGACGCTCCGACGAAAACAACACCCCTGAACGCCGCGCCCAGTGGCAATCCATCCTACTTGTTCAACCAGTATAACCACCATGGAGCATGAGCAGTACGAATAAACAACCCAAAACCTTCTCTCCATCAAGTTGAGTTGCCAGGATTGTCAGACTGGTGTATTTTCCCAACATGAGATACCACACGACTCGACATATATCCGTTCTCTGGGAAACGGCATTTATGTTGAGGAGAATCTCGTTTACTAGTTTTATTCGAAGTAGTCCGCTATCAAATTTAATCGAAAGACCAGGGCGATGACTACAACTAGAGAGAGGGGCGGAGCCATTCATTATACCTGGGAACTGTACAGAACTTCCCAACAACGCTATGGCTAGCCTGTGCTGGTGTAGTTCTTGTTCATGTGGTTTTTGATGTGGTTCAGGAGGCAGGAGTCTTGGCGTTACCTCGAGGCCGTAACATTGATCAATAATCAACCCTAACCCTGTATCCTCTTGGCTGAGAAATGGGGTCGGGATTCGGATGCAGCGGCTTTTTCCGATTTCCGTGCACTTCCGCATGGAACATTCTGATCGCCTTCGCGCCACGTTCTTTCAGCAACACCTCGACCTCGACCGCAGGAATTGGACTCGAAAGCCGTTTGTTCATCCCGCACGCGACACCTCGGCCAAGCATTCGAGTTGCACGAACCTTAGATCATCTTTTGAACCAACGTCGGAATCCCGCGCTGGCCTCAAGACACGAACGAACCTGCAGATCCGGATTGACGTTGAAAAGTTTCGCCTCCGGTCGTTTCGGCTGAACCCTAACCCTTAATTACCTGCAAAGAGAGACACCACCGTGATGGAGTTGGAGTTGGATTTTGGCAGCACAGGGCAGGATGGCACGCCGGCGCCATACGGGAGAGCATGTACGAATTGTGCTCGTGCTAAGTGCAGGTGTATCTACAGGTCGGAAGGGGCCGACTGCGAGAGGTGTGTATGCGATATGCACCCCGAGTTTCCCGTTGCCCTACAACACTCACCGGTCTCACCGGAACCCTCGGTCGAGACACCAGAAGGGTTTTGAGCCGATCTGTTTGCTGTACATGAATCTTGGGGATGTTTCAGATCGTTATATTCTGGCACTTCGCCCTTCGTGGGCTTGCTTGGTAGCGGTTATTTGCCGTTCTTCAACGGCTACGGATTCAGCCCGATCCCCAACTCCGTTTTCAGCGGTTACATTACCGCATCGGGTCCACTTTGACAGACGCGCTTGTCTTTATTTTCGAGCATCCACTAGGACTAGTGCTAATCAAGGCACAGATGTCATCGGCTGAGGAAAGAATGCGTTCCGTCGGTCAGCGTGCGAAAGCGCAACCGTAAGAAGGCTCATGTGTCCCGAGCCGCGCAGTTGGAGGCCAAGCTCGAGGACCTCGTCACACTCCTCCGGCACCAAGCTTCTCCTACAGATCGGCCGCCATCTCGAGGTGACACGGCAGATGCAGCAAACACGAGTACGCCAGCACTGAGTGGTCACTCGACCACCAGCCCATCCGAACATAGCTCTCCTCGATCAGCCGCCCCTATGGTCCCCGTCCCTGAACGTCCACCCCATTTTGGTTACACCAAAGGACCGCCTGCACGCGAACCTCCTGCCGGGACTATTCCTGACCACTCCAACATGGGTCCCTTGGTGGGACCAAGCGAGGCGCTTTCCATGCCAGGCTCTATCTATCTTCCGGATCACCGTGAGGCCACCAAACGGCTGGAAACCTTCCGCAAGTACATGTTGATATTTTTGCCCTTTGTACATATTCCTGCGTCAATTACGTCGGAACGGCTGAAGCAAGAGTCGCCGTTCCTATGGTACAGTATCATGACCGTCACCTGCGAGCATGTGGATAGACGTCTGTCGATGAGTGACACAGCCAAGAAGTTTGTGGCTCAGAAGATAGTCGTTGAGCATGAGAAGAACGTCGACTTGATCCACGGTTTGATTGTGTTCATGGGCTGGTAAGCAACTGCGCAAACCCTCTAACACACCGAAAAAGTTAAATCCGACGTGCTAACTCTCCCGCCTCCTTAGGACACATTGCCACCTGAAGAAGGACAAACCCATCCTTACCGTTCTCGCGTCCCTTGCCAAGTCGTTGGTTTTCGACCTGTGCCTCAACAAGCCTTTTATTGAGCCCTCATTCGCGGCCTGCCTCAAGGCGTTAAAGCAGCCATATTTGGTACCCATAAGGGAAAAGACACTTCAGGAGCGCCGTGCCGTGCTTGCTTGCTTCCTCCTCACCTCTCAGTACGTAATAGTTCGATATTATTGTTTCGGTTCAATACTCAAGTAGCGCGGGCGTAGCTAACAACGAGCAGACTCGCATATTCCAACAAGAGGCTAGATGCCTTGAACTGGACCCCCTACATGGACGAGTGTCTGGAAATCCTCTCGCAACAACAGGAGTGGGAAGGGGACGACCTGCTCATCGCGCAGGTCAAGGTCCAGCTGCTCGTCGAGGAAGTGACGCGTGCGGCGTCTCAGTCCCCGGATGGCATACCCCCTTGCTATGTGCTGTCATCACTCCGGACACAACTCCAAGCTACTGCTGCCCAGCTCCCGCCGCATCTGAAACACAACGGTACGTCGCACTAACCCACTGTTCCTACTATCCCCACAATATCTCCTAACATACCACAGACACAATCCTAAGCCACATCTCCTACGCTGAACTCGCCATCCACGAACCAGCCTTGAACAAACTCACAGCCACCGGGCCCCACGCCAACCGCGGCACCTTCGCCAGCATCCAGCGCTACGAAGCCCTCGAAGCCTGCCTCAACGCCATCCACGACTGGGTCGACCGGCACTTCTCCATCCCCAGCTACGTCTACGTCGGCATGACCTTCACCTACTGGTGGAACATGGCCCACTGCATGCTGATGCTGTACAAGCTATCGGTGTTGGACGAGCCCGCGTGGAACCGCCGCGCCGTGCGCCAGCGGCTGGATCTGCTCGCCGTCTGTGACCGGCTCGGCGCCGGGTTTGATGATATCTCGGGCCCGCGCAACGAGTTGACAGGGCCGACGTTGGAGGAGGATTCGTTTGCCAAGTTTGCCAAGATGGTGCGGGCGATGAAGGCGAATTGGGCGCCTGATTTGGCGGTTGTTGATGGGCATCCGGTTGCTGCTGCTTCGGCTGCGGCTGCGGCTGCGGCTGCGAATAATCAGGTTCCGGGCTCTAGTATGGGCCCTGGTGCCGGTGTTCCTGTTGCCCGTACGAGAGGGCCAAACGCGATGCCGATGCCAACTGAGGCGTTCCTTGACACTAGCATGGAGGGACTGAATGTCCCTTTTTATCAGACGGACGACTCGGATGCGTTCATCGCGGGGTTGTTTGACATGAACTGGGATATTTGAACAGACCGGCAAGATGATTATTGGATTGCACCTCGAACAAGGGAGGAAACATAACTGACACACACACACTTCTTGGATTACTTTGACTTCTCTACTCTTTGGATATCACAGTTCAAACGTCGGCCGACATATCAAAACAAAATAACTCCCCTCTTACACCCGATCCTTCCAACAATCTATTGCCGACTCACGGGCAACGCAGTATAACTCCTCCTCGGCATCCTCTCTCCCGCACCTCCTGCACCATTCCACATCATCCTCTCTCCGCCCTCGACCACCGCCATCATCGAGGGCACAGGTGGTGGCGGCGATCCTATCAGTTCCGGCACACGCGGCCCGTCACCACTGCCCCCGACTCGCGATACACTGGAGAAACTCATGGCGCGGGTCTTGTTCCCGCCGGGGATCATGAACGGCGGCAGATCTGGGCTACTGAGGCTGGATAGGATGGGTGTGACACGCTTGTTGGTATTGGTTTCGGTTGTGGTGATAGGGGAAGCGGTAATGGCAGCGGTTGCGATGTGAGGATTCGGCATGGGCGGGAGGGGGTGGTGAAAGGTGGATGCGCGTGAGGCGCGGGACATGCGGGATGTTCGTCGAGAGGAGGATAGTGGACGTTGTTGTTGTGGTCCTGCTGCTGCCGCTGCAGCGAGGACAGAGCTCTCTGGCCGGTAGGGCGTGAGGGGGGAGACGGGGAGAATAGGCCCTGGCGAGTCGGTGGCTGTCATGGCGCTTACGGGCCGGAATTCCCCGAGATCTGGGCCGTGCCATAGCTGCCGCTGTTGATGGGGCTGGGGCTGGGGCCGCTGGGTCTGTTGGGCGTTTTGCATATGGGACAGGTATTGCTGGTACTGTTGCTGCGGTGGTGATGCCGGATATCCACTCGCCGACGCCATATCGAACCCGGGATGGCCTGGCCTGGTCCCGGCTGGGGGGAAAGGGAACCCCGCGGAACGTTCACCCAGATCCTGCTCCTCGACTCCGCGTGCATGCGGCCCATATCCTCCTCCTGTCCACGCCGTCGCAAGGGCTGGATTATACCCATTCTGCTCTGTCGGTGGCGGCGGTGGTAGCGGCCTTTCCGTCATATCCTGTTCAGGCCCTGAACCAAGCCCTAGACCTCGCTCTGCTGGCCCTGATCCCGGTACACCACCCTCTTCCATACCTCCTCCTTCTCCGCCACCATCGCCATGTCTTTTCTTTTTACCGCCACCGCCAACTTCTCTCGGATACCCCGTCGTCACGACTGCGCCCCGAATGCCGCCCTGGCGCCGGCGCCAGGCAAGAAACGCGAACACGCCGAGTAGTGCAACGCCTATGAGAGCGGCCGCGGTGATACCTGCTGCTGCGCCGGCGGAGAGCCCGGAAGAGGAGGAGGATGTGTTGTCATTTGATTGCCCATCATTGTTCCCGTCCGTTGAGGATCTAATCGTGCGGTCGTTTTCGTTGAGATTGCTGTCGTCAATGCCCCCGGACGATGATGTTCGCCCACCACCGGCAATGGTTTGGGTAATGACCTCTTCGACGGTTTGGACCACTACGCGGCGGTCGAGAGTTGCGGCATTGGTCTGGCGCGGTACGACAACGGGCTAGATGGATCGTCAATTAGCTGGGTCCCCTCTCATTGGGGTTGAAGCTAGGAAGTGATGGCTCTTGGAAGAAGGGAGGAAACTGACCGCTACCGTTGTCGAGGTTGTGAACTGCCCTGCTGCTGTCCCAGCGCCCGCGACTGCCGCTAATAAAAGGGAGGAAACTGCCTTGTTCCGTTTCATTGATTGTGTTTAACCCCCCAAATCGGTCGGATCGAATTTGGAGAGTTTGTAGAGCTTCAATTGCTGCAGCTCTCACGACGGCATGGGCGGTCGTGGCTGCATCGTCTGTTGGTTAGGTGAAATCGATGCTTAATCAGGCAGTGGAGTTAGTTGTGAAAGGAAATTTGTCCGGGTAGAAGATACGAATGTAATTGAGAATCGCAAAATGGGAAGGGACTGGAGCACTACACTACGCGGGGGGTAGTTTGTTACAGATGGATTGCCATTTAGGTTCAAAGTGCACCTGTGCGGCCTGGGCTGTGCACCATGGCCGGTGGTGTCCTTTTGGGTGTCACCGGCCACTGGTGGCGGGCCGATCGGCTCCTGGAAGACTGTTGACTCCTAATACAAAGCTAAGGGAAATTCTGAAGCGAGTGGCAAGAGATAATTCTATTTCGTCGGGAGTAAGATCGTGTGTGATACCCGTGTTCGAGAATGGTTCGTTTTCCCATTCTTCTAAGATCTAGAGCACTGTCACGGAGAGTCTGAGGGTATCGTTACTTGTTATCTTCGGGATGAAACTCATTGTTGCTGGTCGGGCCCTGGATCGGTGTCTCAGTTGGCGGTCCCGGAGGTCTAAGCCCGGGCGGCCCGGTAGTGGCCGGGCAGCGGGCCGGCTATGTGGGTCCCGGATACCAAGCTTGGTCTCGGAGATGGGCCGGCTGAGTGGGGTGTTGGAGCTTGAACGCTGAGTGAGTGTTTGTCCACCAACTCAAACCAGGAAGTGAATAATAATTTGAACTGCTTATGAGAAGTCGTGTGTCTGGACGTATAGCTGTGAATTCGGCCATTGTATTCTTATCATTTGCCTTTAGTTTCCTCGACCCCTCCTGTCGATTGTTTCTTTTTCTTTGTGACCAACCGATTGTGGTGAGACCCGCAGCAGTGACGCAACAGTCAGCTTGGGGACCTTCTCCCACAGGAAAGTTAAACCGGCAGCTCCTGTGTTCTTCTGTTCTTTTTGGGGTTGTCATTCTTTGTGACCAGGGAGATGCCTCCCGTTGTGTTGGTTCCACCTTCGCCGCTCGCAACGGTTCCGTTTGGTTCGTTTTCTAGAAGGACCAGGTCCCAGCCCTGGAGGTAATTAGCGGCCCATGTCACCACGGTCTGGGCCGCCCGTGGCTGAGTGGCGGTGGAAATCAGAACGAAAGGTTGGAATTTAAGTAAAAAACAAAGAACATTGAAAGCATGGACAATAGTAGCATTCGTGTAGAATAGAATAATATCCAACTTGCGACTCAGGTTGCGGGTGTTAGGTGTGGGCAAGATTGGAAACCACTGCGCTGGGATGCGCTTGCTCAGGGCAGTTGACAGCGGCAGTTCCTGCAGGAGTGGGGTGATTTCCCTGCATCAGTGCGCTCAGCTGGCCCCACCTTATCCCTGAGCTTCTTTGCCAAGCTCTTGCCGATCTGCAAATTACCCCTGGGTTGCATTCAGCGCTCACAATTGTGCATTGCGCTTTCGCGCGTTGGGGGGTCGTGCGCGAACTGCACCGTCCCTTTCTCGCAGCAAGGAAAAGAAAATCCATTTGTCTCCTGACCTTTCAACTGGGAGAAACCGTGATGCGCCTGGTTCGTTATCTCTTTTTTGCGACCCAGCTCTGAGCTTCTTCAGCTCGGTCCCGTTCCTCCCAATCCGGTGACCGACATACCCGCAGGTGATGAACGCTTGAAGCTGCTTTGCACCACCGACCATGGACGACACGCGACAGAACCGGCCGAGCGGCATTCCCCGGCCGTCCAAGCTACCACAGCCATCCAAGCTCCCTGTGCCACGGACAAACTCGATTCGAACGTCCGCGTCCCGAGAAAGCCTCGGGTCTGCTGCTGGGACCGGGACACTACGCAACCCCAAGCTCCGGACGGCCGCTTCGCGCGACCAGCTCGCCCCTCCGTCCAGCCCCGGGGCTTTGCGCTCCGTATCGTCCCCCCATAGCCGCGCGGGCCTCAATCCAGCCTCGGGAGGTGTTGGAAGCCGGACAGCGAAGTCAGGGGTTAATACTACTCCCCAGCCCCCGCGGTTAGGAAGAGGGACGAATGCCGGTGGCCCGGGGTCCCGCTCCAGCTCTGTGGCCACTGGGCTCCGACGTCAGTCTTCGCAACAATGGATCTCTGCAGCAGCTATGCCGGAGGAGGACGCTGGGTTAGGCGACTCGTGGACAATGGTACCTGAAGATCCGGCCGAGGAGGCGATGCCAGAGTCTCCCAACAAGGTCCGGCCTTCTCTGGCCGAAAGGACTATGGAAACTTTGTCACGCTTGCCTTCTTCCCCTTCCGTCAAGGGGAGGGGAGCGCCGTCGTTCTACGATGCCGCATCCGGGGGAAGGAAGTCACCATCGCGGCCCGACTCGAGCCATCAGTCTGATGGATCCGGCGGTCGGTCGAGGCCAAGCTCTAGCGGTGGCTTGGACAGCTCCATCGCTAGCCTCCGCTCTCAGCCCGCCACGTTCGAGAACCCCCTCTCACCAATCGAAGGTACGCCCCTGCGTAACAGGCGGAGCATCCAGTCGTTCCAGACACCCTCAAAACGAACATCCATGTACGGCGTACCGCCTCCTAGCACCATCACGGTCCCCCGGGCCAGGAGTCCTAGCCCTGGGAAGCGAGGTCCCGAGATACCCACGCCCAAACCCGGCTCAAAGATGCTTGCCCCGCGACAACCGGTGAAACGCCCGTCAGTCAACAGCTTGAGGAAGCCCGCGGCACCGGCCGGCGCAAAGCCCAAGACGGGAACGGCGCGGAAGGAGTCCGTGGCATCCAGAGGATCGTCAACCACATCGTGGGATACAGGAACGAATCCTTCTAGCGCCTCGGTTACGTCGGCCAATACGAGTGTCACGGCCGAGTCTGCCGAACCTGCCCAAGCTTACAAGAAGACCTCGGCCGCTCTGCGCGAGCAGATCGCCAAGGCGAGGGCGGCCAAGAAGGCCGTAACACAACCAGCAGCCCCCCCCGACAGTGCTGATGGTACTCCTAGGGACTCAACTGCTATACCAGCTGACACCGCTTATGATTTTGCGTTATCCAACGACCCGTTCAACCAGAACCGTGACGACAAGTCACAGGCCAAGGTACTTCACAGTCGCCTCGAGACGGCGCGGACCAGCGGTCGTCTTAACATTGCTGCGATGGGTCTGAAGGAGATTCCTGCCGATGTCCTGAACATGTACAACCTCAACACCATTGGGCAGTCTGGCGGCGCCTGGGCTGAAAGTGTTGATCTAACTCGTTTTGTGGCTGCGGATAACGAACTGGAAATGATTGGTGAGAACATGTTCCCGGATGTTGATCCGATGGAGGCACCAGACGATGAGGACAGTCAGGGGAATATCTTCGCTGGGTTGGAGACCCTCGACCTGCACGGAAACATTCTGGTCACCTTGCCTATGGGGCTGCGGCGTCTGTCTTTGTTGACTTCGTTAAACTTGGTATGTCTCAATGCTTCCCCCGACACGATTCACGCGACTAACTCCGTAAGTCTTTGAACCGGCTTGCGAACAACTGCCTAGAAGTTATTTCCCAGATTACGCCGCTCAAGGACCTCAAACTTGGGGGCAATCTTCTGTACGGAGCACTTGAGTCTTGCTTCTCCAAGCTGACGAATCTCGAGATTTTGGACCTCCATGGCAACAACATCTCGTCGTTACCCGCGGATTTTAGCAGCCTTTCACGACTTCGGATTTTGAACCTGAGCGAAAATAGTTTCGAGGAACTACCGTTTCCAATTCTGTCTGGGTTGCCGTTGACAGAATTGGTTGCTCGCAAAAACCAGCTCCAAGGGACGCTAATTCAAGATGGCGTGGACACCTTGCCGCTTCTCCAAACTTTGGACGTCTCGTCAAACCAGTTGACTCATATTTGCTCGGCCAGCAAGACGGTCACGATGCCTGCCCTTCACCAGCTCTGCGTCTCTATGAACCGGTTGCAAGCCCTGCCCGATATCAGCAGCTGGGCCAGCCTGCTCACCATCGCGGCCGATGAGAACAGCATCAACGCTATCCCGGAGGGCTTCGCTCAGCTTCCTAAGTTGAGGTCTGTTGACTTCTCGAGTAACGACATTCGCGTCGTGCCTCTGGAGATTGGACGAATGGAAAACCTGGCCAACCTCCGCCTGAGCGGAAACCCCCTGCGCGAAAAGAAGTTCAGCACCATTAGCACGGAGGAGATGAAAACCATTCTCGCTCAGCGACTCGAGCCGGCCCAGGAGCAGACGGCAACGAGGACCCAGCGTGCTCAGAGCACCAACCAGGACGAGTATTTCACCGCTGACGATACCCTGGCCCCTGCTGCACACCTCACGATTACCGAGGACGAGGATAGCCGCTCCGAGCTCGACCACTTTGCCACACCGCCGACTTCCGCCCCAGGTTCTCCGGCCGGCCGTTCTCAACCCCGTCCTCGCGCTGCCACTGCCACTTGGCCCGTCCAGCCCGGCGGCGTACTCGACCGCTCCAATACGCAGTCCTCAGCCCTCCACCCCGTGATCTGTTCGAAGCTGGCGGCTAGCCACAAGATCCACGAAATCCAACTGCATCACAACCTCTTCGCCACCCTTCCCGATTCCCTGACATTCTTCGCCGCCTCGTTGACCGCACTGTCATTGGCGCACAACCAGCTGCTCGGCGAGACGTACCTTACAGGTGTGAGTGGAGGGGCGGAAGGGAGCGGAACAGCCTTGCTGGACCTGCCGGCGCTCAAGGAGCTGAATCTGGCCCATAACCACATCACCGGTTTGGTGCCCCTGATGGTGCATTTGTGCGCGCCACGACTGGAGAAATTGGATGTCTCGTTCAACCGGTTGACAGCACTACCGCAGCCCACCAGCAGCACCCCTGAGAACGGACGGAACGGTTACCTGCGCGACACCTTTCCGTTCCTGACTGTTCTCCTCGCGTCAAACAACCACCTCGTCGAACTCGACCCGGAAGCGATCCGTGGCCTACGCGTTGTGGATGTCGCTAACAACGACATTGCACACTTGAACCCACGGATTGGATTGCTTGGGGCGACCCAACCGCAGCAGCAACAACAGGACGGGGCTAGCGGAAGTGGACTGGAGAGGCTTGATGTCAGTGGGAACCGCTTCCGTGTGCCGCGGTGGAATGTGCTGGAAAGAGGCACGGAGGCAACGCTGAGGTGGTTGAGGGGAAGGGTACCGGTGGCAGAGATGGGAGCGTGGAAGGGTGAGGAGGGTGATGATGAGGATGTGGATTAGACGGGTAGACCACACCACTGTCCTGATCAAGAGCGAGAGCAAATGGGGTATTTGGGCTGGTGTTGATATTTTATTGTTCCATTTCCGAGAGTGGGCTGTTTGCTGCTGGTAATGGGGGACTTGACTTTCCTCCTTCTATTCCTCATTTTATTATTCTTCTAGCTATTGTTGAGCTACCTGTATCATTTTCTGGTCTCATACTACCGGGCCCTTTTTTGTCATAGTTGTTTTTGACCTGGCACGTTTTTGAGTTTGTGGAGCGGTCATATTAGTGTTGGTCGAAGGGAATGGGGCAAGAACGAAAAGAGACACGTGAGAAGAAGCACGTGTGGCTGTATTTATTGTATGAGTGTAATTTCTAGTGCCATAATGTAGATAAAGTTGACGGCCTGTTGAGCCGTTATAGCAATCGTGCGAATAGTTCCTGTCTCATGGGGAAGCGTTGGTATCTTCTGAGGGGACATTTGCTACCTGCGATGTCAAAGAATCTGCCCAAGGCACGCCAATGCACAAAGCCTAGGAACAAAATAAAGAATCCGTGTCGATTTGACGGCTGCCATCGACCTCCCCAGGAAAACGAATCTGCAAGCAACGTTTTCAAGACTGCAGCACCTTCCGCGAACCGTTTAGCGTCCACATGCAGACTCACTGGCCGCTGTGCTGCGAGCCGCCCCAGCTGTGAGACCGACACCAATCGAAGCGGGGCCAAGGCTCTGAAACTTTCCGAAGAGGGCGGCGAAAGAGTCAAACGGGCGCGAACTGTTGGCGGGCGCGCCTGCCAAAAGGTTACACTGGCGGGGCTCTCTTTGGCGGGCAGAAGGCGGGGTTCCACACCCGATATTTTTTTTTCCCTTTTGCTCCCATCTTTGAACCCCGAGCATCCTGTGGTGGGGCAGTGGGAGGAAATGGCCGGGGGAAACTTTTTTTTTTAAAGCTTTGTTGCCTTGCCCGCCCGCGCCTTGACCTGTGATTGAAGTTGGGTTGGTTTCCTTTCTTTCAGGTTGAGTCGTAACTCTGGGGCGCTTTTTTTTAACCTCCCGTATCGTTTGATATTCCAAATATAAACCGATTCCCTAGATTTCGTGGAAGGAATTCGTACCTTTTCCCAAGCCCACCTCCACACACATACATCTCGACTCCCTTCTCGCTGCCTTGGAGATCTGCTGCAACTTGTTGTCAAAATGGTCGAGAAAATCTACGTCACGTATAACGAGGTGAGCCCGATAACCGAACCGCCCCTCCATCCCTTTTTATCTTCTCTGCCCGTAAACTGTGGAACAGCAGAACTGACCCCGCGGCCCCGCGTTCCCCCCTCCTTCCCCTCCATAGGGGATGATGGGCGGGCGCAAAGCCAAGTATGAATACAGGTGCACAAGCTGTGCCAGGAAGCGGCACCGCAGATCCTCGCCAACTTCAAGCCGCAGCTGATGATCGCCATTGGCGGTGGCGGCTACGTGCCCGCGCGCATTCTGCGTTCCTTCCTCAAGCAACCGGGCAGCCCCAACATCCCGATCCAGGCCATCGGCCTGTCGTTGTACGAGCAGCTGGCCGACTCGACCGACAACGATATCGAGGCGGCGGGGACCCGCGTCACGCGCACGCAATGGCTGGACTTGACTGCACTCGGCGAGATGGCGAATCTGGTCGGCAAGCGGGTGTTGATTGTGGATGAGGTTGATGATACTCGTACCACGCTGGAGTATGCGGTCAAGGAGCTGCAGAAGGATGTGGAGGAGGCCCGCGCCAAGATTGGTAGCGACTTGAAGACGGAGTTTGCGATCTTTGTCCTCCACGTATGTTGTCCGTCTCTTGTCACTTTTCCCTTTCTTTTCATGAGTTATGGGTTTTTACTAACGGTCGCTCTGCAGAACAAGGACAAGAAGAAGAAGGGCATCCTGCCTGACGATATCACGAACGGCCGTTACCTGGCCGCCCGCACCGTTGGCGACGAGTGGATCTGCTACCCCTGGGAGGCCATGGACATCGACGAGCACGACGCCCTTAACGCTGCTGCGAAGTCTAACTAGACGCTGTGAACCGTCGTTTTATGGCTGAGGCAGCGGCCCGGGAGGCAATATACAAGGGATCTAGTTCCGGAACAGAAGACGGGGACGTTTTGAGGGCTTGTTTTGCAGCAATACACCCTTAAATTTAGAACTGAAACCCCTCGGGAAGAGTGCTAACATCCTCGTCTCTACGGTTCTCGACGTCTCCTTAACGAGTGCCGGAGGCTCGAGGGTGATTTAAAGAGTCACTCTTCTACAAGAAGGGAGCGTGCTGGTAACACGATGAACGTATTTCCGCAAGAGCGAGCATTAGGTTGGAGTTATTTGGACAGTGGGCGAGTTGCCAACTGAGATGGATAGAGATGGGGGGAGCCGGTATTTGGTTTTACCACTGTATAGGACCGCACATAGGGATAATAAATCAACCCCAGGTGTGATATGAGAGAACGAATTTACAAGTCAAATAGGAGCACGTCCAAACACGTTGGTGATGTGACCTGCTTGGCCATATAAACTCTGAAATCTTGGTCTATCGCCTTATCCGCGAATAAAGTGAGTAGAAATGGTATATCGATCGTATCATACAAAGCGGTATCGCTGTCCCGCCGTCTATCCGCCGACTGTCCCGTCACGCATATGCTTCTCTTTTAGCCTCTTCTCGTGCTTCATAAACTCTCTAATCCCCACCGGCACACTTTTGTACAAGTCGTCGTCCCAAAAGTCCTTTGTAGCCGGCTTAGACGCATTTTTATTCCTGGGTATCCGCGGCGTCTCCCAATTCGCAACCGAACCGCCCCCATCATCATCCATACTCCCCCCCTCCTCCATCGGCCCCCGGTCCAAATCCACATCATGTATCCCCAAATCCATCCCACCACTACCCCCCTCCCGCTGGCCGACATCCGCCGCACTCTCCATACTCTCCTCGGTAACACCTACCGCCCGCCCAGCCAGCTGCGCCGCCAACCTCCGCTCCGCCTCGGCACTCATCCCCGCCCACTCCTCCATCTCGTCGCGGTACCGGTCCCAGACACAGTTGACGCAGCCGCTCATGCAGCAGTTGTCAGGCTCCTCTGGGCGCGGGGGGACACGCACGCCGGCGACGACGCGGGTCTCGGTGCGTAGGCGGGCTAGGCGCTCGGCGCGCTCGCGGGGGCCGGCTAGGCTGGCGCCGAAGACGATGCGGGCGCGGGCCTGAGGGGTGGTGTTAGATGTCGGGTCTGATTCTGAGTTTTGTTCTTTTTCTTGGGTTGTTTCTTCTGGCGTGCGCTCGGACTGGGAGGGTGCGGATGATGGTGATTGTGGGAGGATGGTCGGGCCAGGGGGTGGTGTTGGTGATGGTGTTTGGGAAGGTGATATGGATGATGAAGGGGTGGAGGGGGTTGGGGAAGAAGAGGACGAAGGAGTGGGAGGAGGAGGAACCGACTTGGCCTTGGTGCTGCTGGGGGCTTTGCGCGTGCGCTTGGTAGGGGTCTTCTTGTCTTCTGCCGCCTCTTCTTGCGCTTGAGGCGCTGCCTTGGCTGGTGCGGCCGCCTTCTTTTCCTCTGAGGCTGCGGGCTTCGCCGGCTCGGCCTTGGGTTGGGGCTTCTCGGGCTCGGGAACAGCTGACTTGGGAGCCGGCTTGGACGATCGCTGGGATGTGACGGGGGGCTCTTCGGGCTTCTCCTTCGCGAGCGGGTTCGGGGTCCGGAGGATGGCCTCGTAGAACGGCCCGACTGGGTGTGCCTGCTCTTGGGAGGGCTCAATGGGGGTCGGCGGGGTGTTGTCCTTGATAGGCGGGGCGGCAAAGGTGCGACGCGGCTGCTGGTTGCCCAATGCGTGGTAAACAGCGCGCGACGGCCGCGCGCTCAAGATGCTTCGGCGCATGTTTCTGTAGTTTGTTCTTTGTCTTCTCTGAATTAATGGTTTGAAAGTCTGCTGGGATGGGCCGCAGACGGTGGGCTGCGTCCAAAGAAGGGAAAAGCGTGTTCCTATGTTTTCGAGAAACTGGGGTATGGGGGGCTATCAGACGATGCAGGGAATTGACGATAATGAATTTTCGGATCGAAATGCTTGAATACCACATGGAAAGCCGAACGTCATCCGGTGGGTGGAGCAAGGGTTAAAACAGTGTTGTTTGCACAATTTGCGCACTGTATTTGTGTGGAACTTTCCCCAGAGACCGCCGAGACAGCTTCCCAAACAAAAACATCGGCCCCCACCAATACTTTGCAACAATCGAGAATCGGACGAAAACCGCAACTTCGACGCGTCGTAGTTGAATATTTCGCGCCATAACAGCCTGCGGCAATGATTGTATGATTACTACCCCAATTGCGCCGTAATGGACCCCCCCGCGCCGAAGAGACGTAGGACATCGCCACGACTGTCTGGTCTGTCGCCAACAGAGACCGAGTCGACAACGCCCCGGGATGACCTCCCCCGACGTGACTCGTCTCCGAACAGGCCTTCGTTTGCCTCCCCGACCCGAGCGAGCCTCGAGCGGTATAATCCAAATATCTTGCGACGGCGGGAAAGCCAGCCTCGGCGGCTGCGGTCTTCCCCCGATGCGCCTCCTACGGCTTCGCGCGCGGCCACCCCAGATAGCACCGGGAGCTTGACGCGTGCTATGAAGACCCAGCTCGAGTTGCGGTCTGCGTCTCGCGGCGCTAGCGCGTGGGCGGGTTCCGATCATGATGGGGTCTTGCGCTCTCCGCCTCGGCGATTAGGTCCTGGTGCTGGAACGCCCTCACGACCGACACCCCGGCCACTTCCACCACCGGCCCCAGAGGAGGACGAGGAACTACTGAGGGCAATATCTGCCCGCGTACATCCAGGCGTCGCTCTGGGTGTGCTCCCCGAAGTTACCGCTCCCGAACCCGAACTTCCACCAACCCCCGAGCACCCAGACCCCGTGGTCAGCACACCACCGTCTGGGATACATAACACGCCGTCGCGGCGCCTCAAACGAACCCGAGTACTATCAGAAAAGCAGAACGGGTCATCACCGCTTAGGAAAGAGGCACTGCGCCCCCCAAATCTGCGCAAAAAGGGGTCCGGCAAAGTCGACTTGCAAGCTAAAGCTGCGCAGGTCGAAGCTCCGACACCGACTCCGGCAGAGAGCCGAGGGCTCAAATCGCCTGACCCTGATGCGGATAAGAAGAAGCTGCGTGATTCTCTTCTAGCTGAGATTGCGCAGCTGGAAAGAGACCGAGACATTGCTGCCAAGGAGAACGAACGCATCCGTACTGCCCGGGTCTCCAAACGAGCACCCTCCCCTCCCAGCAATGCAGATGAGGTCCTCGACCTACTCGTGCGCCACCTCCTCCCACAGCAACCCGACGTTCCGAAACCAGACCCGATCCAAGACTGGCTTGCTTTGGCTCTCAACCCCATAGGCCTATTGCCCTTCGCCAAACCAGCACCCCGAAACCAACAACTCCAACCACCAGAGGAGGAGCTTCCTCTACCCATATCTCACCACCCACTTCCTATGACAGCCTCCGAAGCGCTTCCCTATCTCCAGGTCTTCACTCCTCTGACCTTCACCTCCCACGTGGCCCCGCTCCCTCCCACCGACACCGACGCCTCGGCGTCCACACCCATCCTCCAGAAACACTACATTACGGCTGCTTCCACCGCACCCCGTGGCCTCTTCGCTGCTCGCATCGAAATGACAGTCAACACCGCCACCATGGCCATCACCGACCTTGCCGTGCCGGCCCTTGACCTGACCGCCGAGGCCGAACTACGCCCATTCATCGACCGCATCATCACCACCCCCACCCTTACTACGGCAAAGACCAGCCCGACAAGTAGCGGACTGCACAACAACATCAGTGTTCTGACCTGGGCCATGGGCGAATGGGTGCGCGTGGCGAGGCAGCGGGCAAAAGTATGGGGTTCGTTAGAGAAGGAGATGTGTGCGGGGAAGGAGCCGTTGAAGGAGATGGTGGGAAAGCATAGGGAGTGGGCGAGGAAAAGGGGGAAGAAAACACCTGGAAAGAGAGCGAGGCGAGCAGGGCGAGAGAGAGGGGCGGATAGCGAGGATGGTGGGGATGACGAAGACGAAGCGACTAGTCAAGGGGGAGAAGGCAGTGAAATCGGGAGTGATGATCTCGAGGGCGGTAAGCACGAGACAACCGCTGATTTACTCCCGTTCATGGGACGGACATCCATGGACCTAGAGATTCCTCTCCCAGGCAGCGGGCGTGGAGAGGTATCAATGTTGAGAATGCAGTGGCGGATTTTGTTTGATTGGACGGGCGAGGCGCGCAGCGATGTTGCCGTATCGGTTGGCGTTCCGGGGAAGTGTGAGTTACTCCAAAAACTGCCTTTCGTTTCTTTTTATATCGCATCTTTTTGGCTGACATACCGGGCAGGGCACAAACATGATGAGAGGGGCCGGTTAGCTGGACTGCCTAAGCTGTTTGATGAGTTGGTTCAGGGGGGCGAGGAGCCGCTTGCTGCTGTACGGACGGTGGTGTGCTTGCTAGTCGGAGAGAAGGTGTAGGTGTAAACTACAGTCGTAGGAGTGCTATGAGACGGACAACCGTGCTTTTAACGGCACGCAACGTGCATGTTTAGCCCCAAATGGAACATATCAAGCATAAAGTGTAGCCTTTGCTTCCACCATCAGCCAACGGTCAACAACCAGGTGCTGGTTCATTAATGTTTTATTTTATTTGGTCTGTGAAGTAATACACCTGTCGTTGCCACAGTCCCTCTCTTATCATATCCCCCTTTTCACCAAGACTCGCCACACCCACCTACCCCCTCTAGCAACTCATATCTCAGTCAACATCCACCCCCTTAGTCCGCAAATCCGCCTTAGCCAACTTAATCTCCTCCATCAACTCGGCGTGCGCATCGGGCGTGTCGCGGAACGTCAGCATGCCCCAGCCAAGACGGAAGAGCAGCCAGGCGCCGAAGGAGACGAGGAACCAGAAGGGAAGCTATGGTGTATTGCACATGGGGGTTAGCTTTCAGCTAGCTAGGATTCTGTGGGCGGGGGGCGAGGTTGTTATGGGGATTTTGGGATTTGTTGGGGCCAGGTGGAACGTACCACGGGGACGATGGCTTCTTGGACGGCGGCGGGGAGAGGGACTAGGCCGAGGTAGAGGGAGAGGTAGAACTGTATGTGGGCGGACGAGTGACAAAGGTTAGCTTCATTTTCTTTTTTTATCTTGTTCTCCGTTCTCGTTGGGGTTATATTCGGAAGCGATGACGCGGGCTTCGGTTCAAAGGGTGAGGGCGACGTACAGAGCTCACGAGAAGAGCGAGGGAAATAGTCTGCTGCGCGCGCGTCATGGTGTGTATGTTCCAGTGGTGTTGAAGGTAAAAGACGAGAAAGTGGAAAAAGGAGTGGCTTGGGGTCGGCACTGCGGTTGCTTCGAGGTTAGTTGGTCAATTGAGCTGCTATGGGTAATCTGGGCACTTCGTGGTTCTTGGGAATGCGATGGCACCGGGGTGGCATTGGGTTGGATCGTGGGGATGACGTACGGGAGTGGTGGTGTTTGGTCGGCGACGGTGGGTTGGTGATGCGACGGTTGCGAGGACAGGTTACTTTTCGTGGACAGATCAAATGCGCGGCGCGTTGCCGTAGCCTGGGATTCAGGGGTGTGGGTGAGAGTTAGTAGGGTTAGGGTTAGATATACCGGAGTACCAGGACGAAAAGTTCAGGACGAGATGACAACCCTCTGTTAATTCATCTAGTTTGAGTGAAATATTCTCTGAAGATACAAAACTAGATTACTCTTACCCAATACAAATTCGGTGCTTGAAGTTTGTTGACCGTCCCAATTTGCTTTCATAGACAACTTTGTTCTGACCTAAGATATGTAGCACAGTAGTTGCCGTATAAGCCAAGTTGCTAACGTATGATTCTCAATGCTTCCTATTTGCAACTTGACTAAACATTTCAATTCATTCCCCATCCACTCTAGGCTTGCTTAACAACCAGGCCCCAAACACGAACCAGCACCCCCCTCCCCCCCTTCCTAAGACGTCCTTTACCTAAATCTAGCACGTAGAATTGGGCGTTTGGCTTCACAGCACGAAGTGTCAGCAAACCGGTCCTGTACCGGGTCTTACCCAAATACATCGTCTAGAAGAGGGTTCACATACTCAGGGCAGCGGGCCACCATGCAACGGCCAACGCACTCGGGGCTGCAAGCTCCTGGGACGTTGTAGGGGTTGCATTGGATCTTGCAGTCGCCGTGACAATTCGCACTGGCGCCGACAATGAAGCTGAAGAATAGGATGAGCGCTGTGGTGGGCTTCATAATGCCGTTTGGTTTGTTTTGTTTTGTTTGAGGTTCGGAATTAATTAGCGGTTGGAAATTGGTAGTAAAACTCCAGAGGATTAGAGTACAACATTTCCTTTTGATCCTGATGACAACATTTTATACTTAACTCTCAACTAAACACTCTCGCTTAAACCTCACCGAAATAGGAAATCGCTAGTTGCATGGTCTCAACTAGAGCCAGATAAGTGGCTGCAGTTGAAGAGGGAATGAAGCGTCTCGCTAACGTTGTAGCTCCCTTGAGGGTAGTATGGATGACTTTAGCGTTTCCTGTATGCTACCTCGTGAGGTTCCAACCGAACGCCACCGATTAGCCAAATGGAGCGAGGGCCGTGATATCTGCTTTGGGTTTACCATCTAGACTACTTTGGCTACAGAGGGCTGGGCGAGGTTGATAAGTTCGAAATTCAATAGGACTAACAATTAGCATTTGGAACCCGTTTTGGGAATTTTGCAACGCATCGGCGACCCGCAGCTCCCCAAAAAACATACAACTGGCTTATAGTTCGGATTGGTATGTACCGTCTTTTACGTCTGCAGCTTTAAGCTCATTATGAGTTCTAAAATATGAGGCGTACAACGCTTTCATTATTGCGCTGTCCGTTTACCACGTGCTAGCAGGCGTCGTCATCATGATCCAGCCATATCTGTGCTGAACTGCTGATTGCTCGAGGTGCTGCACTACCTAGCTGTGCAACCCCAACAGCACAGACTATGGTTCGCATGCTGAAATATGGCCCAATGCATACATCAAATGATATACGCCCGGGTTGAGCTACCGGGCCGTCATCGGCTGATAGCCCACGGACATTCCCCCAACCACCAGTCCGACGTCACAGGGCTGGTCGTGCGGTGGCCGTACTGATATGTATATGCACAATGCATGACTGACACTGAGGGGAAATTGAAAAGAAGCGGAAAAATAACTTTGACACCTTCTCCGCCTTCTTCCAGCGTACCGACCCCGAACTTCCTTTTATCGTCCAATTCTCTACCTCTTGACATCTGACCCCAACAGAACTAAGAATCTAATTATGTTAAGGATAATCATGCATTTTGTACCACGTTATACGCTTGCGGGGCTAGGTAAGCCATCGTTTGATTGCCGGTTTTCAACCGTCCGCCTTCCACTCGTCGCATCAGCTAACGAAGTCGGTATCAGCGTTAGCAGCCACCGCCCTGGCTCAGCAGTCCGGGGGATACTACAGTGGCAATGGGAATCCATCTAACGGCCAAGGCCCTGGAGGGAATTCAAGATCCGGATTTGGCGGCTTCGGTGGAAATTTCGATTTCGACGAGGCGACCCGCATCAGAGCAATCCATGGCATCCTCGGAGCCGTCGCCATGGCTGTCCTCTTCCCGAGTGGTTCGATGCTCATGCGCCTGTTCCCCGGTAAAGCTGGACTTTGGTTGCACTCTATCATGCAAATAATCGCCTTGGGCATCCTGGTAGCCGCGGTTGCGCTCGGGATCCGTCTCGTGCAGCAGATGCGAGAATTTGGCATTGATCTGGTAGGCCTCCTCGCCCACCTCCTCTCCCCTTCATCCTCTGAAATAGCCGTCTTCTTCTGCTAATGCGATTTAACTACTCTGCGTCGTTAGATTGGCAACGCCAACACCAACAGCCACTTCATCATCGGCCTAGTCGTCCTGATCTGTCTGCTCCTGCAGCCCGTCTTTGGCCTTCTCCACCACGAAAAGTTCAAGCACACTCACCAGAGGCAGGTGTGGTCGTATCTGCATTTGTTCAACGGGCGAATTTGCATCACGCTGGGAATCATCAACGGCGGGCTCGGGTTGTGGCTTGCCGGCGCGGCTGAGAGTCTCAAGGTGGGCTATGTCGCGGCCGCGGCGGCGATGTGGTTGATCTGGATGTCCCTGGCGCTGTGGTCTGAGTTGAAGCGCTGGAGGGCGCAGAGACCGCCCTCCTCGACGCGAAGGAAGCCGAGGGAAGGTGAAGTCGCATTCTAGTCTGGTGGATGATACACTCTCTCAGTATCTCCCACTCTAGCAGAAGCGAACCGCTGAGGGTCCGGTTGTGGACGGCGCTGTAACAGGAGCTGGGCGGGTGATATTCTGGGACTGGGCCTCTAATAGGGGGAAGGGGGTTACGAAAGGGATGGGAGGGTATCAAAAAGTGATTTCAAGCTTACAGACCTTTAGCTTTTAAGCTTTATCATTTTTGTTGGTGGTCGGTGGAAACCAGGTCCGACTGGCGTCAGGGCAACTGCTTTGGGAAAAATTCAGTGTTAATGTTAGTTTCTGTGAGGAAAGCGCGAACACATTGGATTGACACATGAATCTGTTTACTGTTAGATAGAAAGAAGAAAGTCCAAGTCTGGTCGTGGTTGCCAAAGATTTACCGTGCCTGGGACTAGTAATCCGTACTGTATGGGGCTTGCCTGGGGATAATTCTGTGCCTCAATTTCTTTGAACCAAAACCATAAAATCACGACACAATCGGACTGGGAGTGGTCGACAAGCAGGCAAGAAGGCGACCTCTCGGGTGCCGGTGACATGACCACGGTTGTCGCCCCAGGCCCCTCGGCAGCGACCGATCAAGCTTCCAGCTGCGCCAGAGATTTCGCTGACCTGTTGACCGTCATCATCACCACCTCCCCAACTCCTTCAGCACCGTCAACAGAGTTGCTCTCACAAATTATCCTCTCCTTCCAACAGCACTGCCCTGGATTGACTCAATGTCGGCTCATCCTTGTCCTCGATACCTACGACCACATCAGTTCGACGGCCCGACTCAAGAAAGGGCATGTCACTGCAGAGGGTGCTCAAAACTACATTGAGTACAAGGAGAATGCGAAGCATCTCATCCTCCGGGAATATGCCAGTGGGCAGGGCGGCTCCGAGGAATCAGCACCCCAGGAGTTAATCGAGGAAGTCGGCGAGGCCGAGTTTGGTTCCCTGGCCTATGCCCACCAGAACAACTCAGTCCCACTGTTCATCACCAAAACCCCAGATGGACGGGTCGTGTTTATTGAGCCCTCGCAACGTCTTGGTTTTGGGCTTGCCGTCCGTACAGCCTTGAGGCTCACCGAAACGCCATATGTTTGGATCCAACAGCACGACTGGGGTCTCGTGTCCGACATACCTCTTCGCCCGCTACTCGCTCTCATGCAGCAACGCTCGCGAGCGGCGACCCAGGATGCACAAGATGACGAGGAAGATATGCCAGTGCCCATCAAATATATTTGTTTTCCCTCGATTCGTATGGTCGAGTACGCCCGCTCCGACCACGTCATGCTGTACCCGGCTCTGCGTGCGTTGACCAACCTGCACAAGCAGAATTTCACCGTTTTCTCAAGGGAGGGGAAGGATACGGGTGATAAAGGAAGAGGGACAGAAAGGGAAATGACAAAGATCCCGCTCACGCCACTATTTTTCTGGCATGACAAGCCCCATCTGGTCGAGACCGCACATTATCTCGCCCAGGTTTTCCCAGTCCGGGCAGCACTCCCACGTGGCGCTTTTATCGAAGACACAATAGGCCACCGGGCGAGAGCAGAAATGAAAGACGGCCGGTGGCGGAAATGGGCGTGCTGGCTCTTTTACCCTGACGACGGCAAGAAACTTTGTCTGAGGCATCTCAAGGGGAGGACATGGCGAGGTGCCGAGGGCGAGCTGGCGCAAAAGCTCGAGTACATGCGGCTTGCCTCGATGGAATCCCGTCCGGAATGATGGGCATGCGGTCCCCGAGCCCGGAATTTTCGACGCCGGAAGAGGCCCGCCCAGTTTTCTCGTCAGTCTGGCCAACAATTTTCAAAGGCCGTCACACCGCTCGAGGGTTCCCCACGTCGGGACGAAGGATTGCGCCGTTCCCTCAGCGTTTGAACTTTTGTCTGACAACTGATGTGACGCGCCCGAAAACACACACCGCGATGGATGCCGCTTCGGGCGAGAACCACATGCCGGGGTTGTGAGATTACTAAAGCAGGGGACAGGGGGTTTCGATTTCAGCCCATTGCCGCTAACGCTCGCCAAGAAACACTTAAAATCCATGGCAGCAGGGGTGGAGACAAATGGTCATTGCTCGGGTCACTCACAGTGGGAAATTTGGGACACTGAGGTCACGAAGTCTTGGAGAAGGGCGCTGCATTTGACGCTGTCATGGAGAGTCATCGCCAAATAGGCAAGCAGAATTAAGCATCACGGTTTGACGAGTTGAAAGAGTTATGGAAAATAAGAGGTATCATTAACGCTGAGTTTTTCGAGTTAAAAGACATTATCCTAGCTCATAAGCTTGGTCGCCGAGTTATAAACTCCATTCTTCTATTCACCCTCTCTATCAGATCCGTCGTTCCCGCGCATCACCAACAACTATCGCCCATATTTACTGCTTTCCGGGGTAGCTCATGCCGCCCTGGGCTTGGTAGCCCTGCTGGTTGAGGAGCGGCTCGCGGTACGCAGCCTCCTTGTCGTTCTGCGCGATCTGGCAGCAGCCGCAGCAGCAGGCCAAGGCGATATCCGTAATGCAGTTGCCCTCGAGGTTGTACTTCTTGCGGACATCGGCGCTCTGCATAGCCATGGGGACCCAGTGAAGAGCCACGCAGCTGGAAGCGAGGAAGAGGAGGCACTGAAATGGAGATTGTTAGGATCTTTCCTATCTGCAAACACATGGGAGAGTGAAAAGGAAACAAAAAAACATACGGTGGTGTTAATAGGCTCATAACCCTCAAGGTTGGCGTTCTTGCGCAGACGGTGGTGCGTGCGGCCGAAAACGACACACGAGCAGCACCACGACATCAGGCAGGTGTCGATGGGGGCGAAGCAGCCCCAGATGGCGTTGTACCAGGGCTGGGCGCCCGCAGGCGACTTGGAGTTGACGTGCTCGCCGGGACGGGCCAGCACGTCGTTGAGGCGGGCGGTCCAGTCGGCGATGTCATCGTTGTTGACGGGGCCCTGGGCACCGCCGGCAGCGGGCGCCGGGGCGGGGGTGGACTGGTACGGCTGCTGCTGCTGGTACTGCTGCTGCTCCTGGTGGTACTGCGGCTGTTGCTGCTGGTACGGGGACTGCTGGTATTGCTGTTGCTGGGAGTCCATTTTGATGGGGGGATGGGTTTAGATTTGTGGGCTGAAAGAGAAGAAAGGTTGGAAAGTTGGCGAAGGCCGGGTATCAAGTTGGAAAGTGTGATAGATTGGATAAATGAGTGACGGGAACCGAAGTAAAAGTCAAGACTGGACTTTGAAGTATGATGCTGAGCTGGTTGGAGAAGAGAAAGGTCAACCGTTTCCTCGAGGACGGCTCATCTTTTTATCTCGAACCTTTCTCGGAGTTACCACACGGTCCACACCTCTCCCCATCCACCTCTTCCCAAACCCGGCCGCCTGCCGCCGCCATCAACGAGTTAAAAAAAGACGACAAGGTTTACAATGTGTCCATGCTTCGGAACGTCCAACGAAGCGTTTCCGGTGGGGCCCGGGAGATGAATGTGACGGCGGTCTTTGCTCTTGGCAGGCGCACTTTCTTCAAGGCTGGGCACAGGAGCCCGCGAGACAATATGGAAACGGTGGGGAACTTCTTGAACAAGCAGGGAAGATGAAAATGGTATCCAATGATACCAACGCTTGACAGCCGCATCGTGGTTCTGAGTGGGTCCCCCAGTTCAGCCCTGCGGTTTGCCGAGCACTGCTAAGTCGGGGCCGAATCACTCCGTCCACTGGCATGTCTGACCGGCGGACGGGCATTTCCCAATGTCAAATATTTTTTTTTGTCTTTGCCTTGATACGCTTGATTCCTCCTTGAGAGGTCCATTCGGCTATTTTGTCCACACAAAGATCCCCAGCGGTTAGATGCGGGGGTCGAGAAACTTGAGATGGAGATTTGCTGGTTTTTTTTCCTGCAGACCTGCACGAGAAAGGAGATGACCGACTCGCCCGGCCGGCAGCAGCGATAACCTTACAGCCGCTCCTTGCCTTACTGGGTGGAAACGGGGGCTTGTCCTCTCAACGCCTCTCAGTTCCCAGTCTCGGGCTGCTGCGAACAAAGACCTGGACAGGGCTGAGACTGGACTTGGCGTCGGTTTTTTCCCTGAATCCCGGCTTGTGAATCCGAGGAGTGAAACGCCAACGTCGTTCATGTCTCAAGCTTCGAATGGGGTCCTCGTGGAGATGTGGGTTGGAGGTTGATGATCTCCACGACAGATCGTCCCGTCTGACACGTCTGGCGGGGAAGAACAAGTAAAAGGGACTGTTCTTCCCGACAAGCCATTGGTGGTTTCTTCTGGTTCTCCACTGGCGAGGCAGTGTGAACTTTGAAAACTGGGGCTGCTTGGCCTCGGGGTCCTGGGTCCGCAACCTTTGGGCCGGGTCTGGCTTCGGGCCTGCAACCGACCCCGGCAAACTGCGGAAATGCCTGGTTGCATTTTCAGATCTTGTTAGCACAAATTACAGAGTTTCAGACGGAACAAAGCCGCGATGGATTTTCGCCCTGCCTGGTTAACTAGTCTCTGGCAAGCGGTGAACAGCGGCGATGAATCGTTCTGATCCTAGCCCTATTCCTGGGAATGGTCCTGTCGGTTGTTCGGGATTCGCCTGATCGCGGTGGTTCGGTATTGACAAGATAGGAAAGTCATAATGAAGGTTATCCGTACTTCATATGGAGGATGAGCATGGTTGATGTTCACTTTAGGAATCACATGTTGGACTATCAAGGTTTGGAGTGCGAGATGGTTGTTGTTTCGTCAATTGTTTTCAAACGACCACTTCTCCACCCGGTCTTTTCAAACCCTTCGGGTTGATACACCTGTCTCTCCTAACACCACCTCACCTCCCCACTTCTCCAACCTCCCCAAGCTTCATCCACGACCCAGTCAACGACATCCAGTCGTCGCTATCCCCCGCCTTACGGTCCTCCGCAATCATCACAGGCACCCACCCGTCCGCCTCAAACTCCTCCAGCGAAAAGTCATTGACAAAATCGTACCCTTCATCATCTCCCAGTTCGAAATCAGACAAATCCGAGAAATCGGAAGCCACCGAAACCGTTTCTGACGAGGTAGTTGACGAAAGAGCGGGAGCCGAGTCGCTGTCCGTGTCTGATACCGAAGACGACCGCGAAGATGAACGTGACCGTGTCGTACTCTCAGGCTCGACAAAAGAAGAACCAGCTTCTGTTTCTCCCTCCGTCTTGATCGGTCCAATCCTGCCCTCAGTGCCCTGCTTGTTGTGCTTGTTCCCTCCGCGCAACGCAGCGCTGTCCACCACCTTGACCACATACCCCCTTTCCACCTTGCCACCCACCACCTGTTCCACGTCAACATCCCCCAACGAAAACCCAGCTTCCCTCTCCCCCTCTTCATACCGCAACTTCCCAACATTGCGAGGACCCCCAAATAACCACTCCTCCTCTTCCTCAGTATAAGAAAAAGCAGCCTCCCTCCTCAAAACCATCACCCTGCTCCCCACCGACACCCCCATTCCCTGGGTATGCTTCACAGGTACCCGCCACGCATCACTCGGCAGCCGTATCTCGCCCGGCTTCGTGGCGGCGGTACGTGCGAGTGCGAGACCGGCCGGGATGGGGTCGTCGAGGACTTGGATGAAGCCGCTGCCTCGAAAACGGGGGGTTTTGCGCCAGGGGGTTGATTTTCCTTCTCTTGGGGCTGATTCCCTTACTGCGCTTGCTGTGGATGATGTGGGGGATGATGGGGGTGAGTTGGAGGAGGTAGTGCTCGTGGTGTCTACCCCAGCAGGGGGAAAGAACCGCCGATGACCGATCCCACCTTTGCGGTTCCTAAGGGAGAAAGGCAGAGGACTGTGTGGTGTGCGGGGGGTATCAGGTTTGTCGGACAACCGAGTCGGGAGGGAGGTAGATTCGCCGTCGTCTTCTACTTCTTCGTCGTCCTCTTCCTCGCCTGGTACTAGCACGTCGCTATCACTGTCATCCTCCTCTTCCTGCTCCTCATCCTCACCATCGGCCTGGCCGCGCTGTCCCACACTAATCCGGAGGTGTCCTCCCTTCGGACGCGTCTTAGCCGCCTCCACCGAATCATCAGGAATCATAACATGCCCCTTAACAAACCGGACTGACTTCTTGCGCTTAGTCGGGTCAGCATCCGTCGTCGTCGCTGTCGTGGAAACAGTGGCGTCCTTGCTCTCTTTGTTCTGCTGCATCTGGGAGGAGGTGTGAGATTTGTGCCGGAGGGTGACGCGGTTGAAGCGGGCGGTGGGAGAGGGAGAGATACGGCTAGCAGAAGAATGGGAGGAGCCGGGCCTGGTGTTGGCGAGGGGGGCGGAGGGGAAGGACATGCTGGGCTGGTTGGTTAGGGAGACAAGTGAATTGGATTTGGATTGGAAGGTGAGGAGTGTGTGTTGATGTTGCGGCGACCAGCGCGCGCGGTATCAATTGTAGGGGAATTAAATAAAGGTGAGAAGAAATGAAGTGGGGGTTGAGTAAGTGGGGGTTGAGTAGATGGGTGTAAGTGGATTAAGAAGACCCCCGGAAGGTGGCGTATTGAGCAGACGAGGAGGTAGTCGTGCAAACTCGACGGTGAAGCCGATTAATGAGATGTAGAAATTGATTCCGTGACAACTGATTTCCAAGTTAGGTTGTGCGAAGCATGTCCGGGGGGGACAATGTTGTTTAAGATGCGCCCCCATTACCCACACAATTGCTTGGTAAAGATTCACATTTTGATCGTGGTTTCATTTGGATTGATCTCCGGGCCGCCATGAGCGGCCTCGGCGATGGTTCAGTTGGATTGTCTGACGTCTGCTGGTCCTCACGTGCGCATCATGGCATGTAATGGGCCGCAACGGCTGGCCGCCAACAGGTCAATCGGCCGCGACCCAACGGCCACCTAAGCGAAAAAGAAGAAAAAAATGGTCCGAATTTCTCGCTACATACAGTATTTTGTACAATTGTATTCGTACATGACGCCTCCGATGGCTTGGGGAAAAAAATGAAAACTAGATGGAGCTGAGCCACGGTATGTCCACGAGCGTTTCCGCCTCGGGCCGGCTGTTCGGGTCAAGGCTCAGAGTACGTTTGAGGAAGTCGAAGTAACGCATTTTTTCGATATCTGGCATGCCGGTAACTTGACTACGTTCTTCGAGAGAAGTCCGGGGAAAGTTGAAATCGTCTACCATATTGCCTGAACAGGGAGAGGGGGGAAATTAATCAACAACTGAGCGCGTGTGCCTCGATGGGAATCAATTTCTGGGGTGGGAGCCTACGTACCATCCTCTGAAAATAGTTGCCGCTTATCGGGAGCGGCACCCTCAATGAGCCGCGTGGGCATCGGGCCTAAGGTGCTCGTCATCTGCGCCAGATGCGCATCGGGGTTGTACTTCGTGGTGTTTGGTGGATAGCCGTTGAAAAGGGGTTGCCCTTCAATAAGGTCCCACACCTGCATCGACGATAATAATACGTTTAGGTCAGATCAGATATTTCGACGCCTGGGCTTGGGCGGCCTTGATATTTTGTTCAAAGGTGGCCCAGCGGGTGTCACTTACAAGCAGGCCAATTTGCCAAATGTCGATTTTATGGTCCCATTTAGCATCCAGGACCACCTCCGGTGCTTGGATTCTCTGCCCCTGGGTATTGCCAGGGAGCTTTCGGTCGAACCAGCTTGCTGAGGCGGAGTGGCAAGCATCTATCAGTATCTGATCGTCATACCCTTCATACTTGGACCCCGGCACACTGCCGTAGCAGCGGCGCGGGTGGGAGGTACTCACCGTGTCCAAAGTCCGCCAAGCGCACCGCAAGCCTAGCAGGTCGGGTCATGTCCGCATCGAGGGTGTAAACCTTGGAGGATGCAATGTAAAACTCATCCGGCATGTCAAACAGTGGGTCGATGGGCTGCAATTCATAACCCGCGACGCTATTGGCCACGGCCCTGGTTTCCGGGGTTTCTGTTAAGATGTTCTGCGGCTTGATGTCTGATCCCGGGGGAGAATGTCAGCCACTGTCTCCCGGCGTTACTATGGTTTGGGGTTGCCGTCTAGAATACGCGGCGGCGTGCGTGCATGCTGACCTGCGTGGATGATCTTGCATACGCTGTGGAGAGACCACAGCCCGAAGAGAAGCTGCCTCGTTATCCTCTTCACTAGGGCCACCGGAAGCCGCCGGCCGGGAAAAAAATTCCGATAGTCCTCGAGATCGGGCCCCATCAGATCGAACACGAGACAGAGGTGGTTCCCGTGTATTCCTTTGTGTTTGAATGAATGGGATAGCTGAAGAATGCGGTGGGATCCTGGCTGAGAAGTGATTTGTGTCCTGATGCCATCGAGAATCCCCCGCTCAAACGAGCCGCCTCGGGGAGGGTCCGCAGTGCAGATTTTAAGTGCAACATTACGCGTCGTTCTATCGTCAACCTCCCAGCGAAGTTGTGGTCCTCTTAGAAAATGCTGTCCATATAGAAAAAATGAAATCAAATGTGATTCAGAGGTGGACTTACTTTTTATCATATGCCAGCCACACAGTTGAATATGGCCCGTATCCAAGCTTGTTACTTATGCGGAACCTGCCCTCATCGAAAGCTTCACTAATCCGGACGGGATGGTAACCCCCAGGGCAATACCGGTCGAGGCTCTCCTCGTTGATGGACCGGAAGGCTCGTAAACTGGGGGCGGGGTGGATATATTTGAGGCACGGCGCGGTTCGCCTGAGCATGACTGCGGGAATTGTCTTCGTCCCCAGGATCCAACGGGTGTGAGTTCACACAAATTCTCGGTAATTTTCGCGGTAGTCAAAACTTTGATGTTTGAGACCGGGGTCTTTTTTCCCGATTTTTGGGACGGGACCCACTGCCAAGCATTTATGCCAAGACTGCCATTGCCACAGTATCCGTACTGTGTCATTCCATTAGTGGGTAAGGGTTGATATGTTGAGGTTTATCATGGGCCGTTAGAAGATGCAATATGATTCATTGCGCTCACACTCGGTAGTCGTAGTTGGTTCCTGCAGAGATTTACCCTCTTTTTCACCTTTCCATGGTTACTTATTGCATATATTCTGCCCCGGTTTTGTCTTGTACTGCGTTCTGCTCAATAGGGTTGCTTGCTGCATTCGAGCGGATACAGTGTGCATTCTACATTGATTGAGTACCCAACGGCAGCCATCAAGAACAAGTTCAGTCTCTGGAATAACCAGAAGCAAGCGAGCCAGCCGCTTCACATGGTACGGCACATCGTAATGTGCCTCCACAATCTAGGCTCGCTAGACAAGTCACGCGGCATTTCTTCCCCACAGTGTTGTCATCGGTCTTTCAGGTCGTTTAACCACTCAGTATAAAACATTCAAATTCCCTGCTGCTCATTCTCACTCCCCTCTCAACACCCATTTCACACTCATTGCAAGTACCCACTCAAGTTACACTCACATCAACATAACCCCAACCGCAAACAATCCACCACCTTCACCATGACCGGCTCATCACTATGGCTCTTGCCCCCAAAAGACCGTATGCCCAGTCCAACCCCTTCTTACCCCCCTCCCCTTTCTCACCACATAACATGTCCAACCCCCTCATCTAACCCAACCTTAACCTAACCCAACCCAACCCACACTAAACACCCCCCCCCCTTCCCCTGATCAATCCATTAACATCAACAGACCCCCTCCACAAAATCCTAACCACCCTCCTCCACGAAACCCTCCCCACCCGCTTCCCCCGCGAAGCCGCCTCCTCCCCGCGCGTCGTCCCACATTTCTTCCCCACCCACATCACCCTCACCAACGGCATCGTGCCGGAGTCTACATACGGCGCCGACGAGGGAGGCGCGCAGGGCGGTGCACAGGCGTGGTTGGATTCTATTCCTTTTCCTTCTTCTTCTTCTTCTTCTACTACTGATACCGCTGGAGGGGATGGAGAAGGAAAGGGGGTCAAGGTGAAGGTGAGGTTTGAAAAGGTGGTGAGCCAGGATGTGTTTTACCGGCGGTGTTATGTGAAAGTTGGGTTTGAGGGTGTCAAGGAGTTGGCGGGGGTGGCGCGGGCGGTGGGGGTATTGGGGGAGGGTGTGGATGTGAATGCGGAGAGTGGGGAGGTTAAGTTTGGGGAGAAGACGGAGGCTTGGTGAGTTTTTTCTCTTTTGGGGGGACTTTTCGTTCACTTATACGGATGCCATTGTTCGCGGCGGAAAGGGTGGTTGGGATCGGGATTGACTGACGGATGGTGTAGGTTGAGCTCATGGCAAGAAGAGTTTGGGCCGCATCTGAGCCTCATGTAGTAAGTCTGCAACGCTGAATTGCTTCATTTCCACCGTGGAGCTGCTAACCGAGCCAGTGGCAATGAGCCGGTCCTGGACGGGGCTGTCCGAGAAGTCCGACGCGTACTGGAAGATGCTGGTCTCCGACTGTCTGAGAGTGAGATAGAAACCGTGGAAGGGGCTGGTGGCTTTGACGGTTGGGACGGCGGAGTGATCTGGCTAGTTCCGACTGACAAGCCCATCTCGGAGTGGGGGACGCCAATTGCGACAAGGGAGCTTTGAGGTACGAAACAAGGGAACCTGGGAGTATCTCGACATGAAAACACGTTGCATGATCAATGATGGATGATTCTGAAGTAGCTAGAGTTGGTTGGCGTCTGCCATTACTGCGTGACTGCCTCGGGTATTGTACCGCTTAGAATATGTCTTTGACATACTGATAAACACTCCCCTGCGCATTTGTTGGCTCCTCGCTTCCGCTCGACCTCATCGGACTCAACCCCATCCCGCCATATCCCATGTCTGCGCGATGCGCTGGCCCCAACTCGTTGCCGCTACTTTGACCCTTGCTAGTCATACCAATATACCCCTCGAAAATCTGCGACATCTCGTTCTGCAGCTGGAGCCCGTTGCTGAGTGCCTCTCCCATGTGCATCGGCTGTGTTGTGACCGGCGTCATAACAACCGGGCTATGCATAGCTGCGGGGCCAACACTGCCGGGGCGACTCGGTGGACCGCTATCGAAGGGCCGTGGTAGTGCTGGACTGTGATGCCCAGTGGTGCTACTGCTCGCGCGAGCATAAGGAGAGCGGGACCCGCCAGTCGGGGCACGATTTGAGTTGTCACTGAGGCCCAACTTCGGCGCGTAGGCCTGCAATGAGCGGATCGTGCGCCAGAGACGGTGGGAGACCCAGGATCGGGACGACAGGCCCTTGACAAGGTCGAGCGCCATGTAGAACTCATCACGACAGAGGACGCTGAATTGCAGGGGAGCATGAGTTGAGGCGAGGAAAAGCACGCCGATAGACGAAGTGAGGAACTGGTGATAAAAGACCTGTATGCGGCGGTATTGGTCGGTCTCATTGTTGAGATGCGTGAGAATCCGGATCGTCTGCTTAGCTAGGTCGACCACTTTCTGGGCGAGTTGCGCATTCTGGGAAATGCTGGTAGCGCTATGCAAGACGGGGGTATATAGCCATATGCGGACCTACAATCCTGCGGTTAGCCAGTGGAAATACAACGATGAAAGAGTGATAAAACTCACTTGGTTGAGCCTAAGACGCGTCCAGATACGTAACCGCTGGAGATCGTACGGTCCCGAAGGTAGTGACATCTGGTCTCCGTCTAGGGGGCCGGTCCGTACCTCTTCCGGTACTGAATCGTACCACTCCATGATCTCACGATCCAACTGTTCAAAGTCGTGGGGTTTCAACTCGCGGACGACAGCTGGCTCGAAATAGTCTACGAGCCTCCATATTTTGGCGGCAACCCTGGAGTACCCAATCATTGCCATGAGAAAGGGGTAGCCTTCCGGGTACGGGAGCTTTGGGTCAATCTTGTCGTCGTGGCATACGAAGGGCAAGCCGGTGCTAAAACTCCAACGGCGATCAAGAACATACATCGACCAGAACGTGTGCAACGCGTCCCTGCGTATTTGCGGGTCGGCAATCTTTTGTATCCCTTCCCGCCGGTGTAGCCCAAGCTCGAAGCAGTGACGCGCGACCTGCCCCACGAGCCGCCATGCAAGCACCTCATCGTTAGACAGGAACCTGTAACCTGAACACAAGGCGAGAAAGGCCAGCTGCGAAACGTCGGCGGGGCTGCTCATGAGCATTTTATCGACCAGGGGCTGGATACTGTCGTAGATGCGGACGGCCTTGTCGCTGTTCCCGTGCTCAGTCACCACGAGGGCGCAGCACATGAGAATTTTGACGAGTAGGGTCTTGGGGTCTTGTAAGACCTGTTCTAGACCAGGTGAAGGGACGCCACCGGCCCGTCTTGCTGTGTCCATCCATGATGAGATGTACCTTACATGGGCCATGACAGGGCCCATAGATGTCACCGGGTACATGACGTCGACTTCTTCTTGATACACACGCATCAAGCGGACTATCTCGGATTCATCGAACTCCCAGAGAGGGTCCGCGGGGCCCTGGGATGGAGGTGGGACCACCCCAGAGGGTGCATTGGTCATCTGAGGGGAGGCATGAGGTGCTGTATCTGGCTGCGCCCCGTGGTCTTCTTGGCCGTCCCCGACACCGCTGTAGCCCATTTTGTGGAGCGTGTCCTTGGCAACATCGACGGTAAAGGCGAGGCTGGTTGGTCCGTTGAAAAAAGAAGGTACTCGGAACGGGAGATGGGGCGGTGGGCGGTGACTAGACGAGGCTGAAGGGGAGGGAGTAGAGACGACCGAGGGAGGTGGGAGAATAGGCCGTTCCTGGAGCGGAGCGAGGCGGGCGGTTTCTTGGCGCAGCGAGTTCAGAGAGCTGTAGAGCGACTCGACATGTTTCTGGAGCTCCTGGACATGATCGGATATCTGCTTGAACTCATCCGAGTCCTTGAAATTGGAGCAGCAATTCGGGGCGTAGAGACATTGCAGGTTCAGATGCCCACACCGTTGGCATGGTGTCTGGCCGTTGCATTTGATCTTACGGCGCTTGCACTCGTTGCTGTGAGGATGAAGGGCGAATGTTAGAAAGGAGTCTTTAATATGACTTGGTTGGGCTGGGTGTTTGTCTCTGACAGCAGGGGCAATGCAAGACAGGTGGGCGGAATAAGTGCGCGCCGTATGCAGTCAACCGTCATTGCATGTCCTAGGAGGGAGGGGGGTGCGGAATGGTAGAATGACGGAAAAGGCTAAACTCACCAGGCAATTGAGATGTACTGCGGAAAGTCACAATAGTGCGGAACGGTTAGTCAGGCCAAGACAGTGAAAGGGTTGGGGTTCGATTAATAAAGCATAGATAGACGGATGGATGATATCATCCTGAGTTTGAGAGGTTGGTTGAGGAAATTGGAAATTTTTGGAGAATCACCAAGCATCGAGGGCTGGGGAATACAAATCGTGAAAAGACTCATCGAAAACAACAAATTAAGAGTTGTGATGCATACCCTGTTCCTCTTGCTCCTTTGCTGCTTCGCTGGGCCATCGTCGAAATCTTCGGCCCTTCTCTTTGCATGAACGCTGCTCCCGCTGCTGACCGTGGCGTTGTCGAGCGGTGACTGGGGGTTGTGGTGACTCTGGTGGTGATGTGCGGAATTGTCTCCGGGCGCGGAAAACAACGAGTGGTGAGAGCTGGTGTGGAGTGGACCACCAGCGGGAGCCCCAATTCCTGCACCTGCACCAACGCCGGCAGCGCTGATGCCTGTGCTCGTGCTTGTGCTCAATCCGACGGTGCCATTCCTGGGCGATGGAGCTCCTCCTGCTCCTTCTGGTCCTCTCCTTGAACCCGGACCCGAAGAACCGTACAGTGAGCCCGCGACGTCGTGGGGTGACGCGGCTGCCGCGTCTAAACCGCCCTGCGGAGCCCCCGTGGCCGTGGCCGCAGAGCCCAGGAATGAGCGCAAATCGCTGACCTGAGTTTCGAGCTGATCCATTGAACGAGACAGGCAAAACTGGCCGGGAAAGCGGCAGACACCGGGCACGCACGCACACACGCCAGGCCGCGAAGCCCGAAGCAGGGAGTGAGATTGGAAAGGGGGATGATTCGATTGTTGCGCTCAAATCAGGAGATCGGGAGATTCCAACTCCAGTGAACTCCGTGGCTGATAAAGACCGATGGGAAAGAGCGGCTTTCCCCTGCACTTTCCAAGCAGCCCAGGTCAGCTCAAGTCTGCCCTGCCTTTGCGCGCTCCGGTTGCTCGCAACTTCCCCGGCAGTCGGTCCCTGGCGGTGGGGACGCACGTGATGCATCGGCACCTTCCTTCGGGACAAGATGTCTGGGTGGCCAATTGTCAACAGCTGTCAAGTTCTTGGCACGTTCAACCACCGAGGGGCCACGACAAGACGGCATACCCAGTTTCTTGTTCTACCTTGTATTTATTTTGTAATTGATCCATACGAGGGTATATTTTACATCGAAACTTTTGGATAACACGTAAAATTCCCCCACAGCCCTCACTTCTTCAACGATGGACCTATTATCTTACCGCGACATGGGCCAAAGCCAACCCTCGACCAATCTGCGCCGGCGAACCCGCGGATTATAACCGTATCGCCGTCCTCAAGAAAGGTGCGCGTCCCCGTTTGCACTAACTTCAACGGCTTCTTGCCATTCTCAGTCACCTCAAGCAAGCTCCCGCTCTCATAGGACCCATCGGGCCCACTAATGGTCCCCGACCCAAGCAGATCACCGGTGCGCAGCGGACAGCCACCCAACGTGTGGTGCGCAATCATCTGCGGGAAGGACCAGATGAGGTACCGCGAATTAGTACGAGTGATGGGAGTCGTGACGCCCGCAGTGGCTGGTGAGTGTTAGGATGAGAAACCCACAAACAAGTTAACGAAGAGTGTGTGAGGGAATGCTTACTTTGCAAGTAGACTCGCAAGTTGATATCAAGAACATTTTCCGTATTCGCTTCACACAAATACGGTTGCAATGATTTTCTGTCGAGCTCGTGACCGGGCACGGTGCGGTACGGTTCCATAGCCTCGGCCAGCACCACCCATGGGCTAATAGTCGTGGCAAAGTTTTTGCCATTGAATGGGCCGAGCGGGACATACTCCCAGGCCTGCACGTCCCGCGCGCTCCAGTCGTTCAGCAAGACATAGCCAAACACATACTTGGCTGCCGAATCCACATCGACACTATCGCCCATTCGGTTCTCACTCGCGATGAAACACCCCAACTCGAGTTCGATGTCCAGCTTGCGCGTCGGCCCCGTCGACACAATCTGCTTTCCGTCCTCACCGACATGGGCGACCTGCCCTACGGGCCGGCGAATTGGAGTGTCTGAGACGACAATACTGGAGCTCCGCCCATGGTAACCGATAGGCATATGCAGGTAGTTGGGTTGCAGAGCGGCGTCAGGCCCGCGGAACAGAGTACCAACGGCGTGGGCGTGGTAGTAGCCGGCATAGAAGTCGGTGTAATCGCCAATGGTCATAGGTAGGTGCATTGCCGTGACTTCCGAGTCCTCAAGCAGCGCGGCGGCTCGCAGCGGCATGTTGTCACGGAGCACAGAAGGATACGGTGTTTGGGCGACGAGAAGCTGCTGCAGGGTGTTGCGCACTTTGGAACGGACGGCCCGGCCGAGTGCGGCGAAGGCGTTGAGCGTTGGCTGGGAGAAGACATCCAGTAGGAGTGCCTCGAATCCGTCGAATTCGTGAAAGGAGGGGAAGGGTCTGTGATACGGCCCTTCGGGGTGAGTGAAGAACACTTTGAGATCGAGTATATGGCTGCCGATGGCTGCGGCGACATGCGGCGCGGGATCGGACTTTGTCGACACGATACCGAACGGCAGGTTGTATATCGAGAAGTCGCTGCCCGGTTCGATGTTTGGGACCCATGTGTTTTTGCCAAGGTGGTTCGGGTCGAATTTCGAAGGTGACGCCATCGTAAGTGTAGAGTGGGGGGTGAAAAGGTCGGAAGTTAGAGTTCGTTTGGAGTTCGTATAGTATACACGGTGTAATCAGTTGATTCCGTCGTTTGCTTCCCCTTATATTATCGCGTTCGGCTCCTAACCGGAAGTGTTGTCGCCGCTGTCGTTTGACAACGGACGGCAGGCGGGGAACGTCCGCGATCCGATGCAAGCCGTGCCCCACCTTCCCCAATCCCCACGCTCCAGAGTCGCTTTCTATGCAACCGTCTAAAGCCAACTCCCCCACTCTCAATTTCTCAGTTCCTCACAAACGGACGCTGTCATACAGGCTCGTCAACTCCTCCAACTCATCCCCTCTCGCCCTAGCCGCCCTCCTCGCTGCCGTCTTCACCTGCCCAACCACGTCCTCCCTTCCCTGACCCCCCCTCTCTTCATCCCATCCATCCTCATCGTCATCATCCCCTCCCCTTAAACCAACCCCTCCTCCCCGCCCAACAAGCCAAAACGAAACCTCACACCCACCCTCCCTCAGCTCCTCCACACGTCTCTGCAACGCCTCCCACAGATCACGGTTCCCGTACCACCGCCCGCCGGGCCCACTGCCGCGATTGTTCCTCGGTTTGCGCCAATGTCGAGCTACCCACTGCGGCAGCCACCGGGTTGCGCCAAAGACGACGTACTCGAGGTCGGTGAGGATGATGACGCGGTGCCAGTTTTCGCCTTGGATTTGAGTTCTGCTGCTGCTGCTACCAGCAATGGGTTGACGTTGGGTTTGGCCCCATGGTCGAAATTCTAAGGCTGCGATGACTGCGCGGAGCTTTGCTCGGTTGGAGGTAGGTTCGGGCCCGTTTTTGTGGGTTGATTCTGGTGATGTCTCGTAGCGGAAGGCGATCGGGTCTGGGATATTGTCGGCGTGGTTCCGTCTCATCGCTGGGTTGGACAACGTTGTTGAAGTTCGTGAAGGGCGTGACGACGATGGCGAGGAAATTGCGGCTGGGTTCTCTCTGGCAGTGACATAGCTGGATGAAGAGGTGGCTGCGGTCAATGATGAGGAGGATGTGGTGGCCCTCCAGTCATCACCACCCCGGAACATAAACGCACAACCTCCCACCGGCTCGGTCAACTTATCTGCGTGTCGTCCGTTGTTGACACACGACCCATCTACTGCTAAGAGGATCTCCCGGTTGTTGAATCGGTTGACAAAACGTCGTACGCGTGCGGTGGATATGGTGCCACCAGTCTGTCGGGCAGGCGTTGACACAGATATTGATACTAGCTGAGGAGGGAAGTGAGCTTCGGGGGCCAGATCGGGATCGTGTGAGTGGAAGATGGTGGCAAGTTGAATAGCTGGTGGAGGACTGGTGTTTCTTCTGCTGCTGCTGGTTCTGCTGCTGGTTCTGCTAGCTATGACAGGGGTACAATGACTAGAGGCCATTGTGATTGGAGTTTACTTAAACAAGTAAAAAACAAGTGACATATATTAAGTTCTTGAAGTGAGTTAGGTATTAGCCGATCCGGTGCGTTCCAAGAGGTCGTAAGGGGCGAGAACGAGACAAAACGGTGATCAGGTGAGCAGTCAGATGAGCACCACCGCTCCCATCTAATAAAATACCAGCAATACTTCGCCAAAAAAGTATCTGTTCATCATCATCCTGTTCCAAAACGGCCCATCCTGGTATCTGGAGGGCCTCACTTGGCCAATTTCGGGGCCCGACCCGATTGGACCCGATGCCATGGAAGAGGCCCACAAGACGATGGATCTCGATGGTATCCAATCTGGTGGAATTGGAAACGGGATGAAAGACAGATGCGGTTTTGCCCGGCTTTATTCAAGTCGGGACTCGTCTAGTTATCAGTAATGTATGATGTGGTATTTCCAACTCGAGAGGGTATCTCCCTAACTCCTACGGACTGTCTAAACATGCAAAGATAACCGCCCTCCCAATCATTTTTAATAGACTTTCCCCCTTTATTCTATTTCTTTCCCCTTTACACCGCAACCTCCTTCTCGCCAGTCTTTTCCTGCTGGAGCCCTTCCGTATGCACGGGCGCCATCGATACTGCCGGCGCATCCTGCGCCAACGTTTGTTCGTCATTCAACTTTGGGTTCCGCAACACAGCTGCAAACGCAATCAACGGAACACACAAGCAGATACCCGTGATAGTCAGCAGCCGCTGCGCGTGCTTGTACGATTCGATGACAGCCTGGCGCTGGGGCGTCCCGATGGGGTACTCGTCGATGAACACAAACGGGTTGGCATAAGCCAGTGGAGCGAGCGTGGCATTGTTAAAAGGGGTCAGGCGCTGGTCCAGGTCGTTGGGGAGGACCTGGGTCCAGATGGCGCCCGACACGGCGCCGCCAAAGGCGGACCCGAGGTTGTAAGTGGCGAGGTAGAGACCCGTCATGACGGCGAGGTGTTCGTGCTTGAGTGCAGCTTGGAGCGAGGCCTGCGCCGGGTAGGGGAACATGCCGCCTGCAAGACCGAGGACAACCTGGGCGCCGATGACACCGGCGCGGTTTGCGGTGTCGGCGTCGCCGCGGTAGCGGATCAAGAGGCCGAAGGCGACTAGGAAGAGGCAGGTGCCCGCGACAATGAAAACCTTCAGGCGGCGGACGCGGTAGACGATGAAGCCTAGGATGCAGCCGGATACGACGCTGAAGAAGCTGTAAAAGGACGAGACACGCGTCGCGGTCATGGTGTCGAAGTCGAAGCCGACGGTCAGGACGGTGAACAGGTAGTCGCCTTGCATGTACCAAGCCCAGTTTAGCAGCAGGGCGATTCCCAAGGCGCCCCAGACGGCACGGTCGCGGATCAGGTAGAAAGGCACGAGAGGGTGCGGGGCGCGCAGCTGCCAGAAGACGAATACGGGGATCGTGCAGACGCCGACGATGAGGGGCGCGAGTATGTGCGCGGCCGTCCAGGAGGACTCGAAACCGCCCGCGACGGTCATGGGAACGAGGATCAAAGCGAACACGGCGATAAGCAAAATGATGCCGATCACGTCGAGGCGCCAAAATAGGTCGATGAGGAACTCGCCCCATGGTGCACGCTTGACGGAATCACCGTACTTCTCCATGACACCCTCGCGACGGGCGCGGCGGCCGACCAGCGCCAGACTGATGATCAGGGGCATGGCGCAGACGGGGTAAATGATACACCACATGCCGATGCCCCAGTGCCAGTCGGTGACGGAGAGCACAGCATCAGAGACGTTGCCGCTGACCCAAGTGGTGATGAGGAAGGGCATGGCGGGGATGTAGCTGAAGATGAGGCGGGCGCGAGTTGACGTGATATCGGCAGCGATGACCTCGACGAGCAGCATGATCATGGTGTATCCGATTTGGTAAATGATGGCGCCGGCAGCGAAGGTCGAAACGTTGGTCGAAGTGGTCTCGACGATGGTACCGACGACGTAGAACAAGACGGATAGGGCGACGAGCTCGGCACGGCCAAATAAATCGGCAATTTTTGCCGAAGTTGGCTGAGCAGCCGCTGCGATGACGGCGCGTAGTACATTGACAGTAGCTAGCAGCGAATGCTGGTCGAAAGAGGCGGTGGCCTTGGGCTGGTAGGTGTATCGGAGCACGCCGTCGAGCCCGTAGGCAAAGGCGACGAGAAAGACGCCGAAGAAAATGAATATGCGGTCACGGGTAGTCAAGACGGAGGCCAGAGCCTCAACGCGGCGCACACCAGCTGACTTTTCGTCGGTTGAGATCGAGCTACGGCTCGCAACGTGGTCGAGAGGCTTGCCGTTGTCGTCGCCATGACCAGCAGGATCAGCGCCGGGTGTCTCAGGCGCATCCAACGGGATGTCGTTGCTCTTGTTGTGAGCCATCGCAATGGTGTTGGAGGGCGACGACGACAATCAACAGCTTCCAGGAACAATCCAGGCACGTCGAAGAAACCGTGCGTTGTAGAGGTGGGGGACTCGCAGCGGCCGGTTGCCCGAATATAACTAGTTATTTGTCTCACAATTTGAGAGGAAGGTTCCCGGAGTGGATCGTCCCATGCAGCGTCCCACGTGGAATTCGGGAATCTCTTCCCAGAACCACAAGAACCTACGCAAAGTTTCACGGTTTCACCCGCAACTGTTCCCCGAGGCTTGGTGGGGAGGAATCCTCGTGTCACGTTTCGACATGACAACCCACGCCTTGTCAAAAACCCCCCCAATGGCTGCTCCTCGGCGCCCGGAAACAACCCCAAAAAGGGGGCTTCCGCCAGGGACATCAAGGTAACGTTCGCCGCGCCCAGCCTTGATGAGCGTGCGACTCCAAAATTTGGCCGCAAGAAGCCAATGGATCTAATCAGATCCAGCCGATAACACAGATCCTTTCCAAATCGGGCCGAATTAGCAGGGGTGCCGGCTCCCTGGGCCCTGGTTCGAACTCGCGCCATTGAAAATCCTGCAGCGAGTGGCGGAGGGAAAAGGATCTGATAACAAATTTTTGCCGACAGCGGGCGCCATGTTCGGGGGTCCCCAACCGTTTTGCACGCGACCGTCGAAGCAGGCCACCAGGGAAAAAGTCGAGGAAGACGGGATTCTCCGGCAAGATCAATGTGAAGGGCGAATGGTCCCCCGAGGAAGTCACGACCAACTCACCGAAGCCCGTTCTGGCCAAGACCCGCTTGTCAAATTTTGACAGTTGCCGCGCATTTTGGAAGTTGCGAATTGTCAAAAAGTCAGCCGAGGTTGTGGAGATGTCCGGGTTTGGTAGGCTCAGGCCAGTTCCTTGGCTTTCCTCTTTGAGAAGTGACCGTTTTCATCAAATCGGCCTGGAAAGAAACCCCCAAAACTTTGGCTTGGTGGACGGTGAATTCTGGTTAACATATTGGCATGGTTTCTTGTTTATTTCCTACCCTTCACCTTCCCCACTGCCTCTCACCTAGGTTGGCAGATGCTTCAAACCCAGAAAACCCCGTGAAGCAAATGGTTTAACCCTATTCCACACATCAGCGAATTGACACCCTCGACCAATTCCAGGACCAGCCCAAACGGCTGACAATATTCTCGACGAGCTCAGTCGGACAGCCCAGCTTCTTCCTCAATTTCCTCACGGCTTGGTGACCACTTGTCCTGGAGCGCTTTGTCAAGCGTCGGCCCATAGACGTCCTTAGGCCACCACTCCCCCCAGCTAGTGAGGAAGATCTGCTCCGGGTCCTCCGGAATATCATCGCGCGTGAACGCATTGAGGATGCTTTGGGCGCCTAGCTACTGTTAGCCGTTGTCTCTCATCAACCAAACCTATCAGGCAGCCCGAAGGACACTCACCTTCAGGAACCGACTTCGCATCTGGCAGCGAAGGCGGTATCGTGACCCCGGAACCCCGACCAAGCCCAGTGCCCGGGATAAAGCCCGGCGAGACGGCGACGACCTCAACCTGGCCCTGCAGTTGCCGCCGCCACCAGTGGGCGCCAAGAAGCTGCACAAATTTGGTTTGGCAGTATGTCGTCATGGGCTCGACGCCCGAGCCGGCCTGGAGCTCCTTCTCGAGAACCCCTATCAAGCGTCAGTCAGAGCCATGAGCATGGGGTTTCATATCAGCAAGATCGCCGGGTCCCGTACCTGTATCGGGCACATTACGGACCGCTCCGGACGACACTACTACTACTCTCGACTTGGACTCGATCAACTTCTCGCGTAGTAGATGCGTCAGGTAGTGCTGGGCTGTAGCGTTTGCCTTCCGCGTTAGCAACCACTATAAGACCGATAGACGGGGCGACGACGCACAGAAATGATTGACGGTCAATCCTTCATTCCATCCCCACGGCCCCGTTTTCTGCCCGCTTCCCGAAATAGCGGCATTCAGCAACAGAAAGTCCAACTTTTTCTTCTCGCCAGCACCAAGCAAACTCAACACCTCACTCGCAAACACCTTCGTCCCCTTCAGGTCCGACAGTTCCAACGGCAGCACCGTCACTTGATGGCGCGCTGCGTCATACCCGAGTCCGTCGAATGCAGCGCGGGTGTTAGTAACGTCACGCGCTCCGAGGATGATGTTGTATGCTGCCTTGGGAGGGAAGACCGTCGGGGCGGGTAAGTGCTGGGCGAGCAGGAGCTGCTTGATGACCTCAAAGCCCTATGAATCTGGTCAGTAATAAAACAACAAGGGGCAAAGTATAATTAACAAAATAAGCTTCTGCAAGCAGGCTCATACTAGGCCGGAGGAAACGCCCGTCGCGACGATCGTTTTAGTCACAGTAGCCATCTTGTTTTCGGTAGGACAGTGAGGTAGGTAAGTGTGTATGAGCAAAACGAAGAGTTGTTCGTTTTCGTCAAGGTAAACCCGTCTCGTCGAGCAAGCCTTTTATTTATGTCTTGCCGTTTTGAGTGAGGAGTTCCCCTCACATCGATCACCGCCTTCAAATGACATCCTGTGGACAACCAACCCCGCTAAAATCCGGGTCACTCCGGACCTGTACATTAACTCCGTGATCCTCCACGCTCCATCCGCGCAAAATACTGTCGAACCATCCTTCGATTATCAATCACGGTCTCAAAACGGCCTAGGTATGGTATCGTTTGGGAGTTGATCCCGCTTTCGCTCGGAGACATATTTGCATAGCTCCCGAAAGTCTAGCTGTTGAGGGTTCCGTATTATGTCAGACAAAGTCAATTGCGCGGTGGGCGTCAGCCTGGATGCTACCAGCCCCCGCTACAAACTGTAAACGGTCTTGACGATCAAATGTTCATACAGTCTTAATGGAAGTGCTTACAAACCACATGTGTGGAGATCTCGATCTTAATAATGCTGAACGAGGCCAAGTGAGTTGCTGCACTACAGTATGTGAGGCGACGGGAAATGAACCAACCCCTTGAGTGAACGGTTCAACTGCAATATCATGTTCAGCAAGATATTCCCATGTTTGATGCAAAAACACCAGATTTGTTACTGTTTAGTATCTTGTCTCTGTGTCTTTAATGGTATAAAATATGAATCGGATTGGGAAACATTTCTCATAAAACTCATGAAATATAGGAAGCCCCGACGCATCTTCACTCTAAGATCTCCATAGGCTGAACATGCTCTGCAGAATTAAAAGATCCTTTCCGTATCCTAAAGAAAGTCAAGCAATTCCCGTCCGGCGGTTTAAGTCAAGGTCGCTAGCATAGCTCTCATCAACTTCGGCGGGGGTCCTGTAGCGTGACGTAAAACGTATTAGCAAGGTCTGCAGGTTCGAGGGATATAGGGATATTCGAAATGTCTAAAATAGAAGAGAAAATGGTAGGAAGAATGGAAAGAAAAATGCACATGAAAGGGAGGGAAAACAACAAGAATGGGAAAAGGGCAAATTAACAAGGTACAAAAGCCGCGCAAATGATCACGCACCATCATTCCCCCTCATCTACTACACCACCCCCCTTAACAACAACAACACACAAAGACGATCACCGATACTTCGGCACACTAATAGACATCCTACCTCTTCTATCCCTCTCCAGCCGTGGTCCGGCCCTCGTCGGTTCCTCAATCAGCTCCACATCTTCTTCATACAGCACCAGCTCCCCGGTACTCAACCGCTCCGCACGCACCAACTCCGCGCCGCGGCTCATACTGCGGTGCCGACTGCGGGTCCGGCTGTGTCCGTGCCGGCTACGGTCGCGCCGCACAAGTCGCACGTCGTCTGACTCGTAAACGCCGCTGTGGCGGGATCCACCAGCTAGAGCGACCGGGCCGACGGGGACGCGGCCGGAGACTTCACGCGAGCGATCGACGACGAGGGTTGTTGGGGGACCGTTGGTGTAGGTGTCGTAGGAGGAAGTAGTGGTTTCGTAGGCGTCGTAGGAGGATGTGGTGTAGCGGGCGGGTGACGGTTCACGGAGAACGGTGGTTTTGACCACCTCGACTGGGGAGTGGTGGTCGTGATAGTCGGTGATGTACGCGGGTGGGTGGGCATCGATGATGACTGGGGCAGGTTGGCCGGGCTGGAGAGGGGGCGGAGGGGGGAGGATAGGGATAGCGGGTGCAGGAGAGAGGGCGAGTGTGGGTGTGGGAGTGCTCTCGTAGATCTCGGTCCGGCGCTCGATGCGCTCCTCGATGAAATCGGCGCTGCTGGGACGGGCGGCAAAGATTTCTGCCTCAGCTGTGGGGATGTTAGCAGAAGTGTTAGCAAGGGTGATCGGGGGGCACTGACTCTTCTTGTACTCGTCGCTCAGCTTCAACAAATCATCAATGTTTTTCTGCCCAAGAGCCTTTTGCACAACGACCACATTCCCCTTGTTTCATAGTCAGCAATTCGTCCTATCATCACATTCACAATCTCCAAACTAAACAGGGCAGATATCGACTCACCTCCTCCGTATAAGGGTACCCAATCTCAATCAACGCCCGCTTCGACACCAACTTAGCGGGAATACGGGTCTTCCCTTTCTTGGGATACTCGCTCTTAGCCGTGAGTGTCGTGCCCCCATCACTCGACGAACTACTCGAGCTCGACGATCGCCCCCGTCTCCTACTTCGAGTCCTCGCCTCGCGGCTTCTCGTCCGCCGCTTTGTCCTAATCGTCTCCGTCTCACGCACCCTTTCGGGTGGGTATGCTCTGAACTCCTCGTCTCCATACCGATGAGGGTCCGATATCTGGATATCTTCAAACGTCTCCCGCTCGGCATACCCCCGCGGCGGAGGCAGCGCCTTGGCGCGCGGGAGCGGGATATCCACGTATGTTGGCGGACGATAATCCTCGCGGCGAGCGGGCGGGCCGTACTCCTCGCGCTGCTGGTCGCGCTCCCAGTACCGCTTTGCCGGCTTGCGATCAAAGGTATCCAAACTCGACTGGCGACGCACCAAGCGCGGAGGGGGTCGACTAGACACAACCGACGGCGGCGATGGGCTCCGGCGCCGACCCCTTTCTTCAAACACCACGCGCGATCGTTCGACCTCCAGCTCGCGCTCTGGCTCGAGGCGATGCCGAGGCGGCGACGCCGGACGACGCCAGTGCTCGTCGGGCACAGGCAGAGGTGGCTCTCTTCGCGGTGGGGGTGGAGACGGCGAGAAACGCCGGCGCGGCGGGGGCGGATCGTCTTCGTACACCACGCGCCGTGTTCTCTCGCGCGACCTCTCCCGTTCGCGGTACATAACCCGGCTGTCGTCATCGTCGTCGCGATATCGTTCCCCGCGGGGAGGTGGGCCCACAGACCGGGAGTCTCTCAAGGGGGGACCGGGAGGAGGGCCAAGGGAGCTCGGAGGTCCGCCGCCGGAGCGCCGTGCGTAGACATGGTCATCGTCCTCTTCGAAACGCTCGCGCACTTCGCTGTAGCGGTCGTAGCCGCGGTCGCTCTCGATTTCGCGGCGATCGCGGTCATAGCGGTCGGGGGGTGGACGGTCGGAAGGCATGGCGTGTCGGTCGTTCTTACGGACCGTCGAAACCTCCGTGTTGTGTAACCTGGACTGTGCCGCGTTGTATTGTGTTCTGGTGTTGCGCCTCGTGGGAATCGTTTGGTGGGGAGGAGGTCGGGTCGAAAGGAGGGGTTGTGCAGGTCAGGTGGGGTTGCAGCAACCAGGAAAGTGTGACTGCTACGCTGGTGAAGCTCAACGACTCGGGTCTGGCAAACTCAAATCACCCTCTGTCTGTAAAAATAATTCAAATTTGGATACCATTCAAGATGGAGATTCATAATTTTCCGATGCGAGTTCAGACGGGCATGTGTTTTGACTTTTCATCCCATGCCATTGCATTCCAAGATCTTGCACCTGATGACGACACAGATCGAAGCAAAAGCAGGGATTTCCGATCTGCTTTTTCATTGGCTCGCTTTCTTCAAGACCCTTGCTCGCTTCACAACATGCAGAGCCGAGAAAACTTCCTGCGACTTGCCCCACCTTTCTTCTTTTGTTCCATCAACACCATCATGTACACTAGTTACTCCAAACGTCTAAAACAATTGCCGGATACAAGGCCCCCTAAATGGGTCGGACAAGCAAGCCCCCTCTCTTCACCTGACACCATTCTTGTTATCAGTGACAGTGACCGTTGAAGCTACAGGTGCTCTCATATCCACTATGTAAAAAGGGTAGTTCATCGCCAGGGATAGCCGGCAAAAAACAAAAACATACAACACCGGGGATTCCCCAGTCGTCACCGACCTGAGTACTAGTCCAGCGATCAGCAGTTTGACTAGGGGAGAGCGGACGGGATCCCGTATTTTCTACTGTCTATGGTCGTATGTGATAGTTTGGCCTCCAGAGTCGCCTGAAGAATGCCCGTGAGAGGAAGTGCAGGGCAATGCGCATGCCCGCCATATCCCGGCCCCACGAGGTCGATTCCTGGGGCCACCACCGAGTAGAGTCCATACATAATGGTGTTCGTAGCCACCTACTGAACTTTCTCCTGAGCGGAAACGCGTGGGAGAACGACTGTAGGCGGTGAGCGTTTTTGGGTTTCACTCCTTTGGTTGGCTTACTGGTTTGTTTACCTGTTGTGGCTTTTTTTTTTAAGACAGACAGGATTATTGACTCGTCGAATGATCCCAACTAGGCGTTTTCGATACTTGCAGCCAACACGCCGTCAGCTCGGAAGACATGCAGAATACCGAGTTAGATCAAGACAAGTAACGGTAATAGACGGGGACACACGGTTTTTATTTCCCGCCTTTTCTTGCCATGCAGAACTTTTTTGTTGGCCCACGGCCTGTGCAGGATGCACATATATGAAACGAAATATTTATAAAGAACCATTGCCAGTTTTCCCCCAATCACAACTCCGAAACGATGTGGTCAAGCGCGCAAATGTAATCCACCCCCCGTCCAACAGCCCCCGATTCCTTTCTCGTTGGGTCTATTGTACGACCTCGACGGGAACGTTACCGTTTTCTGGGACAGCGTTGTTCTCGTGCAGCGTCAGGTGGAAGCTGCGGATGATAGAATCCGCATCATCAATCGCAATCGGCCGCACGTCAGCCATCGCCTTGATCTTGGCGGTGACCTCCTTGACCTGGTCATCCGTCATGACGAGGCCGAGCTGTCCAACTCTTGTCTTGACGGCATTCCAGCCAGTCAGACGCGAGGCAAAGTGGACGTAGCGAGTCAAGCCAAAGTCGGCGGGGTTGAGAATTTCGTAGGTGCTGGGGTTGTTGAGGATGGCCTTGGCATGGATGCCGGCCTTGTGGGTGAAGGCACAGAAGCCGGTGATGGGGTTGTTGAACGGAGTGTTGACCTCGACAGCCTCGGCGACCATGTCCTCAAGCTGGGAAGCGCTTAGCGGGATAAAGAAGGAGGATTTCTAAGCGTGCTACCTACCTCCTTGAGCTTGTGGAGCTTGTACTTGCCCTTGACATAGTCAGGGGAGCTCACCACCATGCGGGCAAGAAGACCGCCAAGGGGCGTGATGCCGTTACGCTCACCAACTAGAAAAGAAGTGTAAGTGATAAATCATGAAACTTAAGGTTGGGAGGGACTTACTGCCGAGTACACTGGTGTCGATGTGGGTGGCACCAGCCTCGAGAGCGCAGTAACTAGAGTCAAGTCAGCAAAACCTCCCTCGGTGGTGCGTCGGGTGTAGGACGTACGCATTCGCAATACTGCAGCCGGTATCATCGTGGAAGTGGGTTTCAATGTCACAAGCTAAAAACTGTCAATACTCCAGGCAAGGAACACCGTGATTCCAGAAACATACAAACGACGCCACGAAGCGTCCGGACGAGCTGTTCGGTTAAATTAGCAACTAGTAGCATTCGGGGGAGTCTAGTGTGCAAACACATACGTCGTAGACCTGTCTAGGAGAAGCGCAGCCAACAGTGTCGGCAATACCAACACGGTTTACGCCAACCTTGTCAACCGCCCGGTATAGGGAAAGGAGGTCGACTAGATCGGAACGGAACGAATCCTCGCTGGAGACTGCGAAGTGTTAATTCGAGACCGAGGTTCTTGAGTTGTTGGGCCGTGACTCACAGCGCACTTCAAGCCCCTTAGACTTGATGTACTCGATCACCTCAATGGCCGTCTTCTCGATGTAGGCCATGTCCTTGCCATGGCTGTGCTCTCGGAGGAAACTAGACGTGCCGATGACAACGTCCAAGCCGTCCACACCAGTCTCGACAGCGAGCTTGGCATCGCGCATATCACATCGAACATCTTACGCAGAGTGTTAGCAGCTTGCGGGAGTGTTTGGTGTCTGTTGTGCCGGGGATGATCGCCGAGATCGGTGACTCACGTGTCAAAATCTTGGCCTGTGGAGGTGTTAGTCGGCAATTCGGGATGTGTCTTCGGAAGAAAGCGTAGGAAATTAGGGACGGATGCGCACCTTCAGGCCAAGCTTGCAAATGGCCTCGCAGTCCCTGCGCGATTGCTCCGACGCAGCCGGCGAGGTGAGCTCGATGTAGTCGACGCCGAATTCATCGAGGGCTACGGGACGGGTGGTGTCAGTGGTGGTGGGGCGGTTGAACGGGGGAACTTGTTAGCATACCCTTGGCACTGTTGTGAAGTCAAAAGGTTAGCCAAAATAATTTTCACGACCCTGAGAGCTTGCGCCAATTGGTTCAAGAGGGCACCCACATCTTGATCTTGGTCTCGGTATCGAAGTAGGCGTTGGCAAATTGTTCGCCCTCTATCGAAGAAAGTCAGTGGGCGGATCGCGGGGCAGCATCGCCTGAGCTGGGGGGCAACGCACCACGCAGCGTCGACTCGATGATCTTGAACTTGTTGACATTGGACAGGAAGTCGCCCACAGGCTGGTATGGGCTCGATCGGAAATGCGCGCCCTATGATCACACCAAAAATGTGAGTATTCTTCTAATCATTCGGTCATTGCGCACGTTGGATTGCTGGCGTGGTAGGATCGCATGGGCAAGAGTTGATAAGAGGACGATAAGAGAGCTTCTGTACATTGTTCGCAGCAGCACCGCTTGTGCCATTGGCACCGTTTGCGCCGTTTGTTCCGTCTGTGCCGCACATTCTTGCTGTCGTTCTTTCCGTCTGGTTGGTCTGGGACAAAACTTCTACAAGAAGAAGGAGCAAAAGTCAACTTTGGAGAAAAGGGAAAGTGTTCAAGATGTGAGTGGAAATGAGAAGAGAGAAGTGGGCAGCTTCCCGATGTCGCTGAAATACTTGCAATGGCCCCTTGTGCCCCTCCCAGTCATTGTTAGTGACTCAAATCAGATTTTTTTTCGCCCGGCACCTGTAACCGCAGCAAGAGGTTGCCCCGCAGTGGCACTCAAAAGACGTCCAAGACGGCCCAAAAAGCTTTCGCTTTGATTGGACAATCCTCTGAAAACGGCTGTTTGCATCACGTCACAAGCATGCGCAGGCATTTTTATCCGCCCATTTTGTCGAGATTCAAGAGATCTACCCGCTAAAGAGTAGCATGAGTGTGGGGAGAAAACGGCCCAGAGCAGTAGAATCGTATCACTGTGACACAAGTCGTCCCCGTACGTGCAAGACGTGTACCACGCCCTGTGGAGGACAGAGGAAATCCCTGGTTTGTTTCTTCCTGGCGCCGCTATTTCCAGATCCGTCTACAAGTTGGAAGGACCCTTGAGTGCCTGAATCGCGGCTGCTGTTGGAAATGCGGGGCGTTCCGCGGGTTGTGGTTGCCGAGTGTCGTGTGGGAGGTTGCAGCTTTTCCTCCTATCAGATTCTCCCAATTAGGTCCCTGTGCGCTGGCAATTCTCCTGAGAAATTAGACTAGTAGTGGAGGAAGAAACTTTCCATTGAAAACGAACAAGACGGATAATGTCTGATAGCAGTGGACGCGACTATTCTCGTGACGTTCGGGAGTGTCCAGTCCATCTTTTTACATAGTAAGTAGCTGCTCGGCGTCCCGTTCACCCACCCACTCTCCATGTGCAGTGTAGTAAGCAATCCCGCGTTCCCACCTGGAGTCTCGGGCAGGCTCTCCTCGTCAGAGCGTGGGGCCTATTCTGTTAGGGGTCTAGTGCGGTGGTGCATTGGTCCGTGCCTTTTGCCCCCAAATCCGGGGTCGGAAGAGCCCCATGGAAGTTGGTCAGTCTCGAGTCAGTGGCCCCCTGCGGACTGCGGTCAGTCGCATGGAGTGGATGAACACGATCTTTTGGACGAAGTTTTCTGTTTCCCATCCTCGGAATTCATGGAGATGGTTGGCCAGACTTAAACCCTAGTAATGCCACGCGCTCCCCGGCGTCGACCCAACTTGACAACTTGCTAGTGCCGAGGACCTGCCGACCCGCTTCGGTCCGATGCCGCTTCTGCTCCGACATGGCTGTCTTGACAAAGACCTTCGCATTCCAACATTCGATACGGTGAGCTCGCCCTCGCACTGGTGCGTTGTCAGGTGACTGTTCGTGGTGCCTGGACCGGCCCGAGTGTTGCCAACACCGCGTTGTTCGCGTGTCCAAGAGCCTCGAGTGGTCTGATCCCACCAAGAGTCAGCGCGGAAGGGGCCGCGACTGGCCAGAAGCCGGCTGTCGGGGCCGCTATAAGTTGAGCAAGCGGTGCCCAGATCGCAGCAAGCAGATTTTCACGGTTTACGATCGACGCTTTCCTATCCACCGATTCCGAAGGTCTTGACATAACTGGTTTTTGGTTCCTACCATACTATTATCCTCCATCTTCGCATTCGTTTCATCATTGGACGTAGCCCTGTACCCCTATTCCGATACATATCCTAAATTGAATCATAAACTTCCGCCCACCATGTGCATCGTATTAATGACCACGGCGCATCCCGATTATGCCCTTGTGGCAATCGACAACCGGGATGAGTACATCCTCCGTCCAACCAGCCGACCGCATTGGTGGACGGCCCGGCCCGAGGTCGAGTCCCGGGTCCCGAACGGAGGAACCACGAACGGCACCAACGGGAAGGGCAGCACCAATGGCAACGGTAGCACCAATGGATTAGGAAAGGGGAGCCCGGCTGGGGAAGTCGAAATTCTGTCTAGCCGGGACCTCCAAAGAGCGGCACGAGGAACATGGCTGGGCATCACCAAGGACGGGAACTTCGCCATCTTGACCAACTACCGCGAGGCGATCACTGACGTCGCGGCACACCCCGTATGTGGTGTCCGTAGCCGCGGGAGCATGGTGACGGCCTGGCTCAGGGCAGACCCGGCCGAGACGACCGAGCACTTTGTTCACCGGATGCTGGCCGGCAACGGCGTGAAGGGCGTCGGCGGTTTCTCCCTGATATGCGGCAAACTGCGCAAGGCACAAGAAGAGAAGAACATCGACCCCCTGTCCATCATATCAAACCGCTGCGATCACGCCGGACAGGTTCCTTGGATCTGCGGCCAGCGGGGGTCTGTTTATGGGCTCAGCAATGCCATCTATGTCGATCAAAACGGCGGATTTGACGAGGAAGAGAGCAGCTTGTGGCCCAAAGTCCAAAAGGGCAAGACCTTGCTTAGCCAAACTGTGGCCGACGCCGTTGCATCTTCGTGCAGCGAGACAGAGTTCATCGCCTCCTTGTTTAAAGTCCTGGACACCGATGACTTTCCGCTGGACCACAGCACCGACGTCGAACAGGCCGTTCGATCCCTTAGGAACTCAATTTTTATCCCACCCCTGGGTGGTAAGGAGCGCCAGCAAGAAATGGAAAAGGCCCGACAGCATGGTCGCGACAATCACAATCACCCACCCAGCGCAGAAACCACAGAAGCCGTGGCCCGGCCGGATGAGGTGAACGGGTTCGAGTCCGGCCTTTACGGGACCCAGCGGCAGACCGTTATCCTAGTCGACTGGGATGGCAATGTCACGTTCATAGAACGTGCGCTGTGGGACAGCCATGGAAATGCGATCCCAAAGGGAGAGGGTGATGAAATCTTCAAGTTCAAGGTGGAGGGCTGGGAGGCTCGGGTAGAGTAAGGGCTGGGGTATATTTCATTGTTTCTGCCGATGGGAGTTTCTCAACGTTGGATTGGCACCTCTGGCTGGAGTTGGCGTTGGGTGTTGGGCATTGAGTCAGGTCCTGGTTGTGCATCGGCTCGGGAACCAATATCGTTATTCGGCATCTTTACAGACAGAGCATGCATAGGTGTTATTCCTTCAATGGACGTTCAAAGGACACAGAACACAAGGGCCATAGGTGAATCCTGGTGACCTACAATGCCTGAGGCAGGGCAATGCTTTCGTTCTTGCTTCCGTTCCTGCTTCCGTCTGTTATCGTATCCAGGCCGGGTGCGATTACTTGCCCACATAGCACTCCACGGGCCTTCCTTACTTTCGAAATCTTTCGCCTTCTGGCTTCCGACTTCCGGAATATTTGTGATTCACTTAACCCTTCTTTTTGTTACCCTTTTAATCATCACCGCCTCCCTTTGACACTCTGCGCCGACCTCACGGGAATCATTCCCGTAGTTGCGCCTACTTCGGCAGGTGCTATCAAGTACACTTGCCTTCACTGTGCTTCCCATAATAGCGAGAAGGAAGGTTGGTGTTCATTTCCCCTTGAAAGTCACGAACCTATGCTCCTTACTGTGCACACAACATTCTCTCCCTCGGTACCTCGAGTCTTTACCCGTGCTCCCAACTATACCCAAACAGCCCTACTATCAACACCCGTCGCCCCATCCTTTTAGTTACCCTTACCATTCAACACACCACCATAGAGTATTGTTCTGCTCGCTAACTTGCCATGAGTTCCGGATCGAATTCAAGTGTCAGGAGCTCCTTGGCCAGCTCCTGGGAAGATCTCGGCTCGATCAGTACGGATACCACCCCCGAAGACGAGTGTTATACCTCCGATAAAGCGTCCGGTTTGGCACAAAGGGCTAGATCGTGCTTGAAACAAGGAGCTTTTGTTGAGGATCCTGTTGGTGTTGTAGGGCCGGATGTGACTGTTGCTCAGGAGATAACACCATCCATTTCCCTGAGTCGTGCGTTTGAGCCCTGGACCTCGAGGACGTGGCTGTTGCTGATTTCAAGCAGGTCTCCTCACCCAGGAATGTGGTAATCTTTCAGATCATTGCAACGCGAAAGCCAAACTTGCGTCGAGGAATCTTGCGACACACAATCTCTTGAAAGTTCCCGTTGTCTTGGAAGAGCAATACTGCTCCTTGAACGAGGAATCCGAGGATTCTGACGACGCTGAATCTGTGGTGAGCCAGAGCGCCGCTCTCACCAACCCGCCGGAGGTAACCATTGATGGTTTTGGGAGTCTGCTCCTCCTGTTTGGCCAACTATCGTGGGGTTCTATCTGCGTGGTGGCGGCCATCACTGGGTCAACAATCAGAGTGCTGAAGTGCTCCCTTGTTTCCGACTGGGTCATTCTACTTCAAGTCCTCGAGGTTTGGTTGTCGTTTGTCTGGCATATCTACACCGCGCTGCTTCTCACTTGGTTTGTCATTGTCCTCAAGGTCTTGTCTGTTATCAGTTGGGCCTTCGGGTTTTTCCCCCACAGAAAATGGCCAACTCAGAAGAACAAGAAATCAGTCGGAGTCAGATCCCACGAGCGCCTGCGGCGCAAAGACATGGCTCTACCGGAACGTTCGACTTTGGCTGGACGCCAGTAATGGCCCGTGGCCGACCGAGCAACGGCTGCCCCCCAGTTTCGTACACCGGCCGCGGCTTTAACTCTTCGTCCTCCTCTGCCAACAATAGCAACAACAACAGCAGTGATAACGCGGGATATCTAGAGCCGAGGCCGGCGGATGCCATATCACACCCTAGTCTGAGAGTTGCCAAGTCCCGTACATTCAGCAGCATCCCAACCCTCGCGCCATCCTTTTCCGAGGGGCCATTCTATGGCCAAAGGAAAAGCTTCAGTGTGAGCAGGAAACCTCTACACGCCTCGGCCGGCCCCACTTACAACAACGTTGAGAGCTTCCCATGGACTTCTCAGCATCCTCGCAACCAACAGAGCCCGGACAGGCAGGATGGTCTAACACTTCCTGACCCTTCGACAACGTCTCCCCCTGACGCACCAATCGATCCCAAAGCAGTGTCAAAGGCAATGCCGGTACAATATTGGGCTGGCCGGTTCATGTCTCTTTACGACCATCTCTACAACGAACTGCTGGAACCCGATAACCTAGCTCGACTCTGTGAGACCCCGGCAGGCAGCTTGGCCCCTGATACTGGAAACAAAGCCTCCGCGGCAGCACAAAACAACCCTTCAATATCCGCGTACGGGGTTCCCCGCGCCATGCGGGCTGATTACCGTAACTCCGGCCATACTAGTGGTGTACCTCCACCTAGCCGTATCCCCCAATCTGCTACTAGCAACGCCATTTTGCAAAGCTCGGCCTACAATAGCAGGATGCCAGGCCTGGCGTCCCATTCCCAGATCGCCCACCCCACCTTTCAGAGTTTGACAAGCCGCCATCCCCTCCCGACCATGGACGAGAACACCATCCCAGAGCATGCCCCTGCTGGGCTCACCTCGGTCACAGACGAGGCCGTCACCACCATACCCTCCCAGGATAAGACAACCCATACGAATAAAGTTTCTTTGGGACAGGGTGGTGGTCTTCATGACAGTGATGACGTCCGGGTTCGACGCATATTTGCGCAGCTCAAGAAGACATGTGTGACCGACGAAGCCTTACTTTCATTTCACAAATGGCAGATATTGTATGCGCGAAAGACGGGCCGAACATTCGATTTCTTTACCGTTGTGGATACGAGCCCCAAGGGCGCTGCTGCAGGTGGTGCCGGCTCGGGGGCTCCTACACTAGGCGGTCAGGGCCAGCCATCCAACAACATGACAACGACGGCTGAGGATACCGGGAAACGCGGAGCTGTCCACGGGCGTGGGCATGAGTTTGGGAAACGGGGAAGGGAGATGGTTAAACGAATCAAGAGAAGTTTGATGGGCGGCAGCAGCACTGATGGCAGCACCGGTAACATCGACGTAGCTAGAGAGAGAAGGGTGAGCAAGGCAGATGGTGGAATGATTAAGGAACACGGTGAATCCGAGAAGGGTTACGCAGCCGATCTGGACAGTCCAACCGCTGATGACAAGGAGAAGGGAAGGAGGAACACGAAACGGTTCAACTTCTTCTGACGGGAGTTGCGTGGCCTAAGGGTATGTAGGGCGCTATTCAGCGTTGAGGATGGGTTGTTTTTGTCAGGCTAAGACGGCGGTGTTGGAGGTAGACGTTGTTAATAAGGTCTTGGGGTTTTACACAGTTGATACATACAACAGTGTTGGAGAGAAAAGTGTTTGTATTAGTTATAGTTGCAATTTGGACCCTTGTTTTGCGGCACGAAACATGGACGACAGAATACCTGAAGTGGTGATCGTTGTTAAAATAAACAAGAACGAGTAGTCGTCAAACCTCGTTTGCTTCCTTCGTAGGTGAAGGGCTCTGGCTGATTTACTTACGCCATTAACCCTATGGAAAAGCATTGCCGCACCCGATACCTCCTTCTGGGTTCCTATAATTATGAAATCTTCTTTTCAACGCCTGATAACTCCTATCCCATGCATGTGGCATACATCCGACCCGAGATGCCTTCAACGAAAGCAGCACTGATCCTCGTCCCCTCATTTCTCCTCCTTGGCTGCCCAAGCCCCCTTCCGGTTCCCCTTCACCATTCAGTCCGATGACCGCGTGTAGGCCATGAAAGCAAGCCCCATCAATTGTTAGTCCGCTCTCTTCCTAGTCTTAAGATATTCACGGAGCTGTTCTATCTTGCTCGCGTAAAACATACGTTTCTTGTCGTTCTTCCACACTAACACGCCAATCTCCTCAGCGTGTGCGCTCAGCGAAACATATTCCTCCAGCGAGTCAAAATCCTTGAATAGGAACCCCGCCGATGTCCGCATCCGCTCGTTCTCGAGCTGCCACAGCCGGATCTGGTCGACTACTGTGGGTGGGAGCACAGGGCGGCCTGCGGCGGCTGCGGCCCGCACCATTTGCTCGTGGGCGTGGGACGCGAGGTAGCTGATGATTTGGTCGGCTGTGATGCCGAAGTCGATGGCGCGGCGGATGGAGTCGCGCGTGAGGCGGCCGGTGGCCATTCCCGCGAAGCGCATGTTGAGTTGGGTGAAGAGGGCGAGCACGGCGAGTTGGAGGGGGGAGGAGGTGTAGGCGTAGAGGCGGTAATTGGTTTCGATGATGACGGTGCCTTTGGAGGCGGCCGAGGTGTCCGGGGTCGTGCCGATGCTGGAGGCGTCGTTGGGGTTGTTGGCGGTTGCGGCTGCGAAGCCTGAGGAGACGGAGCGGAGGGCGGAGGCGGAGCTGGTGAGGGTGGTTGCGAGGCGGGTGGGGAAGTATTGGCGAGTGTCTTCGCGGGGGATGTAGATGAGGCCGAAGTCGACGAGGGAGGGGAGCATGTTGCGGCGGGTTTCGGTGAGTGCGTCGGTGTCGTAGGCGCGGCCGAGTTCGAGGGAGGCGAGCATGAAGAGGAAGGAGAGCATGTCGATGCTGTCGTTTTTGTTGTTGGCGCCTTTGGCACCGCCGCCGCCGTCGGCTTTGGCGGGGTCTGCGGCTTCGAGCCAGAGGAGGAGGAGTGTCCAGACTTGGGCGTTGGCTTCTTGGAGTAAGAAGGTGAAGCCGGCTTGTGTGATGCCTACGCCGGAGTGGGTGTCGTGTCGGCGCTCGACTAGTCGGCCGATGGACAGGAGGTTCTTGACGCTGGTTTTGGGACCAGCACCTCCGCCACTACCACCTCCACTCCCTGGAACTGCGGGCACGCTGCTGACGACGTAGTGCAAAATATCCTCCCACTTCTTCCGTGCATAATTGTCGAGGTAGGCAACGTCAATCCGGGGGTCGACGGGCAGGGTGCTGGGCACGCCGAAACTATTGTGTGAACCTCCCCCTTCGAGGGCCAGGCGTAAGCTGTTTTTGAAGTTTGTCGTGAGCTGCATATCCTGCGGCCGATCTTTACCGGAAGGTGTTATCTGAACTATGTATAACGACCTCAGAATGCTCAGAGCGCGGTCGCGGTGCATCTTCGCCTCGTTACGGACCCAGACATCGAGCTCGGAGAGTGGTAGCGGCGAGGGCATGTAGAGCAGTGCTTGCACGAACACTTTCGCCAGCGGCGGCAACATACGCCGGAAGATGGCGAATGCGGTCGAGGGCTCCTGGTACAGCTTTCGAAGTGTCGTACCCGGCAGCTTCTCCAGGTACTCCGAGAGCTGGTATGATGGCTGGCCGGTCGACATTTTGACCCGTGTTTATGACCTGTTTCTTTTCCTCCTCTTTTTTATCCTTTTTCTTCTTCTTCGCGCCTTGCTCTCGTGCGTCGCGATGCGGGCGAAAACCGGAAAGATGGTTCGTTTTATCGCATTATCGATGCTAATAAAGACCGCGCTGCCAAATGTTGTAGTGTAGCAGCGCGATAGACTGGCAGTTATCGGACTGATCGAAGGAGTGGTGAGGTGAGTGAGGATAAAGTCAAGACCTTCAACTTCCATTCAGCCTCGCTGAAGCCTGGAACAGAAGCCTTGTCGTCCTGCACAGAGCGCCAAGATCGGATGTTCCAGAGGCTTGACAGACCTTGGGCCCCTGCATGGGGGATTCCAGGGACAAGGGCACAGCGGCATGAATGGGGGTTACAGTGGGGCCGGATATTGAACTCCTCGGCTTTCCATGTCTTGGGGAAGTCAACTCTTAACTATTCCTTTGAGGGCATATTAGTTCTTGCGTTCTTGTTACTTGTTACAGAAGTCCGAGAAATATGGCAACCAAATTAGGTCCGAAGCTCAAACCGCACCAGTTTGTCCGGACTGTAAGTTTAACCTAGACTTTCTGAAATTACTTTACTTCTAACTGCCCTGTCTGTAGGTCCTGAAGTCCTTCATGCTTGAGTCGGGACTTGAGCCACGGTAAAGCAATGCCCCTTTTTGATCTTACCGGCGCAGCAGCTAGGCTCATGTTCCTGAACCATCCTCCTTAGCTTATTTCAGAACACTGTCTGTCACTCCGCTTGAACCCGATGTATAAACCCAGATTCCTGACCATGCCCGCTTAGCTCCGGGTTACCAAAGCGCAAGAAGGCGTCGTTGACTTTGAGTTAAAAATTGAGAAAGACCACACCGTATGTGTAATATAGATCTTGGCAACTAAAGAATAAACTGTTAACCGCTTCCTTAGAACCGGCTCAAGATCATCCACGGTGGTACTATCGCTAGTCTTGTTGACCTCGGCGGCTCCCTAGCAGTGGCTTCCCAGGGATATTATGCTACCGGTGTAACCACAGATCTCAATGGTTAGTCACCAAGGCATAATGCTAAACCTTGGAAGTGGTGAAGTTAACAAACTTTTTAAATAGTCACCTACATTAGCAGCGGGGGCAAGGTGGGGGACACACTGACGGGGACAGCGGTCTGTGACAGGAGTAAGTAAACTTCTGGACCTCACCCTCACTTCTGGGGGTAAATAGACTGACTATTGTGATCGTAGTGGGGAAGACACTCGCCTACACCACAGTGATGTTCTGGGACAAGCAGATGAACCTGGTTGCCAGGGGTAGCCATACTAAGTCAGTCCTTTCAACCTCCTTTTGCTAATATGTTGACATGTCTAATTTGACTCTTCTGTAGATTTGTCGCACAAGCCGTTGCTTCAAGCACACCTTTCACTGTCCCTGAAGGAGCACCAGTGGCGGATGGCGAAGAATAGAATTGAGCACAGCAGCATGCTGCCTCACAGTCAGCGTTAGCAGCCACCGTGGTTTCACCAATTTCCATTGAGTAGCACATTGAGACATTTTAGTTCGTGGCACGAAAGCGAGATGTTTTGTGCTAGACTCATCCCTTTGTCCGCGAACCTCTCACTTGTCTTCCTCTCTGAGAGGGCGTATCTACAGCACCCATGTTCCCGTCACCCAGGCCTGCTAGTGGGGACACTCCCTCAACCTAGTTGCTTGTTTGGTAGTCGCAACTCAAGGTGACGCCATCGTTGGTGCAGTGGATGGGCTTGCGCTCAGTTCCCTCCTCCTCCACTTCTAACAGCTTGAGCCCTTCCATGCCGCCCGCGATACCGCCTTCCACTTCGGATATGGTACTTGTGAACTTGATGTTGCCAAAATCCACTAACGGAAGCCGATCTGTGTTCCAAAAGTCCTCGACAATGAACTCGGTTGTGAACCCGCAAAGCAGCACGTGTGTGTTGTTCGTTTCCATCCTACTCTCCCCCCCGGTCCTATAGTTCGAAACCGTGAAGAAATACCTCGACATATCCCTTGGACTTGTGCCAACGGACAACCGGACAGTATCGCCTGCGGTAATGATGGTGTCACGAAGATACATGTGGTTGCCAGGGTACCACTGGAACCTATCGCCCCAACCCCGTGTTAAACAATCCCAGTTGAACTAACCAAATTCAAAATGGAGGAGAGGAATTCTTGCACCCACCAAGGGATGTAAGTCGCCACGCCATTCTTGAGGTACATATCAACGCCAGTCTGCAGCATGTCTGAGGGGCAGTAATCTGTGCCATCAATACCCACCCACGCTGAGAGGCCGTATAAGGTGCTGGGGTCACCACCCTCCGGCAGGCGGAGTTCCGGAATGGTCATATCGACATGAACGGAATAAAACGCTACATTCGTGGCAACACCACCGGACCAGTTCTGAGTCCCATGGACTGCGGCGGGGCCCCGAGAAGTCCGCTCTGTCACTCCATTCTCGACGAGGTCGAGGATCCGGGAGCGGTTAGTGGTTTTGGAGGGCTCGGCGGCAAGAGCAAAGGTCGTGATCGGGTTGAGGAGAGTAGCGAATGAGATTGAAAGCAACTTCATCTTGGAGTCGTTGGAACGAAGCTTTGAAGAGGGTTCTTGTTCGCGAACTCGCAATGGAGGTTGAGGTGGAAGTCAAGACCAACTCAAGAGGATGATGGAGTGGAGAGAAAAGGAGAGAAATTTGGGTTTGGGATGCATTTCGAAAAATCGTGCCAAATTTTATCTGGAATATCTAAGTGAGTGGAAAAGGAAGGCACGGCAGATGCTGCTAACATATGGGACGGGACGAACACACTATGCTGTTGTTCAAAGGACCGATTTCCCCTTTGAGAAACTTGAGCATGTCATTCCGCCGAACTTCTAGGAGAGAGATCATAACAAGATGTCCACAACCAGACCAGCAGGACAAAACAGAGACAGAAAAGCTTTGGCGAGCGAAAAGAAGAAATTTGGAATGTGTAAGTAAGTCAAGCAAAATGGCAAAAGATGGATGCACCCGGGATTGAACCGGGGACCTTTCACAAGGCGCATTGGAAAGTCAAATGCGAAGCGAAAATCATACCACTAGACCATGCACCCTAGCCAATGATGTTACGCACATTCTAACTTAGTGCTGATATAGGGAGCATGGTGAGGCCGAATATCCATTCCTTGACCACGGCCTGCCAAATTTAAATCCATCATCACGATTCCCTGGTTTCCTAGTCTCAGCTAAAAGTGTCATCATGGTGTTTTGAATTCAGTTTGCTTATTCGTAGTTGGACATCCGTTCCGTCCCTTCCCAATGCAGCCGGCATGGACGCCGTTCAGGCACGTGCTAGGAAAATTGGGTTGGGGGCCTAAAAATTCCACTGTTCTTTTTTCGGTATTGCCAGAGCAACCCTTGGCTAAATTAGTTCGTCCCAACCAGGCAAGGTGTCGAAAATGCAGTCAACGTCTTCAGGCGCGACTAGTGTATGTACATAGTAGTCCTTTGGATGACAAAACTAACGTACTGTAACTACACTACATGCACTAGCAAGTCAATAATGGAGGATGGAGGAAGACAGGTGCCTCGATGATGGCGGCTCAATTCTCCTTTCCATCGTGGCTGAGCGAGACCGTGGCGGTGGTTTGCGCTGCAGGACGAGGCTCTTGGCGATGCACAGCCCTGGGAGATCCTTGCAGCCCGTCACACAAGCTGAAGCTGGCCCCCCGGTCCTCTTCGAGATTTGGGTATAGCGGCGTGACATTCTGCCGGTCTTACCCACGTTTGGCGACGACGATGTCTCCGCGTCGGCTCTAGTTCAATGGCAGCGCAGGGCTGTTCTAGCCACAGCCATGAAGAAACGGTCTTGGGGCACCATTGGGCAGGCGTCTCTTTTACCACGCGGCGTCCCACCACACATCGTTTGTCCCTGTCGTGTCGCTTCGTGCTCGTAGCTTCAACTTCCCCCATTTCCCTTCTGACATCTCGCCAAGGAAACCTTCTCCAGAAGATTTTGTTGTTTGACCGGCTCCAACCTTGAACTTCGCGCCTGGACACCCTCGGCGCAACAGGGCTGGAATTGAGCGACCATGTCTTCGACGACAGACATCGGAGGCCTTACTATCGGCTACACGGCCATAGCGGCGATATGGATCACGCCGTTATCCATTCTCTGGTTCATTACCTTTTGTCTTGTCCGGAGGAAGCATGACCCCGCTCGGGTCGGCATCATTTGGTTGAAAGTGCTGTATCCCATCTGGATTTTGTAAGGCGTTTCCTCTCTGTGTGCTTTGTTTTGTTGGCTGGGGATGAATGACTAACCAAACACGTTGCGCATACACGTAGAGCACTCCTCTTTTACCTTGTGACTGGTGGCTTGTCGCTATGGAGCTGGTACGGCGACAGCTACTATTACAGCTCGAGCAGTGAAAGGGCCATCAACGAGGCCTCGAACTACATTGGCACTACTGGCTACTTTTTCAACAACATAGCCAACATCTTGCTCCCCATTACTTTTGTCGAGCTCATCGGTGGCTTCTTCTTATGTTGGAAGGGGCCCGCTGAACCCAACCCGATCAAGAAGTTCAGTCGCCTTGCCATCCTGGCCTGGTCTGGGTTGTTGCTCGCCCTTACCATTGCCCTGTTTGGCGTCCAATTGTCGTTCAACGTCAAGTACACGCACGTGAGCTCGTCAAGCTTCAGCAGCTTCTACAGCGAGGAGACGAAGTTGGTTCAATTAGATGGCGCCGTCACCATCCTCTTTTGGCTCACCACGCTCCCGCTGGTTGGGCTTGCTGCATTCCTCGTCCATAAGATGAAGAACCTTCCCTTCCTCCGTGGGGTACGTCTTCCTTGCACCTACCTCCCCGTGATGTGGCCCGTCTCGCACTGATGACGATGATGCTAACAAGCAATGACATAGGGTTCCTTCCTCGTCCTCGCCTGCACCATCCTCAACTTTATCCGACACACGATTGTCATGGCCGTCTTCGTGCACGGGACCCTCGGGAATATTCCGCTCGCTGTCAGAATTGGATCTCTCAACTCGCGGGCCGTCTCCTTGGTTGTCGACCCTTTCTTCAACGACATGCTCATGTTCGTAATCCTGGTCATTCTCTTCGCCCTCGGTCTCCGCAAGCGCAAGGGACTCTGGCTGCAGCCGCCGCAAGAGTTTGCCTACCCGGCCGTCGCCTATGTTCCCGCGACTCTGTACGCACCGGGCCAAGTCCCGCCGGGTCAGCAGCAGCCGTACCCGGCACAGTACCAGCAACAGCCTCCTCAGATGCAGCAGCAGCAGAACCTCCCAGCGTATCTGCAGGTCGCCCAGCAGCAGCAACAGCAGCAACAGCAGCAACAGCAGCATCCCCAACAACAACAATACCAGCAGCCCCAACAACCTCAGCAGGGCTCCGCTCCTCAAGACCAACACTACTACCCGCCCCAGGGTCAGGAACACCAGCAGCCGCAGCAGCAGCCGCAGCAGCAGCAGGTACCTGAACTCCAGCAGCATGCCCCGGAGCAGCAGCAGCCGCCGGTTACCAGCGCGTAATTTGGTTACCGAAACAAAAACAGAAAACACGAAAAAAAAGCAGCGTTATTGGGGACGATGGTTATGGGACGAAGCGTTATATTCAGCATCTCAGCGCAGACTGTTTGTTTAAGGGGCATGTCGGATGATTTGAGGACGGATATGGCATAGTCTATCAACGAATGCGTAATGGTGTGCTTGGAATTGGATCGGGCTGTTTTGGTTGGGAATCAACGGGTTTAGGGAAGCGTTGTTTTCGTGCTGTTCTCAAGATACCAATGAATCTACTGTTTTACATCATGTTGTCTATAACTAACTTGTCAGTCGAACACGTTCCCAATCCGGTTTTATCTTGCGTGGCAAACTGCAACATTTCAACCCACTGTGTGTAAGACGCACACAGTCTTGCTGCACCTCCCAGAGCCGCAATGTTATCACTTGCATGCCAAGATGGTTTGTCCGCTGCAGATGTAACCGCTGGGGTGTCGAGGGTCCCCAGCCGATTGGATACCTGTGCCCGAGAGGAAAAAGCAAGGAAATGCTTCGAGCTCGAAGGAGCAGGTGACTTTGAGTTTGCTTTCCTCAACTACACGTTATATTTCGAGCGAAGCTCTCCTACTACTATCCCCCATTCATATCCAACCACCAGATCCCATGTCCAGCTGCAGCGAACTTCTCAACAAACACATTACAAACCACCCACACCCCCAACTCACGGCTTCCACCGAAAAGCAGGATGTTTCCAATCCAACCCCTCCACCTCTTCCCTCGACAACCCCTCCAACCCCGCAACTCCCGTTTGCCCCCCTTCAGGATTGCCAGTGCTGCTCTCCGGTACCCCAGCCTTGTCACGCCTCGCATTGTCCCAGGGCATCCACACCAGCGTGGCAACGGAGAGAAGCAGCACAGCGCAGCAGGCGGCTAGGTTGAGGCCGTTGCCGATGTGGTAGTTGGGTTCGTCCCAGGGGAGATAACTCCAGGTTGCGATGAGGCCACCGATGTTGCCCAACATGACTACGGAAGTGGTAGAGGAGTTAGTCTTGGAGGGTTCGAACGAAAAGGGATGGTAAAAGGGGGGACATGGGATTTTGTTATGTGTAACTCACCATTCAACCCAATGGCACTCGTCCTCGCAGTATCCGAAACCACATTCGCGCTCACCTGCGCATTCGACAACGGCCCCACAGCAAACAACGAGCTCGTCAACAGAAAAGTCGCGCCATACCTCGCCGACGCATCCGTCGTGCCCAAAAACATACTATACCCCACAATCACCAACGGCGCAGTCAACACAATCACAATCTGCCTTTTATCCAACTTCCAGCTAATCAGCGGCAGCACAACAGTGAAGAACGCCCCGACGACGTAAGGCGGCACGGTGTACAGTTGTTGCATGACGGTGGATTTGTCCGGGTAGATGGTGCGGACGATGGTCGGGGCGAAGAAGGCGAGCCCTTGGACGGTGATGTTGTTGAGAAGGAAGAGGAGGGAGGTAGACATGGTGACGGGGCTGGTGATGCCGCGGATGAGTTTGGTGGTGTCCATACGGTCGAGGACGGCCGTGGTGGTGATGCGCTCGGAGGCGATGCGGGCTGTGGCGAGTTCTTTTTCGGCTGGGGAGAGCCAGCGGGCTGTGGCAGGGCGGTCGGTCAGGGTGAGAAAGCTGGGGGGTGGTTAGCAATGTGGACGGTACGCGTGGGGGTTACGACGGGGGGGGAAAGAACTGAGTAAAAAGGGGGTATTGACGAACCCGATGACGGATAGACCAATGGTGATAATACCCTCCACGACAAAAATCATCCTCCACCCGGTCACACCGCCCACATGATCGAGACTCAAGATCCCCGAGGCCAACAGCCCACCAAACGCACCCGCCAGAGGCGCCATCACGATATACAACGACAGCCGGAACGTCAATTCGGCCCTACGATACCAACGCGACATGTAATACGCGATCCCCGGCAACATGCCCGCCTCGAACACCCCCAGCAGAAACCGAACACCAGCCGCCTGCGAGAAATTGTGCACAAACGCTGTCGCGAGCGAGATGATGCCGAAGGCGAGCGAGATGGCGGGGATGTACCAGCCTGGGCCAATCCACTTGCACATGATGTTGGACGGGATCTCAAACACGATGTAGGAGATGTAGAAGATGGAGAGGAGGGCATTGTAGTCGTAGCCCTGGAGGCCGAGCTCCTTTTCGAGGCCGGCGATTTTGGCATTTCCTAAGGGGTTGATGGTCAGGACAGACAGATACAAGGGCGGTGAGATGGGGGCCAAGAGAAGTCGGGAGTGAGATCTCTTTCTTACCGATGTTGGCGCGGTCGATGAAGCAAAAGAGATAGAGCAGCGCGACAGTCGGAACGATGTACAAATCTATCTTCCGGCAGAGCCTGGCCTCAGCCTTGGCGTCAAATTGAAAAGGAGCCTCGTTGTTATCTGCCGGGTCGCGTGTCGCCCCGGTCTCCGCGACGACGGAGTTCGGGTTAGCCGGGGACTCGCCGTGATGGACTCCCGGCTTTGACGAGGAGCCCGGAGACGGGGTTCTCTTTTCGTTATCGTCGGCCATGACTGTCGCGGTCACCGGGGAAATCAAGATAACCCAACACCTCTGGCGAAGCCTGGCAAATCACAAAAATTAGTGGTGAGAGAGGAGGAAGGGTGAGACATTCACGACATTTCCCCCGTCAGCCAAGGATGGGGGCCGGCGATGCACCCTTATAAAAAATCTCCTAATCTCCATACAACTGCCACGACACCTTGCTGATGCCCTTAAACCCGACCTCCTCTCCCGGTCTCGTCCCCTCCATTAAAACGCCATCAGGAAGACCCCTGCTGCATCTCTCGTTCCCCCATGGGGAATCATTCGCTTCTCAGTTGGTCCAAAGTTCCAGGGTCGCGGCCAAGAAGCGAGACCAACGGTCCGTGGATCGGGTGCCTCGGGTGTGCCCCCCGGCAATCAACTTCGGCAAGGCCAAGCGCTGCTGCATGCGCGCGCAAGGGTCCGTTGGTGGGGGAAAGTTGGAGAAGGGGATGGCTTTGGGGAAACCTGGAGCTTGCCCTGACGAGCCCGAATCTCTGGGGAAGATCTCCCGTCAAACTCCATCATGCTCGAAGAAGCCCCCCACTCCGGGGAAGAGCGATGAAATTGCTGCTTTGTGATTAGCGCTTGAAGTAGTTTTATGTGGGGAGAGGGAGTTGCCGTTTGCGGACGAATACAGCCTTAATAGACACTAAGTGACTTTGTGGGCCGGCTATAGGACACGGAAGTCGGCGGTGGTATAAAGTTACTCCTGGCTATTGCTGAGGTGGGACAGCTGGAGGTCAACAAGACCCAGCTCTATCCTTTTGTTCACTCTTAAGCCCTGATCAGGCACCTCGTGGCGTTGGCCGACCGCCTGCCTGAGTCGCAAGGTCCACCTTTGATGACTTTGTTGCACCACCGAGAGTAGAATGTTTGAAGAATGTTCCATCACAAAAAAGGGATTGAAGAAGGACAATTGCATCCCTCATAGCTTGTAAATTTTGGTGCTTCCCAACGAGTGCGAGAGTAACCTTCTGGCCATGGTTACGATGAAGTTGAATTTAGTATAATGTCAAGGAAACAGATAAATGAATAGCCTGCTTTCATCGGCGACTTGAGTCGGCTACCAACCGCAAAGTTGAAAGTGAGTGGTGCATTCTTTGTGGTTCAAGTTGTAAGCGAAGTCAAGGAAAGGAATTACACAGTTTGGGAGAAGGGCAGTCTGACCTCCATTTCAAAACTGCTCTTATTTGCTATGGTCAAAAACAGCGGCAGATGGACACCCTACTTTTCTACAAAAGTTAAAAAGACCGAAAAAAAAAAGAATCTAAAAAGTGAAAGAAGACGGAAAAGAAAGTGGATATTAGGCTTGTAGACAGCCATTCCGGTTATAATCGTCAAAATCCGTTAAAATTTGATCGAATGTGGACGGGTTGGACTCAAGCTATCTGTTTTGATGTGCCGCTTTTTTTTGGTGTCAGCGAGCTTTGTGAATGCCCCGCATTACGTCGTGATTGCGGGGGTTGAATCCTCGTGCCAACAGCGGGTCTTGCAGGCGTGATGCGCAGCGGATGGTGGGGCAAGAGCTCCCATCTCCACAACGCGAGGCTCCTCGTCATTCCGCCTGGGCAGCTGTCTACATGAACGACCGGGAGAGAAGCGTTCACCAAGAGCTGTTTGCGCCCAAACACCACATAGAGTAATCATCTAAAGCGCGAGCACCTGAAGTGCCCAACGCAACAGTGCGTAGGTCCCATTTATCAAACACCACCCGCTTAGTGGTCATCTCCCAAGCCCATTGTGGAGCTCTCCGCCTTTCAGGCCCCTGCTTGGGCGTCCGTCAGCTGGCCTGCCCCCGTGCCGCGAGCCCTGCCATCTGCTTTCGTCACTCCATACCTCATACAGTAGAACTGCTCTTGATGACTTTCCGCCACTTCCTCCTTTCCTCTCTTTCACTTCGCCAAAACATCCTACAAACGGGCAAAAACACGCCGATATCCTCACCAGAGAACCCGCGCCTTGTCGCGGTGCCGCCGTCATGTTCGACATCTTTGCGAAGCTCCTCTCGTGCGTGGATAATTGCGACCTGGGCTCCGTTTGCACTGTCATATACAAGGCTAACCACCGCCCGTGTTGAACAGCTCCGTCGCGTCCTTCCTCTTCCCACTGTTCGCCAGTTACAAGGCCCTGAAGACCTCAGATCCTGCGCAATTGACACCATGGCTCATGTACTGGGTTGTCTTGGCCTGCGCGCTCCTCGTTGAGTCCTGGACCGACTGGATTCTTGTTTGGTGTGTTCTGGGCAAACACCGCGTGTACTCTGATTTCCCCACTAACGTTAACCTGTTAGGATACCCTTTTACGCCTACATCAGGCTCCTTTTCCTGGTGTACCTCGTTTCCCCCCAGACCCAAGGCGCCCGTGTCATCTACGAAGAATACGTACACCCGTACCTAGAAGAGAACGAGGCGGCCATCGAGGAGTTCATCGCCTCGTCCCACGAGCGTCTCCGCCGTGCGGGTATTGAATATCTCAACCATGCCATTGAGGTAATCAGAACCAGTGTGTTCGGTCTCCCACCGTCTCCCGAGCCCGCGGCCGCATCCGGGCCCCAGACCGCGGGGTCGTATACCCAAACGCTACTGTCAAAATTCACCCTTGCGACGCCGAAGTGGAATACCACCAAGCCACCGCCAGCTCCGGCCCCCACCACCGGCGGCTTGACCTCGGACTTCTTCAACCTGCTTTCCTCCGCCGTCAGCACCGCAGCGTCGTCCGCCACAGCTGCCTCCACATCCCGCGCTGCGCCGTCCGCCAGCGGCAGCAGCAGCAGCAGCATCATCCCCGAATCGATCCTCTCCGCCGGCACCGCCGCCCGCGTCTCCTTCATCCAAGCTCAGCGCGAGCGCCTTCGTTTCGTCCTGTCTGCGCTCGACCGCGAGGAGGAGGCTGCTACGCGCCAACATGAGGAATCGGCTCAGGCTCGCGGCATGCAGCACGACAAGCGGGATTCTCTCGGCGAAGCTAGCGTCGGGAGCGGTTTGAGCAAGAGCCGGTCCGAAGGGGATTTTGAGAAGTTGGACTTGCCCAGCGGCGGCGAGGATGAGGGGGATGGGGCTGCTGTGCGAAGACGGGGACAGGGACAAGGTGGGAGTTGGATGGGTTGGGCTTGGGGGTCTGGGTCTGGGCCCGGCGAGGAGGCTGGGAAGAGTTCGGGGTTGGAGAAGTAAAGTGGTACTTCTTCTTTCTCACACACTCTCTCTTATTGTCATTTATGTGACTGGTCTTGGTTTATGGATACATCACAACGGGGTTATGGGTCGGGATGAGAGCTTATTTGCTCTTCGGTTGGGACATGCATTGGGATAAGATCGGGATGGCGTTTTGGGTTGGGTTGGTTCCGGACCTTGTTTTTTTGATCAAATACAGGAGGATGGCCCTGGGTTAGACCTAGATAGGCACACGAAAACCCCTTTATCTCGTCGTTTCACTGTTGCCCAAACCTGCTTGTCGTTTCAATATGCTCTTCCGGGAGAGCGTAGTGGCATGAGATTTATGAACCATACAATAATGTACAAGTTGTCCATTCGTTGACAACTGACCAGCCTCACAACGCCTGTTTCGTTTTCATAACACTGACATCCAGGCCTGGCTCTATCATCCCCCCCATCTTCTCCAGAGCATTTATCCACAAACACCCCCTCTATCCCTTTTTAACCCACCCCACCTAGGAACGCTTCCCCCTTGTATGCCCGCCATGTACTATCACATACACCCCCCAATTCAAATCTACGACCTCGTCGCGGCCCCCTTCGCAACAACATAAGGATACGCCGGATCACTATCCTTGCGCGTCCACACCTGCCGACGCTTCTTATTCACAATATGCTCGACCCAGATCTCGTGGCAATGCGCCTTCTTGAATGTCCGGATGAAGCGTGGGTCCCACAGCTCGGACGCGATACCCAGGTCCTTGCAGCAGCGCAGCAGCGCGTTGGATTTGCACCCTTCGCCGGCGGTGGGGATGGTTTCTTCCGAGAAGTATTGGCATTCGCCGCGGGCTTGGGCGATAAATCTGGGTTGAGTGAAGTCTTGGTTAGCGTCTTGTAGGTAGAGAACGGGTGAATGTTGTGTAGGATGAGGGGGGAAGAGGCAAAACTTACCGGCCATGCACAACCAAAGCATACTCCCTCGTAACCACCTTCTCCCCCACCACCAGTTCCCCCCTAGGCGCCAACCCCCACCCGCCCGGTCCAAACGCCCGGTTCAAAATCCGCCGGTACTTGATCTCGGGAAGATAAATAATCCCATCCGGCTTGATCTCAATATCAATCGCATCCAGCGGCTGCATCAGAACTGCCGCCGTCTCGGGGCTGAAGGCTGTTGTCGAGAGACCGTGGAAGGAGGACGACCAGTCGATTGCGGATTGCTCGGGGCCGTCGCCGTTGCTGCCGCCGCGGGTGAGCGCTGCGGTGAAGGCTGCTGAGGGGTTGCCGTTGGTGTAGCCGTTTGCGCCGTTGGCGCCGGGCATGGGGATTTGGGCGGCTAGTTGCGGGTCGACGTCGTCGATGGTGGCGGCTTGGGGGATGGCAGCTTGCGGGTCGAGGGTTGGGGTGGGGCCTGAGGAGGAGGATGGTGATGGTTCTGGTGTTGGTGTTGATGCGGGTGCTGCGGCGCGGGTTGTGGAGGTAGCTGGCTTCGCGGTCGGTGTGGCGGTACGGGCGCGGTAGGTCGATGTTGTTGACGTGGTGGGTGCTGCTCGCGGTCTGGGGGTGTAGGACGACGATGAAGCTGCGCGGGCGGCGTGTTGGTGGAAGGGCGATTGTCGTGTCGCTGCTTGGAGGTGGTACGGCGATGGGATTATACTGGGAGCTCCTGCCCGCACGGGGCGGACCGCTTGGAGGGCCTGGGACCGCATCTTTGTTGGTGTTGGTTATGTGTTGTGGGATGATGGACGAAGGTATGGTTTTGGTGGCGGGTCTTGAAATTCTCCAGACTTCAAGGTTGCGGAGCAGGCCAGTTGGTCTTGGCGACAGGGGTTGGCTCGGTGCTGCACCATGCACGCATTTCCATACCCGTAACATGTGATGGTAATTTTAGCCCAGATCTTCAACATATGATAGCATCACCGCTTCTTATTCTTTATAGAGATCTCAAATGCCATCCTCATATCTTACAGTAGCCCCTATCCCTTGTAGAATGGTTAAGCATCCTTTGAACTCGTTCTTTTGTCGTTGCCCTGGACCTTCCAGCATTGCCTAAACTTTTCCATCTGCCGTCGAGTAGTGTTGTTAGCCATGTCATTAAAATCAGATACTTCTTTCTGTATTAATATTTGGAAGAAACGGGATTTAATTAACCTCATCTTTGCAAGCCCTCCAGTCCTTCTTCTCGTAGTAACAATCCGTCATCTTCGCGTTTTCCTCTGTATTTGCGATGATTAGCAAGGGGTGTGGTTGGTGGGGATTCTTGTGTAATAAACCGTATCCCGTAACCCCTCCCCCGAGTGAAGATGAACCTGGTGAGGATGGAAAGATTGAAATGGGCAGCTAATTCCCACTAGAACTTATGCTTCCACTTACCTGCACACCCAGTACTGAATATCCTCTTGTCCCTGCAACATTGTGGCGTTTGTCAGAAGCAAGGTCCCTTCAGTTCGGGGGTAAAGTACGAAGCCGAGCTCGGTAACAATCGGCCCCAGAGTTCTCCTGCAAGACTCATCAACTCAACAACTCACCACTCATCCGGCTCATCGTCGTCTTGCACAGCAGCGGGTACCGGCTGCTTTACCTCTGTTTTAGGTGGAGGAACCTCTGTTGATGGCTTTGACCCCATTGAGTTTAGTAACTTTCAGGGCTTGTTGAGGGATTTTGTTTCGAGGTGTCAGTTTAAGGGCCCGGTAGTTGTTGAGTCGGAGTTCCCATTTCAACAACCGTTTCTCCGTTTATTTTCCCGCATCCGGATTCTCACTTTAACTCAACCACTTTACCCACCACCATAACAACTCATACCACCATCTTGCTTGCATTACCTAATTGGGGAACTACGATGGCTTCCCAAAAGCTCAATGTCCTCGTGTACACAGGTAAATAAACCTCCTCAAAACTTCTCATTTAGGCACTTGAGCACTTGATGTTAACCTCTCTTCAGGCACCGGCTCAACCCTCGGATCCGTCCGCCACTGCATCTACACCCTCCGCCGCCTCCTCGGTCCCAACTACGCCGTCACCCCCCTCACCGAATCCGCCCTCCTCAAAGAACCCTGGGCGCCCACCTGCGCCCTCCTCGTCTTTCCCGGCGGCGCCGACCTAGGCTACTGCCGCGTACTCAATGGCGAAGGGAACCGTAGCATCGCGCAGTATGTCCGGCGCGGGGGTGCGTATTTGGGGTTTTGCGCGGGGGGGTATTATGGGTGTAAACGCTGCGAGTTTGAGGTGGGGGATAAGGAGGGGTTGGAGGTTGTGGGGAGTCGGGAACTGGGGTTTTTTCCGGGGACGTGTAGGGGGGGTGCGTTTAGGGGGTTTCGGTATCATAGTGAGGATGGGGCTAGGGCGGCGGGGGTGGAGGTGGTGAAGGGGGCGTTTGCTGAGGGGGAGGAGTTGCCGGATGGGTTTAGGTGTTATTATAATGGTGGTGGGGTGTTTGTGGACGCTGATAAGCTTGCGGACTCGTCGAGCAAAGTGGAGGTGTTGGCGACGTATACGGAGGAGATCGCGGTAGAGGCCGGGGAGACGAAGGCGGCGATGGTGTACTGCAAGGTTGGGGAAGGGGCCGTTATTCTTACGGGTCCGCATCCAGAGTGGGTTGTATGGTGTCCCTCCTCCTTCATTGACTCTTGACTGACTGCTGTTGTAGGTTCGATGCGGTCAATCTCAGCCCCCAGGCGGATGTACCCGGTTATGATGATGTTATCGAAGTCCTCAAAGCATACGAAGGGGCAAGAACCTCATTCTTGAAGGCCTGTCTCAACAAGTTGGGCCTTGAAGTCAGCCAGGAAGCGTCATTGGTGCCGAGCCTATCGAAGATCCATCTTTCTGCACTCAAACCAAGCAACGTTTCCGAGACACTCTGCTCCTTTGACGAGATTATCACTAAGGAGGACGGCGAAGAGTACATCAAGGGAGACAACGACCTATTTCATCTGGAGAAGCCCGATTCGAGATGGTCGATGGCATCGCTGAGTCAAGCGCTGCTCAGCGAGTTTGACAGTCCCAAGAAAAAGACCGGGCGAACCTCGCCGGATCCCACCGCCGACTACAGTCATGTCCCCAAGCGCATTGTTTCTCACGAAAACGCATGGCCGGACCCCAAAGAAACCCCCTACTTCAACCACTCCGTGTTTTACTCGGCTCTTCAAGAGTTCAGGGGAAAAGAAACGGACGCAGAAACATGGGGAGATGTATTCATGTATGGTGAGGTGGTCACCAGCACCAATACGTTGCTCGAGAAGTGAGTGTCCTCTCCCGTTCGTTCTCGACACAAACGGCCTTTAACCCTCCTAGAAACCACAACCTCCTATCAACGCTACCCACGGGATTCACATTAGCGGCTACAACTCAAGTAGCCGGCCGTGGCCGAGGTGCCAACGTCTGGGTTGCGCCGCCAGGGTCCCTCATCATGTCAACCGTGATCAACCACCCCGCCCACCTCGCGACCTCGCGGCCGATCGTCTTCCTCCAATACCTCGCGGCCATCGCCATCGTCGAGGCTGTCAAGTCCTACGACGACGGTTACGCCGACCTCCCCATCCGAATCAAGTGGCCCAACGACGTGTACGTGCGCGACCCACGCAAACCATCCACCGAAGTCGCCTACGTCAAAGTCGCCGGCATCCTCGCCAACTGCGCTTACTCGGCTGGCAACTACCAAGTCGTCCTCGGCATCGGCATCAACACCAACAACGCCCGGCCGACCACCAGCCTCGACGCCCTCCTCCCTTTCCTCGACGACCAGAACAGCGGCAACTACAAAAAGCCCCAACCGTTCCGCATCGAACGCCTCATGGCGCGCATCCTCACCCGCCTCGAATCCCTCTACCACATTTTCTGCCGCGACGGTTTCTCACGCGAGCTGGAACGCACCTACTACCAGCACTGGCTGCACGGCAACCAGGTGGTCACGCTGGACACGGCTGGCGCAGACGGCGCGAAGGCACGAGTGGTGGGCATCACGCGCGACTGGGGCATGTTGATGGCGGAGGAGGTGGATGAGGGGGGGATTAACGGCGCGTTGAGGCCGACGGGAAAGAGGTGGGCGTTGCAGAGTGATGAGAATAGTTTTGATTTTTGGAGGGGGTTGGTGAAGAGGAAGATTTAGGCCGGTTGTTGCTTATTCGCCCCTGATGCTTGGGGCGATGCTTGGCAAAAAGGGGTAGCTGCATGACAGCATCGCGATCAGACCTCGAGTATCTCACGATAAGGGGCTGCACGTCCGACAAAAAACTCAGAGCAACCTCAAGCAAAGTGGTAAATAACCCCGGAAATGCCAGAACTAAGATCGACCGGATGCTTCTTGTCCCTAGATTCTAAATATAAACCCACGAGGGTAGGACCCTCCTACCAAATCATGGTAGCCCCTCGCGCGTGAGCAGATCGATTCAAACATCGCATAACACGCCATCAATCGCAGTATTCTCCATCGGGAATTACGTCAACTCAAGACGCGGGGTAAACCTCCGTCCCGGACTTCCAAGGTTAATTTTTCTGCTCCCCGACTTTGTTTTTTCCGGCACGCACAATCCTGGATAAGCCCCCCTCCCGCCCGCCGACCGTTTCATCTTCCCGCCCTCCCGCTTTCTATTCGAAGGGTGATACCCGGGATCCGGTCCCACCTTTCATGGCCGGTTGATCTGCCCTCAGGGTTCTCGAGGTGTGTGTGTGTGTGTGTGTGAACCGCTGACTGCGTGCTTGTGGGTTGGTTATGCGTGGCTGACAATACCGTTTCCCGCGTGGCTCGGGCGTTGAGTATATAACTAATTTGTAGATACCGGATTTCTCGTGGGGTTGTCATATGGAATCCTTGGCTATATCTCACGAATAAATCCTGTTGTTTCTTGGGGGTCTGTGTTACCCGTGCGATGGCGGAAGGGCGTTTGTGTGTTATGCCATTCAATATAACCGGGCCACATGCAGTCTGACACCACCGGCTGGTGTGCGAGCTTGTTTTCTCCATTCTATGCGGAGATTTGTTTCCTTGGGGGCTTGCCATACATTTTGTGTTTACGATGAACCGTTTGGAGGATGTTACTTGTGAGGGTTCTAGCACGTATTTTTCTAGGATTTGGGTTTGTTACAGGGAGCGATGGTCAACAAGAGGGACGGGAAACAGCGCGGTTCCCGACTTTGGGGTCTTCTAAGATAGAGAGTAATGGATCGAGGAGCATTGCTTGCGTTACATTGGGGAAGCGTGGTTGGAGAGATAGAAGGAATGTGTCATCGGGCCAGCAAGATGAAGCCAACACAACGCTGTAAGTCATGACCTTGGGAAATCGTGTGCAGCATCAGATACTAACATGGAAAGATAGTCAAGAGACCGTCACTGGCCTGGTCCCGGCGGCCACAGAGGTGAAAGGTATCACTATCACGTCCACAATCACGGCTTTCACAGACACCCCCGAGATCAGGACTGTGACTTTTACAAAAACCGAGGTCATCACCGTCATCGACCCCATCCAACAAACCCAGACAACTACCTCCACAGTAACCTCTTTTGGCGATAGAAAACTGGCTCGACAGGAAGCCACTAGCTCTGGGACAACGATTGTACCTTCGACGGCTCAAGTCACTCCCGATGCAACGGTCATAACTACTATCACCACCACCGTCCTAGGCCGAAGTACGGAGACCACGACTGTTACGATCACAGTCTTCTCAACTACATCTATCGCACCCAATGCGGAGGAGACGGTCACCGTCTTTACAACCGTTTTCCTGCCATCGGCATCGCAAAGCGCGTCTACCCCGAGCAGACCCATAGAGACGACATCGGCAACGGCCATTAGTACTTCATCTGCTGTAGATTCAACTTCAACATCAGATACTGCCACTTCGACTGGCTCTACCAGGACTTCAACTCCGTCGTTGACGTTCTCAACATCAGTTCGTTCTTCGTCTACCCCCAGTCTTACGACTCTCAATCCTACCACCCCCACAACTATCCCATCGCCCACTGCCACAAACACCACGGAACCGACAGTTGCTCCCTTCATTCCTTTGACAACGGGTCAAATAGTCGGCATCATTATTGGTCTCGTCATCGCTCTACTTCTCCTGATCACACTTGCTGGCTGGCTTCTTCGCCGGCGCGCGAGAGCCCGAGAAGCGAGAGACGAAGAGGAAGAGCAGCAACATGAGCAACATACAGAGTATAAAATTCCGCGTCGTCCAGTGCCACAACCCGTAGGGATTTCAGCCCAAGCTGTTCCGCGGGCGGGCACAACGACGACAACGATGGGTATAGTCACCCCGGCCACAGCACCAGGCACAAAAAAGCAAATCCCCAAGACAAAGCTCAAGTCATTGGCAAAACTGTTCTCCTTGAAGAACAAAAAGTCCACATCACCTAACAACAACCCCAACAACGGCTCTGCCCCTTCCCCGTTCGTTCCCACAGGCCCCATATCCGCCACCAACGGCTATACCGGCCCGGCGCTCCCCGAGATGAGCGAAGGCGACGTCCGCATCGTCATCCGCTCTACTCCACGGAATACCCGCAACAGTCGCAACCCCAGCACAACCGAGATACAAAGACGGCCGGTTCCCAACCCGCTCAACCAAAATCCTCCACCGACGCAAACACAAACACACACACCAACACCAACCCCATACCGCCGCAGTAGACGAAACACCTACGAAAGTATCAACTCCGCCGACTCAATGTCCTCCCCCATTCTACCTGGACAACAGACACGACAACAACAACAACCGAACAACTCTACGACACGTACCCCTTCGCAGCAGCGAGCATGGGAATATAGGTATCACCCCGTCGCGGAAGCTACCAGTACCCCCTCCCCGACCGGGACTGATCCGAAGACACGGTTGATGGTTGAGAGTGGGTTGATTGTGGGCGGGAGTCGGAATAGGGCTGCGAGTGTGAATAGGGATGGGAATGGGAATGGCAGGAGGGGTAGAGGAAATAGCGCCGAAGGGACTACTAGAACCAGCGCAGCACAGCCTAGAGCAGAGTCCAATGTGGGACGGTCAAGTCAAAGGCGTGGAGCGAGCCAGCGGGAGAGTGAAGACCAGGAGGGACAGGGACAGGGAAGGGGAGGCTTTGGACGTGGTGTTAGGCTTGGGAGGGGAGATGGGGCTTGGTGGAGGTTGTGATTTGGGGTGTGACAACCCATGAGATTCGTCTGACGGCGGGGCCAATGGAACCGCTGATGCATCAATGGCCTAGTCTCACCACCAAGGCAACTAAGTCGGCTTCCTGTGGCGTCGTGTCGTGGTTAGACGCGTTGCGACAGTGACCGTCGAGGAGTACTGTTTCTAATTACACCCTTTGTTTCTTAACGGGGAAAAAGAAAACGACGGTAAAAAATAAAAAGAAGGAAGTAAATACAAAATGCTCACCACCAAACCCTATCCCCATCCAGAGGGATAGCGGTCGGTAGTTACAAAAAGTCCACCGGGGGGACTTTGTCTTCGCTGGCCCCGGGAATCGAACCCAGGGCCATTTCGATTTACGATGGCATTGGCGTGGTGCTCCTCCCAATGCCGCTACGCCAAACACGCTGTTTGGCGAATTGGGGGGAGCTGGTGACTGTTTTGCTACGGGATCTAATATATATAGTGTGGGAGGGAAGGAGCGTGGTTTTGGTGATAATTTGCGTGGCCCAAGGTTAGGTACGTACCCTCAGTAGATGAGATGCCGGATCGCGGTTAGGAATGAGGAATGGGGATATCTGGACAGTGTCCGCGCGGCATGTACTAACTAATTTCTTTCTCAATATTTGGCTATGATAAACCAAGTAGCTCATCAGATTGACTAGCCATGAAGCTGCGGGTTCCATGGGCGTTTGTTCACCAACCTGAGGACTTACACATGCATCTCAACACGAATGTAGTTAATAATCTAGGGTGAGAGGGCCAAACCCCATGGAACCAGGTTTCAATACCTTGGAAGTGCTGGGTTGGAATCCAAATCCCCGGTTGTAGTGTCAGATGAGAGTTTGATTGTCGTGCGGATCAGGCTAGGTTCCGGGTTTCCGGATGACAGTCTCTCATAGATCGTATAAGCAAATCAGAGTCCCAGATAACCCATGGATATCAGTGTATAGGTTCAACCTTGTTCGGGTGTTGCCGTGAATTTGTTCTTTGTGTTATTCTGCTTCCATTCCTCTTCAGCGAGCCGGAACACTCATAGCCCTGGTTTAGATGCCCGCCCCCTACGCTGACAGCAGCCTCGGTACAGCCCGCTTCCCCGCATGATTTATGATACACAGAGTTTAAAACAAAAGGGGGAACAGCGCGTGTCGTATGGGGGACCAACCAAATGCATTCCAAACACCACCCACCACCAGCCTCCCCCCCATAAATCTCAACCACCTAACGCCAAGCCTGCCCAAAGTCGAGTGAAGATGTGTACATGAAGCTGCGGAAGTGCTTAACTCCCGTGGCCTTCTCAAGATGCCGCTGAGGTGGCTGTTGCCGTTGCGCATCCACGAGCCGATAAGCCATCGTGACATGGCGCGGCTGCACCTCGCTTGGCGTGTTTTCTTTCGTCCCTTGCCACCCTTTCCATCATATCTGCCAGCTTTCTAGGTGTTCAAGGCACACAGCCGGCGCGGGGCGCCATATGTGACCCCTTTCCACGACGCAAGGGACGGACAGAGACCCGTATACCATCCCATCTATTTCCCCTTATCCTTGTAAATCTTTGGATTCCACCCTTCCTTCGCCTCAGCCTCCACCGCGGCCTTCTCAACCGCCGGCTTCACCTCCGCCTCAATCCGTTCCCGCGCCCTTAAAATCTTGCTCTGCAGGTAAAACGACCCGCCCTGCTTCGGGTCGTTGCTGTCAAACAGCCGCTTGAACCGCTCCATGACCTCCTCCATATCCGCCTTGCCGCCCTGTGGCGGCTTCACGTTGAGGATCTTGCAGGCCTCTTCCAGCGTCATGCCGCTGCTGAGACTGGCGCGCCCGGAGACGGGGTTCCCCGCCTTGGCTTGGGCTCGCTGGTACTGGCTCGATGCGGAGGCTTGCTTGTAGGCTTCGGCGAAGGCACGGCCGACGACGCGCGTGCCTATTAGGACGACTTGGGTTATGAGGCGGTAGGCCTGGGAGAGGGAGGGGGGAGGTTAGCTTTTCGGGTTCGTGACTTTTCTTTCCGGAACTTTTTCTTTTTTGGAGGGGTAGGAATCGGGGGGGTTGCTCCCAGAAGGTGGGGGTGATGGTGTAGCATGCCCGATTTTGGGGACGACTACCCACCATTGTGTGTTATTTGACAGTACCGACCGCCGTTGTCGCCGGGTTGTCGATGTGTGAAAGGGAATGCGCGGCTGGCCTCGGGATGTGCAGCGATGTGCGGCCGTCGACAAGATGTTTTTTAAGGCCGCGGTACGGCAAATCGCATGACGGAGAGTGCTGCTTTGGTCTTGGCTCAAAAAATTAACAAACCCCTGTTGCCGCCGATTTGCCGGGGCCGGGCTGAGACACAGCTGGCAGCCAGCTGAAATTCATTGGGGTCCTGCCAAGCTTTCTGCTGCCACGCATCTGTGGGTTTGGTTTGCATGCAGCCTGCAGGGGAGCTTTGGCTTCGACATTGCGCCGTGCGTCCTCTGCTGAAGCTACATCGCAACTTTCAGCAGACCACGAACCCCATCGTCATCAGCCATTCTCGACCACCACAACCACGTTCCCTAACCCGAATTTTCCTACTGTGATCTTCTCGAGAAAATACATTGCGTGTCCCCGCCCAATCTTGCTTTTCGACCGCGAACAATCTGTCTCTTTTGCCCCCATAAACCCCATAAACTTTCCTCGCCCACCCCTACTCGATCGATCTCACAATGTCACAATATTACGGCGCGCCGCCGAACCAAGGCTATGCCCCCTCCGGCGCCCAAAACCTTCAGTTCTACTCGTCCAACTACGCACAACCAGTCTCCGGCCACGCAACGCCATCACAAGCATCCTATGGCTATGGCGGGCCCTCGACGGGCGCCTATGGCGCATCGGCCTCTTTCGATTCCGGTTTCGGCGACCCAGCAGATGTGTCCGGGCGGATGGGCGAGCAGGGAGGGCTCCGCACAGGCTGGCTGGCCGCCTTCTCGACGGAGGGCTACCCTACCGAGCCGCCGCTGCTGGAAGAGCTGGGCGTGAACGTGAACCACATCGGAGCAAAGGTACAGTGACGTCGCTAATCTCAGTCTTCTGCCACCCCCCTCCTCCATTGTCTAACAACTTTCTAACTTTCTCAACCCAAAACAGACCCTCGCCGTCCTCAACCCCTTCAGCCGCATCGACCAACACCTCATGGACGACAGCGACCTCGCCGGCCCGCTCTTCTTCTTCCTCCTCTATGGCACCTTCCTCCTCCTCTCCGGCCGCGTCCACTTCGGCTACATCTACGGTCTCGCCGTCTTCGGCTCCGTCCTCCTCCACGCCATCCTCTCCCTCATGGCCCCCTCCCAAACCCCCGACGGCCACCCCCATTCCCACGCCAGCGCCAGCCCAGGCCCCGCGGCCGCCGCCATGGGAGGAGGCGCCCCGGGCGTTGCTGGCGGTAGCGGCGCGCCCGACGGCACGGGCAACAGCAACAGCAACCTGACGTTTGCCCGGTCAGCTTCGGTGCTGGGGTACTGTCTGCTTCCCTTGGTCGCGACCAGCATGGCGGGGATCTTCATGCCGATGGACAAGCCAGCGGGGATTACGCTGTCGACGGCGGCGATTGTGTGGTGCACGTGGAGCGCGAGTGGGATCTTTTGTGCGGTGGGCGGCATGCGAGGGATGCGTGCGCTTGTGGCGTACCCGCTGGCGCTGTTTTATGTTGGGTTTGGTATCATTGCTGTGTTTAGTAGCCGTGGCAGTGGGTCTTTTGCGAAGGTGGCGGGGGCTGGGGGAGGGGGTATTTGAGAGGGCTTGGGGGTGAAAAGGGGGGCGTTGGGAATATTATATTGGTCTCGAAGTATGATTAGGGGTTTGTGGGCGTGTTTGACCAGGTTGTTTGAAAAGGAAGAGGGTGGTGTTTAGAAAGGATATGTGTACTGTGTCCCATCATGAGAAGATCGGACTGTTGATAGCGGGCGGTACTGGTACTGTAACTAAACGATAATAATGACAAAAACACCTTGAAAAAGCCACGCTCAGGAGACGGCCTTCTTTTCTTGAATTTCGAAGCTCCTTGACACACTAAGCCTGCTATCACGTAAGTAACTATGACAAACCAAAACCATAACACTTCTCCCTCGATTTGGTCAACCGAGGCGACATAGTAAGGAGTGGGAGTTTCGCAATGGATCAATGGCTTACCTACCTTGCGACTGCATTTTGTTAGCAAGGCACATCGGTCACAGCACGGAGAACCTCAGATTCGAGAGAAAATTCCAACTCCATTCGCAAGTAATAGTCCCACACAACACTTCCACAGCGCCCATCGTCATGCCCATCGCCCTGCTAGCGCCATATGCCGCTGCCATGCTCATGCCTATCTATCTATGCTTGCGCCCATGCTACATGTCATGTCATGCCCGTCCGAAGCGCCTCGCTAGGATCTCAGACGCAAAAGATCGCCATTGTAGCAGTCAGAAAAAGACCACGACAGCGCCGAAGAGACGGGCTAACGGTAAAGCGGCGGGCAAAAAAAGAGAAAAAGGCGGAAAAAAACAAGGACGAGAAAAACTAGTATACAGTGCAGGCGCTAGCTAGGCAGAAAAAGTAAAGCCGAAAATGTAGAGCGCAGATTAGCGCGCTCCGGATTGCGCGCCTGTGTCGGAGTCCGTGGTCTGTATATAGCCTCCTCTTGTTCTGTACCTCGCGGGCAGAGAAAAAACCTAGCTCCCAACAGAAATCGCGAGAATCTCCCGACAAATCGTGACCACGCAACACACAAAGACCCATTAGTAGTAATATTCCCCCCTCTCTTTCCAGGCCCTGAGAGTCGTTATCAGAACCTCGCCGCGGTATTGAGTTGAGTTGAGCCGAACGGCCGAAAGGTCGTCGGCGACGGTGATGGCGTGATTCAGCCAAGTTGGCCCACGCCGGTAGCCTTCCGTTTCATGAAAGGTAGAAAATCAGTGACAATGATGTGAAATGATCCCAGAATATCTCGTTCAAGGCGAGAACATAATACCAACAGTTTTTTTTATCACCCTTGATTCCTTCTTTCCTAAACACTCCAGATTCTGTCGCGGGTAAATGGCATAGAACCCCTGTGCATCGCTTACTGTTCAAGGGGAAGCGCGCCGATAATGCCATACTGGCCGCCAGCGCCAGCGAAGACAATCTTCCGGTCGCGAATGGCCGAGTTGTCCATCAGGGTAGGGACGAGGATATCGTCGGTAGTACCTTGGCCAGTCTGGAAGTTGGCGGAGAAGCCCCACGAGTACACCTTGCCCTGCTTAGTTACGGCAAAGGAGTGGTCGGTACCGGCAGCGACATGGATGACGTCCTTGATATCCGGCAGGACGGTGGGGACGACGAGAATGCGGGGTCTGTTGCGCTCATCCCAGATGGTGTTGTTCTCTGAGAAAGAGTCGGACGGCTGGCCGACTTGGTTGCCGTCGATGCGGCCCCAGGTGAGGAGCTCGCCCTTCGCGGTACAGGCTAGGGAGTGGTGCTCACCGCCGGTGATACATGTGATAACGTGAGGTTCGAGGTTCTTGACGAGCTGCGGGCGCATGATAAAACCACCGTCGGTGCCAGCCTCCTCTTCAATACCCAGCTCGGCGTAGTTGTTGAGACCCCAAGCGATAACACGGCCCTTGACATCGAGGACGAACGAGTGGTACGAGCCGCAGGCGACTGATGCGGCCTTGGCGCGGCCGGGGAGCGCACCGACGCCGGTAGGGTAGAGGGCGGCAGTGTCGTCTCGCTCAAGGAGGCGGCGAGCGAGCTGGGCCTGCTGGCCAGCGCCCCAGGCGTAGATCTTGTTCTTCTCGTCGAGGGCAAGGACATGGTTCAGGCCGGTGGCGAGGTGCTTAATCTTGGAAAGCTCAGGGATGATAGTGGGGATTGTCTGGACCAGCTCACGTCTGCTGAAACCAAGAACACCCTCATTGCTCTATGAGATTGTTAGTGTCAAATAGTCTGCGTCTGATGCCATGGAACACGGAGAAAACTCACTCGAAATGTACCCCAACCATAAACCTGGCCGGTAGTAGTCAAGGCAAAGGTAGCACTGTCGCTAGCGACCAGCTGTACCCACTTCACATTCTCAGGGATGCCAGACGCGTCAATCTCAGCCGGTGTACTTTCCTTGGGGTTCATGCCTGTGTCGTCCTCATCGTCGGAGTCCTCGTCTTCATCCTCAACGTTGCGCAGACCGCCGTCCCAGGTGGTATCGCGGCCGAGGGCGCCCTGGTCGTTGACACCCCAAGTGAGGATTTTGTTGTCGATGGTCAAGGCGGCCACGTGCATACCGCCGCATGCAACCTGCACGACGCCCTTGAGATTGTGGTTCAGGCGGGGACGCTTGACATCAATTGGCTGCTTGCCGTCGTAGCGGACACTGCCGAGGCCGAGCTCGCCGGCGGTACCCTCGCCGAACACAAAAATGTCCATCACCTGAGTGGGGGGGTGGTTGATGACCTTGAGCTCACGTGGAGCGGCCTTGGGCTTGGGGGCCGCGACCTTCTTGGGCTTGGGCGGAGCGGCTTCCTTTTTGGCGCGCTTGATGTCGTCGGCCTGGCCCTCGTCAGCCGCTTCGTCATCGTCACGCCTGCGCTTATCACCCGTCACTTGGGCGGCAGCGGCATTCACATTTTCTTTGTCGGACTCTTCGGACGCCTTGGTAGCTTTGGCAGTCGCAGTCTTCTTGGGTGCGGCGGCTTTCTTTGTTGCCGGGGCCTTCTTGGGCGCGTTAGCAGTCTTCGAAGCTGAGGCTTTCTTGAGGGGTGCGGCCGCTTTCTTTGCTGCGACCGCCTTCTTAGGCGCGGTGGGTTTCTTTGAAGCAGAAGCGGCCTCCTTGGGCGCGACAACTTTCTTGGGAGCGGCGGCCACCTTGGGCGTCGCGGCTTGCTTCGACTTAGGAGCTGGGGTCTTCTTGGGAGCAGCAACCTTCTTGGTAGTGGTGGCTGCGGCGGCCTTCTTGGGCGCAGCAGCAGTCTTCTTAGTGGCCGTAGCCTTCTTTGCGGCAACCTTCTTGGGCTCGTCTGACGCGGTCACGGTCGCGACAGTAGCCTTGGTGGTTCGGGTGCGCTTGGCGGCCGGAGCGTTGTCGCTGGCCTCGGCGGCGGCTCTTTTCGGAGCCATTGTATTGAGCGTTAAGCTGTGTAGATGGATTGAGGATGTGAGGAATAACTGATGGTGTAAAAAGGTGTTGGCTTGGCACGGTTGCGATTTGAGGTCAGGAAAAGAGGAAGTCGGTCGACTCGAGTGTGGAAACGCGATGCAGCGAGAGTCGGTTGAAAAACGGTGCTAGACAGCGTCCAGTGCAACAATTTCTCGTACGATTTTCTGGCTGCAGTTTGTTCGACAGGGAAATCGAGTGTATCGAGTCAAGTTGTCGAGTGCAGAAAGAAAAGGTTGGGGACTTCGGAAATTTTTCAGAACGGCGCGACCTTTTTTGGGCGCCAACTCAAGTTTTTGTTTTGACCTCTGGGGCATCAGCGCAGCGCAGTGCCTCAATAGGAAACGCGGGGCCCACAATAAGCCGCATCCGGCGATTGTTGTTCAGCGCGCACAAGGCCTATGAACAATGCCGAGTCGATAAGGCATTAAATTTATTCTCTCAATGAAGACTTTTTGTCGAGTTTGAGGCATGCCGCCCTTTCTACCTCTCAATTCATCCGGGTATTGCATCCATTGACACCCTTGCATCGCGTTCTGTCTCAAACTTTATAACAATGTTGATGAGCTCATCGCTGTTGAGCCGCCAAGACCCTGATCGGTTCCCCCAAAATTGGAGAGTTCTGCCGGGCGGTGACCGCTTCTCACTGAGCGCTTCCCTGACTGGCCCTGATCTTTTCATCAGATCGGACCCACTGTTAGGCGGCATGCCAAGAGACCTGTTCGTTGGCACGGCACAGGCGGAACGCGTCGTGCCTCTCAGGAGGCGGGTGTCGCAAACGTGCCGCCAACAGCGAGCCTCACCTCCTCTCACAGGCTTCTTCGCTTCTGGAGATGAGGCCCCGATTGACAATCTTACCCCTCCACGACCGAGAACGTAATTCGGGGTTCACCACGCTCAACACGCTCAACACGTCCGATATACAGTGGATCGAAATCGCGCAAGACACGTTCCCGGCGCACCTCGCGTCACGCTGCTACCCAAGAAACCTGGCGCCTTGTAATCTCATGTCTTATATTCCATATCTTGTACGAAGTACCCACTTCCCAACTGGGAGAAAACGCTGAAATGAAACAATCACAACGCTCGCCCAGGTGACTCAATTATTAACCATGCTCGCTGGCCCCATCCATCACGCCCGCATGCTTCCCATCTTCAGGCTTATTCTCTGAGCCCTCGTACCCGGGTTCTTCGCGCGACAAGCAAATCGTAACGGTTTCCCCTTGGCACTGTCTTCAATACGGCGGAGCCATCGCTCTATCTCTTCCTCGCGCTCGACCGTCATGTCTTGGAAGATGACAGTAGGTGTCCAGCCGGAGAGGGCCGGAGTTGTGGTTCGCCCTCGGTGCCCGTCGGAGGTGGTGGCCTGGTTATTCCTCCCCTTCCCGTCTTGTATTTGACTATTGGCATGGCCATTCCCCCCTTCCCCGTCTTGTATTGGACTGTTGGCCTGACTATTGCTCCCTTCCCCGTCTTGTATTTGACTCTTGACCTGGCTATTGCTCCCTCCCCCGTCTTGTATCTCGTTGTTGGCATGGTCACTACTATCCCCGGCTTGAATTTGACTGTTGATATAATCATTCTTCTCTTCCCCGCCTTGCATCTGGCCGTTGCCATTGTCGTCGTCGTTTGGACCATGGAGTGGAACAGAAGGCGGAGGCGGGCTTCCGATGGTTGCGTGGTCGCTAGATGAGTCCTCGTCAGAGAAAGTATCTTCGATCACAGTGTTGTTAGAGGAAGTATCGTCAACCGCAGTGTCGTCAGAGGAAGTATCATTGACCGCAGTGTTGCCAGAGGAAGTATCGTCAACCACGGTGTTGTCAGGGGAGGTATCATCGACCACGGTGTTCTCAGAGGAAGTGCCATCGACCGCAGTGTTGCCAGAAGAGACGTCGGCGGGTACGGCATCGGGAACTCCGTTAGCACTAGGGGCGAGCGAATCGCTAGGTGTGTGGGTGATGGACCCAGGCTCAACACGCTTCTCCGACACCTCAATCTGGTCAGATTCGGGAAGAGCCATGATTGACTCGGTGATTCACAACGTGAGAGTTTATCCCGCCTCGTAACAAAGATATTCACAACAAAAAAACCAGCCACCTTGTCTTGGCCTAGCCCAATGATTCCTTCAGGCCACCGTTTATGCCGAGCCGCAAGTCGAACCCTCAAAACTCCGTAACACCTGTGGATCCAAATCCGTTCCGCTCGGAGAAAGAAAGAGAAAAACGCTTCCTCGGGGCTTAACGCTTGGTGGTAAAGTCCGTCTCAAGCTGGGACGGGTCGGAGCCGCAGTTGCAGACGCCTATACACGCAATCATCTGATTAGCCATCATCCCAAGTCCCCGGAATCAAGTCATAGACAGAAACTCACCAGATTCAGCGCAGCCGCAGTTGCAGTTATCGCCACACGAAGACGACTTGGCCGCCTTGTTCTCTGTCTCGGCACGGGAGCAGTTGCACTGGCCGGAAGGGCGGGCCTGGCATGAGCAGCGGTCGCCGGAAACGGAGTTCTCAGCGGCGGCCTTCTCGCAGTTGCACTGGAGGGCGGGCTTGTCACCGCACGAGCAGGTGGCTTGCTGAGCTATTGGCCGAGGAGAAGCGAGAGTCAGTTAAGGTAACGCAAAAGAATAACGAGAGAAGAGAAACAAAAAAATGAGGGCTATAGGTATTCGGGGCGAAGGTGAGGAGAAGGTGTTCTGATGATGGGCCGCGATGTTCCGCTTTTGGAGGAGGGTTCATCGAGGATTCGAGAGCTGGGAATTATGTGTTGACTTACCGCACACGCACTCGGCGCTCTTGCCGCAGCAGGTGGAGGGCTTGGAAGCCATTGCTGAGAGTGTGTGTTTTGGGTGTGTTGTTGGGAAGGCGAAAGTGAAAGTGGACTGATAACAAAGCCGAGTGGGCAAGTGTTATCGATGAATTGTTGTAAGGGAGAAAGTCTTGTTTTGGTTTGAGGGAGCGCTGGGATTTTAAGTGCCCAAAGTTGTTGTCAAGATTTCAAGAGTTGTTGAAATTGGTGCAAGATATTGAGCAATCTTGCAAGTCTCAAATATCTCAAAATGAACGGTAGGCTGTTAACTTATACTCTTTGGTCTGTTGGCACGGGCATCTGTTGGCGGCGATGCAGCAAGGTGAAACTGTGGAGTCATTTGCGCCGCTTAGACTCAGGCACAACCGGATTGGGTCATTACACACACTCTCATTGGTCGGGTCCATTACAGCTGTCCAATCAGCAGCGAGCTATTTCACATCATCAGGCTTTTGCTTTGAGGGAGTGGCCAGAAGAGAACTGACTGTGTGGAGAAACAAACTTTGAAAGAACAACCAGAGTCTTTCCATGATCAGTTACCAGCGTTCCATTCCTAAGTCTCACATCTCTGGCAAGGAAGAGGCGTCTTCTCTCAAGGCGCTGAACCAGCACTATGGGTTACACAACGTGTGCGATCAGAACAATGTGCTCGTTCTGTGAGACGGTGGAGCCGCATGTGCCACTGAGCAGGTTGTCGCGGGTATTTTAAACCCGTAATTATTATTCTGTAGCTCCATGCCCAGAGGGTCAAGAAGCCAACATGGAGGGTGGCCGCTGACACAAGGCAAAAGCCAGTCAACTGCGTTTTGATCGATCGACGGCCTGGCGCAGCGGAGGCAGAGGAATGAAGGCACGGCCAATGCCACCTCCCCCGGGCATTCTCCGGTGACGAACTAACAACCAACATTTTGGCCCCAAAGGAAATATTTTTCTTGTCGAGTACCTTTGTCTCCAGTGCGATGCACACGGGATCCCAAACATTTCTCCTGCCCTTCTTTAGTCTCAAAACTGCCGGCAACTCATCTTTCTTTCCGAAATAGATACACTTCGACAGTTTGCCCCTGGCCATCGAGCATCGGTAGGGGTAGCGTTGTTCGCTCTCGAATGATCCAACCATCGTTAGACATTAGGTCGAAAAACGCTCTCTCGGAAGTATGTCGCTGTTTTGTCGCAACCAGAACGTCAGGGCCGTGCTGACCCGAGGCGGGTGAGGCCCGTTCAACCGAGCGACTATGAAGCGTAGAGAGAGTTGCCACGAGAGGCGGCAGGGTGTCTGTGTTATAGGTGCAGTCACACAAAGTGATAAGATCAAAGGTCCTAGATGTGGCCTTCTCACCAAACTTGCCGACCCTCCCCTCCTCCCAATCGAGCGGCTCAAAATCGATACTGGCCGCAGCGGTACCGAGAACGGCTTCTTGCCGGCCGATATTCGCTCGTGCCTTTTCCGCCGCCTCGGGGAGGTCCGTCAGGAGGATATTCGGCGGGTAGCCCTTGTTCCTCAACGTCATAACGCGGGCTAATCCAATCCCCATGACCCCAACGCCACAGCCGAGTTCCAAGATGTCGAGGGGCCGGTCGGCACTCTGAAGGAGACTGCGAAACGACTGCAGCGGGGGAACCCCTTCGGCCCCATCCTCGGGGCCTAGGCAGATATCGGACAGCAGAGAAACCATGACAACACCCGAGTCCCAGACGTGACGCGCGATGCTTTCGCCAAGGTCCTCTTCTATCTGAAAGGGCTGACCGACAGGCACATCCCCAACAGTCAGGCGCAGGCTCCGAAAACACACATTTAGCGCACGGCCACTATCGGGCCGTGGCATATCGGCATAGACCGCCATGATTAACCCTTGCTTGCCGGGCAGCACGTCGCTCGTGGCCATGGCCGTTAGCTGCCGACTTAATGGGCGGATTTGAATTGTCTCAATCGGCTGCTTCAACTGTGCCGGCAGAGGCAGGTCCAGCTTCAATACTCTCATCCCGGCCCGCCATGTCGGTGGTGGGCCGCTTCCCTGGCCCTGCGTGAGATGGACGGGGACGACTTGGGTTGACCCGTCGTCCTTACGCTCGGTATATGCGCCGATTATGGCTAGTTGGATAGGGTTGGGCGGGGACAGAAAGGCGTCACTAAGGTCGGTGGTGATGGTCAGCACAACCTTGACCGTGGCTTGGTGAGATCGACTCGTGGTAACCTCGGGTGGGCGGCAAAATCGAATGTAATGCATCTTGGAACCTGGGTTGAAGATGTTTGGAGACAAGGGCGAAGAGCGTTGCTGGCAAGAATAGGGTTGGGGTTAGGTCCTCTGAGAGCGAGAGCGTTGTGAGCATGGTAAAGGTTTTCTGGCATAGAGGGGGGACCAAGGGTTAGGGTTCAGCAGTTCGTTACCTGCCCCGCAAACTTAACCCCACCATGTGCCCACCTCAGATAACGTTTCCCATGCCCCTTTCGGTCGTTCGTTGGAACAGCTACGGGGATCCATGATACGGCCCCGGCCGGGATTAGAAAGCTTGCCATCGGGGGCTGCCGAGCCCCGGACAGGCACTTCATCACTACCCGGACTGGTTGACACATAAAGGATCCCTTTATCCCGTTGCCCTCATCTCTCTCTCGAGCAAGTTCTTGAAAGCCGAGACCAAAGAATCAACGTCGAAACTGGGTGTTTTGGCCACTCTATTCAAGCTCGATACAGCATTGGAGCAGATTCTCTTACGGAGCGCTATTTTATATCTCACGCTTGCAACATGACCAATACACAATCCACGGAGACGCTACTTTCTACACTCCTCCGCATCACGGAGGACCGGATTGTGCCTCTCACCAGCGCCGGTGTCTCGTCGGGCAGTAAAGTTTTCGGGGCTGCCATCTTGGCCCGCTCCAACCTCTCCCCAGTCACGGTTTCCACCAACAACGAGCGTGTGTCACCCCTTTTACACGGCGAAATCAACTGCATCCAAGAATTCTTCGCTTCCCCAGCTGAAGGCCGCCCGGCCACCAAGGACTGCATCTTCTTTTCCACCCATGAGCCTTGCTCGCTCTGCTTAAGTGGAATCACCTGGGCTGGTTTCAACGAGTTTTACTACCTGTTCACCTACGAGGACAGCCGGGATCTCTTCTCAATTCCCTACGACATCGACATCCTCGAGCAAGTCTTTCGCGTACCTGGCCCATCTGACACCACGGAAACCCTGGCACAACGCCCGCTGTACAATCGCAGGAACAAATTCTTCACCGCAAAGAGCTTGGCAGATCTCCTGGAGGGACTTCCCAGCGACGATGACCGGAAGAGATGGGCCAATGAGATCGCCAGGGTGAAGGACATGTACAAATCTTTAGACGCAACTTATCAAACCGGTAAAATGGCTGGGACAGAGAGCGCGAGTGTATGGAAGTAGCAGACGTTGTTGAAGCAAGCGTCTTCCGTAATCCCGGGTTCGTCCAATTAAGAAGGTTACAGGTTCTTTCTCACCTTCCGCCCTGCCCTGCGTGCTTACGGCAAGCGCGACCATCCCATCACGTCTTTGGAGTCTCTCCCGGGACTTTCCCCAACTAAACACATTCGCAAAAACAGCTAGACCACTTTGATAGTCTTGGAATTTCGAATCCCTCCTCCCCCACTCCCCTCAGTTACCCGCTACGCCCTGCCCGTTTCTAGGACCCGACGAATTATCACTATCTTTCCTGAGTACCCTCCTCAACCAATGTCAGCATCCATACCAAATATCCCGAAGCCCCGTTCGTCACGCCCTTTCCTATCTTCCCTCTGAACCCGGAAGGGTGGCCGACTGGAGTTTCGCCATTTCTTCCATAGTATGTCCGGCATTCCACCTGACGAGAGGGGTTACCCACAACCTCCCTACGGTTGCGATCCGGCCGGGAACTCCGGTAACTCGATCCCCAACGGGGTATTCGACCAACCACCCGGGACGGCCATGAATCCGCCCCCCGTACCCAGCCAGAATCGGTATCCCAACTTCCACAACGGGCCCCTGTTTGGCCACCCGCACACACACCCTTATCCCCCATACTCCGCGGATGCCGACCACCACTGGGGCCCGGTTAGCTTTTCCCAGTTGACGCGCGTTCAATTATCACAGCTTCTCGTTGCGGCAGGCCTTCGGGTCTAGGAATATATCGGAAGTCATCTGGTGCTGTGCGAAGAAGATGGGGCGATCTTGGTTGAATTGCCGTGGTCTTATCCGAGGCGCCCCAACGGGCTAGTCCTTCCCGAGGTTGTCGTTCAGGGTGCTGGGCAGCTGGTCGGTCCCGCGACAATACCACGAGCTGAACTCGTTGAGCTGTTCATGGCTGCCTGCTTTTTTGCCCAGATAAACTGGGTGGTGCTTGGCTTACGGCTATGTGCGAGGAATGGAGCCGTCCGGGCGGTATTACTCCCTCGCCCCAGTCAACCCCTTCCACAACCACACGATACTTGGGGCAGGGACCGGCGGTGGGTTGAAAGTCACGGACAAGCCGCGGGATATCAGAACAACGAACCATACCCCAACCCCGCGAATGGTATGGGCGCTGTCTACGCCCAACCCACATCCAACGCACACGAGACTATGCAACAACCCCCCTTTCATACCTTTCCGAGCCATTCTGAGATGGACTGTTCGGAATACTCCTCAATTAACCGGTGGGCCGAAAGAGTCGCCAGAGATGCCGGGGCTGACCCAGCTCAGTATGTTCTCATTCATCAAGTCAACTTGGATGAGCATGCGCTACCCACCACGATCACAGTTCATTCTTCGAATCATGATTCGGGTTCTGACCGGAATTTGACGCGGAACTCTCCAACTAAAAGCAATGTATCGCTTTGGTCAAAGGATGGGACACCAACAAGGCCAAGTTCCTAGTATAAACACCGGCCTTCAACTTCCGTGGTTGCGACGCCAATGGAACTGATGTGGAGAGTACGAAGTCAAATAGCAGCAAGTCATTCTCCCCCGGATGAAGCCAGCAAACAAGGCACGTACCCCTCCCGTTGAGCGGACACCCAGAATGTACATCTGTGCATTGCATGCTAACACTCGTCAGTGACCGCATCGTACAGCCCGCAGACTCCATCTCCGAAACATGGTCAAGCCGCACGCACAGATGAGGACTTTGTCGAACTTAGAGGGCCCGCCCCATCGAATTCTCCCTTCAGAAGAGCATCACCCGCACCCGCTTTCTCACGGGCGCATCAAGAACTAAATGAACTCGACACAAAGCTCGGCGCCGTTCCCTCATCCTCCACCGGGATGTGTGCTGCGACCTCTAGCGAACCTGTGATGTCGTCGCCACCTAGCCCAAGCGATACAGCTCCAAGGGAATCGCGCCCAAGTGACTGGATTGGCGACGTGCTGATCCCCGCCCGCAGCCGCGTTCGTAGTGGCACTTCGCCCATCTGCTCCGAGCCATCACGGCAATGCACCATGGAACCGGAAACAGAGTCGGCCCCACTACGCCGAAGTTCTGGACCTACTGTAGACGACGTATCGAATTATTTCGAGATCCGGAACGCCTATCGGCCCCCGGAGGACGAAGTCGGTCCAGCAAGTCATCCGGTCCAGGACACCCAGTCAGCCGAACAGGCAGAACAGCCTGTCGGCGAGATACCACCGTCTGCAGGCCAGTCGCACGGTCTTCGCCAAGAGACCGGTTCTGGAGTAGGAGTCCCAGACGTCCTGAACGAGGGAGAAACTGACTCCGTTCTTCCTTTGGCTCCGAGTGACGATACTGCTATTGATGCGGGAGCGACCTCGGGGCGAACGCTCGGGCCGGATTCATCCCACCGGATGTCTTTTGGGCCACATGCCAGGATACCTGAGCCACAAGAAACGCAGGGAGTAGGCCGCACCGAGAGTCCCGACAGCCCCGTTCAAGAAGATCCGGCGGAACCGAGCCTGGTCAAAAGCCCGCACTTGTTGCCGTCAAAAAATGCTGCTGGCAGCGACACTTGTTCGGAAGAACCGACGGATGTCACTCATCCTGCTGGAACAGACTTAAGCCCGGCGACAACCCCTGCAGGCAACCAGACGCCTCGCCATACAGACGAAGATTCGGCTCCCGCCTTTACCAACCCGTGGATTCACTCAACCCCCAAGGAAGCCGTTCCCCAAGCCCAGGATACCGTAAAGAAGTTCAGCACCGGTATTGATTGGGCTGCCGAGTCAGATGACGATGACCCCGGCATCGGCTTTCAAGAATGGAGGGAGAAGAACCTGGCGCCTTCCCAGATCGAATCAACAGAGGTAGCGGCCCATTCCGAAGACAAGCTCTCATCCGAAACGAAACCTTCACCAGGAACTGCAGCAACGCCAGAGATGGCGGATCCCAACCGGTCGACGAAACCAGGGACGAAATACACTCCTGTGGCACGCTCTGCTCCGTCCCGTGCGACGCCAAAACCGAGGACAAAGGATGCCCCTCGAACGACTTTGGGCGGTAAGCAGATGAGTTGGAGGAAGTCCTCGCCACAAACACCGGCCGCAAAAGAGGCTCCTTGGAGGCCTGCCACCAAACATGTACCTCCAAACAAAATGACGTGGAGCGAGATTGCCCAAAAGAAAGCAGACAAGCCGACAACGGCAGGTCAAGAGATTGATTCGAGAACACCTCTACAAAACACCAAGGCTCCAACGCAAAACTATAACATTACGACCGAGTCATCGACGTCTCAAGAAAAGGGAGTATCACAAGCAACTCAGCCGACGAATGAAAAGTGGAAACAAGGGGGCTATTCTAATACAAAGGCGGCCGGGTCTTTGGCACGGAGCAACAAGCAGCCACCAGCCAAGCCTAAGATCAAGCAGCCGGCAAACAAGAATCTTTTTAATGCGCTGGGACAGCTAATGGATGACACCGCGGGATCTGACGCCGAGGAACCTGATCCTCTCGAAGGGTCCGAAATGGAAGGCGGGCCGGAGTCTGGCGAAGTGCAGAAGGCTGTGGGGAAGGATGTAACTCCGGACACGGTTAATGTTCAAGCCAGTGAGGCGGATAAGGGGAAAGTAGGGAATGGGGCGAGAAATGAGTCGGATGAGCTCGCAACCCTAAAATCCAAGCTGGGGACCGCACCTAGCTCCCCTGAAACTCCATCAAATCCAGCGACTGCTCGTGAGCATGAACTCAAAGATGATGAAGCTAAAGAAAGCCGTCACCTGATTCCGGCCAACCCACCCGACGAGACATTGGGATTGGAGACAGACAAGAGCAACAGCCTCAAAAGTGCTCCTACTCAGGAGTCCCAACCAGCACCCAAGATGTTAGACAAGGACGATGTTCCGAAGAAGCAAGGAACCCCCTTACCACAGCACCAAAGCAAAAAGACCAAACGCAAAAAGAAGAATAAGAAGAAATCCAAGTCCAAAAAGAAGGCCGCTCAACCAGAGGCCCCTGACTCGCAATTGACAACCCTCTCTCGACGCTCGTCCACCTCTACACTCGATGGCGAGGCCGCACCAATGGATACGCCCCCCTCCTCCCCCGACTCGCCCAAGCTCGATTCCTCACCCCCATCCGTCCCCACGGTCGCGCCACTTTCACCTGCAGCGACCCCAGCGGGCAAAACGCGCCTCTCGGCCCTCACTTTGGATTACATGGCGCACCACCCACTAGAGGTGGAAGATTTAATCCGCGTGGGGCCGATGAGGTCCTTGCCGTGGCCTGGACAAGAGGCGGGTGAAAACGACGATGATCAAGACGGCGCCAATGGTGGTGCTGCTCATCCTAGTGTTGGAAGCAAACAGGCACACATCGCTGCGAAGCGCAAGGCTCTCAAGCTTCGCAAGAAGGCTACCAAACGGGGAGAAGTCGAGATGGTGTGCCGATGGACTGCGCCGCGGCATGCGCGGTGGGAACTGTTGGAGAGGCGGTTTACCGGAGATGGGGCAGCGAGGGACTTGGGGATGACGTTCGACGAGTTGGCAGCGGCAGCATTTGATTCGGAGGATTCGGATACCGAAAGCGAGGAAGAAGTTGGGGATAAAGGTGGTAGCGGGGTGGGTCCGAATCAGGAAGAGGGTGATGGGTCGAAGTTCGATGGCGAAGATGGCCGGGGCAAGATTGATGGAGGGCAAGCCGCCGGCTCAAGGGGAGTCGGGAACAATATCAACTAGGAGACAGCGGTCCAAGAGGAACTCAGGAAAGCCCTTGAGCGACGGGCGGCGACGAACACTGGGTGGACCACAGGGGAAGATTCCATCAGAACCCTTGAGCGACAGGCGAAAATCATGACGGACCAAGAATTGATATCGGGACTCGAAGACCTGGGACGGGTTCGCAACCAGGTACGGTCACTTGTCGGGATGTTCAAACCAGATGATATCGGAATGGATTCTAAACAATGGAAGGACAGAGTATACCAAGTGTGGTTTGGGTAAGCCCAGGGACTCAGCGTTGATAGCAACTCATGTATTGGGAAGTAGCATGTGTGTCGTCGAATTCACAGCGTGTTTCATGGCGTGTGCTTGCGGTGTGGCTTCTCAGTGCTTTTTGCTTTTTGTTCAAATTTGGTGTGGAAGACTCAGGGGGGGTTGTTTATTTTTGATCCTTGGGTCAGTGTCTAGGATATCTCTCGGGATGCATGTGTGTCTTTCATGCCCTACACGCAAGTACGAGAGTATTTGCAAGAAAGCCATTCTTGAATGCCTGACTACGAATACTTTCTTTTTGGAGGTGATGGCGTGTGAAATTTGTAATTTTTACTTTTTAGCTTCCCTTCTCTCTCTCCCTCCTCAATCCCTTCATTTTCCACCCTCGAATATCCCACAACCATAGGCAGGTCGGGTAGTGGAGGGAGTTTAAGATGTTGTTTACAAACAGTTATTTGTCGCTGTTTCTTAATCCCGTTCATTACTAGTTGGGTTTGTACTGATTGGAGGGCTAGATAAACGACCTGCAAGATGGACTCGTGACAAGAGCAACGACTGTTGGGTTTGTGCTGGAGGTTAGTTCCATTTTGGAACTACTGATATATATAATCGATAATTATAATCTTCGCACCCTCATGAGGTAGTCCACGGTAGTGCAGACTTGAGTTCTGAGGGTGGGGAAGATTTCGTCTCGTCAGTTACCGTTCTTGGGTGTTGTTGCATCGCTCTGCTTGCGATTTGGCTTCGTGGTGGTGGTGTTGGGCCGGCCCCGATCTAGACACAACATATTACAACCACCAACGACGACGTCATCAACCACCACCGAATGGTATGAAGGCAGGCAGGTCTGGCGCCAAACGCGGCTTTTGGGTCGTTTTTCTTTCCGGTCATTTTACTACTTCCTTTCCATTTCTTTTTTATTTTTTGGAGAAGGGTCTCAAAAAGGCTCATTCCTGTTGGTTGACAGACAGACTCAAACCCAACGTCTTCTCCGAATCTGCTGAATCCCGCATTGCTTTGTGTGCGTTTTTTGAGGCTTTCGTGCGGGGTTAGTTTTTCTCCCAATCGTTTTTTCGTTTGTTCACTGGCAGATGGGGAGGGCGTGTTGATGCGGCTGTCTTTTTTCGGTCTTGGGACTCTGGGAGTGTGCGTCTTGAACGGACGAAAACTGAGACAGGTTTTGTGGTCTTTTCCCCCGCCTAGCCCCTCCGCTCGCCGCTCGCTTCTGCAGGTTGTGTGCAGACGGTTGGGCCGGTTCGATGCAGTGCCATCGACTGGACTGGTGATGGATCGGTTGGTGGAGAACGGAAGGGGATCGTTTTTGGGTTAGTTGGGAAGATTGGTTTACGTCAGGTTCGGAGATCTGGTTTGCAGCTTTTTCTCCTAGTGTGTTTTGTTTTCTTGACAGATTGCTGACAAGATCACGAGCTCGATCTGGAATCGTAAATCCCCTAGTGTACTTGAGACAGCTCGCATTCAGCTATCTTCTTCCCCCTAGCGGGAAAAGAGGGGAACAGGGACCGGAACTCGCCGTCGTGCACTTCCTACAGTGGGTGTTCGGAACTGGGATTGCCCGGCCTTGGTTGACATGGGCCCCGCCTGCAGTATCCCGAAAGCCCCGCGTTTCCCGCCCGGGCCTGTCCGCTTGGAGGAAAGCAGAACGGGCTCGACCAAAACTTGGAATCTCCATCCCCCCGCTTTCGATCGAGCACATGGAGTCTCAGTGGGTGGAGCTGATCGACGGGCGACGTGCAGATGATGGGTGTTGGTCTCGGTAGTGACGGTACGGGAGGAGATGTGCAGGAATTGGGGTTTTGACCGAGGCAGGGCAGAGTGTGTGTCGACAAAATAATGGATTTCACGACAGGAAAATTGCAGGGCCGTGGTTTGATGCTGAACCATCTCAAGGGACAAGCCGTGATACAGTGCCACGGACTACGCCAGAACCCGCCGAGCCGCTCGTCCGTGGTATGAAGGCCGAGCCCGAGACATCCATCCATGATTGTGAAGGTGTGTGAGCTTCTCAGGGTCGCTGAGTTAATGCAGCGCAGAATAAACGCGCGGAAGTGCGGTAGTCCTTCGGGTGGTTTGGTGAACATTTGAAGAAGGGGCACCGTGTGTGGGAAACTGTACGGCGCTGATGTGAGGAACAGACTTCGGAGCAGTCCGTCTGGAGAGACCCGGGCTCAGATGGTGGTGCGGGGCAGTCTGGTTTGGGTCTGGTGGAGGGGAGTGAATCCAACGAGAGCGGGAGTGGTGTTGTGCAAGTTTTCACGGTGAACCGCCGGCCTGCCATCCACTGCCATCCCAACCACCCAAAACGGGTTCCAGGGCACCAACACTGCGCCGCACCCACCGCCGCGTCGGGCGCAGCAACGCTTGCAGACACACTGCTCACCACAGGCTGATATTGGCTGACGGTCAGTCGGAATGGAGGGATGGAAGTGAGGCGCCACACCGTCATAAACTAAAAATAATTGGACAAAAGCACTTCAGTGCTTGCAGTCGCGTGTTAATGGGGTGGGATTCTGGGAGCCTGACTTCCTTTGGGCTTGGGCTGCGGTAAGTTTCCCCGCCTAAAGTGAGGGGTGACGATGTTCTGTCGCGGCCATTAGAAATTTCATCTTGTGGAGGAGCCGCGTCGAAATGGTCGCAGCGATCCGATCGCTCCACGAGAACCGCTCAAGGTGGAAAGACACCGAGTTAGCGCTGGGGATGTGAGTACAAGACGTGCGAAAAAGGACCCGGTCAGTCGCACTAGTGTACTTGGAAATCGCTCACCTCCAACACCTTGAGCTTGTCGATGGTGTGGTGAACGCACCACACCTCAAGAAAAATAGGGTTGCAGGCATCCACTCTTTCCTGGCCATGTGTCTTTCCAGAAGGTGTGCTGCGGGGTGGAAAGCCTCAAAACGGCAAGAGATGTGGGCAGTAAACGCCTGTGCCCAGGCCCCATCACTGTGACATACGCGCTGGCACAGCGACCTGATTGGCCCCCAACCCCGCCGCCGCACACAATTCGAGATAGCCGCCCGCACGACCGAACATCACGAACAGGCACACCACCTCACCAGAGTTGGCGCAGAGAGTCTTAGATCTGGCGGTTGCGCCAGAATAGACTGCGGTAGCTGCCTAGGGATACGTGTGTATACGTGTAAGTGTGTTCAGAAGAGAGATGTGACACGCCAGAATGGCCGTCACAATAGTTATGGAATAATCTTAAGCGCTCGTCCTTGGTTGCGCCTTCCGTTGGTCATACTACCAAGATTATACCAGAACGGAAAGTGCTACGCAAACGTTTGTGGTCGAAAATTTTCACTACTTCCGTGTGTTGCATGGTCAAACTTCTCCCATTTCAGACAAAGACAATCCCGTCATCATGAACTCGTCATCCGGCCTGGCAAGATCCAGGAACTCGGGTCGAATCCTCTCAGCCCTGTCAGGGATGAGTAACAAGAATGTTTGATGCACACAGGATCTCCCATTCCCGACACTGCCTTCGGATTGGAGAGAGAAAATCGTGAAACAATGCGACAAAAGAGCAAATCCAAATCCCACAAGGCTGAAGCAAACAATCTAGCCACCCTGAACTTGTCACTCGCCGCAAGCCTGTCAACATTGGCCAGCTTTCCGCGAGTCGAGCCGCGTGCGGCGCGGCGCAGTTGAGCTGACTGAGACATGTGAAGATGCGACTGGTGCAAAAGACCGCGCTTTGCATACTCGGACAGGCTATGTATGCAGGACTGCGCAGCAGCGGAGGGCGCAAAAGGGCTGTTTAATTAAAATCATAATCATCATGGCCGTAATTTTCATTGCATCTTCGTACCGATCGAAATAGGTACAGAGGATAATTATCTCGAGTATCCGTAGTTGACCGCAAACAGGGATAACACCCCCGGGATGGGAAGTGGAGGGGAGTGTGCTTCAGCCCGTGCGGCACAGCTTCGAACTAGCGATACTGTGTTCTGTCCGATGGTATCACAGAGGACGCTCTTGTCCGAAGATTTGCGAGGACTTGTTTGATACTAGGGAGCACCATACAGGCCTGTGGTTCGTAGCTAATATAACCTTGATTGCTCGCAATTATTTAAAAGGGTGGTTAGTGAGAAGCGGGGCGAAATGAGGAGGGGGTAAATTTCCAATTCTTCAACACGAATTCACAACATCATAACTATTTTGGGTTTGCAACGTCGGAATCCACGCAACCCTTCAGCCATCTTGATATCTTGATAAACAGTTGAGATGAAGTTGTAGTCAACAGATCGACCCAGCCCCCAACTCTTAACCAACCCACCCCCAACCCCCAAAATCGGGTCTCGAATATGGCCCGCAGATCCGCTCAACTGCCGCCTGCCCGTGTTTGCTGCGCCCACTTTTGTAGCTTCCATCTGAGGAAAAAAGGGGGTGTAGGAAGATGAGGACCACGCCGCAGCCAGACATGCAATGAAGCGGTTGTGGCTCGAGCGGCGGCGCGACCTTCTACGCCGCATCTGCTCCCTAGAAGAAACGTGGAAGAAGTTTGAGTGGCACGGGTTGCTTGGCTTGAAACCTTTTTCTCCCGTTGGATTGTCGTGAGATATCGTTGTTTTGGTGGCTTGAGTTGATGGTGTTGATGACCGCACTGCTGATCGTGAGCTTCTCTACGATACCACCGGGGGTGCCTCAGTCGTGCGTCAATAGTATCAATACAGCACTCCTTCTAGACTCAGTGAAACGAAACTTACTTGTTCGTGCGATATGGTAAAGGAAGCGACGCTCTTCCGTTCTGGTCGCTGCTTGAAATTTAATTTGTGTTTTCTCATAGCCAACCCTAACCCACTTACACTGCTTGTTGCACAAACGTACACACGCCCACCACCCACCACAAAACGATTCGTTAGACTGCGACGTTAAACGAAGGTCAATCTCGCCTCAGTATCAAGCTTAGACGCAACATGCACAGCTAAACAATGTATAGCCCAGCTGGGTTGACCTACATCCGAGCCAACAGTTAAGTGTTCTCATAAGTAGACACCCGAAATGGATTGCACGGTGCGTGTGATTGGGGAGACTTGCACAGTGGGGTCCACCTGTAGGGCTGGAATTCGAAACAACAAGTTGAAATTTATCATGTCGTTGAACCCGGTGGAGCTTGGCCGGGGTTGATGGGATGAACATGGACCCCACTTTCAGCTACTTTGGATGGACCATGACTCGAAGAAATAACGACGACCACTAACATGTGTTGGCTGTGGTTTTTACTTCTGTATAGCCACTGATTGTGTGGTAGTTCACGACGGAATGTGCCGTTGGTGTTGGTGTTGGTAGACGGCTTGGGGTGGGCTGATGTTTTAGCGGCACAGCAGCGGTTAAAACGGTCTCGTCTGTTTTCGCCGGAAATCAGCCATCAGCCCCGAGTTGGGGGCTAGAGGTGGCCTGCGGAAACTGGCCTGGCCCTAATTTCTGGCCCGGGACGCGCAGCTCGGTTGGCTGCCAAAGTGGCCACCATTTTCCCCGGCCACATCGCGTCGTCAACACGGTCTGTAAACGAATGCTGCGCGTAGGAACCGAAGCACGGGCGGGGGGATGTTTTGCGGGCCAGGTCTTCCATGGTCTGACCGGCGGATTGTTGTCCCACCGGGCTGGGCTACAAACAAGTTCGTGTCGCTGAGGCACCAGGCACCTGTGCACTTTGTCCTTCACGATCCTCCTCAACGCCGCCGCTTTCGCAAAGACACGGAGTCGGCGGAACGGGACCGAAGGCTGGGCGTAATCACCAGCCGCTGTGCGATGTTGCAACCGGACCGCTTCGGTCAAAACGAGTTCCCTTCCCTTGAGCATGGGGTTCGATGACGATGCATTCCGTCGATATCCCGGACTTTTCTCTTGCACACAGCCGGTAAAGACGTAAAATACCCTGGCGATGGAGGGACTTCTTCAAAAGTGGCCGAAGACCCCGCTTGCCCTTCGGGATTCGTGAGACGTTCCCCAATGGCGCTGCTCGTAGGGAATGGAACCGCAGAGTGTGTGCGAAGTGCAAAAGGAGACGGGGCCTTGCATCTCCGTTACTCTTGTGTAGCCCTAATCGCACACAAAATGGGAAATTTTCCGGCGGTCGTGTTCCCATGTTTTCGGTGGACATGGATATGCGCACTTCTCTCTGGTACACCACATCGTACACCCCCCCACCGGCTGTTCTTTTCTCCTCTTTTGCGCGTACTTGCACAGCCGATGGCACGCACCTGTCCGTTGCAGCGTTACACTATCCTCATGGCTGACTACACCTGCTGACGTGACACAAACGAAGAAACTCGGTTTCTGGTTCTTGTCTTCGTTCCCGAAACCGTTTGTAGCAGCAGCAGCTACCCGGGCAGTGACAGAACATCTAAGACGCGTGCGCCATAACATGATCCGGAGGGGGGGAGGTTGTGTTTGTTGTCGGCCTGGCTTGGCCTGGCCGAGCACGCCTGAGGACGGTCGCGCAGCTCGGCCGGCTCGGTTGTCCGCATGGCCCGAGCTGGGATGAACTGGCTGGGACCCAAGAAGCTCAGCAATGGCTGAAGATGGGGGGTGCCATCCCGGGCCGTTGATCCTGATCCCTGTTCTTGGCTCTGGACACTTATCAAGCAATCACGGCGTATTCTTTTCGGTCGGTCAAATACAAAAAACGAATATGTAACAGGATTTGACAGATCCAAACTTATTTTTAACGGGCGACAAAAGAGAAAATGGACAAAACTGTGATCGACTTATCACAAAAAGAAAACGGGCTTGAAAGAAGAAAAAAAAGCACCACAGGGGAGAGCGTTTCGTGTTTCGCTCAGGTGTCTGTGCACAGAGCCAAGGCAGGGTCCCCGAGACGAGATGGAAGACCGAGGGTGGTCGGTGCTCACCGGTTGAAAAAGTTGAGAGAAAATTACGCGAAGTTCCAATCAGAAGCGGCAGGAAGTCGCCGGTCCTCGCCGAGAAAATCCGGCTTGTACGAATAGTTAGTGTCATACGTACAAACAAATTGGCGTTCTGGCGTCCATGAGGAAGAACGGAATACGCGAAACACCAAAAACAAGAATAGAAGATGCTCGACGCAGGTCATTCCTTCTCCAAGGCAAGCAACCCTTTCTTCCCGGGAAAACCTCATCAGTACACTAGTGTAGTCTCAGTCAGCCAAGCCAGGGACGACAGCGGCGGATCCGGTAATAATAGGGGGGTGGGTGCGCGGTTGTTTCATCTGAACACCTTCCCGCCGCCTCCCTGTTGAGGAGGCGCAGCTGTAGAGGGTGTGAGCTGAAAAGGGGCCCGGGGGACAAGCAAAACGATAAACGGAAAAAGGGAGATAACGTTAGTGACTGTCCTCAGCAAAAGTATTTGAAAACGAACACTCAAGCAAGCAACCGCGTAATTAGGGGTCTTGCCAGGCCAAGAAGTTAGGTGTGCGCTTCTCCGGCTCATTTACGATCGCCCACGCATCATTTTTTCGCGAATGAAGTGACAAGACTGGGCGGTTGTTACTTAGGGCTGAAGATTTAGGGTTAGGTGCTTCGGGAAAATACATGAAAAATTGAAGGAAATGTCACGAAAAACGCACCGAAATGACCGGGCAGAATTAGTTAGCTGTCTCTTTGTCCATACGTTCCTTGGCACATGAACATTTCTGCAACATCGTCTTGAATTTTGCAGGCCGGGAGGACCGGGCTGGACCATGAATCAAGTTGTCCTTTTGTGGTGGTGGACAGGCGGCTGGTGGAGGCTTGAGGCGCGCTGTGGACAGTGGGCGACTCGTACAATGGAAATGCGCCGAACAGAGCGAAATTGGCACATTGGTTGGGCACACACAAATCCCGTTTCCTGGCTGCTGCCTGACGCACACACACCCAACCAAGACGCAGCAGCAGCATGGAAGGCGGGCCTCAGCAGTCATTTCACAGGAGAGACAGGTAAAAATTGTTGAAGCCAAAACCAGTTGTCCTTCTAATTGCTATCGCTAAATCTATGGGTTGAGATTGACAAATGAGAATAATACCTGAGAAGGGGGGTATATCCATCCTGTGAAAAGTCCAGGACAAGAGTAGGAAATAAGATACGAAAACATGACGGCTCTCCATAATTATCGGAGCTCGTCGGCCGACCAAAAACGCAAAAACGAGGCCCTCTCGGATGCCTGCGAGAGATATGACCTTGCCAAAACAAAAACAGAAACAGATCCTGCCTTCCTAGGCCCAAACCAAAATGAGAATAGAAAAACATCGCCATTAAAAATCGAGTGCATGCCACCCTTCATCGTTAAAATCCTCCGACATTCCGACGGAAGAGACCTTTTACATGGTCCCGTGGTTCCCATCTAGACATATGAAATGCCCAAAGCAAATGACAAAAGAAAAGAAGACACCAGATAAACTTTTGTGTTCCTGTACATCTCCGATAGATAATAAGACAAGCAGCCAGAATTGCGGCAGCTGTGGCGTGATCGTGTGATCCGTGGCATCCTTGCTTCGTGTGAGCATGGCGCACTATTGGGTTGATATTGGTTTTTTTTCCTGTGGCCGAGTTGAAAAACGGCCTCCGATTGCGCTGATGGGGTATCATCTGTAAGACCGAAACAAAAAAAGGACGGCCACCGAGGTTGCGGGACTGCTCCCGACAGAGTGTGTATCGAGTTGAAGGCGAAAAACGCCCTGAGACCGAGAAGGAAATGGGAGACAACCATCCTTCTAAAAAATCTGGATGACCAAACTACTCCAAAAAGAGACTTAATCGTACAGTCTGGCCTGTGGGTATTCCATTTGCGTTTTGTTGTTTGTTGGGGGTGTGTAAAAGATGGGCCTGACCGGAGAAGCCGACGAGGGGGCAGGGCCCATGAGTGATGTTGTTAATAATTCTACACGGTCGGCTTGTTGAGGAGGTCCTCGCAGTTGGTGTCAAACCGGAGGTTCCAGAGGCGGACGGAGGCCATGAAACGGTTGGTCCGGTCGAGTTCGCAATCAACACCGAAGAGGGTATCAACGAACTCGACACCGGCGCTCTTGTCCAGCTGGCCCTCCTTCTTGGGCTTGATGCTGGTGCGAAGCATCGGGGCTTCACAAGCCTTGAGAAGCTTGCGGAGCTTGTCCGTGAGGCGCTCGCCGGCCTGGATGAACTCCTCGAGCATCTCACGGTTCTCCTTAGAGCGGACCTTGCTGCTCATCTCCTCGGCGCGCTTGATCTTGCCTGAGAGCTGAATGAGGAGGAGCCAAAGCTCACCGGCCTGGTCGCCAATGGGCGAACCCGGGCCGTGATGGTACACGGTCCAGTCGTAGATCCATTTGCCGAGCGAGTTGGCGTCGAAGACACTGCCAAGAAGCATGATGGGCTCCTCAGTCGGGTCCCAGTTCTTAAGCGAGTAACCAGGGGGGATCTTGTGGCGCCTGCAGTCGGCGTCCGTAGGGGCACGGGGCGGGCCCGATGCGGGAGGCTTCTTGTGCGCGCTGGCAGCAGAAGGCCTGGCGGTCTGGGGCCGCTGAGGTACCGAAGTGGAAGCCCGGCGAGTGTGACCCGCGGGCGGCGGCGGGCGGCGGCTAGATTCAAACCGCGGCGGCGGGGCGAAGCCCGACTCCCTGTCGAAAAATGTACCGCTCTGTGCAGAGTAGCCGCGATCAGTTCCATGCCCACCAGCGTTGACAGTAAAATGATCCTTGTGCGGCCTCGCCCGAGACCGGGCGGGCAGTACATATGTACGGTCGTCGAGATGAATGAACTCGTCCTCGTCGGATTCCCCGTGAGAGACCGAGGTCGGATGGTAGGAAAAGGAAGAACGTCGCTCGCGCATGGGGCGCGGCGGAGCCGAAAAACTAGGCCTGCGAGACCGCGAGACACTCACATTGACGGTGGCGTACTGGCCCTCGCTGTTGTATCGCGGGGAGAAGGACGGTCCGCGGGGGCTGGCGTAGCCGGGGTTGACGCCGCTGGTGCTCCCGCCGCGGAAGTGAGCTCGGGTCGCCGGGCGCTGCGGCGTGGCGCCGTAGTAATAGCTCGGTCCCCGGGGCGATGGGGTCGGAGACGGACTGGGGAACTTCTTTTCGTCGTAAAGGTACTCGGGGCCCGGGGTGGACCCGTACGGGGAGTAGGCGGCCATGTTCTCTGGCTCTTGCGATGTCCTCCGAGACATGCAAACTGCGGGTGCAATCTCTTTCCAAAATCTCTTTTCTCTCCTTCTCTCGATTACCCCCCAGCCTCGTCGAGGGGTTGCTGTGAGTTGTTTGCGTTCAGTCGAAAATGGTGTCGCACGTGTATCGTTGCGCGGGGGGAAGTGACACCAGTCACCTTGGCCTGTGGTCGGTTGGAAGAGGGGAGGAAAACCGTCTTCTGATCGTAAACATGTCAAGGATGTGGTGTATCTATCTCCACGTCGGAGAAACGGGAAGCATCAAAGCCGAGGAAGCGACTTTGATGGCTGGTTCTGGAAATCTCTGGACTCTTCAAGTGGTCCAGATTCTGAAATCGTTAGGGCCAAGTCGTCGGGATCGAACCGTCTGGGAAAATTTATGAGGGGTATTGGCAAAGGCCAAAGATGGTAGGAAAAGGAGAATCTGGGAGGCTGGCACAGGTTTTTAAACTCGGCCAAGGTGTGTGCAATCAGGCCGGGCAGGGAGGGGCATTCGCCAAGGGAGGAGCAGGGGGCGGGACTTGAAAGGCTTTTTGAGATCCCTGTCCGTTGAAATTTTTTTCCACGGGATTGATGGAGGGGGCGTGACTGTAGTCATTTGTTCCCTAATCCTTGTCTGTAGGTGTGGAATTAGTCACCCCTCCTTCGGGCCCGGTCAGCACAACCTGGGACCACGAGAAGTCACCACATCCCCCGACCCAGTTCTGGCAGCTTCTGTTGACACTGTGCCTGCACGGGCCGTTCGGTCGGCCAATAATGCCCGGTGCGATTCGGCTGCGGACATCGCGCTTTTGCTTGCGGCCTGCGACACCATCCCCTTCCTCGTCTCCCATTCCATATCGCTCTCTTGTGTCGGACAGACCATTACTCACACACCAACAAGTCGCCGACGAGTCCTTGGCTCTAGCGGAGATCTTGTCTGGGTGAATCACTCAACAATATTTCATCCTTGTCACTGTCTGGTCTGCCTGCGAATCGCCAATTTACAAAAACGGGACGGCCTCCCGGATTTGCGGTGGCTCAAAGCCGCCATAGCGCTAAGCGAAATTGGTAAGCATCAGAACTGGGCAGCTCCCCAACCTTCGGGCAGGGGATCACTTCGAGAACGGACGGGCCGTGAAAATTTTTCCTCACCGTCTACGAGCAAGCAGCCGGGGTTTGGAGCTTGGCGGTCATCATGCCTAGGGTTTCGTCGACGTGATCGCTCATCGCAAGGGCTGCGATTTGGGACCCTGGTTCATGAAGACCACATGAAATCCTAGCGATGGGCTGATGACTCGGTGATGCGGGTCGGACTCAACACTCAACCGAGGAGGGAGCCGTGGCGCGCTTGTGGTCGCTTTGCGAAACCCAAATGCGTCAACGATGAGCAATGCGACGGGCTGTTCTCTGAGTCAAGGTTTGTCGTTCATGAGGGAACCCAGAGTCACTGGGCGAAGGTTGTGAACTCAATCATTGGCACAGGTTCGAAGGTTCGCTAGCTCCTGGTCGAAAACTCCCAGCGGTTGGCTGATAGTGCAACGAATGAAGCACAAAGGAAACCTCCGACCAATCGAGGCGCTAGCTGAGCAACAGTCGAGGTGCCGCATATTTTCAATCAGGGTGCGAGCTGGCCCCCTGTGTCCAGCCCCTTCTGTGGCGAGCCTCTCAATGGAGGTAGGGAAGTCTCGGAGCAGGAGAGAAGGTCGCCGATGGCACCGGGAATTGGAATCAGTGCCTTCGTACATCGGGAAGTGCAGGAGCGAGAGGCAGCAGGAAGCTGACGTTCCTCCTGTTTTGCGCAGGGAGGCACCTTCACCAATTCACCTTTTTTTGCCCCTTTTGGGAGGACAGGTTTCGAGGACGGGAGGAAGTTACGACCGTTGGATGAGATGGAAGTGGACGAATCCCCCGCCATCTGGGACCTCGCTGTTTGCTCCTTCCCCTTCATTGGGCTCGAAGCCCGTCATGTGTCCCTCGCAGTAAGAGACCAAATTGAGGGTGAGTTCTAGACTCTCTTTCCTGAGATGGCAAAATCCGGGGTTGCCAAGCATCAACTGCAATATCCAAACTGTCGGACGCTTGGTCTACGACCACTAAAATAACCAGGACTGGAGTCTTGAGCTGCGCTGGCGGATACCCCATCGTCTTGCAGTTCGTTGCATTCCACGGAGCGGTTCGTGCTCGCGTGTCCGGATGCATGGACTTGCAGGCCGTCTTAGCGGGGTAGCACTGGAGCATCCCCATCGCAAGCCAGGAGCCAATGAAGCTCAGCGACGTCTCCAACTATTTCGTCACTTTGTTCCCTCTTGGCCTCAGTGGTTTGGAAGCTGTGGAGAGCATCGTCCCTGATTTTCGGTTCGAACAACGCAGAGCCTGCCACCTTTGGCTCATTCCACCGTTCTGCTCAACCGGCGCTGGCGTCGCGGTGTGAAGCAAACGTGCCGAGCCGGTCTCATGCCTTGGTTTTTCAAACCTGCTCCCGTTAATCATCCCACTTTCTCGCAAATGAGCTCAGGCAACATACCTTCCCTGCTTGGACCGGCCACCACCACGGCAAGAAAAGAGCGCAACCGCCCCGGTCTGCTCGGCGTGTTCGGAACAGCCGGTCGATAACCAACGGCGATTGACGCGTACCGTCAGCTCGAAGCCACATCAATCCGGCCGAGCCTCAAATCTACGTCTAAGCGACTACTATGTTTGTATGGAATCTCAACACTCTCCCGTACACCCGAACCTTTCCCATCGTGTCCTCCGTACTCGCCACTGCTAGGAGCGACGCAGTCCGCTCGGTATCCGCCGCTCACCTTGTCCTCCGCGATGACGCTCGGTCAAGGGGATCTCCATACAGTATCCATCCGTCCACAAGAAATTCGGCCCGTCGTGAGCAACGACGAGATTGCGCCCACAGCCGCGGGTCAATCCATCAACGAAAACACCGGCCATGGCTGGAAAGGGGCATCGGCCCTCATGCAAAGGGCAGGGAACAATCACACACGGGCCTGTCCCCCGAACGCCGCCGGTGGGGCCCGCACTTTTTCCTCCCTTTTCGACTCGCTCCGAGTTGAACCCTGGTTGGCTTGGCCTCTTGGCAGCTGTCCTTCCCCCCGGTCAAACCTTGGCGTGGTGTGTGGTTTTTCTAGAACACCCACCCCTACCCTGCCAGGCGGGAGCTTCTGAGGCCCGTCGAATCAAACCCCGACCCCCTTCCGCTTTGTACTCGCCGGTATCAATGAACCTTTCCTCCTCATCCCCCAAGGAGATCCAGAAGGGCAGCGAGGAAGTCAAAACAGTCCAGCCCGCCCAGCACGATCGAGGTTGTCTTTCAACGTAACCGTGAGTCACAACCACGGCTGGTTGCCCTGCACAGCGGACGTTTTGCTGCCCTAATGGTTCGCTCGCGACCGCGGTCTGCTGCGTTGATGTCCAATCTGGGCAAGCTTTTCAGGTCTTGACCGCTGAAATGACCAATGAGCAGCGGCCGGCAGGGCCTGAATGCAGAGTCTTTCATCCCGATTGGAAACGTTGCCGCTTCTTTCACCCCGGACCCACATGCTGGGGCAGCTCACTTCTTCTCTGCTGCGTCGAACCCCTCAGAGTCGTCAAAAAAACAGCGAGCTTTTGTCCCTCTCGCGGATATGGGACAAACCAGCCGATCTCGCTGCTCGTATGGCCTTCACCGACACTCCTCAGCCTTGAAAAGAGGACCCGGCGTGCATGAGCCGGCGCAGATGTTCATGCCGAGAGGGGGTGGAAGGAAGTGCGCGGCGGCGTCTCATACGTCGAGGGCGGGCCGGACCCCGGGACACGCATCTGTCGCCGCGGCATTGCGCACAAAATTTTTCTGAAAATGCAAAATTGACGATATCTCTGTCCAATATTTTGCGCCGAAGGATGGTAACGGAATGCGGGAGAAGATCGATAAACTCGGTGGCCGCCTCGTTGAGAAACCAGAGGCCGTTGTTAGGAGCCAACCGGGGCGGCTCCAAGACTCGATGCTTCGCAGGATTTCCTACAGGATGGAAGTTGAGGGGGATGGCCGCCTCATCTGGCCGCCCCCTCCTCGAGAAGCCAGGAAGAGGGGAAGACAGGGAAAACAAAACACCCCACGACATTGCAGCCCAGCAACCACACCCCGGACGCATCCCTGGAGCTGGGATAACCGCCTGCTGGGGAAGTCTCAGATCAACCTGGCCTCGATTCAACGACGTCAAACAACCAACCGCCTTAGCAAAGCCTCAAAAGGCAATGTTTTCTGAGGGCGGCCGCAGAAGACAGAAAGGAAAGCGAGGCAAAACCATTTGGACCCGAGGTTTGAAGCCGGATTGCCATACTGCCAGTCGGATGGTCCGATGCTCTTACCCAATGTGCATTCGCCAAAGCCGCAGCTGGCTCCCTCAACTTCATGCTGGGGCCAATGGGGAGGATGTTACCAAATCGCCCCTCGTGGCATTCGTCAGCGGTGAAGGGCATTCAGGTTTCTTTCTCGAGCACATGCCGAGGCCGCAGCAATTGAGAGTTTATCCGTGGTCCAATGACGCTGGCAGCTAGGTTGAAGTTGACCGACACTATGAGGACCCCAGAGCCGGGCCGAAGAGGAAAAGGAGGCGATGCTCGGATTTCGATTTGCTTGACACGAAGGCCACTAGTGTAACACGACTCAAGTTGCACTTCGTTCATCTGACGCCTTTTCGACCTTTTTTTGTCCCTCCTTTTCTTTCGTCCTCAACCCCATGTGCGCACTAGCGCAACAGTCGGGAGGCCGCTCGGTGTCACGCAGCGCAGTGCATGGCCGCGCAGAAGAAGCTAACTGCACGCCCGTTGAACGTCGTCCAGACAGGGACGAGAATTATGATGCCGCCAAGAGCTGGCTCTCAAGGTCGAAGACGAACCAAAGCCGGCTTCAGCATGGTGTGTCACCCTCAGAAGTGGAACCCTAATGGCAGGGCTCGGGCCAGCTGAAAATGGCCTGCACGCCTCAGGCTATACTT